GCAGACGAAGCTGGAGCGGAAGACTCAGCACCAGAAGATGGAGCAGAAGAAGCTGGAGCAGATGACTCAGCACCAGAAGATGGAGCAGAGGACGCTGGAGCAGATGACTCAGCACCAGAAGATGGAGCAGACGACGCTGGAGCAGATGACTCAGCACCAGAAGATGGAGCAGACGACGCTGGAGCAGAAGATTCAGCACCTGAAGAAGCTGGAGCGGAAGACGCTGGGGCAGAAGATTCAGCGCCAGAAGACGCCGGAGCGGAACCAGTTGACAGAGATGGGAAAAAGCTCGAGGCCCCAACCGACTGAGATGGAACAGAACTAGAGGAAGCCGTAGTAGACGACGCTGGAGAAGACGATGACTCTGGTGCAGACGATGATTCCGGTTGGGACGAAGTCAAACAAGTGCTACTGGTCACTGTGGACGTAACGACGATGGTAGAACGAGATGAACTTGGAGCTGACTTGGAAGTCTCTGGAGCGGAGGATGAGCAGTACATCAGGGTGATGGTAGAAGTCACCCACACAACGTTACCACCTCTCTTGTGGAGCTGATCATGGCGCTGCTTGCCGAAAATGTCTTCGGTGGTGGTGTAGGTCAAGCAGCATTGAGTAGGCTTGTGTCTGGTAACAATACGGGTATGGGTCTTGTGCTTCCCATGGCTCTTACCGCTGAAGAACTCTAACGACTCGGTAGTAAAGTGCTGCTCAACGGTACAAGGCGTGCAAGAGGTGATTAAGCCCGAGGTGGAGGGAAACTCACTGGTGAAGGTAGCGGGTTCGCAGGTATCAACCTGGACAACGGAGGTGGAGACTTTCGTAATGGGTTTTGGCTTACCGAAGTGCGGGGCCGCCATAGCAGTTCCGGCTGCTAAGGCGGTAGAGAGCAAAACGATACTGGACTTCATTGGGGTTGGTCTGAAGAACGAGTGTTGGAGCTTGAGATCAACTAGAGAACGTAAGGGTTGCGTGCAGGCAGAAAGGCGAGTCGGAAAGGACGACGGAAGACATTACCTATATATAACCATTGGCGGTCAAGGCGTGAACTGTAGGCATAATCTTCCGCCATGCACAACCTGAAAGGAATTCTGTGGGAAGGGTAGTACCACAATAGACACTAGGAGTAGATCCTAAAGCAGTGGTGTAACACATAATGGAGGTGAAATGACTGTGCAGCTAGGCGGCCTGTGGATCATTTTTAGTCTATCGCCAGCTGCAGCATCCATATGGAAAATGCTCGGCTATTTGGGCCCATGTCGATGCCTTGGTGAAACGGAGATAGAGTTGAAGAGTAGCTGCCCTGAACCACGCACAGAAGCAGTTGCGAAGTAGGCCTTTTTAGCCGGGCGTCTAAGCGAGCCTAAGACAGGAGAACTCCTGCACGCGGCGGGTCTCTAACCGCCTCGACGCCCCTCTCTGAATACTGTGCAGGACAATGCTTTGTGTTGATGTCTGATGTGCAGGGCAACGTGAGACTCCTTTCACTGGTGTACCTATTGTTCCTCATAATTGGTATCGCCAAATCTGGCCTCAAGGCTCTAGTTTCATGCACACGGTGTCGTGTAGGACGTACCTTCTTGTTTAAGTAGCTCGGCAGTAAGTTCTTGCCGTATAGCTGCGGATACCTATTACACGACACTGGTACTTTGGCTGTACGCCTAGGATCTATCAGTTTCACCCAGCCTTTTAAAAGCACTTCGCTGTGACAACTGTGAAACCAGAGTTCTCGAGACGGTGGCTGCTTTCGCCAACCACCGGTACGGAGCGTAGACGAGCCTAATAGCTAGGTTGACGAGCCGGAGTGAAAAATGATAGGGCTTACTACTTTTTTTCTGAATTACGGAGGAGCTTGGTATAATGAGACAACTGTTGAGGGTTGGACTACTGGTACAAGACTCTCACTATTGTACGGTAAAAAGCCTTTTGCGCTTTTACTGGAGGTTTTTAGGCTCAGAATAAGGCCCTCGCCGAAGTGGCTGCCTATGGGCAGAGCAGCCAATTATTTGTTTGCAAGAACTTTTTGAAATCCAAAGTCACCTCTTAGAACTCGGCCCCTATTGATTGGCTCGTGCCCTGGAATGGAATAGGCGTAATTCACCCATTTAGGTTCAATGTTCGCAACTTTGTGGTTTCAATGCACGTTTAGTTCAATCTTGGCTGTACCTGGTCGCTAACGACTAGCAGCACCCTAAACGGCCTCCTGCAGAAACCCCCTTCACCCAAAATGGACTGCGACTCTAAATACCTTGGCCATGTACAATCCGATCTATCAGCTGAGTTTCCGAAACCGTCAACTAGCCCATGCCATCCTTTTGGGTTGCAGCGAGAGTCTCAGTCTTTGTTGGAACCATGCTCTGTGAGACTCTAATGTTTCGGTAATATTATCGTAGCCATGTTTTCCGCTAGGTGCCTCACTATAAATTTCTTGCCAGTGTATCCCAGCCCTGTGGGTACCTACCGTATACCCTAAATGGCTGGCTTGAGGATATCCTATGCACATATTGAGAGTTTTTCGTGTAAGCATGCTTAAAAGACGACTAATCTGCTTTATATTCCCTCGAAATATTTCTGCCCAACTCCTAAACCGAGAACGTTGAAATTCCATATATACCAGTAGCTATCGAACAGGCCATTCCTTTAGATGTAATGCAACAAAAAAAAAAGTTTAGTGTCAGTGATACATGCGCTATTGTAAATTCCATACTTTATTTATAGCCCGGCCTTATTTGAGAGAAGCTAGACCTCAGAACCTAGAACTTCAACGGTATCTTGTAAAAGCATGCTCGGTCGGGATAAGGTAACACGCATTGTTTTCCAGCTACCTGGACTATCTCTGTTTCACCCTAACTAAAGGAATTAATCTCTAAGTGGGATATTTTCCTAAATTTACAATATGTAGTTCTAGAAAACCGAGAAAAGCTAGAACGACCAGTAAATCGTGATATTGTAATGGCTATAGCTAGTGGCACTGACTCCTATCCCTCCTATAGCAACTCCTCGTGTCAAGAAACACGCTAGCCGGACTATACTATTTTAGCGATCCGCCCTCAAATTGGCGAGGCGTTCCTGCATTCGGAAACTTATCGCCAACGCTTGGCTATGCAGACATGCGTAGAATGTGTGTGGAAGAATTCTTAGACAGTATGAAAACTTTCTCTCGCCCCGAAAATATATATTAAAGTGACATAACAGAGGCTTAGTACAAAGCTAAATTATTGCACCATCCGCCTTATATATTCCTTTCCCCTTATCAGATATCTGCCGACCCCTCCTAAGGGGTTGGTACTGCACCCATACCCTTTGCCCTTCTCATGTATCCATACGATTGTCGTGTGTATTTGAAGTGTTTACAGCATATAAACCGTCTCGTGCGCTCTGTCTTCCAGCCTCGTCTTCGTACTCAAACTATAAACTCTGACGTCAGCAGACCGACACGAAGGTAAGATACTCGTGTTTCCCTGCCATTGCAGAAATTTGCCAAGTACCTTTAAGCGGCTTTTTAAAATGGTAAACTTACATAGCTCAGGGATGTGAAGTACAGCTTTCTCTGATCTTCGTAATCGGTGTTGCACCAGTCCCCCGCTATATCTACCTCCTCTTGGCGTTACTAGTCAGCAGTTTCATATATCTTTAGTTACTGCCTAATAAAAATCGTGTACATGTATAGTGACGTATAAAAGTTAAATAGAGAAGGGATGGGTATTGGCTGGAACGGGCCATTAGCTGGGCATAATCCTTTTCCAACTCACCAGCTGTAGTATCTTTGCTCTAACGAGCTATGGTGTTGTGGGTGGTATAACAGTGTCACGAGACTAGCAAAGCTAAGCAAACAAAAGCTTGGACCTTGTAAACTACAAAATATCGGCTCTTTACCCTTAATTCAGTCTTAGAATCGGGGTTCAATGTTAGGAAATTCGCATATTTATAAGCATTAGTCACCAAGTTTTCCCCTATACAGATGGACCTGGTATTGAATGGCAGAATTCTAGCGTGTCTGCCTAAAACTGAACACTGGTGTTGGATATAACTGATATGAGCACCAAACTATTACTGCATGTATATATGAGCTGGCAAAAACATAAGTAGCTTTCGGCATATATTAAAGATAATGCATATAAATATATGCATATATACGTTACACCTATGACAGATCCAAGTAGTGCAAGTTGAGTAGCTAATAAATGTTATATATTTACTCACAGAAACACTAAGTAAATATAGAGACAGGATCGGTAAGTATTCATAAACATATACTTCACTTTAAATCTATAAAGCAAGATGTATTAAATTATATATTTTGCTCTTAATATTCATTAGTTGATACATGTATAACATTAGATAACCTTTGGATATATCTACGTTGAATATTTTATTGCGACACACTTCAATGGAAGCTATAAATTTCTTGAATGAGAGTTATCACCTCTGCCGCACCTAACTTTATAAAACAATGTCAAAATTTGACTTTTGGCACGGGAAAATAAGATATCACGTGGTTGACCATGTCTGTCGCGTATCAAGATTAGCGGTATCTTGACGTGCGAAATAGGGACTTGACCTTATATTGTCTCCTCGCCCATATATACAGCCCTCGGCAATGATCCCTGATATCTCCTACCAAGCTTTCAGACATAGAAAGCCGATTCTCGTATTCTGAAATCCCCATCTCTTGAAATGTATCTGCATCATACGAGGAAAATCGGTAAGTGTTCCTCTTAGCTGTCTACCGTCGTGTCTGCTAACTCCCAACACAGGATTTTTTGAGCTGTACTACCTTGGGAGAAACCAGTTGAAGTGCTATACAAATTACTGTATTATTGCCAAGTACAACCATGCATTGAACCAATCGATTCTCTCCCCTGCGTTGAGACAGGTGGTGTTGGCAAACCCATACCTCGCTGCCAATTTTTTCCCCGCCTCCTCTGTTGCCAGTTTCGACAACTACGACTTACGCGCAGTAGACCAAATCCGGTTCGAGGATGTGGTGGAATACAAAACAGTAAGCCAGATAGACGAGAGTCTCTTGGAAGAAATCAACACCTATACGTGTAAGATGGACGAGACAGAGAGGCCGTTGTGGAGAGTGATCGTATACACTACTCCCGAATCCGATGAGACCCCCCACGTATGCTTTTACTGCGACCATACTCTCTTTGATGGAACCTCAGGCACATCGTTCCACAAAAAGCTCATCAGAGAGTTGGGAAACGTGGGAGAGCTTGGACCAACTTCCGGTGATATTTTGTTCAACTACGAAGCAGACAAAGACCTCCTTCCAAAATTTCCCCAATCGTCGGATAAGTATGTGAACAATAAGCCTCCCGCGATTTTCGTTGCCAAATTTTTGTTCCGGGTTCTTAGCCCCCAGTGGCTTAGACGCACCTTCATCTACCTTTGGAATCGAACTCCCGTTATCGGCGGATCCGCCCGCGACCGTTTGTTGGAGAAATACCCTATCTTCCGGGGACTCCCTGCCAACACGAGTACAGCCACTCGATTTAAGATTATCAACCTCCCTCCGTCCGATAGTGCGGGAGTTCTCAAATACTGCAAGGAAAAGCACTTGACATTTACCCCGTTGTTGTACACTGTGGGGATAAAAACCTTGCAGGACACCATCCTCCTGGCCAGTATGCCGTTTGCTACGGAAGCAATTATTTCCGTCACCACCAGAAGGTATCTTGCGAAGGAACAGATGGGCCAGCACGACTTTGGCCTCTTTGTGGGGCCCCAACCGCTAATCAACCCACCCATCTCTCAAATCTCCGTCCCCGAGATTATCAGGGTTCAGGAGGATATCGCCGCTGGGCTCGAAGCTAGAACACCTCTTTACACCGTGGGAATGTTAAAGTACGTGGATGTTAAGGATTTTTTGAACGGCATACTTGGAAAACTGAAGGAGACATTTGAGATCTCCAACTTGGGCTTGCAGAACGTTGTCTCAGCCGATGGCCGGTGGGAGATCCAGGACATGCTTTTCAGCCAATGCTTCGGAAGAACCAGTCCCTACTTTTGCTTAAGCGTTGTTTCTACCAAAAGTGGCGGTCTAAATCTCGTATTAGGCATGGCCCCTGAATATTGCGACGCTAATCCGGAGCTCGTGGACCAGTTTGCCAGTGAATTGACGAAAAATATTATGGCCAGGTACTAGTAAAAGGATCTCATTTTAAGGGTTTTATTAATGTAATCTGAAAATTATTCTGAGTCGCTGTATTCAAAGTCGAAGTCATCGTCAAGTTCCAGATCAAGCCCTTGCTCTGGTACTTTATCCGAATCGACAATATCCAAACTTGAACGGTGGACATTGCCTATTTCTTCCGAAAGCTTCAACCCACCAGTTTCTTTGGGTTCTACCGGCGGTGGAGACCGACCAGCATCATCGATATTCCGTACGCCCGGAGCTCTTCCGTGGGGGATATCTTCGGTCTCATTCCCTCGCTCTACTGTATTTCGGCCAGACTCAACCCAAAACCCTCCTCTCCCATATTCATCGTCAATGACAAATGGCCTCTCCTTACAAGGGGCCAATGCCTTTGAATGTCTTGATTCAACCAAGAACCCCCCACCATATTCGTCGTCGCTTGGCTCAACAGTTACAGGCACCGGTATATCAAGGGCTAACGATGCATCGTCGGCGATAATCTCCTTAGCCAGAATCATATCGGTGCTGTTGTGAGTGGGAGAAGCGTTGGCCGGAGAGTACGTTTTATCTCTTTCGGGGATAAAACCACAACCAAGTGTATCGTCTCCATCTAGGGAAAATCCACCAGTCAGCGACTCGGCATCTTCGGGGATAAACCCACCTGCAAGAAATTCGGTGTTACTCTTAGAAATGAATCCACCAGCCAGAGCTTCATCCACTATAAAATTACCAGCAGATATTTCGTCGGGGATGAATCCGCCTGCAACAATTTCGGTTTCGTGGGCTCCTCCGGGGAACTCACTTTCTTCCACAAATCCACCAGTAGACTTTTCCATTTGAACAAACTGTTCATAGTCATCAAGGTCGTCGCCCAGTTGGGTCTCTCCATTAGATACCTCTTGTTGGTCGTACTCCTTCACAAAGTTCTGGAAGTCTTCAAAATCAGAACCAGCACTCTCTGCATCAGACACTAATTTCTTTCGGGAAGCTGGCACGTAACTGTCTCTGTCATCAGATACGTCGGAAAACTCATCTCCCCGCTTCGTCCGCTCACCCCCAGTGACATCGCCATGGTCCGCGTTCAAACGGTGCACGATTCTGAGCTTGGCCAAGATCAACCGCCACCGGCTCAACGCCACCATTTCCATCCGTTTTTGCTCCTCTTCAGCCTCCTCCAACCCAAGGTGCTCCTCGATGAGCTGCAACGCTTCACAGAACTGCGACGCCACGACGATGCCACCGGTTTTAGCCACCACCTGGCGTTTGGCAAACTCAAAGCCTACAGTGGCACTGGCGTAGTCGATGCCCATGATGCGGGCCGCTACGGCGGCATTCTTGGACGAAACCAACGTTCCTCCCTCGGGGACCATCGTGTCCGTGTACACATCAATTGACCCAAACGAGTTCTTAGGCACTTTGCCGTCACTCGTGACCGGAGGCGGAACGTATAACTCAGTTTGGTACTCTGCATATAGCCCTACCTCCTCTTCACCAGCCAGGTCATCCGCCTTGGCCCTGGATCTAGCTACATTACTTTTTTCCCGTTCCTTTAACGGCTGTTCTCCTACTCTCAAAAGCCGTCCTTTCATGTACCAAGCCTTGGCTGATCGGACCACATGGACATTGGCACGTTTGTACACCGGCACCACGTCGCCGTGGTTTCCCGCCCTTTTCCCCTTGAGTCTCAAGGTCCCACAGGGCTCTCTAGGGAAGATAATTTCATTACTTTTCAACTGCGTCTCCAAGGAATAGACGGGGTGGGAGCGGAAATCCTGAACACAGTTGGGCATGCCCTCTTGTAATGACCTCTTTGCAAATTCTTGTTGCTCGAACACGTCGATCTGGGTCGATTTCCTTCGCTTGAGAGCGCAATACGCCGTAAGCACGCTATCATACCACTCCTGGCCCGTCTCGGTCTTGGTGATTCGTTTTTTTCGTGTCTTGGCGTTGTATTGCTGCGAGTACCGTCGTGTTACGTCTCGTACACCGCCAGCTCTGTCAAACGCCACGACATACGTCACCTGGTTTGCTGGGTCACTAGGGCCGGGCTCGAGCTTGGACCGAACACCCACCGTTTCGATCATCTGTAGCACTACCGGATCTACCGTGACCCAGTGCTTCGCGTGCAGGTTCCACACCTCCACCCAGATGATCGGGCACGGCGATTTCAAAATGGTCAGCGCAGTAGCCGGTCGACTTTGCCCCGAGCGAATCCTTTGGAGGAGGGAACTCTTCGATTCCCGTGATACTTCATTTGGTTCGGGCTTGGTTTTCTCAATAAACTTGAGGTTTGTAAAGTCAGGGGGCTGCAACGAATACACTAGCCGGGCATTGAGTTTCACGGAGCGGAGCAAGGCCACAAATCCTTGCGCTCCTATGTCCCGTGACCCCCGCCGTGACTGCACCAAGTGCTTAAACTTCGTAAACGTCATGTTTGCATCGGTTTTCGGTGGCCTTTCTGAGAGATTTCCCCAGTCCGTGCGCATAATTCCGTTTGAGGCGACTCGGAACCGGCTGCCCCACATGCGCGCGAGCTGGAGAAGCGCGTCAAGAAACTTGCGCGACCGCATCAGCGAGATGAGCGTCTTGTCTGGATACAATTTCCGCATTATCTCAGCATTGATCAAGGGCTTGAGCTGCGCCTGGAGCTCGCGGCTGTTACACCACTGGTTTCGGAGATACCCATAGCCTACCATCGCCACCACGTACATCATGTGTACGCGCTTCCGGAACATGCGCTCCTCCTTGGGCACTACGTGGGTGCGTTTCGCCGGCTTTTCCCGTGTAGGCTTCTTAAATGTGAGATTAACGGCGCCGGGGGCAGCCGGTTCGTTGAGATTGGTGTTGGGGTTGAAATTGGTCGGCTCGATAGGGATTTCCACGTCTTCAAAGTCATCCAGGCTGTAGTCTTCCGAATCGGATAGAGGGGCGACGCACGATAGCGAAGGATCAGAATCCGAGGATTCATTGTCGTCTTTGGCTTTAGTGTCATTGATACTTTTGATATCGCCTTTGACGTTAGAATTGCTGGTTTCTTTGTCCGCCCTATCCTTTCGTTCTCTCTCATGTTGGGGTGCCATCTTCAGGTCCTGTGGTTCCCTCAAGGTCCTCTTTCTGCGTTTGAAGGGCCTGGATAGCTCAGAACCTCCATCCTCTTGCTTTAGAAGTGCTCTAACCTGTGGAGGTAAGTCATCCATCGTTGTTGGTTGTTATTGCCACCAGATTAGCGCTCGCAAGCGTGCCATTATATTTTTGGTGCGGCTCGGACTTGGGTATTCAGACGTTGGGCTTCCAGTGGATTGGTGGGGAAGTCAAAAAAAAAAGCAGTCATAAGAACCAGTTGTAATACCGGAATATATTTGTAATTAATCAATGTGATTATGTTCACTAATGCGGAAGATTCACTTATCACACAGAAGTCTTGAGAAAGGGCTAAAAAGAAAACACTTGATAAGGACACCGCTGCCACGCAGATATAGCACCCCGAGCGTTTTTCAATGCTACAAGTGGAGATATCAACTCTAAACCGAGTCCTTTGAGTAATATGTATAGCCCTCGAAATCCTTCTTTAGATACCCCAGTACAAATAATAAAGGGGAACTAACTCATAAAATCCTTGCCTCAGTGTCAAGGTTATTCCTACACGGCCAAATGCGGAAAATCTCAGCCGCACGTAAATCTTAGCAAACGCTTTAACGGTAAACTTCGGCCTATCTCTACTCAAGGCAAAGAATGCCACATCGACCCCAGAAGTATGCTATAATGCTACTAGGATGCCACAACCGCCGGAGCTTTCCCGTGCTACGTCACTTCCGCGCGCTATCAGTCCAGTTTCCCCAGGCTGAGGACGGGCTACTTGCTAAGGCGCTGGCCTCGACATTTCAGAAATACCTCCGCCAGAAAGTTATCTACGACACATCACCGGCCAAAAGGTTGTATCCAACGTTGAATGACGCTCTAGTGGCGGTTCTCATCGACAATGAGGCGCGCCGGACGCCGAGCCGTAAGTTTGCCGCCGACATGACTCACTGGGGCTTCTTTCGTTCGCCCAAGGGTCTTCCCCCGTCGCTAGAAGTGCTCGTTTCGTACATTCTCTATTGCGTGCATTATTGCTGTACCCCCTCTGCGATTTCCGCCACGGTTGAGGCGTCCGCACAGCGCGTGACGGAAATCATGGACGACAACCTTTTGCTCATGGCACAGGAGTTTTTGCAAGAAAGCGCCTCCTGGGAGGACATCAGATCGGATCCAAGCCAGGCTGTCTCCCTTGTATCATTCTACAAATACCAATCCAGCGATGTGTTGGTGGACTCCCGCGAGCTCCCCCCACCCTTCCTCCGCACACTTCAGAACTGCATCGCCGTGTTCCAGCTCTTCTCGCCAGCACCCCCTCTGTTTACGAGCCTTAGCGCGTGGATAGCGTCGATCACGGCGCCGACCGTCACAGCCGCGTGCAAAAGACTCGCAGGAATGACAGACATTCCGGCCTTTGTAATGGTTGACATCCTCCAGCGCAACGCCAAGTCGACGCTGGAGCTCGAGCTCCTCCTCCAGATCTACGAAATGCACGCCCAGGAGGTCCATCTCGTGTTTGAGGTAGAAAAACCTGTGCTTGTGAATCTAATCCGTTCGTGCATGCTTTACAACTCCCGGCGGGCCTCCAAGGTGCTATCACACTACCTCCCGCTCGTGGACGCCTCCAGTCCCGCCCAGCGCCAGTTTCTCAATGAGTTGATGTACGAGGCGACCAAAACGACGCCGGCCAATCCCCATCCGGGGCTCCCAGCTCACGTGTTCGAGGTTCATCAGGCGATTGCCAGTATTCTTGCACAAAAATCCGTGGCCCCGCTTGCGGTGGAAGGGTTTTTGGGGTTGACCACATCCGTCGCTGCCTATTCCCACACCCAGAGCGCGAAATCGCTCGGGTATTGTGAGGAGCTCATTGCGGCATCGCCGCAAACCCCGCAGCTAGACGTGTACTACCTCGTCACCAAGCTCAAATCTAGTGTCACCATCGACGACGTGATTAAAAACTTCCAGTTTGCATCCGAATACAACGGAAAGGCATACCACATGTACCCTGAGCTCTGGAGTGAGTTGGTTGCGCAGTTGGCCCGCTTAGGCCTTTTGAACCGAAAACGGGCAGCGAATCTCTTGCAGCAGATTGCCGACCTCCGAATCGCCATCCCGTCCACCATGCTCTCGAAACTTCTCTCCCGGCTCGTTGGCTTCCAAGAAATGGACAACCATGTGCAGCGTTTATATCTCCCTGAAGCATCCGTCGCGTCGTACCTTATCCGCGCGTATACCGATTGCATTAGAAACACCAACGGGTGTCTCAATGAGCCATACCGGCAGTTTGCGTCGTTCTTGGACTATACACGGTACCTCTACCGCTCGATCGTGGCGCCCACCACATCCCATATCGGCATGATGCTTTTTGGGGAGATGCATTTCCAGCCGGAGCGCGTGTTTACTCTTTACGAGCTGGAGTACGCTAAGCATGGCGCTGAGTTTCCGGACGAGAGAGCCCTCTACGTGCTTCTCTCATGCGCCTCCCGCAACATGAAGCCGAGGGTCGGTCACCGCGAAGAGTACGACAGCAACAAACCTCACGGGATGCTTATGTGGGGTGACAAGTACGCCGTCCAGGTTGCCATGGCCGAGTTCAAGCGGAGCGTGAGGACCAAGATGGAAAAGCTGGAGCGCTTGGAAGAGTGCCCGAACGACCATTTGGTTTACCCGTCAAACAACCTTTGGCGAGCGTATCTCGAGGTGTTGGTAAAATTTGGGTACTCCGAGGAGCTCACGTACGTGTTATCGTGGTGGGAAGACCTAGAATTTGTCCCCAGTGAGCACAATCTTGCGACGCTTTTAGTGGCGTTGCCAGATGGCCAGGCCGAAGCTCTCATCCGCGATGTCGCCAAGAACCACGCCGTACCATCCGAGGTCGGCGGATTTTCATTAGCTCTTTGGCCATGGCCCACCGTAGCCATGCTAGAAGCTTTCCGACTGAATGAAGGACGTGGATGAAGGCACACATTTGTATTTACGAATAGACCCCTCCTGCATATAGATATACAAATAATACCAATACATCTGCTAAGGCCTGTGAACGTGGTATGATAGAGCTTATCGATCGAAGCACTAGCAAAGAGTAGACTCTAATAGATTGAAACGACAGGACGGGTTTGTCCTAACTTCTCAGCAACTGGCCCCTTTTCGATTGTTAGGAGCCAGTTCATACGTATCTCTCAACCATCGTGTTTGACTCGTTTTAAAAGTTGGAACAAATGTATGAAATATCTAACCAAAAGGATTTAAAAGGTGACCCATCGGCAAACCACCGGGCTGGAGCCATTTTCGTAAAAGATTAAAACAATGAAACGCGCTACTGGAATGTAAAATGCACGGGAAGGAAAAGATAAAATACAAGGAGAAAGATCTAGCCGGCACTCCTCATGCGCTCAGCTCATTCATTCGGCTACAGAGGCCTTACTACAACCCCCATCTAACGTTCTCGTTGGTACGCAGCTGGTTGTAGTTCCCCACGTACTCCAGTCTGCCGTAGTTGTTGCCCACGGCGGATCCCGGTTGTACGGCGGTGAAACTACTTCTGGAGGAACTCTGCCCGCTGTTTAATCTGCCTCTCTCGTCGGAGTTGGCATCAAAGAGGACCGAGTCGTCGTCGTACTTTGTCTGGTCATGCCCCCTCATCGCAGCGGCACCCAAGGCGGCGAGCTCAAAGCCACCGCCTTCCTTGCTGTCAGACACATTCATACCCTTTGGAATAAAGGACACGCGGTCGTCCTTCATCGGCTGATAGCGGGTGTCCGGGTTCTTGTAGATGAGAGCCAAGGAGCACGTGACAATGGTGAAGACCAATAACACCAAGGAGAAGACGGCATTCAAGACAAACAACACGACCGCCATGACGGAGGAGACCACCGCGGCCTGGCCAAAGAGGTTCGAGAAAAACACGTAGAAGATGGCGTTCAACACACTGACCACGCCGATAAGGATGTTGAACACGTTGGTACGCTTGTCCATGTACGGTCTTCTCCAACACAAGCCCCCAAAGTACGCGATCTCGATGATGAACACGATCAACGACTGGGCCTTCCCGTTAGACTGGGCGACACCAATGACAAGCGATCTGAACAATACGTAGCACAAGTGCACAATGACCCAGTAGTACGCGTCGGCGGAGTACTGCACGTACAAAAAGCCGAAGCGGTTCAACACCTTGGAGTCACCGTAGAGCAAATACGCCGGGTTTTTATACATTCGGATGGAGTTGCGCGCGATCAACACCACACGGACGGCCGCCTGGAACAACAAGCCGATCACAACGGCAAGGAGCACGATGGCGATGATGATGCAGCCGACGGAGTCGCGCTCCAACAACTGCCAGAAGCACAAGACGCCGAGCTGCGGAAACGCAATGAGTGCCAAGCGGTACAACACACCCTTGACAATGATCGGCCACTGCTTGCGGTACTCGTGAAACTTACCCTCGTTCATGACGTTGGTGCGAATGCAGAGCTCGATAGCAGCCTTGAACAAGACCAAGCACACTAAGAGCACTAACCCGAAGAACAAAGTAAACGCCATCGCGGTCATGAAGAGATTGGTGATCTCAATCCCGGCCAAGAAGCTGACACGCTGTATTCCACGGAGCACCAAGATCTTGCCCGAGAGATCGGCCGACTTTTCGTTGGTGGTGTACAAGTTGGAGTCCTCGACGTCGATGTTGTAGGCAAGCTGCACGCGCTTCAATAACTGCGGTATCTTTCTAACCTGTCTTGAGACAAAGCTCATACCCGGGTCGGCCGCGTATTGCGTGATGTCGTTGACAAAGTCGAGAGAACGCTTAATTTTCTTCTGAGGGGAGATGGAGAGGTACTGCTGGTTATACAAGATAGAGGTGGAGGTCCCACCGGTTGCCTGGACGTACCAGTTGGCGAAGCGCTGAATGACGCCCACCTTAATAATGCCCATGGTCCACTGGAAGTTCTGCGCCCACGCAGCGGCCATAGGTGGCACACGGTAGACCCCCATCATGGAGGTCATGGCGACCGACTGGAAGTAGATGAAGAGCGACACGGAGTTGGAGGCGATGTGCGCAGCGGTGTTGGAGTGACCGATCACGGAAACCACCCCGGCGGTCACTAACCCGAGACCGGAGATGGCCGCGATGGGCCACGCCGCATACTTGGTCAGCACCGTCTTGCCGTTGGTCAAGATCGCCTCCACACACGCCAAAGGCGTGGTTGGGTCCTTCTCCGCGTAGAGCATGACACGCACGCTCGCATCTAAGTCTGGAATCGTGTACGCGATGCCGGGAATCATGCTTGTGATGTTCTTATCCACGGTGTAAAATGAGTCGATGTCGATGTGCCCAGAGGTGAGAGGACACACAGACCCGTAGTTCAAGCTGCACAACAGGAACTCCTTGGAGAGCACGGTGAGGCCGTACACGATCAAGTCCACATGCGCGGTGACATTCCCGCTGATGGTGGTAATGGCGCTGATGTCAAATGTGGCGGTATTGTTGTTGGGGGTGAACACGACGTCGAAAAAGGACGCTGTGAACTGCGAGTTCTCCATGCACGTTAACAAAGAGGACGATTTGACGTACAGGGTGGCGGTCGCGGCCGTCACAAGGTAGAGGGCCACCATATGGTGTAGGAAAGGAAGCTTCATAATGGGGTTAGACTGGTCTAGTAAGTCTCGGTTGGGTGTAGGGAAGTAGTTTCCAGTGTTGGGTACAAAGGGGAAACAAAACCGGTGATGGGAAAACGCGGCGGATCGAGAAAAGCTAATGTAGTGACCAGCGACTTGGGACGAGAAATAAAGTGAGCGATTTATTGGAAATTTTAAGCTTAGAAAGGGAAAAGGATTGCAGCGAAGAGTGGTTAAGGAGCTACGCGAAAGAATAGATTGTGACTGGTTTAGACGCGGTTGATCTGAATTTTTGTATGCTATTTTTAAATGCTACGTTGCTAGCCGCCAAGTCTGCAGGCCCTCGGGAGGAAGGTACAGCCTCATTCTTGATATGGTAAATGGAGACAGGAGTATGGAGTACGAGGCGCAGCTGGATAGAGAGTCGCGTTCGACGCCACACTAGCCACACACATATTTCCCGATTGGTGACTTTCTTGTATTTCCGTATATGGACGAAGCTCTGCCCTAGAGATCAAACGCTGGAACGATGCCTGGAAACTACGGGGCTCAACGATGAAACAGAACAACTTTAAAGCGTTGTTGCCGGTATGGGTAACAAACTGATGTAGATCTCTGTTCATTGTGTACACGTTAATGCAGTACCGATAACCGGCTTTTATCCCCAGTGGCGGTACTCAACGGCAGATCGATGACAGGGATTTGGAGCCAAGCCAAAAATACGTCATCAGGAGGTTTACAATCACAAGCCAAGATTTCTTCGTAGAACACGTGACAGCCTAGTTTGAATTTCTCCAAACCGTTTAAAGCGACTCAATCTGCGACGCCTGGCCTTTTATCAGCCTAGTTTTTTATCTGCCATTTACAAACTTTACTAGTATTTCTCCAAGAATATATCACAGCTACTCCAAGTACCAATATCCATCATTTTTGCAATAATCCCCCCTCCCCCCCGTAATCCTGCACGTGTGGTAGCCCTTACCATACTTCCCATCAGGCCGCTTCCAGTAGTTACCCGGATGAGAAATATTTTCTTCTGTAGCGCAGCCGTGCAGTATAAATATAGAGCGAACCTTACGTTTTCACAGCGCCATTTTTCCCTTTTCTTTCCTTAACAAACGCAAATTTCACAGACTTTCCACAACGCTAAAGCATTCCATTGAGGTTGGACCCATTATGGCGTTCTTTGACCCATGACCATTGGAGTATTGTTGTAACTATACCAGTTTTTGGAAAGTGCTGGAGATTAAAGTCAACTGATCTTGGGTGCAGTATCTCATGCGAGTTCCTTGTGGACTCTAAGGGAACTCCTTCGTGAGCCCGAATGGGGGATAGTGCAATGATCGGCGGTACATCTATATATCTTAGCTAGAATAGTTGAAAACGTATTAAGGTGTGCTGTGCTCCAATAAGCGGCCACCCTGTTTTACCATATTAGGACCGCCATAGGCATGTTGCTTGCTTAAGACAACTTGAGGTGGCATTAGCCCTTGCAGGCTCACAGCCATCCGGGATCCGTTCACTGTAAACCAACCTGATTGATATTCGTCGCCGGTATCGGTCTCATCGATATTTGTACGCCAGCACTAGCTGCAGGACATATCAATGTTACTCATCATACTCAACGTGTCAGCGTCTTACCCTCTCTCTTTGCTTGTTGTTACCGGGATAAACGTAGAAACCTGAATCAGTCTGATATACAAACGGATCCAAGTCACATCCAGTATTGTTTATAGACTAACACTCGTTACCCCGTAGCTGAACCGCCTACTATTATTCCCCCCCTCGCTACACGACTTGCATTTGACATCTACCCGCCATGTTCTGCTCAAAGCCACGCTATAACCTCCCATCCCTTGTCACAAAATGCTTTACTACAACCCCTGCGCTTCGACGCTTGATCAGTATCCGCCCACTCGTCGAAATTAAGTCGTGTAAGGGCCTCGAGCCCAGTCAATTGCCAGAGTACATTCCGTCACCCCACTCACAATTGCACACGCTCTACTGGAACAAACCCATCCAGAACATTTTTATCGTTAAAAAGCCGTGGGACTCGCGGGTTAGGGGGGCCCTTATCGAGTTCATCAAGCATATATACATCAGATACCCCACCATTAACGTCATGGTTGACCACGCGTGCGCGGACGAGATCCAGAGTGAATTTACTGCTACAGACGCCAACCGTGTCCATCCGACTCCCTACAAGATTTACACATCGGAGAACATCCTAGACATCACGCTGCGCACTGATTTGATGGTAAGCCTTGGCGGCGACGGAACGGTCTTGCGTGGAGTCTCCTTGTTTTCGAACCAGATCGTGCCGCCCGTTCTTCCGTTTTCCATGGGATCCTTAGGCTTCTTGTTGCCTTTCAACATCAAGCTGTTTGATACTGCCTTCCAGACGGTTTACGAGTCGCGTGCCAAAGTCTTGCACAGGGCCCGTTTGGAATGCCACGTCTGGAGAAAGCCCGTGTTGGAACCAGAGGCTTCAAATGAAGGCGGCATACCGGCAAATACTGAGGTAGTTCATGCGATGAACGATATTGTGCTTCACAGAGGTGCGTTACCCCACTTGACCACCTTCGACATCTATATCAACAACGAGTTTGTCACGCGCACCACGGGCGATGGCGTGACCTTCAGCAGTCCGACCGGATCCACTGCCTACTCTCTTTCCTGCGGCGGCGGAATTGCGCATCCTCTGGTGGAGTGTATCCTTCTCACCCCCATCTGTCCGCGCTCGCTTTCCTTCAGACCGTTGATTCTCCCTGCCTCGGCCCACATCATGTTGAAGGTGGCCGACACCAACCGCAACTCTACCATCGGCTTGTCCATCGATGGGGTCTCTCATAAGGACTTGCGTATCGGTGACGAGCTTCACATTGTTCTGGAACGTGCCACCCCCACGACCTATGCGTGTACCGAGGAGGTGTGTCCACCGAGCTTGATGCAGCGAAACCTTCAACACTTGCAGGATTTGGGAACCGTCAAGAGCGGCCAACACTGTGGAATATGGTGTGTAGCCAAGGGAGAAAATGATTGGACCGCGGGAATCAATAACTTGCTAGGGTTCAATAGCAGTTTTCGGGCATTGTAGAAGCATGTCTTGGACAGCTGGTAAATAATGGGCATTTCATAAACGTGTGGCGTGTATAGCTTGGCCAATAGATTATCATTCATTGCAAGTTTAACCTGGATGGACTCCAGTCTCAGTTTATTTCCACTCTTCCATGTAAGTTTTCATAAAGTATAAGGCTTTCCTAACAAAGGTCTCTCATATACGGAAGATTTTCCATCAGCAAAGGGTCTCCTACCAATAAAATATTTCTCTACCCCTTAAGTAATTCGGTTTATACCTATTTTTTTTTATGTTAGCCATCCCAATCAACAGATATAACAAAGATAGGTAGGACATATTTTCTGTATACCCTAGAGAGGCACAGCTACTGATTTCACCATGTTAAACAAACTTAAACAGAATTGATGTCCGTACAACCGCTCATAAACTTTCCCATGAGTATGTCAGAGATACAGACTCCTGCTCCACCAGATGAGATCGTACCCCAGTTGGAGCTCATCTCAAAGACTTTGCAACGATCCCCCAACTTCCAGTTATCTCTCGAGACCGTTCAGAAATTGGCCAGGTGGTTGAACTTCCAGGCTGAGACAATCCCTGCTTCTGATGGCTTCACAAAAACATTGCATGTGTCAGGGGCACTTATTACCATTGATATACACTTTATAAGTGACCTGGAGGTGGGCAAGGTGAGTATCGGGTTTCCCAGTTTAGAAAGCTCCACAGGTGCGTTTACTGCGTCGATTGAAGCGATTCTCCTCAGAAATTTGTCCCATACGCCTTTAGCCGACTTCCACTCCAATCTCACCACGTTGTCACGCTTGGATAGGCTCTCAATCCATAACTTTGACTTGTTCCACTATTACGACAGCTTGTGCAGCTTCATGGAACTGCTTCAAGCCTTACCCGAGAATTTAAACGTGAACCACCAGCCGTTTGAGTACTGGGGCCACTTAGGAGCGATGCAACTCAACTACAGTGACCATTTGGGATTGTACGTGACGTACTTCGAGACGGATAAGCACATTAACCGGTTATTGTCTGAAGACCAGGAGGACCAACGCTTCAGAATGCACCTTAACATCGTCGAGGTCACGGATACGAGCCCGCAGAGACCGTTTGCCATCACCAAGAGCTTCGAGATCGGCGATGCAATGTCTCACGAGGTTGTGGGGTTACAGGCGGGGATAGAATTCGAGCTCCAGCCCGTAGTGTACTTGCCCGAATCACTTTTAATTTCCTGGGGCAACGGTTACACAGGAGCCACTGACGTCCCTTCTGCATACCATAACTTTATTGGCCAGCTTGTGGATGTAAACTACTTGGAGTACAAGTTGCACCTTCCTTTGAACGATGTCTTGGACTCAGACGACCCACTGGACTTCCGCAAATTGGCTTTGCAGATCAACTATCTCTTTGACGGGTTGAAAATAGTTCCGGTGAAGGCTGTCAACTTGCAATTATCGTGCTCAGTCAAGGACGCATCAGGCCAGCTCTCTTCGTTTATACGAAATCTTCGTAACTGGATCTTCTTGGGCAATGTGTTGCGCAATATCCAGGTGTTTGTCAAGGAGCGGAGCGCCAAGAACAACTCAAACATCCACCCAGGGTTCGAGACCAAGCCCACTTCCCCGGTTGTGCCCGAAAACCAAGGGGACGATACTGAAATCCTCTTGGCAGATTTTCTCAGCGAAGCAGCGGCGGCTGGCGACGTGGATGTTGATATGGTGACCGATTCCCCTGCTGTCCCTACCAATTATATGTGCCAGCTCTCGGTTCTCAATAGCGGGGAAGGCTTACGCTTGCGGGTGCAATACCAGAATGGCACCGACGGGGACATACTGAACGACTCGGCGAAGGCTTTCGACTGGGTCTTGGTCATTAACGATGGTGAGGTGACGGGGTGCGAAAGCAGTTCCACAATGGAGAGTGACAGAGAATTGCGCGACAAGGCCCAGTTCATCAGGATGTTGAACAGAACTGAGGATTTGCTCGAATGTTTAGCGTGGATTTGAGAAATAGACAATGACATGTTAGACACGTAGCTAAAGAATCTCATCGGGACTCTGTAGCTCGCTAAACTCCGAGCTAAGTGCTCGGAGCAGCGAGAAATCGTTAGCAAGGAAGGAACTTGTCCCCTTTTCAACTCCTTGAAGCTTGAATACTGCACTCGATTGCAGTATGTCGCGGAAACTGCTTCCCGACAGTGGAGCACGATCGATATAACCTCCCTGTTTATCTGTATATGGACGGATGGTTGTATAATGTGATGGCGAGGTGACTGGTGGGGATGACTGAGTTTCGGGGAAGTGCCATATCCCTTGCTCCGCCTGCTGGGTGGCCTGTCCATGATAGCTTGGATTCGCATAAAGGTCGTCAAATTCGCTGGACATGCTTAAGGGTTCATGGTGTTTGTAGCGAGGACTCTCTACATTATTCGGGTTTGAGCGTTCCCTGGTTGGAAAAACAGTCGCAGTTTCAGCACAGTTTTGCGTTGTACGAAGCGGCTGAAATGATTGACTCTGGTCCCAAGCTTCTTCTTCACAGATCTCAGAACTGAAGTTAGAGGGTTTTTGCTTAAGTGTTCTGTAGCTAGGCATGTATGTCCTTCCCACGGGGATAAATACTGAGTCGTCCATGAATTCCCGCGGAATATCAAAGAGTTTTAGCACTGCTGGCTTGATATTGAGGTTGGCAATCGTGGTGGATAGCCTTTCGATCTGTATTTTCTTCATGAGGTTGTCAGGAGGTTAAACGTGGACGAGGTATGCGATCAACTTTTGTGCCTATCAGGTCCGTTTAATTGAGCCTGGAGAGTAAAGCAAAACGAGCTTCATGCCTTCAGGCGTCATCTGCATATCACATCTGTGAAGTTGTACACGAAAATTCTCGGATTTAAGCTTTTAGCTTAGAGTGATTAGCAGTTTCAACGGTAAACCCACTAGTGTTTACTTGGATACCATCTAGATTGGTGCGCGACGTAGATGTGTAAATAATTATATCAGTTATTCCTATAGATTGATTGTGCTTGAAAGTTTGACTTGACCTATTCTACCCCCACTGTTAGGCAACTCAGGCTTTAATCTCACTTTGGTGCTAATTGGTTTAGTCAGGTTAGGATTCGATAGAGTGGGCTCTCAGAAAATTCCTATCCGTATAGTCTCTCTCAACCTACCTGATCAGAGCCTTTCACCTTTACATTTTCAAAGGGAATTTTAAATAGGATAAGAAAAATAAAGCTATGTTATAAGTGAATGTTGAGGAAGGAAGTTCCCAACATTTGGGGAAAAAAAAGTACTCGACTAGAAGACGATGGCCTCTTCAACCTGTTCCACAACTTGTTCAACAGCAGCAGCGGCATCTTCAACCGGAGTTTCAGGCTCAACCTGTTCAACTTCGTCAACAACTGGCACTTCAACTGGTACTCCAACAACTGGTACTTCAACAACTGGCACTTCAACAGGCTCTTCAACATGAGCATTATCTTCGTGAACCTCTTCCACAACCTGCTCTTCAACCGCTTCTTGTTGCACAGTTTCATGAACAAACTTGTCTTCCGGCGCCTCTGGAAGCTCAATCTCTTCGTTATCAGCTGGGGACTGGACGGTGGCTTCAACTTCCTGCTTGACAGCGTCAAATTCATGAACAACGGTGCCCTCATCAACAGCTTCTGCAGCCACAGGAGCATCTACAGCTTCAGGCTCGGCCACAGGGCTGTCAGCTACAGGGGGTGGGCTTTCAACCTCGGCAGGTGGAACGTAGGCTTCCGGAGCAACGGCCACGGCAGTAGCAGCGTCCCAGGCAATGGACTCAGAGGACTTGGCCTGTGCAATTTCCTTGTACGAGGCATAGTCTTCTGGGTACTTGCCACAGTCAAAGTCCCAGTCAAAGTACTTGGCAGCCTCACACTTTTCCTTGGTCCATTGGGTACCATAGATCAAAGCGGAGTAACGGTTGTAGAACGCGATAGAAGCAACCAAAAACACAACAAGCAAGGCGTAACCAACCTTTCTGGCTCTGGCAAACCAGACGGTAACGGCAAAATCAAAGAGGTGGCCTAAGGCCAAAAGCGCAAAGTACAAGGCTGGCAAGTAGTGGTGGAGGAACATTTGACGGCCCATGAGGAAAGATGGAGCGTAGTGGATGGCCCAACCCAAGATGTAGAGGAAACCCTGGGTGTTGTAGTTGAAAACATGAGCGTCGGCTCCAACATTAGCGCCTCTTTGCCATCTGATGATGCTGGACAAGATGTGGACAACACCAACGGCGATAGCAAGGGTGGAAGCAAACCAGACAATGGCGTTACCCAAGAAGTAGACGTGGGTGGAGTCCTTGCCCCAGTAGTTGATCCCACGCTGCAAGAGCGGCCAGGTTTCAGGAGACGACTGCCAGTTGTGGCTACCGGTCAATCCCGCATTGACTCTCCACATGGTGGCATGGGACTCAAAGAACTTGCTCCAGAAAGATGCCTTTTTGTAGCTGATCTTTTCGGCATCTTCTGGGAGGTATGGGTTGGTATTCGCCTCGATGTAGAATTCCTCCAAGTATCTCTTACCTTGGGTGGCACAGGTGACTTCGTTCTGCTTGAAGCCCCAATCCGGGAGCTTGTTGGACGACGAGAAGATGTAGCAGCCGGTCATGGCATGACGGAGACGGAAAATGGTCTCCAACGCTCTGACGCGTTCCTGAGCAACACCTGGCTTCGACTTGGACTTGACAATCTCGAAGACAAAGTCATCGTTAGCGTCACCTTCGAAACCCTCAAACCCGTAACAGGTGGCTTCCTTCTGCCAATCCTGGGTGGCCACAGGAGCCTTTTCGTCGTGCGAGTGCAAGCGCTTACCGGTGCCAATGTGTTTCATGCGGACCTTGGTTCCGTCGGTCAAGGCCTCGAACGAGGTTGGGGCCTCGGTAGTGTTGTACAACTCGAGGTACCAGAGATTGTTCTGGTCCAAGTGTGGGTACAAGGTGATCTGCTGCTGCTTGGAGCCGGTTTCGTAGGCGTGGGGGTGGGAGTGGAGATAGCCGTTCTGGGTGCCAAAGTGACGGATGGAGACGGTAGATCTAACACCGACGTCGGCCTGGAAGTCGGATGGGATGGTGTTGTCAGAGAGGGAGGATCTGAAGGAGCTGCTCATGAAACCTGAGCCCTCACCCTCCCTGTACAAAGCCTGGAAATGAATGGCAAAGGAAAGAATATACATCAAGGCTGGGATACCCAAGAGGAAGATACCACGAGCTGCAATGTGCTGGGTAACCTTCTTGGAGGAGACGGACAAGTCACCGATGATGAACCACAACTGGAACACGCACAAGACACCGACCCACGCAATGGTGAACAAACCGACCCATTTAGAGGAGACAGCGAGACCCAAACCGACACCGGTGGCCACCAAACTCTTGAACCAGCGGGAGGAGAACGGAATCTCAACCTCGAATTTCTTGATGGAGTAGACCGCAAGAGCAATAGCAAACAACAATGGAGAGTCCAATAAGATGTATCTGGAGATGGTGACGTTGGAGTTTTCCACGGCAAAGGCCGCGGCGGTGATCAAGGCCACAAGTTTTCTGCAGCCAGAGGCGCGCAAGGTGAGATAGAACAAGACAACGGTGAAAACCCCGAGCATGGCTGGAAACAAGCGCATCAAGTAGTATGGGGTGGAGACTGGGAAAGCATCGCCGATGGCCTTGAACTCAAAGTCGCCCTTAAAGCCACCGAGCGAGCCGACAGCGGCAAACATCATCTTGGCCAATGGCGGATGGACATCCATGAAATACTTGCCCTGGATGTACTTGCGGGCGAAACCGCCGAAGTGCACCTCGTCAAAGACGACAGAGTCTGGCTTTGTGAGGTTGTACAAACGAACACTGGTGGTGAGGAGAACCAAGGCAGCAATGTACCGGAGCTCCTGGAGAGTGGAGACGGTTCTCAATTTGGCCAAGTCTGGCGCTGGCGCGGTGACCAAGAATGGACGGCTGGCGCCCTTCTCGTACTTCGGGTCGAACACCACAACGGCGTCGAGGTCGTCCATAATGGATGGTTTGGCAGCAGCGCGCTTTGCTTGTTTAGCCATTGTATAGGAGCGAAAACAAAGAGTGAAGACGATGGTGCTAAAGCAAGGATAGAGTAAAATGGCGGGTTTTTTCTATTTGTGACGTGTAAGCAAAACGGGAACGCGTCAGTGGTAGGCAGTAGGCCAGCGGTAGGCCAGCGGTGCGTGCTCGCAGGGATTGGGAAGAGAACACGTCAGGAAAAAAAGTCGCGTGGAGTGCGGCAGGAGTGCGCATCAGCCGCGATAAACAGAGATCAGAGAGGAAGTTCACATAAAGCGGCGATATAATCCAAGGTGTTATAATATTATTTAAGTGTTTACAGTGTGGATGAGAATTTTTAAGATGTCTTTCGATGGGAGGCGAGTATGAGTGGTGTGTAAGGGTAAAGGGTTTCAGCGAAAAGTGAATTCGCGAACGGGAAATTCCCCGAGGCGGGTCTAGGCCATTCCTGGGGGAATGCAGGATCCTCGTGCTGTATCTGGTCTCCAGAGGCTAGGACACGAGACCAGGTTTACTGGGAGTGGAACCTTCTATGGATCAACAATTCGTACTTGTGATACACCAATTGTACAAAACACTCGGTTGCGTGCTATATAAAGGATTGAAGATAAAAAACCAAACGGTGTCAAGGTCTGTACTTTCAGGGTATGGTCCATGGATACTATATGCGGGGAAGGTTAGTATCTCAGACCAGACTCTAGATGAATTTGACGGGCTGACTGTTTGGACAAGGTTGACCTGCTGTGTCTCTCTTTTTCTTTTCCGAGATTCAGGGTTGATTTTACTGTCATTTTGCCTGAATTTGGGCCTGGTTACATATTTGGGCTGCGGTTTGAAGGAAATCTCAGGGTCGACTACATTATGTTACAGTTCCTAAGTAAATATTCACGTGACAGAGCCAAAACGTGAGCCTGGTTACCAAGCTTTCATAGCTTTCCCATATCATGTGACTTTAACTAGGACAATCCTGATTTTAATGTTGGTCAAAAGATAAGCCATAAATCCAAGCAGTGGCTCTATATCTTAAACAACTAGAAAATAAATTCTCTGTTTTATTAGCTAGAATTTAGAAGGGGAAAAAGGAGTTTTCCTGGCTACCTTTCGCCGTCTGACGGAAATCCTGGCCAAGTCACCAGCTTTGGCCGAGCTTCAGAGGGACAAATTATAACCTTGATCACCTCACTACACATGCACCCCAACATGTATTAAACTTATTTAGATGCTAAATTTAGTACCCATTAGCCCAATCATGAATACCGGCTATTAAATCACTGATTCGTATACGAATATAAGTACAACTCCGGCATATATTGAGAATGGCACAGAGTGGTCGTGCCTTACCCACAACCCTGGACGTGTGTAAAAATCCGTCTCTGCCATTTCTTGGATGCCTCATATGCCTCCTCTAGCAAAATGAGCGTGATCAGAAAGCAGTTGTTGCTGAGAAACTTCTCGTCAGTCGCGGCAATCCTCAACAAGCCAACCACCCACTTTGGCTTCAAGGATGTTCCGGTGGACCAGAAGGAGAAGTTGGTCGGGAACGTGTTCTCCTCCGTCGCCTCTAATTACGACGTCATGAACGACGTAATGTCTATGGGGGTGCACCGTTTGTGGAAGGATCACTTTATTCGCCGCTTGGACCCCGGTTTGAGACCGGGCGCGGACCCTAAGAAGCCCCTTGAGTTTTTAGACGTGGCGGGTGGGACCGGTGACATTGCCTTTGGCTTGATGAACCACGCTGCCGTGAAGCACAACGACCATTCTGTGCGCATGACCGTGGCTGATATTAACCCGGACATGTTGGCGGAGGGTCACAAGCGCTACCTTGCAAACTTCCAGCAGCAGATCGACCCGTCGCGCATCCAGTTCATGGAGGCTAACGGGCAGCGCATGGAAGATGTGGCCGACAACTCCAAGGACTTGTACACCATTGCCTTTGGGATCAGAAACTTTACCGACATCCAAGCAGGGTTGAACACGGCCTACCGTGTGTTGAAGCCGGGCGGCGTGTTTGCATGCTTGGAGTTCTCCCAGGTCGACAATGCGTTCATCGATAAGTTCTACCAGATGTACTCATTCTCGCTTTTGCCATTGATGGGCCAGTTGATTGCCAATGACAGAGAATCGTACCAGTACTTGGTCGAATCCATTCGCAAGTTCCCGAAGCAGGAGGAGTTTAAGTCGATGATCGAGAAGGCCGGCTTCTACGTGCCTCCAGACAGAGGTTATGAGAACTTGACCTTTGGCGTCGCCGCCATCCACATCGGGGTGAAGTTGTAACTTGTAAATAAATCGTTAGTATGTGAACGGTGTAGTGGCAGAAGTATAAATCTGATAGCTTGGGCCGCGTTAGAGCTTTTGACTGGAATAGCTACCAAAGAATTCCTGAGGAATGCTAGGTCGAGGGGTTTCTGAATGACGATCTTTCGGGACTGAACCTTTTAGAATCATGGTTAAAAGTTTAGTGTTTGTAGTTGGAAGGTCCCTTGGGTATCTAGTTACACCCCAGTACATAATAACACATTAAATATGAATAAATATGAACGCATAAAACCAGAAACAAATCCTAAAGACCGTAAAACACATATAATCCGAGTCAAGTTTAACATATGACACACTCCGGCCAAGAGACTCAGCTATGGACCAAAGCAAGTTCACGTCAAACTAAAACTAACCAGACATTTTAAAATCGACAAGCTCCATTCCAGCCTTGCCAAACATAGTTTCAACGTAACTAGACAACCCTTCAGTCTAGAATGGTTCGCGTTTGAGGTCGCCCTGCCAGCTGAAAAGGCTGTCGGTGCGCGCCATGCCCTGCGACGCAACCGCCGGCACTGTGCCAATGTCGTCGTAGCTCTGGAGAGAGGCCGCTCGCATCATCTGCTCGGGGTGACTGCTGGTGGATGACGGGATGCTGTCGCGCGGCATCGCACGCTTTGGTCCTTCACGGTACAGCCCAACATAGTCGAAGATGGTTGGCTTTGGGGAGTCGAGGGAAGATTCGAAGAGGTCCAAGCGGTCCAAGCAGGGGGAGTTGACAGAACCATGGCCCATATCCATTTCGACAGTCATTCCCATTGGGGTATCCATTTGGGTCTGTGATCTCATCTTGGCACTGCTCTCCCTGGCCTGAGCTCCCATCTGGGATTGTTGGCCCATATGCCCTCCCATCAGGCCTACAGCTCTCATTTTAGTCTGGGTGCCCCCTTCGTGGATCCCCTGTTCACCTGGCGACTTCGCTAGCGAGATGAAATACTCAATATCATCCGGCGAAATGTGATACGGATTCAGGCTTGGAATGTGGTACGGGTCCTTCTTAGGATGCTCCATTAGCGAAAACAAGCCTAGCGACCCATCGGCCGCAAAGTCGCCCACAGTTTCAAACCCCATCCCAAAGATGTTGCTGCTGCTGGACACACGATCACCGCTTTTGTCCTGGAACTGTTTCTTTTGCGAGAAAATGTCAAAGGCAGAGCTATACTGAGAGCTCGCCGGCGTGGCGTCGCGGCGCGAGTGGCTCTTATACTGCGCACCTGTGTATGCGCGCGCCTTCTTTGCAAAGCTAAAGTGGTTGGAAGCACTAAAAACATCCTCCGGCTCTTCCTTCTCTTTACCGGGAACCGCGAGAATCGCGTCGATCGCCTGCTCGATGAGCCCACTCACATGCACGCTGAAGCTCCCGGGAACCGTCAAGTCCGCCATCAGGTCGCCCCCAGAAGATACAAACTCGCTCGGCCGTTTCAAGTGCGTGATGAGCGCCGTGAGAATGCTGCGCAAGTCGTTGAAGAGCGCACCACCGCGCGAGTACTCGAGCACGCCGCGCGCGGCAATAATAGCGAGGCGCGCCTGAATATGCGATGGCGACCACGGGATGGGGAAGTGGTAGTGTTTGGAGTTGACATAGGTGAAGATGCTGAGGATCTGGATAGCGGATTGCTGGATGACGATGAAGGAGGTGGTCAGCTTCGAACCGGAAGCAGCGGGAGCCTCGGAGGCGGCCTGTCCCGCATCTGGCCTTGCCCCGGTCTCACTGCTGGTTTGGTCCCCCTCTGGCTCGGCCATTAGCGGAAAGTAGATCAAGATCCGCGCTTGGTAGTACAAAAAGATTACCAAGATCTGCTGCCATGTGCGGAATGTCGACAAATCCGTCTTGAGCAACCCATTTACATCGATCCCAAACTTCAAGGTCTGTGGAAGCTGCTTCCGCCACGTCTCCAACATGTTTTCCTGGCGAAAGAGCGTGGGGCCCCCGTCCGCACCGTGGCGCCTGTAGATGTTGTCAATGATACACCCGATAATCCGCGAGAAGCAGATGATTGACAAGCCCAAGCTGTTGACGGTGCCCTCGAGGCGGAGCTCGCCGTCGCTGGTTTTGACAATCTGCTCGTGTTTTGCCGGAAGCGCGCACTCGATCTCGTAGTCCTTGAACAAGCGCGGTACGCCCAAGATCATCGACAGGAAGCAGTCCAAGCTGTAGGAGCACCAGAAGAGCACGCGGCGCGCACCCTGTGACTGGCGGTCGACCGCGGCGCCGCGGATGGACAAGACCGCCGAGGGGCAGCGGTGAAGGCGGAGCTGGTGCGTGACCGCAACCATGCGCGCACGGAGCTGGCACGCGGACGATACATCGCCAACGTTGCAGCAGTAGTTGAGTGCGAGGTTGAGGAAGGTGAGCGACTGGAGCGAGCACTCGGCGGTGAGGGTGGGGTTTCTGATGAATTCGTGGATGAGGGCGTCGTAATGGTTAAGGAGGCGGAGGGATTCCTCAGGTGTGATCTCAGACGAGATGTTAGCCCTCGCTTGGCCGTTAACCTGACTGTTTGCCTGGCCCAGCTTGGCCTCGACAATGTTCAGCTTCCGGCTGAGCAAACCAAACGCGCAGATAAACACAAGAAGAACCCCGAAACTCTGCATCCCACTGAGCACGTCGGTGTCTTCATCAGGCCCGAAATTGCCAAAGTTACTGTCATAGCTCGCCTGGAACTCTTCGCTCTTGTACTTGGCAAACAAATCCGCCTCGTCCACAATCGGAAGAACCGCGTTCCACTCTTGCACAAACTGCGTGATTAACTGGTCCATTACGATACGCAGCGGAAGGCTGAGTGTCTTCCAGAACCACGACGCCTGGCCCTGGCGGAAGTTCACGTCAAAGAGGTCGTGGTCCGCCATCGGCGTCGCGGGTATATAGTCCTTCAAGCCCGCAAGCGCGCGCGCTGTGAGCGTGGCGGCTCGCGAGTCGTAGCCGTGATACTCTCCGATCTTGGCCATAATAGTCGGCGTGAAGAGGACCTCCTCGGTGGAGCGCGGTAAGCAGTTCGCCACAAGCAGGGCTAGGCAGTGCGCGTCGTCTGGCTCGGAGCTGCCGTGGGCATTGGCTCGCGCAGCTGGGTCTACACGCGACATGGAGATTGCAAACGCCGCACCGCGGAGGCTGATATCGTGGAGCTCTTTATCCGAGTTCAGCGTGTCGGATGAGAGGCGCCCATTGTCGATGTCGACGGAGTCGGACCAGGAGATGGTGCGTTCCTGAAACGAGTGGGGGTAGTTGGCGCAGCAGTTCTCACCGGTGTGGTCCTTCTGAGGTGCGGTGAAGCGGTGCGGATGGGCGCTCAACTGGTTGAGGCGTGAGAGGTTGGACGACGAAAGCGGCGGCGATACGGGTTCGCCCAGTCCGGGCGGTTTATCCAGCCGCTGGGGCCGGGATGTGTCGCTTAGCTGCTCGCCAAGCCCCTGTACGACCAGGAGTTGCTCGTCCTTTAAGTCAAGCAACCCCAAGAGCTTCTTGTTCTCGACCTCGAGCATGCGGATCCGCTCCTCGAGAGTCTCAGTGTACCCACGCGGAAACGCACGCCGCGAGAGCTTGTCGGAGATCTTGCACTCGAAGCCTACGAGTGAACAGTTTGTGCACGGCTTCTTGCCGTCACATTTGGTCTTCTTTGCGCGACAGCGGTCACATGCCTGGGCGACTCGCTCGTACTGTGACCCGTGTGTTTTGATCGTTTTGGCGGTACTTGCTGGGTCGGTCATGAGCAGGTGGATAAATACGAATGGAGATGGCTCAAACCCGGTCAAATGAGTCTTTATACAGATTTTGTATTTGGAGATGAAAAGGGGGGTATGGGACTTGGTCACCTTTATTCGCAGGTACGGTTAAGAGTGCGAGCAGGTTTTTACTTTGAATGGCTTAGTCCCTAAAAGTGTGGGGAGATGCGTGCAACTTTTTTCAGTTGTCCAAAGCTGAGTGTGGGGCCAACGGCGGGTTAAGAAAAGGAGGGTGCTGTTAAAAATGTTGAGCAAGGATTGTAGCGGAAAGGGAAACTAGCGTGGGGATATAACTAGAAAGATGGAGTGGAGGGGCAAAGGAGGGGCTACATGCTGTATATATTTATGCTACAAGGTTTCGCCTTACGGTTTGCTTTTCGGCCAGCTCCCTAAGATTCTCACGGAGTAAGTATTCGCGCGTCAGTGTTTCCTGCATGCGCCAGTGATTGCGTGCGTGCAAGAGTTATAGGTCCTTGGCGTACGTAAAGTTGTGTTGGCCCGTTAGAAAGGCGTAAGGTACCGATGGAGAAGCTTCCTGGGATCGCTAGATGTTGGGTAAAAGGTGTGGTACTAAGGAGCTTCCCAAAGGTATTGGCGGTCGTCTAGGTCTCACCAGGGTGCGCAACCTCTAGGGTCACGAGCTCTCTGTTGGCCTGCTAGCCAGGGTATACTTAAGGTTGATCGGTTAGACTTATGACCACCAGCGGTCACGATAACAGGATGTACCAGGGTGTTACAGACTCGTAGCCAACGACCAATCACAGTGGTTCTATCACAGTCGTTAGGAACTGTTTGAGGATTGCGTGGCGATCGTAGAATGTCGTCTGGAGGGATTCAAACCAGGGGGCGCCTGGTACCACTTTTCCTGGTGTCTCTGAAAGTTTTGCGAGAGGCTCCATGTCTATTTTCTAAGCTGGTCCAATAACACCCTCTGTCCTTTCCGCAGAGTAGCAATACCGCTCACGACAATTAATTACAATTCTAGGGTTTTCTGGGTGGATATATCCAAACGCCTTCGCACAGCTGCCCTTAAATGGTTGTTGCCGCAGCCTTCCGTTTTGAGTATCCAATCACGGAGCTAGATGCACCCCATGAATCTAGTTCTACATATCCGCATGCAGGATTTCAAGTCATGCGCGCATATATGCAGTAGGCGCGGTGTATATTTATAACAGGCGATGCTATCGGCACACCGTTCCCGACAACACGTCTCTATGGCAGTGGGGGAGGTTTTATCTAGCTTCCCGAATATAAGATTTAGGGCCTGAGACGTGAAACATGATTCTCAATCCAACGTATAGGAGATTGGAACGGGTGGGGTCATGCCTCTTATACACTAGCTGGTTAGGCAGCAATGTCTGATTCGAAGGAATTACCTTCTGACGTTGTTCTGAATTTGAGTTGCCCCTCCGTAAAACGGGGAATTTTTTTTTTTCTGCCAAGGCATGCCATGTTTGGGGGCATGAAACATTACTTGTAAAGCGTCCGATATATTCTTTCGGACAGTTACAGAGAGTAAAAGTCGCATATACCGAGCGTTTCCGTCACATTCAACGGTTGAAGGATCTGTTTTACGACTTTTAGTGACACAGATCTACGGGTCAGACAATCTTTTCTTGGTCAGCATGGAGGCCACTCGTTTTCCCTCAGTGCTCCTAAATCCAGGCGGATATCTCAGATGTGATTTCACATATATCAGGAAGAGCGAAACGTCCCGTTCAATTCGTTAATATAGAGCCTAGCAGGTAAATATAGGCTAGCGAGCCCCCAATCGAGGATTTGGGGCGCGCGTTTACTCCGTGCCCGTTTCAGACACAATCTCTTGGCCGATAATACCCTAAAAGGTCCAAAATTATATAAGCAAACTGTTGAATGAAACACCCAACTTCCCTGAGTTATTCAGGTGTTTGAATATGCATCATGACACCAGTTTTCCATATCAAATTTCTCCATGTACCAAGACCGTGGTTTTGTGCTGTCTAAGAATGTTATCGATAAGGGCAGGGTACTTAGTCTGACTACCTTGTTCTAAAACTACCGTACGAGAACCAACAGACACATACTAGCGGCTTGCTGGGGACATGCCTTTCTTTTTCAGTACGCGGGGAACGATCGAACGATATATAAAGTGAGTCTTCCTTCGGCAAGAGACTCAACCGCAAGTCATAACGCATTGCATGAGATCTACGTATAACTGCATGAATTTGTTTGGGCGTTTTTTTATTGGAGAAGCCACACCCCGGAGTCGTATTCTATGCATCGGAAATGCTAAAATTCTGGAGAATATGCATAGTTTTACACGTCCAAATCTATAGCATAGATATTACGTTACGCAAACTGCGTATATCTGCCGGCAGCTCTGGCCGCCGTGCTAAATTCGAGGTAAACACTACATCTCTGAGCTATTTGCATTCAAATACTGGGCTTATTCACAACCCATGACCATATATTCAAATGTATGTGGCTGAACTGCGGCTTCGTATATAGAGCCTTAAAGTTACTGTTGGGCTGGGAAGGTTATAGTCAAAAACCATCGATGTATACGCCGCTGAACTCCTTCCAACTAGTTATATATATTCATCGTCACTCATCAATTATAGCACGCTCCCAAAGGCCTTTATTCATAACTAAACGTTAATAGAGTACCACATGTGCACCCGTACGCTCTAGCTAGCCCATGCGGGAATTTGTGCTACTCAACAAGACCAACTTCTTCTTCTTCTTCTTTCCTGGGCCACTCTTGCCAGGCGTATCCAACTTCTGCTGCCTAAGCTGTTCTAGAAGCACCTGCGTCTCCTCGTCCTCGTCCTTGTCACCGGCAGGAATGGCGGTGCCCCATACAGTATACTGCTTGACCCCCGAAACAGGCTGCTCACCATGCTCCAACGCGGGTAAGGCATCTCCATCATTAAGGTGCTCGTGAGGGAACCCTTCTGTCGGGGTCTGCTCCCAGCCGTTGTTAACTTGGTGGACGAAACTGTTGTTTTCACGTTGGTAGAAGTCGCGCATGTGCTGCTCCTCTCGCCTCATGGCATGGACCTTGTTGCGCTCCTCCACGACTGCCTTGGTCTTGAGCCTTTTATCGCGGGATGTGATTGCCAGCAGGAACTCGGCCCACACGTCCGGATGAAGTTCGTTTCGGCCCCATTCGCACTCAAGCCATGCTAGCTGGGTTCCAAGCGGCAAGTAGTTCAAGTATTTCAACGTGGAAGTGACGTTGCCCAACGTCAACTCAAACGGCACAATATTGCGGATCTTTTTGATCAAAACCGCGGGGAAGGCCGAATACTGGCCGCCGTGAGACGCCCGCAAAATCTTGACGTCTAGCGGCGAGAGAAAGTAGTGTGTAGTGATGTTGTTGAACGCGGTGGAGTAGAAAAAACTGGTATTTGCGTCGTTAAACACCATGCCGAGATCTCCCGCGGGAAGCTGGAAGTTGCATAACTCCTCGATCGCAGCCGGCAGGAGCTGTTCACCGTGCTCGAAACGAATCTTGGCCAATTCCTGCTCGTGGCGGATCTGCTCCACCGCCTTGAACACATGGACCTGGTTAGCGTTATGGACCCCGTAGAGCAACTTGTCGGTCTCGAAACTCTCGTTGATTTGAAGCACTTCCTGTTCATACTGGTCAAGCACGTAGCGGAGATCGCCCTTGACGAGTCGGGAAGACAAGGCTGCTTCGTGTTGGAAGTGCCACGGAATGGGGCTGATCTTCGAGCTCTGGCGGTTACCCAAAAATGGCAACATATTCACGGGAACTGGGACCATATGGTTATGGGGCCTTGCGAGCAAGGTCAATATTACTTCATCACCGACTTTTGGAGTCTCAAACGACAAGTCCACGTCGTTGATGAGCACCGGCAACACGGTTTTGGGGTTGACTCGCACCGCGCACAACGGACACTCCTTGTACTTCTGAGGCGCCTTTTCGAGCGGTTTCGAGTCCATCAAGCTCAATAAACACGTTAAACACAAGACGTGACCGCAATTTGTCAACATCCGCGGAGCCACCGGATCGTCGGAGAGACAGATCGGACATGCCTGCAAGCCGCGGGGCACCACCACACGCAAAATGGAGCTATGCTCCACTGGAAGATTCGGGTCTTGAGCCGAGCTGTAGCGGTGGTCCACCACAAACTTGTAGTTCGCGTTGATATACGCTGCGCCACTCAAATGGACTTTTTCCCGGGTCGGGTACTTCCGTCTGTGGGTCACCGGTGGGAAGTCCCTGGTTTCTTCATACGACAAATCCAACAAGTGGTTGAGGGAAATCCGCCCTTTGCGTCCACTGGTCTTTAACTGCCCGTTAGCGAGACTGTCCTCAAGAAACATCTCGTAGTTGTCGATTCCCGTGTCGAGTGATTTCTGCGTACCTGGACGCGTCACGGGCCGTGCGTGGGTGAATTTAGGCTGGCTCCGTGGCGGTCGTGGTGATTTCGGCGTCTTTACCTTCTGTGTCTTTTGTTTTTGCGACTTTGGTGGCAAGTGGATCGAAGCAGGGGGCGCAACGTTGACAGAAACGGCAGGCACAACGCCCGGAGTCACGGAGACGTCTCCAGGTGTGAAGGACGGGGCGGTAGCGTTGAACTTGGACATTGGATGAAAGACTCCCTTCACGAGGTGTTGAGGGATACACTTGAGCAGCAAAGAGACTGTCCCTCTGATGTATAATAAAAACCTCCATGCACGTTTTATGACCTGCATCCCGGAGACCCCCGGAGTTGAATGCCGAGGTAGCATCGCGACGCAATAGGGTTTGTTCGTGGAAATTAAAACATAAAGAATAAACCAGAAATTTGAGTGATAACGTGTTTTTAACCGAGCCTAGGAGGATGACAATGCTATGTCTGAGTTTATCTAACGATTTGCCTCTCTGGGTGGTCCGTAGTACTGGGCTATGTCCATTGATTAAGACGGACGAGTATAGGAGAGGTAAGGAGAACGATGTGTCAAGGTTGCATTGCTCTATGAATATTCTGGATTATTCAATATCTGTAAATTCACGTTACTGATTCCTAATATTAAAGAGATAGAGAAAGACTAATTGAACTTTAATTCACGTTTATTGGCAACTAAATATGTCTATAACCAATTCCACTATATTAAGAGGCACGCCAACGTCTCTCAGCCGAGTCACATAATGGTAGACACACATACGCTCACCTGCCTCTACTTAACACACCAAGCATCCATTCATAAGCCAAACCTGTAGATCAACCGCCTTGTCGTGTACAACCGATCAGTCTCATTTAACATGGAGACAATAATCTTGGATCCTTGGTTTGAATTTCTCGGGGTGGCATCCGCCAGCACCCCCGCTTTGGCCTCGTTTCTCTCCGCCCATGGTGCAGACCTTCAGCAGCTGTCCCCCAAGACCTACCCCGATGGCGTCACCTACTACAACTTCAAAGCAAGCGGTATATCCATAGCATTTGACCAGAAGGGGCTACTCGAAAGCGTAGACTTTTACCGGGAGGTGATCCCGGCAGCAATGCTCTTACCGTTTGGCATCTCGGCGCTGGACACAGGCAAGACGCTAGTGAAGAAGTTTGGCGAACCCACGGAAAAGGGAGGGGGCTTCAAGGCTAAGATGGATATTTGGTTACGTTGGGAGTTTTTCCAAGTAGAGTTGGACGAAAGAAGCTGGGAGGCTGGCGACCAGGCGCAGTGGAAGGCTCTTACGATTTTCAAAGCGTAAGCTGTAGAGGCATTTTAGAGACGGGAAAGGAAAAAAAAAATGGAGTGACTATATAACCAGATTAGCTAGTCTAAAGAACCGCGACTCCAGCCCGTCTGAAGGCGTTCACTTGTGGAAAATCTTGGTTAAAGAAAGAAGATACTTTTAAAGGCCCAGCTAAAGAATATGGCTTTGTTAACTAACGAACATCAATCGGATGTTGATCTCAGATGTTGATCTCAGATGGTGATCTCAGATGGTGATCTCAGATGGTGATCTCAGATGTTGATCTCAGATATTGATTTCAGATATTAATCTCAGATATTGAACTCAGATATTAAACTCAGATATCCATTCTTCACTAAGAGAAGCAGATTCTCCATTCTCATTATGGTAGACGTTTCTGACATAAATACCGACATCGGAAATGGACCCATAGGCTATAAGGAAGAAAAGATTTACCTAATAAACGTTTTAAGGCACCCTTCACGCATCAAATCTCAATTAGATTAATTATCTAAGAACCAAGGGTTAGCTGATACAAGCTCTGGCCACCGATAAGCTGGCATATAGAGTTGGAATGAAAACCATACTTGTGTAAAAACTCAAAAGAGTTAAAACTAGCTAGAACTCACAAATCTATCAGTCTATACAATGGTAATTATTGAAAATATTCGCCTTCTGCACCACCAACCAATAGTTACGTGCGTTGAGGAGTTTAGTCAGCGAAACTAAAAGGAGCGGCACGCGTTAAAACTCCACACCTATCTATGAGGAGAATTGCGCAGACTACACACAACATGACGTACCGGGTCCTTAGATCTGATATTCCCAGGAAGCAGTATGTGAAGGTTAAAATGACCACTGAAGGTTTAGCAACCGAACATTCCATTACCGTGAAATGCGAGCTTCCGGACACAATCCCCAAATCAAGTGTCCTGAACGTCAAACCAGAAGATGTTTCCATCCTGGAATTCAAGCCTGAAGATGCGATTCTCAAAATCAAACTTGAAGATACTGCTATACCAGGGCTAAAGACAGAAAATGCTCCCCCAGGAGTCAAGCCCGAAGACGAAAATTTTGCCATACAAGAAGCTCTTGCGGCAGCCAAGGTGCTTAAACCCTCCACCCTGGTAAAGACGGCTGAGAAGAAACTCAAAACAGAAGATACCAAAGCAAAACGGAGAAAAACCCAGGCAAACGAAACAAAAGGGTCTGGAACGTGCCCTCCGCATTGGGAAGAGATCTACAGTCACGTTTCAGCGATGCGGAGCAAAATCGTCGCTCCGGTCGACACGATGGGATGTGAACGGCTCCCTGAGAGAGTTGCGGGGAAAACCACACCGCGCAACTTCCGGTTCCAGCTCTTAATCTCGCTCATGATGTCTTCCCAAACCAAGGATGAGGTTAATTACCAGGCGATGCTCAGCTTGCACGAGGGGCTTATTCTGAGGGGGTTCAAGGAGGGTCTTACCCTCGAGGCCATTTTGGCCACAGAGGAGCGGGATATTGATGCGATGATTAGAAAGGTTGGTTTTCACAACCGCAAGGCGTTGTATATCAAAAAAACCAGCGTGCTCTTGCGCGATAACTTCAATAGTGATATCCCCAAGACCATCGAGGAGATTGTTTCGCTTCCGGGAGTAGGCCCCAAAATGGGCTTCTTGCTCCTCCAGAGGGCCTGGAACGTTGTCACGGGGATTGGGGTGGACGTCCACGTATTCCGCTTAGCTAACATGTGGCGCTGGGTTCCGCAGATTGCCAGGCCAACCCCTGAGCATACCAGGGTGGAGTTAGAGAAGTGGCTCCCGCGGGATAAGTGGATTGATATCAACCCCTTGCTCGTGGGGTTCGGCCAGACGGTGTGTTTGCCCAAGGGCGCACGCTGCGACCTCTGTTCATTGGCCAGAACCGGCTTGTGCAGCGGCGTGAACCGGAAATTGCTCAATAAGCCAAAGAGTACCACATCAAAGAACAGGGGTGATATTTCGGGTTTGGTCGATATTGAAGATTTGGCGTAGGTGTCGATTAAATAGGAAGTGACATGGATTGGTATGCCTGAAACTACGGACTGAGAATATCCTATACAGGCGGATTATCTGTGATATCGGTAAAAATCTAACACCGTTACAAGCTTGTATATCCCGCTTTAAAGAGTGACCATACGCTTATATAAATATGTATTTGAAAACAGTATTTGTCTTCGTCTGTGACGTCGATGCACTGCTAGATAGTATTTCTAAATGTGTGCCAGGAAGATCAATTAGACTAGGCAAAATTCTTGACAAACTAAAGAGAAACAAGATTGAGAACGTGAGGCTTTGAGCATTTCGAAAGTGCTACAACCAGTATTGGCCAATAGTTGAAACTTTAGAATTCGTGATTTTTAGGTGCCACCTCTAGCTAAACTTTTAGGGCTACCCCTTCGTCAGGTGAAGAGGCCCCTCAATGAACAAATATACGTGTCCCAAGCTAAGACCGCGAATCCAGCTATTTCTGAGGCTTAGAGTCGAGATCTTATGGATACAGACTACTAAATCAGTGGTAGACACACGTAGACATTACACGCTTAAGCCGGATGATTGGTGCCTAACGTCGCTTATTATACAACTTACACTGAAACAAATACGGCACTCACACTTATCATGATCAGATGCCGATGCCAGAACCTAAACGAGCGGTCTCCCTAACGCTCTCCACCGAACTCTCCACGTTATTCGATCTTCTTCCATCCAATGTCGAAAGGCAGTCACTTGTCACTTCCTTGATCAAGGCGTACGAGTTGCACACCAAAGTTGCCCACCTCATCCCCATCAAACCCTGTAATCGCCGTGATTTGGAAAAATTCCACGACCCGGAGTTTGTTGCCTGTTTGCTCAAAAGGCGTGCTAACGGGCCGCCGGTGTGGCGGAAGCTGTACAAAGACAAAATTACGAGCACGAAGGAACGGAAGCAAGTTGGTTTTATCAAACAGCTTGACATAAGTGGCCTGGGATCGAGCGACTCCGAGAGTTCAGATGCCGAGTCGTCCGATAGCGAGGGACCCGGGAGCTCAGACAGCGATGAATCTGGGCTAGACGAGAATCCAGACGAACTATCCAAATTTGGCTTGCTTTACGATTGCCCTGTGTTCCCTCAGATGCTGGAATATGTGCGGTATTTGGCTGGCCTGACGGTATCTACAGCCAGACATTTGTGCCAAACTGCTGGTCCCGTCACACAGAGTGTTGCGATCAACTGGTATGGCGGGAGACACCATGGCAAGAAATCTATCGCTGCTGGCTTCTGCTACGCCAACGACATAGTGCTTGGCATTATGGAGCTCAGAACCAAGTTCCGCAGGGTTGCCTATATCGATCTAGATCTTCACCACGGAGACGGGGTGGAAGCAGCCTTCCAGTTCTCTGACAAAGTGCTCACAATCTCAGTTCACCGCCTTGACATTGGCTTCTACCCCGGAACCGGAGGGGCTGACGTTGAGGGAAAAGGAAAAGGCATGGGATACGCCATGAATATCCCCACGAAACACGGTCTTACCGATGCAAGTTTGAGCAAGATAATCCAGCGTCAGATCACCCCAAAACTCAGAGACTTTCAGCCAGAGTGTCTTGTGATTCAGTGTGGGTGCGACGGCTTGTCAACCGATGAACACCAGGAGTGGAACCTCACGATACAGGGCATGGGTGCTGCAGTACAACATTTATTAGACTTGAACTTGCCCACAATGTTGCTCGGAGGAGGTGGGTACAATCACGTATCCGTGGCTCGGTGTTGGACGTATCTAACGTGCGTGGCGTTGGGGGAGGAGCAAGCTGAGATCAGTCGCACCTGGGACATAATTCCGGAACACGAGTATCTAGATAAGTATGAAGACGACGGATATGTTTTCTGGATTGACGAGAAGAGAAACATGAGGGAGGAAAATATATTATAAGCTGGGCAAGAGTATTTTAATATACTTTAAAACTAAAAATATTTCGTTTAGACAAATTTAACAGGAACGCAAACGTTTGCTTTGAGACCATTGCTCAACACCAAGGCAACGTTGACAAGATACATCCTGTTCATGTTACACATCTGAATAGCATCCAACTTACCCTCAAGGTACATGTCTCGGATACTAGAATCAAATACCACTGATGACTGGATGTGACTGGTCCAGTGACTAGATCCATCATCTTGGGGATAACCTGACCAGATTTCGTGTCCGGGAGCCAAGCTTTCGAACTTAAGACCAAGGATTTTCTCGCGATAAATAGTTAAAGAATCCACGGCGCCCAAATCGTTGTCCAATTCAGTTTTGAAGCTCTGGCATTTAACCGCCTCCACCCGGCTCGTTAACGCTTTGAATCCACTCTTAATTTTCTCGAGGTAAACTCCCTCAAAATCATTGAGTAAGCAGTGGTCGATCTTAAAAGGAATTACTCCAAGAGACTGCGATTCCAAAATTTCTAGTGAAACAGACATCGACTTGATTGCAGGATGTGGTCCCTGCCGTTTTGAACTGAAAGGAGGAATATACTGTAGTTCCAAGTTCAATGGAACCGCCATAAAACTTCCCAGAAAACTATCCGAAAGCCGGATTTCCATTTGATTGACCCTATCGATCGAAGCTAGAAGCACCCCGCTGCTGGAGCCTCCAAACACACTCTTCTTTGTACAACGGCCGATCGATTCGTACCTCCCGGGCGATGCCTGAGAACTCAGGCAGCATGCTAGCTTCAACTTAGTGCACAAGCTTGAGTATTGCATCTTTGTGGCGGCTTCAATCTTTGAGGTCTCTGCTACTTCGAGTTTTTCGATGCTTTCAAGTTTTGTTAAGAATTGTTGCCTGTAGGTATCTGAATCGGGCATAAGACTTTCCAGGTCAACCGGAAAGGAGAATTGTGGCACGAAACGGAAGGGCCTGTCCTGCAGGGCCGAAACGTGGAATCCATACTTTAACGACTTTACAATCAAACTTGCCAGAACAGAATATTTCACCTCTGAGAATTTTTTGAGAGTCGTCGGGGGTAAAGTAAAGTGGGAAGCGATTCCATGTTCACAGGTGTCTTCGAGTAAAGAATACGGAAGTTGGAACACAAAGAACTTTCTATACTTGGAACGGGGCTGTAAGATGTGATCTGAGGGAAGTCCAATTTTAGAATCTGCGCTTAAGTGGTACTTTTCGGACAATAACTCAAAATCAACATCCACATAGTTGTCAACACCCGTACCCGAAGATGAAGCCACGAGATCGATTAAATGTAAGAACCGTTTTGGCCGATTGTGGTTAAGTTTGAGTAAGCCCATGAGGGACACGGAGAGCGCCTTGAATGGTACTTCAACACTGCCTTTATTCTCAACGTCCACATACCCAGTGATGACTTCCCCATTGGTGTAGGGTAATATTTCAAATTTTTCCGAGGTGGGCTTTGGGAAAATGCGAAGTACTAGATTAACTGTTGGATTCCAGATTCTGCGAATCAGTTGCACTTCGTAAAGGAGCTCAAAAAGAGAGTTTTTCTCAAAATACGGAGGGGCAAGCGGCGAGACCTGTGGGGATGAAGTATCATCAATCGGGTATTCAGGGAGGATAGTTGTGCCATTCAGGACACAGGAGATAGAAATAGGTGTGCTCATACGCTGAGAATATGTCATTTTGGTTAACTTGTCCGGTAAATGCTTTATATAAAAACGTCAGTCATACTGCCCAGGTTGAAAAAGGAACAGCTGGGGGATATAATATATATCTTAAGCAAAATGAATTTTGCGACGATTGGAAATTGCTTATAAATTAAATGTGTGGCATCCAGATAATAGGGTACGCGTCATGTAGTGATTATTAATGCAGCTGTTGAATAATTATACTCTCGCTAGAAGGGATTGGCTCTGAACCACCGATATAATTATTTTGCCGTTCCCAAAATAATATTTTATTACTCTGACATCATACGTGCGCCAAGAGGATTAACTACAGGTTTAGTTGATTGCGTTGTCCAAGTGTGACTTACTCAGCCGTAACCCATTACAAGATGCGTCCGATTTTATTCTTGATAACTCTAACCAATCCGCTGAGTGTAGAATGCCTCCAAGCATGTTTGAATATTGGCTAGAAGCGGGTACAGTTACGCATTGATAAGTGGGAATTAGTTCATTGAGGACACGGCTGATGTGGTTTACAGATCTATAGTTGCGGTGGCAATCACGCGGTTTGATGATATTGCTTACTAATGCACCTTGGGGATGCATATACTCTGTGCTTAAACCCTGGCGTTCAAATTTAGTGCCACGTCCTACAAAGTTTAAACTCCGTCACAGCCACATACAGGGCGGTTTTAGATCAGTTGGGTCTCGAATGGGTGACGCATGCAATGAAGCTGGATGACTCAGAAATACAGAGCTAGCCGTATACCAGCCGTATGCTGACTGGTTTGAGCGTTGGAAGAGACATACGTTTTTCTGACTGTCAAGTTACTGAATTACGTGGAATATTGATGGTGGAAAATAACAGATATTATTTTTTATTGATGAATATTGCGTGTTATAACGGGCAGATGCTAATCAGTAAATGCTAGTCAGAGGTAAACATACTTTAACCCTTCAAAGGCGGGGAGTTGCATTACTGACGCACGTGATCTGATGCACATTTCGTGCATTTTGTCTGGAATTACATTGTTTTGGCGACTTTCAAAATACAACGGGAAAACTAAATGGATGATTGTCATAAAAAAAAAAAAAAAAAAAAAAAAAAAAAAAACAACCGACAATTGGAAATCACCAAGCACAAATACAGCAGGCCATAAGAGAGAAAAACACCAATTAGGCAAATCTAAAAGGTCCGCTCACTTCAAAGCAACGTCCACTATTAAAAGTCATGCTGACGTCCAAAACATATATCTGGCTCATGCAACACGACAGAAAATATTTTAGGTTTCCATTTTGATACAAGTTCTGCACCTCAGAATGAAGTACCGACATCTTGATACCTACTATCCAGAGATTGGTTCCGTCATCCTGGAGATCTCCGGACCATACTTTATCAGGAACGGTGCCCCCGAAAGAAAGGTCGAAAATATTATCACAGTGAAGCGAAAGGGAGCTGGCCACACAGAGCATGTTATTCAAGCGGGTTTTCATATATTGGCACACAGTCAGATCAACCCTTTTCAACGGTTTGAGCCCATTCTTAATCCGTTTAAGGTGCGTTCCATAGCAATCGTTGATCAACTAGTTCTCCATTTCGAAAGGAATCGTGGTATCTGACTAGAACTCTAAAAGAAAAAACTAAATTGAAATGGATTCAAGCGCTGGATGAGTTCTGCTTTGGCTGGAGACGGGGATAAACTTTACCTCAAAATTCAATGGAATTGCAGTCTCACCGCTCAAATCCATGCTCAGCTTACCCTGCCAGGATCATGGCTAAAATATTCCCTAGCTTTATAACGCGCCGGAAACTCCAAGGCCTCAGAAGATTCATTAAAACACTAGAAAAATTACAGAGATAAGTATTGACTAACTGAAAGGGTTCACTCACGGGCTACACACGCAATTCGAATTTGCGCAAGGACCGTATTATCCAATACTAAATAGGCTTGGTGGTTTCTTGTACCTTTACCCATATAATAGCTTTTATCGTAAACCAAATTTACAACTCTAAGGTTTCATTAGACATGTTGAAATAACCATAGGTACAGACGAAAAAAAAAGTTCAAACAAAGCTGACCGGAACACACACATTAGCATGATGCCCGTTACTTAAAACCAAATTCAAGTTTACGAGATACATCTGAGTCATGCAACAAGTTTGCATAATCTTTAACTTTCCTTGGTGATGCAAATTGTGAGTAGCAGAACCAAACTTCACCACAGCCGTCAAACAGCATGTCCATTGGTTGGAACCGTCCTCCTGACGGTAGCCCGACCAGATTTCCTTGCCGGGGATCACGGAATCCACCTCGAGATCGATAATTTTGACCCGGTAAAGTTGCAACGAATTAATAGCAACTAAATCAACGTTGAAAGTGTCTTTGAGTGACTCGTTCGAGATCATGTCGACTCGCCGTTGGAAAGACTGAAATCCCCGTTTCATCTTCTCGAGGTAGGATCCATCAAAATCATTAATCAACTGGTTACACATTTGAAACGGAATCGGGGCTTCAGACTGACATTCGAGCATTTCCAAAGAGGCTGAGAAAGATCTGATCATTGGATGAATGTTGTTCTGTTTGGAAGAGGGGGCAGGGATGTACTTTATTTCAACGTTCAAAGAAGCCGAAGCATCGCCCATGAGTCTACTCAGAAGCTGAATTTCCATCTGGCGGGTCATGTCAGTAGCCACTATAAGTAGCCCACCATCACAACTCCCAAAAATTGCCTTTTTCGCCGATAGACGACTGACTGCCTTGAACCTTTCGAGTGGAGAACGCGAGAGACAACTACCAGACTTCAGTTTGTTACACAATGCGAAAGGATAAGACTTTTCGTGCGAGTCAACAAGCGGTTCTGGGGGAAGGTTAAGCAGCAGTTTCTCGATTTTATCAATAGTTCCTGCAAAATTCCGTTTAAACCCCTCAATCTCTGGTAAAAGGCTTGCCTGATCGGTCAACGGAAAGGCAAACTGTTGAAAAAAGTCGAACGAAGCTTCTTGGAATGCAGCAATGTGAAAACCATACTTTAAGGTTTTCACAATCAAGTTTGCCTGAATAGAATATCCAACCAGTGAGAATCTTGAATCAGTGGTTGAAGGCAAGGCAAAGTGTGAAGCAACTCCATGAGAACATGTATCTTCCAATAGCGAGTATGGGAGCTGGAATACAAAAAACTTTCTGTGTTTGGAGCGGGGCTGCAAAATCCGGTCAGGAGGGATGCCGGTTTGGTACTCCTTGCTCAACCTGTGCTTCTTAGCTAGGAGACCGAAATCTAAATCCACATAGTTGTCCACATCCTTACAGGAGGATGAAGCGACTAGATCGATCAAATGCAAAAATCGCCTTGGTTTGACGCTTCCCGAGAATTTGAGCAATCCCGAAAGAGTAACGGAGAGGGCCTTGATTGGTACCTCTGCGCCGCTTAAGTTGTCAATATCCACATACCCGGAGATGATATCACCATTTGTGTAGACAGAGGAACTATCCGGTTGAGAAAGGTTGGGAAAGGTGTTAATGGAAAGGCTAATATTCTTGTTGATGATTTTTCGAACCAGATCTAACTTGTATAGAACTTCGAATAGAGATTGTTTTGCAAAGTATGGTGGTGGGGATTGGGGCGTATTTTCAGGAGAACTTTCAAGTGGGTACACTGGTGGAGGAATTTTATTGCTGGGGGTTTCTGAGTCCAACATTGGTTTCAGATTGTGTATGTGTGGCATTTGTGCAAAGGTTGTACCAGTATAATAAATTTTAAAGGTAACAGGAATTCAGTGGAATATTATACTGAGAAATTATTTCCGTTTACACGGCATGCCAATGATTCATATTGCAGGGTAGATCCGGAATGTAATGCAGAGTGCAGTTAAGATATTAGCTACTGGTTCCTTCCCTTTGACCATTAAATATTACTTTATCTAACGATAATGCTCACTCGTTATCACCGAGATGCATAATGGATGGGTGTAATATCTGTACTATGACCCACCAGGGTGCCATAAAGAGGCTGATGATTCGAACTTCCAGAACACAGAATATCACATGGTCATACCCTGAATGCATTAATCAGCTTGTGGAAAAGCAATTTGTGCAAATTGAGGCGTCATCACGGGCTCACTATATACACTCGGCCAGGCTATCACCTGGTCATTACTAGATTTAGCATCCAAGCATTGAATTATGATAGGGTCCTGTGAGTCAGGTTTGCCTTCCGTAGACGCGGCACCAACTATGAACTTTAACTTTTTACTGAATAACCGAATATTATGCAACAATTATCGCAGGGATGATTCGCACCGCCGTCTCCATATGTAGGGTATGCATGATGCATTAGATATCTGGGTGGCAAATGCTAGTTTGTATACTGGAACATACTAGCACTTTCCCAGTGGTAGAATCATGCATAGACCTCCATCATAGGTATGACGCAGAAAGACCGAACCAGACAGGAAACCGTTATTATTTTGCATATGAGTTAATGGACTTCTACAGCTAGATATTTGGTATTAAACACGCAGCCCTTAAGTCTTACTAACAGTTTGGCTACCAGTAAAACAAGGAAACGCACCGATAGGTTCTGCTTCTACTTTTAGACTGTACATCGCCAAGGCGGCTGCGCCGGCTGGGCTCTAGAATGACCGACCAGCGCGATTTGTGGGTGAATCGAGAACTACCGAAACATCATCCGACAAAGAGAAGATCCTTTAAGGCTTAGACCATTCCGCATTTATCCTTAACCAATAATAGCCGAGTTAAGGGACTCTTTGGAGAAAAATGCCGTGCCTTCCGATCTCAACGTGGATTGCTCTCTTAAATCTGAAATGGACCTGTTTCACACCAGCTTTGACGCATAAAAAAAAGTCAATGGCTCTGTGGATTATGCTTCTCAGTAATCGTTGCAATAGATTCGATAAAACGATGGTGGCAACCCGCGTGTGTTCCCTTGGCAAGTCATATCCCGACTCGAGAGGGCTTGAAACCGTTACCATAGAGTGACTCACATGCAACGCATTAGCTGCAGTCTTTGAAGCACCTGCATGACATGCAAGTTTTATAAGGTACGTTCATCCATGATTTCTAGTAACAAATGTATAGGAACAGGTTTTCTTGTAATATTCCCTTCATGCTATTGATAATTTCAGGCCTACTCAGTCGTGGTGTACTCTTGGGCAATGCAGTTGAGGTACAACGGTGAACCTGGCTGGGCAATTTCAATATCCCGCAACTGTTTCACCTTCTTCCACGACACATACAAATTATACACATCCTTTGCAACCACCACGACACAACACCCCACCAAGTTTCGTACCCAAAGGGCGTCGTCTGGCGTGACGGCGAAGCGGTTGCTAAGCTCTCGGGCATAAGCTAACTTCGATAGAACTTTAGTGCCAAGATATTGCCCTACGACAGGCCACACAATGGTGGTGGTGAAAAAAGTCAAGTACTGCGACAGGAAAATGCTGAACGTGCCACTGAAATCCGTCTTCCAGCACGCTTGGATCTCCCTTCTACGGCGGTGTCGCCTAATCATCCGCTTTTCGGCCCCAGGACCATCTTTAAAGACATTCAAGGCGCGTATTACGCTCATGAGCATGGCCACAACCCCGGATTTTTTCTCAGACGAAGGAGTCTTGATCCTCAAAGCCTCTTGCTCCTGATAGATTTCTTGTTCCCGCTCACTCTCGCGTTCCATCTCCACCAAGGTTTCGGGATCGAAGCGGTCAGCCAAGAAACATGGCTTCACGGACCTCACCCACCTGTAGTAGAGCCTGTTGAAGGTCATTTTAAACAACAAGTCGTAAAGTCTCCGGATGATAGTGATCTGAAGTAGCATGTTTCTCGGGTCTCCACTGTTGACCCTCACCAAGGCATTCAAAATTTCATTGGCGCTGTCAAAATAAAAGAAGGGATACGCCTCTCTGAGAAGCTGTGTCAAACCCATTCCACCCGAATCGTAGCTTCGCAAGGAAAGAACGTACAATGGCAAAGTTGTAACTAAAAAAATCTTCCTCATCGGCACAAGGTTCTTTTCAATCGCCTTGCTGAGGGTTCGGACCCCTAAGGCGCTGACCCCCAAAAGCTTTAGCTGCACGCTCGGAGGAGCCAAACTGTCCATAATTCGGTAGCCCGAGGCGGTGAGGAACCCAAACGCAAAAAGCCCCAACCCGGTAAGCACGGAGGCCCCAAAAGTGCCGAACAACGAGAGGCGCACCGCCTGTTTCACCAGAAGACCGAGCGCTTCCTGCGCGAGAAGGAAGGAGCTGGCTTTGGTGGCAAGGAAAATGGGTTCCTTGCACTGTGGGCAATGACTTTCGATAACATACTTCCACTGAGACGAGCGTCGGTGGCTAGGAGACAAAAACGGCCCAGGGCTCACGGCTCGTCTCTGGATCGTGATGTCCCCTCCCAAACCCGAGATGATGCGGTTGATGGTTTCGCTGGTGGTGATGTTCAACAAAAATTCGCGGTTTCCCCAGCCAGCATTGTTCGGGAGCCTGACATGGTTATCAAATGAGGAAGTGATGTCTGTAGAGTTAATCCAGTCTAGCAAGCATCTTCGATGGGCCTGGAGCGAACAGTGACACGGCTGGACAAAGGTCCTATCTTCTTCGCGGACGCTAAGCGGTGGTCTTTCGTTTTCATCTGAAGGGTTAGTAGGTGAAGTTTGGTATATACTGCGGAATACGTACCCCCAAGACAAATCCAACACTTTTTATGATCGTCATCCGTGTGTTGGGCCGAGTGTGCCTCGATAGGTGTTGAGTCGGTAGACATTGAATGTGACGGGATGGGGGATTACTAGTTATTCCAGGTTCCAAGGTATAATTGTTGGTAGGGATCTAAAGGAATTGCCAGACAGCACCCAGATGAGCTTTGGGGGCAACCGAAAGTAGCAGGGAGAACCGCGTGATGCCAGGTACCGTGCAGGATATGGGCCACAGGATATACAAATAGAGGCTCAAGTGAATCAACACAAGACAACGAATTACAACGCTACAGGTCGTAAAGGATTTTATATATACACCTAGAGGTGGAAAAAGAAAACAAAAAGAAACAAAAAGAAACAATACAAAAAGAAACAGAAAATGTGAGATTGCGCGACGAAAGAAATGTAGGCCAGACGAATCATTAAACAAAGGGGAAACCCCCAAGAAGTAAAGAACAGCAAATTAAATGAGACATAAACCCGATTAGTGTACAGGAGAAAGGGGATCTTTCAGCGGGGGAATCGACTGGAAGAACAGGCTAAACCTTTCTAGAGCCAGACTTGAAGTCCGGCTTGTAGTTGCCCTTGGAGGTGTCCCTGGCCTTCTTAAAGCTGAACTGGGAGATTAACGGGATATGGTCCGACGGGAAGTGTGCATTCGGAAACCCGATAATATTCTTGAGGTAGGCCGGGTCGATCTTGCCCAACAAACCCTTGACAGACAAGGTGGTGGTGGAGTACCAGATGTAGTCAATGACGTCGGTGAAGCTGGGGGTCAAGTTGGTGAAGGGCAACTCGCCGATGCTATCATAGGCGGAGCGCAAGCTGAACTGGTGGTGAAAGCCCTCATCGGTAAATTTCCCGTAGTCTCTGCCGTCCGTGTCGAGATGCTTGGAAACAGAGCCTTGGGAGAACAACTCGTAAACGGCGCTGTCCACGTCCGAGTTGAAGTCACCGCAAATGATCAACGGATAGTTCTTGACGGAGTCGTTCGGCCCGTGGACATGGTTGTACTTCTTGACCAAGCCGGTCAACTCCTCCAAAAGCACCGCCACCTGCACGGTCTTGACATCGTTGAACTTTGGATCCCAGTGCAAGTGCGTGCAGGCGACAACAATCTTGTTTCCGGTGTCGATGTGTCTCAAGAGCGTGACCAAGGCGATGTTGTCCTTGTTCATGAACCTGTTAAACACATCGTCCGTCTTCTTGTACTTGTCTTGGCCCAAGACGGCGCCCGTGTATTCGATGTTCTTTTTCTCCAACAAGTCAAACTTCTTCCATTTGTAGAAGGTGGCACACCCGTCTACCTTCTTCGAGTCCTTCTCACTCATGGTCTTGGCACGCGTCTTGCAGTAGAAGACGCCGCGGTAGCCATGCTCGGCGAAAAGCGGGCTCCAGAAGTCCTCAAACATCTTAGTCTCCACCTCATAGAGACACAAAACGTCGCTGTCGAAGCCGAGGATCTGCTGGCGCAACTGCTCGCGGCGATAGTTCCACTCCAACGCCCACAGCGGCGTGTACTTGTACATCTTGGGCGTCGCGTAGTGGTGACACAACGTGTTGTACGACATTAACGTAAACGAGGCCAGTTTCTTGTCGGAGTCGGCCACTGCACGGGCATACTCATCCTGGTCGGTAATTGGCTCGCCGTCGTCATGCAACAAGATCCACTCACGCTCCTTTGGCGGCGCGCACTCGGGAGCATTGTCACGTAAGTGGAGAATTAGTCTGGCGGTGCCGCGTTCGGCCAAGAGCTTGGCGGTGTCCAAGTCCAAGGGATTGCCCTCAATCCCTAAAAATTCCAACTTGAACAAGTTGCCGAACTCGAACGGAATCTGGTTGATCTGGTTGTCAAACAAGTAGAGATATTTCAATCTGAACAACGTACCCATCTCGGCCGGAAGCGTGCTGATCTGGTTGTTCGACAAGTCCAACACACTCAAGTTCTTTAACTTGGACACCGCCTCGGGGATCGCGGTGAGCTTGTTGTTGCAGAGGTATAAACGGGTGAGGAAGGAGTACCGGAAGAGGTTAGGGCTCAAGCTCATTACACCCTGGCCCCCCAAGTCCAAACCCGACCACAATTGCTTCTGGTCGTACTGCTGCTTCAAGGCTTCCTCCTCGTGCTCCTCGTCGTCAATCACCAGCTTTTTGTTCTGAAGCAACGGGTTCGCCGACTGGGCCTGCTTTTCGCCATCATCAGCAGTCGTGAGCAAGCCCTTGGTGACATCCACGAGCGTAGTGGGCTTGGCCGTTGTGTCCGTGCCCATGAAGCCCTTCTTGCGCGCCGAGGCGGCCGATTGTCTGGCATAAAAGTGTGGCTGCTGGCTAGTTTTGCGCGAGAACTGAGCCAACTGCATTTGGTTTTGCCAATAAACGGTAGCCAGAAGGGATGGCCCGAGGTTTATTGATGTGGCTTGACTCAAGAGTGGCTCGGGCATCTCCTGAGTCTGGTTTCTGTATTGGCCCTGGTACAAGGTCTGTGCTAAGAGCGTCGACGGGTTCATTTCACTATAAGACTCTTGCAGTTGTTGTTGCTGTTGCTGTTGTTGCAGTAACAAGTACTGCTGCTGTTGCAAGGGCGGGCCTTGCGCCAGCTGTTGGTATTTGGCGGCAAGATTCATATAATAATGTAGACTTCCTAACAATCCATTGGATCCACGAAGGAAAGGTAGAGAAAGGAAGGGATCTGTACTCTGGATAGGCTCAAAAGATGGATGAATAAGCTCTGTGGAGTAAAACTGGAGAATCTACCAATAACGCGACGGCAATGGCAATTCTTCGGGTGTAGTTTCGATAACAGCCAGAATCAAGGAAAAGATAAACGGTTGGGTCGCAACCAGGGGTCGTTAGCAATATATGTTTGTGCTGTCGCAGTAATTAGAAGGCAACTAGTGTTGATGGATCAAGATTGATTGTGGGGGGTAGCAATAGGTGAGTTTAAACGCCGAAGCAAGAGCGTGCTGATAATCGAGAAAAGTGAGCGCGAGTTTTTTTCCCGGAGCCTTTTGAGATTTGTGTGCGTGCTGATATTGATAAGCGAGAATCAGAAGCAATGGGGGATTTTATTATAAAATTACGCCACGCCAGAGTTTAAGGTTAATCTCAGTTTATTGAGGAAGAAATCTGTTGATGAATCTTATACATGTGTGAGTATGGGGGCCTTATCAGAGGCTGGATGGGTGACACAGACGACGCAAACTCGACGAAGGAGGTAACACGTGATGGATCATGTGATAAGTGCGTCGACGCCATGACGTAGAGGAACACGTAACTGGTGAGAGATGGGTAGATACCAAGAGGAGTAGTGAACGATTATTCTGCGAAAAGGACTGTAGCTGTCAATTTCTACAAGGATAGAGTTTTATGAGAGTTTTATTCTCAAACCCAGCTCTATGATCCAACTTGGCTGTTTCCTGTCGCTGCTCGAAGTATTTTTCCAAGCAGTCGTGTTCCCGTAAGCTGTACGCCTCATCCTACTGGCATTAAACTGTACAAGTGGGATAAAGCAGAGGGTTTAAAATATGGTCAAATCACCGTATGGATTTAAGTTATGGTGGTATAATGCTAAATTGAGTAGACTATGAAGCATTGGAAGTTATACCAGAGTGTTATATCCAGACCTATGATCTGTTTGCGGTTGGATCCAGTGACGAGAGGAGGTTATCGATAAGTATCACAACCAATTCGCGCGGTAATCGGTCTGGTATATCAGGCAAGGATTTTAACCTGTTCCTTCCCCCGATTTCGTCACCGGGAAAACTCTATCTAATGATTAATCCCCTACAATGTCCCTTATTAAAATATTATATTGAACGGAATATATAGAGGGGTGTTTATTTGGCGGCCAACAATTGGGTGAACTCGACGATGTCGATTTCGCCGTCGTTATCAGCGTCAGCCTCTCTGATCATCTCGTCAACCTCGGCGTCGGTCAACTTTTCACCGATAGAGGTCAAGACGTGTCTCAACTCGGCGGCGCTGATCTTACCATCACCATTTCTGTCAAAGACCTTGAACGCTTCAGCGATCTCGGCCTCGGAATCCGTGTCCTTCATCTTTCTGGCCATCATGGTCAAGAACTCTGGGAAGTCAATATTGCCGTCGTTGTTGATATCAACCTCGTTGACCAAGTCCTTCAACTCGCTCTCGGAAGGATTCTGACCCAAGGATCTCATGACAGTACCCAACTCTTTGGTAGTGATCTTGCCGTCGTTGTCCTTGTCAAACAAGGAGAAGGCTTCCTTGAATTCGGTGATTTGTTCTTCGGAGAGTTTATCAGCCTAAAGGTTAGTATCTTTAAATTGTAGTCCTATGGGATGGATAACGAGGTTCATCACATGAGGTAGTTTTTACCGTCATACCGAATTCAGCTATAGGCTAATCTTGTAGTCCCAGTTTGCATGAATCCCTGAGATTGCTATTGCTATCATCGCTCTCCATTTCAGTTCCCCGTCCCAGATAATTCAACTATCCCAGTTTATTTATTTTTTAAAATAACCATAAAGGGTACATACCATTGTGTGTTGTGTAATAGTGGTATCACTAATGAGGGAGGCCCTATGACTCCACCAGTTTACGTGTTTTGATCTCTCAGCCGCGATGTATTTTCGGAATGTGGCCTTTACGGTTGCGACACGATTGTACAGCCTTGGGCATAAACACCGCCCGCTCTGATGCTTTTATGCGGCTGCGGCGCAAGCTCAGCATCCGGACAGATCCGACGCTAAATTTAAACAATAAGAAAACCTTTAGGGGCGGCGTAATTTTAAAAGCCAATTGGATCGTACGAACTGGTCAAAGAGGATACATCATTTAGTAGCGAAGATAGCGTGCTGAACTTCGGCAGATGGCTATGGCAGGAACGTTAGACAAGGAAATCTGAAAGCCCTATCTTCGGGGCATACTCTGAGGCTTATAGTCCATGTGTAGTTGGCGTTTATCAGATAAATACATAGGATATGCCTTAGCTTGGGGTTTGCGAGTATTGCTGTGTTGCATTTTGGAGATACTTTTAGTTGTTTTTTTTCGATGTTTAGAAAGCCCAGTTAGCGATAAAGGTTCAAAACATGTGCATTTCTATCTAAGAGCTCCATTTGCAATGCAAGGTGACTCAAACTGGGAAAGCTCGCGGATATTGACCTTGTTGTAATAGTATACATTTGGGGACAAGAAATGGCCATCTACAGTAACAAAAATGGTGACCTCGACGAATGCAAGGTGTGATATCGATATATGTACATGTTTCTGTCATACTCCAGGGACAAAGTTTATCATTCAAAGAAGAAGAGGGTTCCCGGATTATATATATCAGTTTTTTTATACCGAAAGTGGCAGAAGTGTTTCAGTTCGTATTTGAGTCCTAGACCCCAGTCACAACATCCTGAGAGGGTGTAATAGCCTTAAATAAACCACGTCATCAGTCCTGTACTCCAAATGATAACATTCAGTTAATACTAGTCATAAATCCTTTTAAACCCCTTTATCCCGTAGTCTACTTCTCCCACCCTCATTGAAATCCGAATCTCTGCTGGCACCAGTTACTACCATGCTCAAAGTACTCCTTCTTCGACACCTTAACCTGCTCGAACCCATCCTGACTGACAAACTCATTCATGGACCACCAGCCATATGTGTCGGTGTCCACGCCCTTAGTTTTACCCACAGCCACTCTTACGCTCCATTCCTGGGGCAACTCCTTCTTCAACTCAGACTCGAGTCGACTACGTAAACCATCCATCTTGACATTTCCTCCGATCAAGATAATGTTAGCAGCGAGCAACGGCTGGAGCAATGGCGGACACAAATGGATTGCATCTAGAATGTGCTTGATAATCCCAGGTTTGTTCAGGATGTTCGCTAGCTCCGGATGAAAGAGCACCTCTGGCACCGCAATCCGCTCGTCCCTTAGCGTAAGAATTTGCCGCTCATCCTCAGTCTGGGTATTATCCGTCACTACGTAGCCCCGGTTGCTGGTCTTAAAGTCCGGTAAGGCATACTGCACAACTTCGCGATTCTTCCGACCTCTGTCGTGGTACTGCTGGACCATTTTTGGGAAATTGGACGCCACAAAACACGTCTCTTCCTTGATGTGATTGACCAACAAAGTCTCTTCCATGAGATTGTAGTGTCGGTAAGAGATCAATTCACGCAAGTATCCGTTGAGGAGTCTTCCACCGATTGCAAACTTTTTTACCCCAGGCCAATAGGTCACCCCGTAGAGCACCGGAACAATCCACGTGCAGTTGAACCCGGAATCAACCACTAGCTGGAAGTTGTCGTAAGGAGCAACATCCAGCGTGTGAGAATCTTCGTCCGGCGTGCTCTGCTGGTTGCCAAAAATCTTCTGGTTCATCGACTGGTTCCACGGAATATAGCTCGCCAACGGCGCGCGGTAGTAATGTTCAAACCCAAACTCCTCAAACACTATCTGGTCCGTGTTGATGCTCAACTGGGGGAGGGTATATGCCGTTTCGCTCAAGACCAAATCGCATTCGCTTGCCTCAACCTCCCCGCAAACCTCTCCCAACGCGTAATCCCAGATTGAGCGCTCCAACTCCCAAGAAGTTAGCTGGCCCTGCTCAAACGGCCGTTTCACAAACAAGTTTGCCTCAGAATGACTGAGAATCTGGCCGTCGATAAGATATTCGCCGGATTTAGACTTGGCAACGCAATTGAGGATCTTCCGGGGGGAAGAAGTGCCCTTTTTGCCGGTTAAGGCATGACCAATCTTGATTTCGTACGAGCCGTTGTCTATAATGATGGTTGGCATGATGTTTGAGGAATAATATACAAGTTGTGTGTGCTATCTTTGGGTGAATAGATGTAAATATGGACAGCTGTGCTATTTTTTAAGGACCAAGTGGGATGTTGGTATTGGCTTGAAGTCCAAAACCTCAGCATCGATGCTTAAATATGGTGTATGCAGGACTTTTCATCGGCTCTTATGAATTAATGGATATTAAACTCTAAACTGATTGTGTGTATAAATATACGATGAAAATAAATCGGATTCTATGACATTTAGTTCGATAGAATAATATTTTCAGGGGTTTGTTTTAAAATGAAAGTAAAATCAATAGCTAGGGAAAGTCAGTGTCGAAAATGTTAACGTATAGGTGTCAAGAACACTTGCGGAAGTAGTAAGGCACGTTAGATGAACTGATTATAATTACAGCTTGGACAAAGCTTAAAACCCGTTATGCTTTTACAAATTCTCTTTAATAACGTATAGCTAACCCAAACACCATCGCATCAACAGCTGGGTCCTAATATACCCCCAACTTCCATTTGTATAATAAATAAACACTCTATTGCACCAATCTCAACTCATTAAACGTCAAGTAGCGGCTCAAAAGCATCCAGCCATACCTGAACCACACCATTTGCGAGTAGTGTCCCCAAGCCATGGCCCCCACCGCCGCTAAGAACATGTTCATTGTGGCGTAAATTTCCACTGGGGCTCCCCCGAGCAAAGTGTCAACCTCAATAGGGCTGAATCTTCGGTTGAAGGCTTGAGCAAGCACAGAGTGCGGCCGGCTGGCTACCAACCTCTTGAACAACTTCCAGTTGGTGATAAGGGTGAAGGAATACTTCTCCCAGACCGAACTGGCGGAGCTGAGCGTGTACAAAGAGGCTGGGGTTTGGGAAACATACACTTTGGCACCCTCAAATAGTGAAACATGGTTCGGGTGACCGGACACCCCACCTTCGTCGAAGGTGATTACCAACGCATCTGAGGTTTTCACAAACAGTCCTAACTCCTCAGCAACCAACTGGGCGTCCCACTCAGCGTCCATTGTATCCATAAATCTCGCTTCGTCATTTACAATCTTCACCACCGGCTGCGGGCGCTGGCTTCCGTACAGAGAAAACAAGATTTGGGTAGACTTTAAGAGCTCCAACTCTCTGGTTGACCCTAAACCAGCGCCATTCCCGGTGGAGAGGCATAGCAAGTTCATAGAGTTGTTGTATTTTGGCAAGGACAACTCCAAGATCGTAGGTCCAAAGAACATCACCTCGTCGTCTGGGTGCGCGATGAGGAAGTAGATGTCTTTATTGGTCAATTCCACGGGGATAGTAGAGAGAGACGGCGAGGAGCCATCGTGCAAATAGCAAAGGAGAGCGTTGGTTAACACGATCCAGGCGAGGCAGGAGACAAACAAGAGCTTGGCAAGGATTCGCACCGGTATTCTCAAAATAGAGTAGGCACACTTGGGGCAAGCCATTGTATTGGTAGGATGTGAAATCTGTGATACGGTGGTCTGTGATGCTGAAGAAAAAAATATGGCCGATAGGCTCAAGCCGCTAGTTACACGGCTAATTCCAGAACAGCATTTTCACCTCCGGCATGCAACCGGAACGATGAAGATGTGGCAGGGAAATCACGTGCTGATTCACGTGCCACTGTAGGACGGAAAAGAAACTGAAGATTAGTAAGATGGAGAGAAATCACACAAAGAGCACCCTTGCGGTTGTCATTTGAAACGACCCTTATAAATTCACACGGTGTCACCCCTATTCTTAAAATAGATACCGCTCGTTATGGCCACACTACGAGACCGCACGTGGGGTGCTCCCCATGGAAAAACATCGTGTGACGAAACTTTTTTCCCTGCATACAAAGAGCCGCATCTCCCCAACGCGGCAACAACTCATGCATGCATATACGGTAGATCGGAGGTGCGTCCAGGTGCTTATAGGAAAAATCCTCTAGGTGCGACCCCGCCACACATGCATTCGACGAGGATGGAACGAGGGCCGGATGCTCCATCAGTCGGTTCTGGGAACATACTGATGGCTAGGGCTGGTATTTTAACGTTAGAAGATTATCAAAAAAGAGCATCACAAGATTATCAAAATTAAGGATTGCGGGCTGCCTTTAACAGGAAGCTAAGAGTTCATGGCATTCCGACTTCTCATTTATCCCGAGTTTTCTTGGATATCCTCTCGAGAGATTAAGTCCGCTCGACATCAAAGCTTAAACCTGTATCGTACGTCCTGCAGAATGCAATATTATTGTCACCACGGTGAATCAATGCAAGCCATATTTCATTCGCTGTAATACATGTACGTTCCCGCAGATACTACAGTTTTCCAGGACCCACCCGGCCATAGGGGCGATAGCTGACCACTGCTTCGTCTTTGAAAATATTTCTGTAGGTGCATAGACTACATACACTCCCGTATAATCAGTATCTGAGACGTACTCGACACAGGCAGGGATAATTACATAGGGCTGTATATCGGATGGTATTGTCATCAATACGTGAATAGGGATAAGGCACAAAAAATCAAAGGATTGCAAGAATTTTCAAGCACAAAACTTGTACTTTTAATGCTTACAAGATTATATGAAGTTTTAACAAGAAAAGATTAATATGATATCGATGTATGTTGCTTTTTCTATAAGGATTTCCACCCCGCCGTTGTAACGTCTTGACAGTGACGTTAGAAACTAAGGTAAATGGCACGGTATGCTAGATGCAAGGGGAACAGAGGTGTCTGTATATAACCATAGATATATGCTGGCCACGTGCTAATTAATTATAATCTCGGGCAGTAAGTCCGAGAGAGACTCGCAGAATATCTTCAGCATAGCAACGTATGCTTCCTTTTCCTGTATTCCTAAAGCGGGCACCAATGCAAATGCCCCCGAACACTCCCCTTTCGTATCACAACAATGCATCATCGTGTTCAAGTCTTTATAGCGCAAAAGCAAAATAGCCGATCCCGTATGGCGTGCCAAACGCACTCCAGTATACTTTCGGGCGAGCTTTCACCCACAGCGATTTCCCAGTTGCAAATACTACACCGGGGGGTAGCCATGTATTTGACTAGTGGTTAGGCATGTCTATTACTAGGCATGAAAGGAAAAACCGGAAGATAGCTACGCAGGACTAGGAAGCCCCTATTGTTGGAGCTGAACTCGCATGGCACAAAAATGACTCGGGCCACCCCCATTGCTACCTCGGCAGGATGATGTTTCCTTAACGGCGGTGCATAGAGCTTCAAGTCTAAGAGGCGCATATCTGAAAAAAGCTGTTAGATGCTCCACCCAAACGCATCTCTAAGTCTGGACATTGCATATTAGATCTACATCTTGCAGCTGTGTCAGAGGGACATACTCCCCAATCTTTGAAATTGCGATTATTAACCTTAACTTTAATTCAACAGGCACGTGTCACACGATCGGTTTGACCAACTACAGGTTTAGGTCAAACTGTATTCTGGGTATACGGATTGCGGGCTTGGGTTGAACGTTGCAAATCACACGGGTGGTATCTGAGAATCTGCCACAAGGTCTCGGCATTCCTTTCACCCGAGAGGAAGCAGCTGCTACAAAAATGAAAGCAGGATTATTGGACGGTTTTATCAAATTATAAACGCACTGTAGAACCTTGAGGCAGTGATATCTAGGCTTCGTACTCCCAAGTCATAGGGGATGTAATTGAGCACTTCAATTATGCCACGCTCCATGCCCCACGTGGGCTGGAAGAGTCCCAAAATGGCCGCACATGCGCACACTTGCATACACCTAGAAGCGACCATACTAAAACTCCCACGCTAAGCCGTCAGAAGCCTGGTTCAAATTCCGCATATTAAGCGTCTTCTATTATACTAGAATTAGACCCAATGCCTATATAAAAACGATGCAACCAATGTGCATCTGTAGGTTTAGGCTAGACGGTGTAGCTAAGGGGAGACTCGCCGAACGTGGATTTTTTTGGTATTTTCTGTGCCAACAACCAGAATCCGCTGATATCCAAGAACAGACCGAGAATACATGTATCTGGGCCCCAGGAAAGGTTGTCACACCCCCACAGCTCGATACCTTTTCGTTATCATTCAATTTGTACTCCCTGAGGCTCACCCTCTTGGCCATAATCGGCTATGACCGGAAGTTGATCTTGTTCCTCACGTGTGCAACCAGTCTGCAAATGCTCTGTTCGCCGCGTATGTGCCGGAGATCGGCCTTCAGGTCTGCATAATGCGTATTACTACGCTGCGCGCATGTCTATTACCATCTGCTGAGATTAGGCACCATGGAAAGGGCTAGGGTCCGAATCATGACTATTGGTGGAATAGCTTGGCCAGGCCGAAGCTTATATATAGCACAGTCCCCCGGGTTCGCCCAGTTGACTCCTTCCACTTTCTCTCCACCATTTCTCCACCCACAGTGCTCGGTATTTGTCTCACCAACATTTAAAACGGTCTGGAATATCATCCAAATATCCCAGATTCAAATTCATCCGAGTCGTCGCTCATACGATTATCTCGAATTTTTCGCGATTCTGGTTTTTGGCGCACCATTTAGTTGGGATTTCACGTGCCAGCCACCTTTTCTTATCATCGAACTTTCACGACTTTTCGTCCTGCATTTTTTTTTCCCCTGCCCTGAGTCCCAAGCTTTAAGTCCGTCTAATCAGCAAGCCTTCCTACAGACCTGTATCCCTATTTCTACACCACTACTCACTAAAATAGCACTCCTTACTTCTCAATACTAAATACATTCCGTGCTTCATTCCACTTTTGACTTCATCTTTCCTCCCTGAGCTGTGTTTGTGTCCCATCTGCTTCTAACCTTTTCTAACCTTTCCTCCTTTCATTCACATACACCTTTGCATTATGAAGTTTGGAAAGAAACTCGAGCAACTATCCGTGCCCGCGTGGAAAAACTACAACATTGACTACAACGACTTGAAACGGCAGATCCGACGCGCGACCGACGCGGACGGCACGGCCCTCCCGCTCCGTGAGCTCCGTGCCGCGTTTGTCGCGCAGATCGACTTTGTCAGCTTGTTTGTTTCGCTGAAACGTGGTGAGTTGGAACGGAAGTTGGTATATTACCAGAACTCTCTCCACTCGCTTCTCCAGATCCCCGCCGCCCACTCCACGCTCCGCAAGAAGAAAATGGTGTATTTGAGTAATGAAATCCACCAATTGTCGGGGGATTTGAAGAACTTGACGCATTTTGTGTTGATCCAAAAGGTGGCGTTGAAGAAGTTGTTTAAAAAGTTTTTGAAACATTATAAGGGAGGTAAGAACTCTGTTGCGACCCCCCAGGATCTAGTTCCAGAAGAGGGCTTGCCTCAAGAGTCTACTCTAAAGGGCATAGGGAAACCGGTAGACGCTCGTGATCCCCTAGAATCTGTCCCTGATGACCAGGATTCCCCCGTTCCTTATACAGACAAAGCCTCCACCCGCTCCGCCCAGAAACTCGTCAATTCCGTCATCCTCTACCTCAATACCCACCCCCAATCGTTTATAACCCTCGACCTCACACCGCTCATTCTTGAGCTCGCCTTCTTCTTTGAGTACCTCTCCAATCCCGATTCCACCACTCAGAACATTGACACCTTCCTCAGCAGCCAGAAGGCCAACAACAACATGACCTTCGATCTCGACTGCACCGTCAAGCACCACTCCCAGGCGGTTTTCGTGGTTGATGGCGATAATCTTCCAGAGCTCCGTCTTAATTTAATGGTCAGTGGAAAGCAGTTCCGACTGGTAAGCGACGAGCTCCAGAGCTTCAAGAGTGAATCGCTAAGGCATTTGACAAAGAAAGATCCCAAGACGCACTCTAGCACCTCTCTCGCCTCATCCTATGCACGCGCACACACAGACTCTGTTCTCTCCTACATCTACCTTACTAATGACAAGAACACGAATGCCTTGGTGATATCCAGCCAGGGAAAGCTGACGTCGCTTGTAATTTCGCCCGTGGGCGGTCTCCGCGGTTATGCTTATTGTGAGCTATCCAATGAACTCCTCAATGCAACGATTTTGTCACCCAAAGCTTCCGCCGAGTTTGTCGTCCAGAGCTTGCAGAAGGCGGGGTGTTACAACGGTTTGGCCAAGATGTCCGTTGACTGGATCTTGGAGAAGGGGTTGCGCCCGCATTACAAGACGCGTATGGCGCGCGCGCGTTTTGTGTACGCGCCGGACGCACGCGCGCAGACGATGAACGTGACGCTCGACACACAGATCCTGGTGTCAGCGCTGAACTTGACAGTGGAGTGGGGCGACGACGATGCGGAAATGTTCAGGTATTCAATGCTCACGGTGCACCATAACGAGAGTGACACGCGCGACAGCTCCCTGGGGCCGCTTCGGGACCCCGCACGCGCGAGTGCTGTGGGCCAGTTTCACCGCGCACTCCATGTGGTTGTGCACGAACTCCCGAAGTTCTCCTGGCCGCTGTACCTTGCGGCAAAGTTCGCTCCGCTGCCCGGGCGCGCCGCGCTCGCCGTCGACTCCGTCAGCTTCAAGCAGGTGAACGAGGATGCGGTCGTGGTGGTTGAGCCGCCGCTCCGCCGCCAGCCGCTGTTCCGGCCACCAGTCTCGCCCCTTGACTCTCCCGTGGGCTCTCCCGGGCCCGCAGCGATTCCGGCGCCCGGCCGCAGCGGCAGCATGTTTGACATGGCGCTGATGGGGCACTCGGAACCTATCGGATACCAGCTGTCCCAGGCAACGACCAACTCACGACCGAAGAAGCAACCTGAAACGAAGGTTCGCTACTGGAACGAGTTCGACGACGGGTCTGAGGATGAAGATGATGGGTTCTATGTCGATGAGGAGTCGAATTTGTTTGGGGTGGGCGAAGCCTCGCCAAGCAAATTCAACCGGATGATTAACTTTTTGATCGAATTTTCCGATACCGTTTCGGGTAGATTAGAAGTGTTGGGAATCAAGCGGGAGCTGCCTCAGGCGACTTCCCCGGCGGTGTCCCCCGGAGAGGCGATACCGCGCGGTAAACACTCCGTAGCGACGGTCGCCACAGCCGACACCCACCGGACAACACTCTCATCATTGATCAGCTCCCGGAGCGTCAGCGAGACGTCAACCTCAGAGGACGAGGGCTACTTTGTGCCGCTGATCAACCACGATTCCAAGTTCCGGACGAGAGACTTTGAGGGTGATTTCGCCGCCGGTCTTGCTTCTGCTCCTACCTCGCCGGGAGGCTATTACGGAGCCTTCGACGACCGAGAGGCGGTTTCCCCGGACTATCCTCGTTATTATTACCAGCAACGCCACGACCAGGTGGTGACGGTGATTTACTTCTTGTGTTTCTTCTTCAGCATTCTTGTCATGGGTGTTTCGTCCGGTGTGATCTACTCGATTGACAGGTCATTGGGCGACACTCCAGGTAGCGGTAATGTTCTACTCATGGCCGTAACGTGTTTCAGCTTGGTGCTCAGTTTTGTCAGTGGGATCGTCGGTGGGACGTTGATCATGATGAGGTTTCATATGGCACCACTCTGGCATCATGCCGTTGTATGGAGCGGGATTGCTACAAACTTCGGGTTTCTCGTCTGGGGGATTGTCCAGGTTGTGAAATGATTGAGATCCGGCGGTTTCAGAGCATCAGGGGTTCGGGTGGTTTAGTTCATTTCCAAATCTCCGTAGTTTTCCTGATCTGCGGGTTTTCAGCCTCCCTGTTTTCTAGTCATTTTCATACCTAAGTAATTTCCTCAGCATTCATTTTTGGCGCTTCAAATTTCCATCAATGTCGACGACAGCTCACTTTCTCAGTGAATATCCTATGATTGTGCTTTGACTTTCCATGTACTGTTAGCGTTTTGATCACTGAAATGGTACGGTTGATTAATGTATTGAGTATATTGATAATACGCATGTTATCGAACATAGATTGATTTTCCGTTTCTTTACTACTCATTTTAAACCATTTCATTTCCGTTTGTTTTTCTTGTATTCCTCCCTTCTTATCGCTTGTCATGGATTCCCTTCGTAGTTCTTATTCTAGTATTACTCCAGTTCTCATGTTTTTGTATTACATCTAGCTGCTGAAATTTGAGCTAGTCTGTCACATGCGATGTAGCCAAACCGCGTAGCCAATCCTTGCGGATTAAGTAGACATTTTACCATTGCTTGTGTATTTCCCCCCAGTCACTAAAGTTAGATCTCTCAATAAGATATCTATATTTTTAGATCCCCGGGAAAACACCACCCAAGCTCTTGTTCCAGTTCTCATCCCATCTGCGTTTACTCTCCGCCATCGCCCCCCGCTTAATTACAGCATAGACCGATCCCGCTCCAGAGCACGCCTTCAATGACTTGCAAAGTCCGCTAGGATCGTCCACAACAAGCCCGTTGACTCCCTCATGAACAAGCTCACCGACCGCCTGGAAATCTAGCGCAACCACCGGAACACCGCATCCAAAAAAGTCCAACACCTTCATAGGCAAGTCGATTCCCAGGGAAGAAGTGTGGAGCGAAACGCCCACATGGGCATGGGAGATCAAAATCGGGTATTCGTGGGCCAGCAACCAAAGACACTTGAACTGGATTTTTTGCTCTGGGAAGGCTAGTCTGGCAATTTCCGCGAGAAACTGTGCTTTGAGCGGACCCTTGCCCGTAACAAGAACCAAAAGAGGGGGTAATTGAGACGTAAAAGGCAGCTCTTCGTTCTTGGTAGACACCCCTCCAGAAGGTGTCAAGTCACCTGATGATATATCTGACGGCTTTTCGGTCCATTCTAACCCATTATCCAGTTGTTTTTTCGTTTCGTCCATTGTTTCATTCTCCATCTCTTTATTATACCTCTCCAACGCTGTCAAGAGAACCCCGAGATCTTCATCCGGGGTAAATGACGTGGAGGTGACAATAATCCGAGGTTCCCTTTCAAACAGAACACCGCTAAACTCCTGTGGAAACCGTTTTGTCAACATCTGGAAATTTGACCCAGATTCCTCTAACGGGGTAAACTGCTCTGCTGGGCGGTCGTATACCACAAGAATCTTGTCCGCTTCCACGGCAAACTCATCCACGAGAAACTTCTTGAGGCTCCTGGTAACGGTTAAATGAACATCCGCGTACCTAGCACAAACCCTTTCGTACCCCTTCATAAGCCTGACCACAGGATGCGCCACGTTCTGATACTTCAAGTTTAATATAGTATAGTTCAAGTTGTGCCAGTCGACGACGATCTGAAAATCGCCCCAACGCACTAAATACTTGTAAACAATCACAACTAATAGCAATGGAAGCGAAGGTGGATTCTGGAGAACGATTGCCTGGGCGTGGCCTAGCCCGAGAAGCATTCTAAACAATCCCACCGTCTGCAGCCCCACCTTTAGGGCGCCAAACACCAAATAAGGCAAGTTACGCGTGTTTTTGACCACGGAAATCTCATGGATATCGATCATCTCGCTATCAATGATATCTAATGGCGGTTGTTCCTCCACGTACCCCAAGAGATCCACGTGGTATCCGCGTGCCGCGAGGCTGCGCGCGTGGTAGCACATCCGTGGCGAGTGCCCCAAATCGCCCAACACACACACAATCACGTCTTCCCCGTGAATTCGGAGGGGGCTATCATCGGAGTGTTTTCTCTGGAGACGGCGTTTTTGATGGGAGTTTCCGGGAAATACGCGTGGGAGAATACCGTAGGCGAGTGCTGGCGTAAGGAGGTAGAGAGCTACGAGCCAGGCTACCCACGGATGAGCAGTGTACCCGTTTTGGAGATAGCTCAAAAGTGACATGATGAAAGGTTGGATTAAACACCTGAATCAGTGGAAAAGAAATGGTGGGCGGTTGTCCTTCAGTAGTGCAACGTGGTAAAAAATTTCAGCCGCAGGGAAGGGATATCCGGGGCAAAAATATCGACAACGGCAGGACTCGAACCTGCGCGGGCAGAGCCCAAAAGATTTCTAATCTTTCGCCTTAACCGCTCGGCCACGTTGCCAGCGAATGAGATGTAGGAAAATAAGATGTGGGAGAATGAGTTTAGTGGCAGATGTCTGGTGATTTCAAGGAGATTGCGATAAAGGTTTGACCGCTGGGTACCATGTGCTCACACAAGTGTTGAAATCTGTCCAAACACATCAACACCATATAATGACAGATATTTTGGTATAATCAAAAACAACTTTACTAGAAGGACCAGCAGTCTATAAAAAGGCATATATGACTCACACTCTAATTACCAGAATTCACGAGTATAGGTACTTCATTTACATATCCAAGGCCTTGTTATCTTACCAAAGGACAAGTAAACTATTATAATCAATCATCATTGATTATTTATTGCCGTGGATGCCAACACTATTCAGCAGCAGGTTGCAAAAAATTAACAAGTCTCTCGATATATAGAAAAGTAGATTGCTATCTTACATAGTTTTGTTCTAGTTAGAAAATGTCCTTTATTTCGGTACCGATATTTTCTCCTCATTCCTCTTTGTCTCCCTTCTCTCTTATAGTGAACAAATGCTATCCTCCATAATCTTGCCTCGTGGCGGCACTGTCGAGTTTCTCAGTTATGCGTCACAAAGACAAGCTGTAATAATAAGTAACATCGACAACACAGTGAGTAGCCTTGGCTGTCTGGCCACCGATACACCGTTGCTCTTCATAGCTTCCACGTACAACGTATCGTTCTGACAGATAAATGATTGATTCGGATGAAGCTTGTAGGTAATCGTATCACTGGTTTTGTTTCCGCATGAAACTGTGATCGTTGGATCTTGTTGCTTATATTGTTTGTTTCCAAAAAAGTTCATTTTCTGGTTAGAACAAAAAATATATAAGATAGCAAGCTACTCTTATATATATATATATAAAGGACTGGCTTCGCAATCAGGCAATTTCCCAGACTTGCAACGCCCTGTGTAGCTACACGGCGCACCTGCGGGCCGAACCCTTATCGCAACCCCCTTGGTCCACTTACATGCACGGCACCAAGCCAGAAACAGAAACAAAGTGTCAACTGCCATATGAGATGGTTCATCTTAGATGACCTATGATCATATCATAGGTCACTCATGTCGAGCTTTAGACCACTTTTTCGCGTTTTTTTTAAGCATTCTGAAATGCTTATCGGTCACAGGACCTTAAGGCTACGAAGCATGTATGTTTCTGGTTATGTTTACCTGCTAGCACTGGATCGGCAAAAGATCCACGCTGTAACGGCCGCTTTACCCACACTTTGATTGTAAAAGAATATTATGGCTCTTTAACGTAAGCTCCAAGAAAGTATGGCGGTGAACCGCGTAGAGTGAAACTGCTATCCGTTTGAGACCAGAAATCGGTGGTGGCATCACACGGCCTTACACGGATCGATCAGAGTATTAGTAAATTTCCTAATGCAAACTTAAAGCTGTCGTCTATATTCAGGGTCATTCACTGCAGTATCAAATAACATGCTCAAGAACCCTGTAAACCCGTCTGTGACACAGCCCGATTTCTGAAATACGAAAATACTTTGCACAAATGCATAGACCTTCTAGACCAAACAGGCTAAGTGTGGTATATCTACGTAGACAATGAGATAACCGGGTATGATTGATTGATTAAATACGAGCTAGATATATAAAGAGGCGGTCAGTCGGTCTTTCTATAAGCCAACAGACATAGCTATGCTAAATCTTAAACTTGTTACAGAGGTTGATACACTATCAGCGTTTCCTGTCCTACAATCTCACGTAGGATGGGGCTCCTGTGGTGCCTTTACTATACGGAGTATTGGTCACTAATAAATCGATACTTCCAGCCTAAAAGCTAAATTGTGAGTCAGTAACTTCGCCTCATACAGATATGAACGCGTCTTCAGTACTTTGTACCAAGCTTTTAGTTACTATCCGTAATGACAAGTGTCTTGTCAAACCAATATCTTCAAATCTTCAATCAACACAAACTACTTAGAGAATCTTCCATGGTACATGAGAGAATGATCGAGTTGAAAGACTCGTGTTTTGGAATCCACCTTAGTCATAACTCTTGTACACGAGGACCAAACAATAATCCATCGTCGAGGTCACAAAATCCAATCCCCAATGGCTTACATTGACAAAAGTATCAAGTAATGTTTTCAGTTGCCTGGAAAATCTAAAACTTAGAACTACGAGAAAAATGGAAATCACTCACAGTACGTATATCTTAGGGCTTATAGAATATCCAACTTGGCGTATCGGCCTCTCTCCCGCATTTACTGATCCTCGCACATTACTCCTTCTTTTCTGTGGCCTATACTCGACAGTCCCGGACCTTTGTTGATCTATATACACAATTGAATCTCTTCCTTCTCTTTCCCTCTCCTCTTTTTCTATTCCTTCTTTTCTCCTTCGATCAGCGGAACTTCCCCATCATCCTCTCTTCTAAACTCTTTTGGAGCGTCCTTCGCATGGTGCCCAATCAACGCCTGCAACTTCTTCGGGATGTCCTCAAACGCCAAATCGTCCGGAGTCAGTGACGCGCTTTCGCCCTTGGCACTCAAGATATCCTCAATGGTGATTTTCTTGTCGCTAAAGATCTTTAAGTGGTCTGCGATCAAGTGTCTGACCTTGCACTGGGGACACTGAATGAGCACAGTGCCGCTGGTGTACGACTGCTTTGACATCACATGCGACGAACGGGTATCGCACTTTTTGCACGTGAACGCAATCATCAAGCTTGGCTTTTCAACCTTCAACTGGCCAACGTGCTTGAAATCGTCCTGGGGGGCGTGGCCGCCGCAGGGCGTACCGTTGTGTGAATGGGTATGGACTGGTTCCTGGTGGTCGTTGCGGGGCGTACCGTTATGCGAATGGGTATGAATAGGTTCCTGGTGATTCCCACTACACGGCTGGCCCCCGTGGGAGTGAGTGTGAGACTGAGAATGGGTAGGAACGGAAATCCGGGCCTTGGAGTCCTCTCTGGCGATGAAACTGCGGCGCAAAGCGGCACTCCTGGAGAGCTGGAAAGAGCGCACCGGAGTAAATCTGACAAGCGGTTTGGTGGAGGCTAAGGCGGTTCTAAACATGGTACAACTAATACTTTTCTGGAGTAGGTGAGTTGATAGTGAGGGATGAGATCCATCGTTATCAGGTGAAAAACCTGAGAGCAATGTCCGGCATGGAAACGTTCTGGAACCTTCGGCAGGCTCCCAACCAAAACTGTACGAAGGTGGGTGGATGAGCAGGCTAGGCGGGATATATAATCGTATTTGTGGAAAATCTAGGTGTGAGTGGTGTAGTTCCTGAAATGATAATACTTTGGCTTTTTCGCGGAATCACAGCTTCCCTTAGTCGCCCCGTGCTTCGGTAAAATCATGTAAACACAGTGTGGGTAGCAAGCACCAGTGCATTTATTATAAGGGTCCCGCCAAAACTGTTCATCCAGTCGGTTGTCTCGGTCTCATGATATTTATTTCCACGTACTCAGTGGCGTAAGATTGGATATAATTAATCAGGGTGTGCTACCTCTTTGTCACATGTGCCGGGCGTGCGGGGTGAATTCCGGGGCCGAGCCGCAGCCCCGCTACTGAAAATGACCCGGAGGTTGGGGAAAGGGCCGCTTAAACTCTTGACAGTCTTCCTTCTTCTTCGGTTACATCTATTCTTATCTTCAAGATTCCTATACCTCCCCTCACCATCAGACCATTTTTATTTCCCAATGGAACTCCAGCGCATTTCCGAGGACTACAAGTTAGCCAAAAAGGGCTTCTTGAGCAAAAACTTTAACAAGGCGTACGACACGCTCTCCAAATACTTTGCAGCGGATGCGAACAGCATGTTTGCGTTATACGAGAAGAAAAGCGTCAACTTGATTCTCCTCAACAACGTGCTCAACCTCTACGCGACAGTTATCAACGAAATTCTCAAGCAGGAAGACACGAACCGCGCGGTGGCGGACTCCGCGCGCGAACGCGTCGCAAGCGGGCGCCTCCTCCGCGAGTACGTCGCAGCGGTGGGCGGCGACTTCGGCCAGGCCAGTCCTGAGATCTTCTACAGCTGCTACCTGATCGAGTATCTCAACGGGTCGGGACCTGACTACTTGACCCGTCTTGCAGACAAGATCGAAAATGAATATTTGTCCAATATCAACGTCGAGATCTATACCGAAGCCTTCTCCAAGCTGTACCAGGCGCACTTACACAAGCTCTTGGAGTTGTATCTCGTGCACGTGTTGCCACGCGCAGCGCGCGAAGAGGGGAATGCAAAGGGGGACGCGTACACGCGTGAATTCATTGAAAACAGCCCGTACATCGCGCGCGACGTGCAGGTGCAGTACACGGAGAAGCTCGCGGCAAAGTACCGCGAGTTGGATGACAAGGAGGCTCGGCGCCAGGAAACCGCTGCGCGCGAACAGGAGGCCGCAAAGCAAAAGGAAGAGGAACAGCGCGCGAAGCAGGCGGTGAAAAAGGAACAGAGTCTCAAGCAGGAACAGATTCGTGCATTAAAAGCGAAGTTGATGGCAGAGAATCACAGCGAAGCGATCTCCGAGGCGGCGCGTAAACACACGGTTCTATCTGAGTCAGCCTCCGGAGCGGAGACGCCGATTCTGGCGCCGGAAAAGAAGCCAAAGAAGACCATGTTGCAAAAGATCATTCTCTCGAACAAGAAGCAGCTCGCGGCGGTGGCACAAGTTGTGCGCGCGCGTATTCCGCAGCTTATCGTCTTACTTGTGCTTGTGCTTCTTGGCAGAACGGTGGCTGGCAGAAAACAAGGCACACCACATGACAGCTTGGCCGTCACTGTGTGGAACAAGGTGGCTGCTACCGCCAAGATGGCGTTTAAGGTGACGTATGTGTAGGCTGTGTCGGCTAGTGCCAGTGTTTATAATCAATCAGCCATTTCAGTGGGGTTGTAGCATCGGGTATTCTCCTTCGAAGACCATCTAGCCTTTTGTAAGCAGTCTTTGGTTGAGAATATTTGGTTGATCATATTCCGGGTCGTACGTATTCGCAGTAAACTCAAGTGGTGTGTCATATCGTCTACGCTATACACATATTTTACGGTAGACCTGGAAAAGGGCCTATCCATGTCAGTATTAATCAATCGATACCTATCAATGTATACGACTTAGTGTAGTTGGTGAGAAGCAGCAGTGCACCTACCGATCGGCACGTGCCATCTCCCATCTCCGTCTTATAGCTCTATCCACGTCTTGGTTAACCAGAAACTTAGACCCAAAGAGCTAGAACTAGTAACAAGACTATAAAATTAGCTTAATTTCGTGCAAAAAAATATGCTCTGACTACGGATGAAAGAAGAAATAGCAGTCCTGCCTCCACATGCCGTGTGCCTACCCACTTCCACGTACATGACCCCTCCACCTCGCAATGAATAGTAGCCACCTATCAACTATCCCATAATTTCTCCCACTTTATACAAAAATATCTCTGGCTCTTTCAATGACAAGTTAACTACCGAGCAAGCAACGTAATATATCCCATTAGACGATACACGAGAAAACCCAGGTTCATCGGTGCTTGGTCGCGTTCCTACCAATATCCACGTGCGCCTCCCTACGCCCACGACATAAAGCAAAACGAACCACCTCTGCTTGTCCCCACACCTCTTCCCCCACCACTCCTACTCACACCCATAAATCCATGTCCACCCCAGAAAATGAACTCTACCCGCTCGCGCTTCTCATGGACGAGTTGAAGCACGAGGATGTGGCAAACCGCGTGAACGCCATGTCGAAGATCGAGACCATTGCGCGCGCATTGGGCGCGGAACGCACCAAGACGGAGCTCTTGCCCTTCCTCACTGACGTCACCCAGGACGACGAAGACGAAGTTTTCTCTGTCCTTGCAGAAAAACTCGCCCTCTTCCCCAAGCTTCTTCCGTCGCAGGCGGATATCCCTGACCTCCTCCCGGTGTGCGAGATTCTTGCCTCCATGGAGGAGCCCATCGTGCGCGACAACGCGATTGCCTCGCTCAACACCATTGCTGAATCAATGACGGATGCCCAGCTCACCTCCAGCTTCGTGGAGATGCTTGACCGCTTATCGAACGGTGATTGGTTTTCCAATCGTGTGGCAGCCTGTGGCTTGTACAAGAGCGTTCTTTTGAAGCTCGAGCCAACGGAAATGCGCAAAAACTTGTTAAACTTGTACCTCAAGCTCGTACAGGACGAAGCCCCGATGGTCAGACGTGCTGCTGCCACCAATCTCCCCCACTTGATCGACCTTCTCGCAACGACCCTCAACGGAACCGCCCAGCCAGACCACGTCGACTGGGAAATCCTCTCTGCAATGTTCACCTCGCTTACAGGTGATGACCAGGATTCGGTAAAGTTCCTCTCCATTGACGTTTTGATCGCGATTTTGGAGTTTTTCACCGCCTCCCACGACGCCTCCCATGGCGAGGAGTTGCTCGGCTCTGCCGTCAAATTGATCGAAGACGAGAGTTGGAGGGTGCGGTATATGGCGGCAGACCGCTTTGAGAAGATTGCGCGCAACTTTGATGCCGCACAGGTGCGCGCATTGGTGCCGCACTTTGTCGCGCTTACCAAGGACAACGAGGCGGAGGTTAGAAAGGCCGTGGCTAAGCAATTGCCGGGCTTTGCTCTGTTGTTGAAAGACCAGGCCCTTATCATCAGCGACCTCCTTCCGTTTGTCGATGAGTTGAGTGACGACCCAGCGGAGGTTGTCCGGTCCGCCTTGGCTTCGGAGATTGCCGGCTTGGCCCCTATCCTCGGAAAAGACGCCACCACGACGTATCTCCTTCCGATCTACACACAGATGTTGAAGGACGAGTTCCCGGAGGTTCGTTTGAACATCATTTCCAAACTCAATATCGTCAATGGTGTTATTGGCTCCACCAAGTTGTCCAACGAGTTGTTGCCATCTATCAAACAGTTGGCGGACGACAAACAGTGGCGCGTGCGTTTGGCCATTATCGAGTACATTCCGTTGCTCTCCGAACAGTTAGGCGTCCAGTTCTTTGACAAGGAGCTCGGGCTCTTGTGCATGTCGTGGTTGTGGGACTCGGTCTACTCCATCAGGGAGGCCGCCGTCAATAACCTTGAGAAGTTGAGCGAAATCTTCGGCGCCACGTGGGCCAAGGAAGAGATCTTGTCGCGCATCTTGCATGCGGATCAGCACGACGCAACCGGCGCGGACGTGCCCAACATGAACAACTTTGTCTACCGCATCACCGCGTTGTTCGCGTTGACCAAACTCATCCCAAATCTTACCACTGAGATTGTTGTGGAGGACATTTTGCCGTTTGTCAACAAGTTGGCCAAGGACCAGGTCCCAAACATCCGGTTCAACGTGGCCAAGGCGTACTTGGTGATTGCGCAGATGTTGACCAAGACCGGAGCGGAGGTTGTTCAGGCGCAGGTCTTGCCGAACTTGGCGGTTTTGGAGGCGGACGCGGATGTTGATGTGCGGTTCTTTGCGAACAAGAGTATTAATGAGGTGAAGAAGTTGATTGCTGCTTGATCGTGACGCTGCCTGTATTGAGGGGGTTATTTATATCCGCCAAGCTCTCACGGTGGTTCTCTATCATGCCACCTGTGCTGACGGCATCTATCTTCTCCCTCTAGTTCCGATTGGTTCTATAATGGTCAATGCTTTTCCTCTCCTGATCGTTGCTATATTCTCCTCTCACCTTATCCTCTTACCATGATTCCCCTTCCTTTCTGTCATGATCTCCGTTTATGTATTTTCTACTTTTCCTTAATTTTAAATTGTTTCACGAACTATCGTGTAGGCATTAAAAAAAGAGGGTCCGGCAAGCCGCAATGCTAATTTTAATCTCTGAGTTGGCATTGTTGTGAGTGTAGATATATCAGAGCTTGGTAAATAAATCCAGTCATGGCGCTTCGGTCAAGAGATAGCCTTGTTTTCGTAAGGTTAGCGGATATGGCCTTGTCTCTACGTCTATACCATATATCACCAACAATGGTTGACCTGTTTCACACACGGAGTGGGCTTGGCCATACGTTCAGTTTAGGCATTAGTTTTCTAAAAGACTGCCATTTAACGGCAGTTTTGTCCCTGCAATCTGTCATTGACGCCGGTTCCTATAGTGCTTACACCTTGAGACATTACTTAGGCCATTGTCTCATCAAGCCCTTAATCCTTTGAGAGTTCTAAACAATCTTACAGAATTGTCTCGTCCTATAAATCAGTCTAACCCGCTCTACACTCTTTTGAACCGGAAATGATCAATTGCTTATAGAAAATACAGTAGACGCAACAGGAGGTGTATATCAAGGGCAACTCCTGGACCGTCTATCTCATCGACAAAAAATTGTGTACCAGGTGTTGACCGAATTATACACATGGCTGCGATGAATGGCATGAGCCATTGAGAAGTGAAGTGATTTGTGGCGTACTTAGACAATGGCGTAGCGGATTGGAATGTGGATCAACTTGACGACGTAACCGACGACACCCATCATGATGAAACCGACACCAACAGCTCTGATGATCTTCAAGTACTCTAAAGACATGTTAGTGGTCAGTTGGTGGGTGGCATGACGCCATACATACCCTTCTTGTCTGGCTTGGTACACTTCTTGATGAAAGCGGAACCGTCTCTGATGAACTCAGTTGGAACTTCGGTGATCTTTTCTAAACCTTCGGCGGCCATTTTGTGTGTGTTTGTGTATGCTGAGAAACAAGGAAGAAAGGGCAATAACGCGATGCGGTTTCTTATAACCTGCTATCAGATGCTGGAAAATCCGCCGTAAACGACACGACGCCCGCAGATGTGAACACGGCGCGAGAAGAGGCGGGTAAATTGCCTAATGCGGACATAAATGGCAATGCCTATTTTGGCGCAAGACCAATCCTGTACCGCCACAAGATCAACGATCAAGCAGGGTGACACGGAGATGTATCACGAAAAGAGGCAATACGTTATCCTCTTGTTTTTAGAACCACCATTCGACATTAGTTTGTCAGGGATAATTCACGTATTCATTTCCAGAGTCTCGTCGGTCGTGGTTCTGGTTCTCTTACTGACGGCTTCATCAAAGCCTATTTCGTAAGATCCGATTGAAGCATGAGTTTTATATTCCTAGTTTGCGTCACATAGGACAAATTGTCATGGCAAAGCTGTTTAATAAATTTGCCTAATTTCATCATTAAAGGTGGTATCATTGCTGTGATGATAATCTATCCAACAGCAGTAACACTATTCAAGCCACAATTGATGGATCTTGATTTGGCGGAGGTACGAAACCCAGATTCAAGTCCCGACACCTCGTCAACCTTCCCCGTTCCTACATAGATCGACAATTATCCACGATTTTCATCGCCCTACACACATTCATATTAATCATTCATTAACACTATAGTACACAGTGGCAGTCACTTAGAAACCATGCCATTCGTCGTCGCTCTCATCATCCGAGTCCTTGACTTCCTCCTCCTTCTCAACAATCCCCCACTCGGCTAATCTGTCATCTTCGAAAATGTCCTCCTTGACCTTCAATCTGAGAGTCTTCAACAACGCATTCTTATTCAATCTCTCGAACGGTAATAACAAGGCCTTGATAGGAGTATTATCAATGATGTCTTGCTTCTTCTGTGCGATCTGCGCTTCCTTTTCCTCACCTTCCTCTTCAATGTCAGCAAACATAACCTTCTCCAACTCATCGATGTAGATATCAATGATGTGGTATGGGATGGCGTAGGGAATCTTGGCATCGCCGCTCAACGGACCTTGCATCATAACCCCGAGGTACAAATCCACAAAGTTCTTGTCCCACTTCTGCGTCTGCAACTTCCTGAAGGAATGGTTAATGACTCTTCTCAACAACATGTAGTACTTGTCAATACGGTGCTGGTCCACGCCAACCCACTCCTTCCCCATGACAAACCAGAAAGAGTCCACAAAGACACCAAAATTCTTGGCTGGGATGGTTTCGGAAAACAAGGCCCCTAAGGCATCCGCAAGACGCTGTTGCGGTCTCGGACGGTCGCAGAACCACATGGAGTAATACAACCCTTTCCACAACTTCTGGTACTCCAAGAGCGGCATGGAGGTCTGCTTGTTGGATAAGAACTTCCGCAAGGACTCCAACGCAGCTTCTCTGGTCGGACGATCGTTGGCAGCAAGTTTCTTGACAAAGGAGGAGGTCTGGACAGCCATAATGTACGTGGTGGAATAGACTAGGATATGAGAAGCAAGACGTCTTGGTTAAATGATTTTTTTTTTCCCAACGGTTAATATTTTCACTCCTGCACAAAAGACTTTTCGCGATGAGGGCCACACACGACCCATGACGAAGCTGGTTGATAGCTCAGACTATGGTTTCTGCAATAATGCCTCTCCAAACCTTGAAAAGCTTCCGGTAGACCAAGGTGTACCGTGAAAGAGTGACTGCATAACCATACTGTTACATGTTCCTACCATAGCAGCAGGCTTATTGTGACAATCCATCAACACCTGTGATCCCACGATATAATCCATATTACATATACAATATCCATCTGTATAGCAAACTCCTCTTCTAAAAGCTAGCCATGCCGCCAAAAGAACTGGAAAATAGTAATAGCCGGGAGGTTCAATACGATGCCTCCGGAAACAAGATCAATCCTTTCATTCCTCGTACGTACCCCGAAACTCTCCTTCTTGCACTACTAACCATCTAGAGTTCATCTCCAACGCGCCATGGTACATGGACCAGGATAATACCGACGATCCGGACGACTATTTGAGGCACCAGAGGCTCGATCCGGCTTTGCCGGTGGTCTCTCATACCGAGCCTGTAGCAGGTAAAGGGATTGTGGAGGAAGTGGTCCAGCACGTGCCCGCGGAGGTTATTGTCAAAAAGTTTCCCAAGGGTTCGTGCAGCAACTGTGGTAGTATGAAGCACAAGCGCATGGACTGCCTCGAGCGCCCAAGAAAACAGCAGAATTCGTCCACGGTGAGGCGAGCTGCCCCGCATATCTCGGTGAAGAGAAACGAGGACTACGACTCTAAGCGAGACCGCTGGTTTGGCTACGATACCCAGGATTGGGACGACAGGGCCAAGGTCTGGGAGGACAAGGAACTAGCCAAGGTGAGGCAGGAGATTGCAGACAGAGTCAAGCTAGAGGAAGAGAAGTTCAGGAAAGCAAGTGCCACCTTTGACGATTTCAGCTTGGAGATGGCGGAGTTGGGGTTAATTGACGACTTCCAGGTGGGCACCACCTACAGCACAGGTGCAACAGATGATACTCCCACAGAGCGAGCCAAGAAGACGATCCGTGACCGCTACGACCAGCCAAGTTATTTATCCAACTTGGAAGACCCCTTGAGTTATGATCCCAAGTCCAGAATCACTATTGACAAGAACAAGGGCTTCATTAACGACCGTAGCCAGTTTGTCAAGTATCTCACGGGTGAGGCCGCTGAGTACGAGAGAACCAAACACTTTGCGTGGGAGAAGGACAAGCGACAGAGCAAACAACAGCATCTTGAGCAAACGGCCGCTGCCTTTATCGGAGGACTGGAAGACCCTGACGGCCCACAGGTCCCGGTGGCGGATATTAATTTAAACCCAGAAGCTAGTCCTACCGCTGTCTTATTAGCTGCCAAAAAGGCCCAGGAGGAGAAAGAACGGGTGAGACAGGAAAAGAAGCGGAAACTATTGGAGATGTATGGAGGAGGGAAGCATATGAAGTAGGTTGGAGAAAAAGAACTTGCGCCATTGGTAGAGCCTGTTGTGCCATTGATAGAGCCTGTTGCGCCATTGGTAGAACCTGTTGCGCCGTTGGTAGTTTATCGTGATGTAAAAAACTTCGGAGAGTAATCACATGGTATAGAAACTTCTGCCACATTTTAACTGCTAAACTATTACGCATTTCAAAACTCATTAAACACTCGGTGAAGCTACATTCTGAATAATACTTTATCCTAAAGTGGTCTTGATGCCTTCAGGTATGTCAGATATATACAATACTCTAATTTTGGTTCAACAAATCGGGTGTATTAGTAGTCACTTCTCTATGAGCACTTAAAAGATATTACTTTGACATTATTTTGACATTACTTTGACATTAAATGGTAAATATGATACAATAGCTAGTTATATACAGGGTCTAGCACCACCACTTGTAGATTTTGACGTACAACGGCTTGGAAGCTAACACCTCCTTTTCCTCGGCGATTTCTTGCTTCAACAAGTCCATGTCGATATCCCTTCTCCCGGCGTCGATATTGATTTCATCAGATCTGAGGAGTACCTTGAAGTTTTTCTTCCAGATCTTGTGGCCAATCCAGGACGCAAGAATAACTGGAAGCCCAAGGTAAGACATGAAAAAGTCCGAAGCGTTTGGAGAGGACCCGATTGGAAACAAGGCAATCCAGAACTGGGCAACAAGTACCAAGGCGTTCATCACAAGCCCGTACCACGAGCCCCAAACACCGGTCTGCGAGACGAAAGATAATTCGTCGACGCCTCTATTCTGATGGTACAACGCGGCTCTAAATCTGATATGAGAGGCATTGATAGAGGCCCAGGTGAAGATAGAAGACAAACCGGAAAGCGCTAACAACCAGTTGAACACCTCCACTTGCTTCTCCGACGCGGCACAGAAGGCAATCATCCCAAACACGTTGGTGATCATAATGGCCACCAACGGTCTCCCGGCTCTGTCGACGTAGCCGCAGATCTTTGGTGCCTGATTCTGTTCGGCAAGGGCAACCATGGTTCTGGAGGTGGCATAGACGGAAGTGTTTCCCACGGAGAGAACAGAGATCAAAATAACAACATTGATTACCGATGGCAAGCCCTTGACACCACCATTCTTGATAGCAATAACGAACGGAGAGGCCACAGCATCCACGGAAGAGGCGCCGATCAAGGAGGTATCGTTGTAAGGGACCAAAAAGGAGATGATGATCAAGGAAACAATGTAGAACAAGGTGATTCTCCAGAATACCTGCTTGATGGCAGTAGGCAAGGTCTTGTGGGGCTCTTTGGTTTCGGCTGCGGTAAGACCGATCATTTCGGTACCACCAAAGGAAAAGGCAGCGGTGACAAAAACGGAGCAAACCCCCTTGAAGCCGTTGGCAAAGGCACCTGGGTCATGCCAGTACTTGTCGCCGACGTATTGACCTTGAGGGCCGCCACCGCCGATCAACACAATCCCCAAGATGATAAAACCAACAACAGCAATGACCTTGATGATCGAGAAAACAAACTCAGATTCACCGTAACCCTTGACACCGAACAAGTTGATGGCGACAACCATGAGAAAAAAGATGAGCACCCACACGTCGGGGTTGACGGTGGTGTTCCAGAACTTTATGGTGATACTGGCAGCTACGAGCTCCAACGGTAAAAGCACGGCAAACTGCATAAAGTAGTTCCATGCAACGGCAAACCCAATCGATGGCTCCAAGAACCTGGTGGCATAGGCATTGAAGCCCCCCGAAATTGGGAAAGCGACGGCCAACTCACCCAACCCCTGGATGGTGGAGTACATCATGGTGCCGATGATACCCCAGCCAATGAGCAAGGAGGCCGGACCACCGGTTCTCAAAGCCCCTCCACTCCCGACAAAGAGCCCGGTACCGATAGACCCACCAATGGCAATCATCTGCAAGTGTCTGCCCCTGAGCTTCTTAGAAAGAGGAGACCTGGAGGTTCTGATGGCAGCACGTTCGTACTCAGTCAAGTTGGGATCCACATCAGACATGTCCACGACCACTGGCTTAAAGGAGTCTTTAAACGACTGCCATTTACTTTCAGGCCTCTGGCTGGTGCAGAGAGCGTTAGAGGAGGATGTGGATTGTATGACAGTGTCGGACATCTCCATAGCGGAGAAATCGTTGGACCTCTTGGATTCCATGATTGGAGACTGGGACGGAATTGATGAAGATTGAAGGCCTAACCATTTCACCGTTCTACAATGTGCCAGACCAACGTCTTATATACCAAAATTTTCCGTGAAACCCCCAGACTCTTTTTTTGCGGTAAAGTCCAGATGCACCTTTGCCTGCCGAGGTGCGTACCGTTTCCGGATGCTTAATTCGGTGCAGGATGTGGTTTATGACATCTCCCATAGTAATTTCGAAAAGCGTGAGTCATATTGCTACCGCGACAGTTTCATTGTGGTAGGAAACTAGACGTATATGGCAGGCAACAGATGTTCCACCGGAGGTCCTAGAGATGTGCATGAAGCATGGGTAAAATTTTGCCTCGTGCATAAAAGCTGTCATCGCCAAGTCCCCTGCCGCTTTTTTTCCCACTGGGAAGGTCCTGCCAACTGTCTTGCAGCCACGTCTTGGCTTTTTTTTCTCTTTGCATGTATGCGGCCGGCATGGTGCAGATGCCGTAAATACTTTAATGGAAGGAGAAACAGAGAGCGAATCAACGGACAGTAGGGAGTATATTGACCCGAAATGGCGCAGGAAACTGATGTTCAAGTCCGTGATAATGCGTTGAACGTGATAAGAGCCGGAACCGCTGTGGTTTAGTAGGGATATCTGTGGAGCGCAGATAATGGGGTCCTAGAGACGTGATAAAGGTGAAGATTGGTTCCTAACGCGTATTCGTTGAAAAGCGATCAGAATTGGTTTCTACTTGTCTTGGCGCACTTTTGTGGCGGCCACGTAAGCCTTTTCTCTTCTGATGTGTATCAGGGGAGAGGAATAAGTCGTTATAGTAGCTGTAAATTGCCTCTTGCGGCGCTACGCATAGGTTGGTTCCTTAAAAACCCACCATGGTACAACCATATCTGAAGATTCAAAACTGAAAATTCCTCATTGAGTAAAGGTATACCCGTATAACAAAGTCATTTTACCGATAGACAACGTGACCGGAGACTCAGACGCCTTCTTCGGAGATATTCGCTTGTAGATCTTGAGCCATTCTGTTTGCCCTAAACCAGGAAGAATTTTCTGGCGCGACGCAACTACGCAATGGTCTCTCATAAGTGTAAGGCCCAGTCACTTGTATATGAGCTATAAAAAATGCTAGGTGATAGATTGAGAACCAGACCCGAGTAACGTGCTACCTACCGGTATTTCCCAGCTTCATGCTCTCTTTGTCATATTCAGTGTCTTTGGAAACACATTCCTATACCCCAGTGATTCCAGAATCAAACTTGGATTTATACCCTTTCCTGTACTGCACGATGCAGATTCACCTAAACATTTTCTATTACTATACAGTCCACCAGACTTTACAGTTCTGGAATTCTATGGGAACGAGGGGTTCAACTCCTCAACCCACTCGCGCGGCATGGCCCTGAAGATCTGTACCCTTCCGCTGGTCAACTCTCCGTCCAAAGTACCACGCATCACCTGCTTCACCCCACCCACATTCTGATGGACAATCTGCAACGGCGTCACATTAGTGATGACAGCTGTGTGGTCTGGCGCGCCGTAACTGAAGGTAGTACCGCCATTGTGGTATACCGCCGACCGGAACTGAATAATATCACCACGTCTCAACTCCACATTTTGCAGTTCCTCGGAGTCGTACACCAACGCACCATGGATCAAGCCGGTGCTCACAAACGTGTGATTGCCGCAGCCTTTTACTAAGGCATCATGGGCCAACGTCCAACACTCGCCATTACCCACCTGCTTCCCTAGCTTCCCCTCGCACCAACTGGCGACATAGTCACCGAACTTGTCGGCGGACACCTGTAGCTCTTGCGCCGACGGTTTCAACGGGCCAGAAACCTGTCTCTGGCTGAATTCGTAGCGTTCCGGGAAACTAGTGGCCCAGCTGAAATGGAGTTTCCAGATCGACAAATCGCTCATTCTAACCGCCATATTCAAAAACTTGTTTTCTCTCCCGTTAACAAAGGAGGTGCCGAAGGAGGTGGCAGTGTTGAGGCCGGATAAGCAGGCAGGTAAAACAAGCGGTTGATCCTTAGTGAACCACAAGGTATTCAAGTTTAAGGATTCAACGCTTGGGAGGGCCGCGAGGGGATACTCTGTTTGTTTAGCCTGAGAACGCGATGGCGGGGGTGGCGGTGCCCTCAGGTACGTACCTGAAACTGGAACAGTGAGTGGAGGAGTTACTGGAATGGGTCTAGCACGAGGTTTAACCGGGAGAGCAATAAGAACTTGGGGTTCAACCGGGGGAAGGGCAGGAACTTGTGGCTTAGCTACAGGAGGAGCAGAAACTTGAGGTTTGACAGATGCTGACGGCTTCTTAGCCACGGTGGGCTTAGTCTTTGGTATTGGTGGGGTCTTCTTCACCACGGCTGGTTGAGTGTGTTCCGCATCCCAGAAATCTTCATCATCGCTCTCGTTCTCCACTTGCTTCTCAACTGTCTTCTCGACATAAGAGTTGTGAGTTTTCTTCAACCCACCCCGTAAAGCCGCCATAAAATCTGCATCAGCATCGGCATTTGTTTGCTGAGCCATCCCCGGAAGTTGGAAGGCAGGCTTGGCGACGGGTTTAGGCTTGGCTGGCAGTACTTCCTTTGCAACATCTTGCTCGTTCAACGAAAGTTGAGACAATCCAGGAAGCTGGACACCGGTGTAAGATGGTTTTGGCTTGACTGCTGGCGGTCTAGGGCTGATTGATACAGCGGCAGGATGGGCTTGAGACACATTAGGGGGTTGCGTACCATGGTACGGTACCACTGGCTTAGGCTTTAAAGCTGGAGGGTGGATCATCTCCAACCCTTCAGTTTTAGACTGGGTCGGGATCGTTTCAGGTTCATCGACGTCCTCCATCGCGAATGGCACGTGCTGCATAACTTTCAAAGTTGTGATGTCATTCCTCGAAGGCTTTGTTGGCTTAGGAGCCTTGCTGGGGGCAACCGCCGGAGGGGGGACTGCAAGAACTGGTACCTTGGGGGTCTTTGCTTCGCCAAATACATCATAGTACGACCTGGATGGAATCTTCTCATGGGTCGCAATCTCCTCGGCGCTTTCCGATTGAAGCTGAGCCGGTTTGGGTGGTCGTGGAGCCATTTTTTTCGCTGGCTTTGGGGGCGGCACCTTTCCACTGGAGTGGCTCTCTGACAGCTCTGGTACCGAGTATTCCGGGGGAGGAGAATCTGGAGTTATCGCAACCTCCGGTCTGTGAGGCTTTGGAGGTGGTGGTAACGACGATATGTCTAGCTTTGGCTTGGCCACTGTCTCGACCGAGGCTGTGGATCCTCTTGCGGGCATTCCCGGTGGAAAGCCTGGTTGGGCCTTAGTCTTAGGATCAAAAGCCACACCATTGGTCCTAGCACTCGAGGGCGGTGGTGGTGGAGGAAGAAACGCGATATCAGCAACACTAGGAGCTGCCTTTGGGGCTCTTAAGATCGGGTTCTGACTCGCGTACTTCCCGACATACGCCGATGCCGCAGTCCTCGCCGGTAGCAGTGGAGCTGGTGCGATCCCGGTATGGACTGGTGCGGTTTCAGAGTAGGCTGGTGCAGCCGTGGTTTCAGGGGTCAATACAGCTGGATTGAGAGGAGAAGCAGTGGGAACAGGAGTACGAGTCGGAGTGGGTAAGTGGGTTCCTGCAGAAGAGCTACGGAATTTGTGCACAGGTGGTGGCGCAAATGATGACGGATCAGGCAACGGAGCCTTTGGTTTCTCCTCTCTTTCCTCGTCCGGTAGTGGAACCCCGAAATTGCCAACCTTTGGCTTAACGTAAGGCTCTGGGGTGAACCCAGCTGGAGCTTCCGGCTCAGGTACTGGTGCCTGCTGATAGCTTTGTTGAATATATTGCTCATTTTGCTGTACCTGAAGTTGAGGTGGGGGATGAGCAGCTCTGTCGTACATACCAGGGAGTTGTTGGGGCTGACCTTGAGGAGGTAAAGGCTGTTGAAACTGCTGGGGTTGCTGGGGTTGCTGAACTGGCAGCTGAGCCTGGATTGGTTGTTGTTGAATTGGCTGTTGGTATTGCTGTTGGACTGGCAGCTGGGCCTGGATTGGTTGCTGCTGCTGAATTGGCTGTTGGTATTGCTGTTGAATTGGCTGTTGGTACTGCTGTTGGATTGGTTGGGGCTGAGGTTCTGGTTGTTGAGCCTGTTGTTGAGCCTGTTGTTGAGCCACGGCGTTCATGAGAAACCCACCCGCAGACTTCATCTGGTCAAACGTAATCACCGTTTGATCACCGTTCGGATTATGCTGAGCTGGAGTAGCCGGCTGTCCCAGTTGAGCACCCTGGGTACTCAAAACCAAGTTCCCAGCCGATTTGAGCTGATTCATCGTAAATCCTTGTTGTCCTTGCTGTCCTTGTTGTCCTTGGGATGGCTGAGAATTGAGCATGGGCATTATGGCGTTTCCAGCTGATCTTAGCTGATCCATGGTGATGCCCAGGGGTTGTTGGGCTGGGGCCGGTGGAAGCACTCTAGCTGGTATTGCTGGAGCCTGGGCGAGTGGTAAAGATGACGCAGAGTTTGGAGTGTGAACGTTCAGATGGTCGTACAACTGAATTGGCTCGTTTTGAGAAGCCCCTTGTTGCTGGTACTGACCTGGTTGTTGTAATTGAGGAGATTGACCCAGTTCCAGCTGGTATTGCTGTTGAACTGGTTGCTGGTATTGCTGTTGAACTGGTTGTTGAACTGGTTGTTGGTATTGCTGTTGAACTGGTTGTTGAACTGGTTGTTGAACTGGTTGTTGAACTGGTTGCTGAACTGGTTGTTGAACTGGCTGTTGAACTGGTTGTTGGTATTGCTGCACTGGCTGCTGGTAAACCTGGCCTGGCTGCCCTGGGACTCTTCTCGGCGGCGCAGGAAACGACTTCGGGTCTCGCAATGATTCCACCGGCCTCACCTGAATCTCAACCTGGTCTGTCTCAGGATCCACAGCGGTACCGGAAGTTGAGCTATTACCACCAGAGTGATTCTTGTACGTCTTGTAACCGGCCTTAGAAACCGTCTTGATACCGCGGCCCGTTACCTTGGCGGCACCCTTTCCCGCAGATTTAATTGTGCCTTTATTTTGCTCCCAGAAAGACATTATAAAGATATATAATGGAGAACAGACATGGGATGAGATGGAATGAGATTTGTGTCGTAGATTTTAAGCTCCGCGCTAGGAAGGTGGAGAAATCGCGCCGCACGACCTTTTAGCACAGCCCGCTCAGGGATGTGAGGGTCGAACAGCGAAAGGCTGGAAAATGAAACTCTGTCAAGTTACGAACAGACAGTTGCAGGTATTTAGCCTTTCTTTCTACTGATAGTAATCGCATACTTCTAGAAAAATGAAAATACATAGGCACTAAGATCTTAATAATCCGAGTAAATGAAGGAAAGTGGCTTGCACAAGTTACTCACGCATATCATGGAATTACGAAAGAGTGACGTCACACATTGATTCGGAATTAGACAAGAGAAACAAAGTGAGAAGACGCATCTTTTACCCATTCTGATGGTACGACTAAAGAGTAACGAAAAGCCACCATACGGGAGCCCGATCAACCCTCCCCTACACAATGACTGAATAAATACGATTACCTGAAACGAACTGAATTATCAGTTTGGTACTTACAAGACCGGACCAGCGGCCTGGACCTCGGCAGTGGCCTGGTCGGAATACTTGGTAAAGTTCTCGGCAAACAACGTACCCAAGTTCTTAACCTCCTTCTCAAATTCCTTCTCGCCGCCAACCCATGACTTCTGTGGGTTCAAGAGCTCACTTGGCACACCTGGAATGGCGACTGGCACATTGAGACCGAAAGTGCCAAAGGTCTCGTACTCGGCCTTGGCCAAAGAGCCGTCGTGGATGGCATCCAAAATAGCACGGGTGTATTTCAATGGACATCTCTTGCCGCCCTTGGCGGCGGAGTTACCGGTCCAGCCAGTGTTCAACAACCAAGCGGTGGCATTGTGCTCAGCCATCTTGTCGGACAACTGCTGGGCGTATCTCATTGGGTGCAAGGCCAAGAATGGCTGCCCGAAACAAGCGGAGAAGGTGGCCTCTGGCTCGGTGACACCCTCCTCGGTACCGGCCATCTTAGAGGTGTAACCGGAGATAAAGTGGTACATGACCTGGGCCTTGGTCAACTTGGAGACCGGAGGCAAGACCCCTCTGGCGTCGCAGGTCAACAAGATAATGTTCTTTGGGTGCGAGTCCGCGAGACATGGCAACTTGGCAGATGGAATGTACTCGATCGGGTAAGAACATCTGGTGTTTTCGGTAAAGTTTGGATTTTCGTAGTCAACCTCACGCGATTCTGGGTCGTAGACAACGTTCTCCAACACGGCACCAAACTTGATGGCGTTGTAAATTTCCGGCTCCTTTTCGCCGGAAAGGTCGAGGCACTTGGCGTAGCAGCCACCCTCAATGTTGAACACACCGTGGTCAGACCAGCAGTGCTCATCGTCACCGATCAACTCTCTGTGGGGGTCGGCAGACAAAGTGGTCTTCCCGGTCCCGGAAAGACCAAAGAAGAGGGTCACGTCACCTTCCTTGACCCCCTGGTTGGCGGAGGAGTGCAACGTCAAGATCTTGTGGCGGATCGGCATCAAGTAGAACATGACGGTAAAAATCCCCTTCTTCATCTCACCGGCGTACTCGGTCCCAAGAATCACCATCTCCATAGCCTTGAAGTTAATCTCCACGGAGGTGTTGGAGGTCATCCCTCTGGTATGGATGTTGGCTGGGAACTGGCCCGCGTTGTAGATAGTAAAGTCCGGCTCTCCGAAGCTGGCCAACTCCTCTTCGGTAGGTCTGATCAACATGTTTCTCATGAAGAGCGCGTGGTAAGCACGGGCGCAGATGATTCTGACCTTGATTCTGTAGCGAGGGTCCCAACCGGCGTAGGCGTCAACCACGAACAACTTCTGTCTGGTTCTGAGGTAGTCAATGGCACGGGAGCGCGACACCAACCAGGTGTGCTCGTCAACCTTCTTGTTGACCGGCCCCCACCAGATTTCGTTGGTAGAGGTTTCTTCGTCGACAATACGCTTGTCCTTTGGCGATCTCCCGGTCTTCTTACCAGAGAAAGCCATCAACGCACCGGTAGACGAGATCATGGTGCCCTTCTCCAACAAACCATCCTCGTACAACGTTGGAACGGCGGCATTGTGGCGCACAAGCACATCTTCGTTCAACAGGTACTTCTGGATGAACTGACGGCCGAAGTCGTTGTTGTTTGGGTTGTTGAGAATGGTTGCGGTGGAATGAACACCGACTTGTGGGAGCGTGTCGACAGATGGCATATTTGGTTACTGATGTGAGTGTAGGAGGGGAAAAGAGGAGAAGCAATTGGGAGGACGGGGCCGCATATTTATACCGCACCGAGAGTGAAAAGTCCAGAATGAGTTACGGGTCCCTTCCCCGGGCGAAGGGCTAACGGACCAAAAAAGAAATGTACTGCTGCCCGGCGTCCCAAAGCAGAAGGTACTGTGGGGTGTGCGCTGGCGGAAAGTTCCGGAAGGTATCAGCGCGCCCCATACATTGCGAACGCATCCCGGGAGAACGCGGGAGACGGTTCAACCCAGGTCCGAGCATCGAGTTTTATCGGAATATCAGTATGACATTCCTAGAATGGGATAAGAATTAAGAAACGTGCTGATACCTGTTGCGTTTATAATGTCTTATTGAGTATACGTGTTCTATGTTCAGCTTTCCGTCAGTGGCGATCTGGCATGCAGTGGCTGTCGTATGACGAGGAATTTATCTAGAATAAAGGTTGAAAAAAGAGAGTCGGGTATATAAATAAAAGGAATAATCTGGATCTGAGGTATTGTATGATAATCTGGATCTATAATATCAAGCAATTTTTCGACTCTCGTCTTATTGTCGTATTATATACCCCTCCCATCTGGGAATATGCTTACCCGATCTCGGAGTGCTCTCAGTACTGCCAGAACATGATGGAACGATACTTCCCCTGCAGCTAAAACAGGGCGCTATACCCATTTTTCATGGTAGGCCAGGTAAAATATCAGACAAGACAACTTGGAACAAATTTTCTGAATGCACGACGGTATAATCGCTCAGTTCCAAGCACGTGTATGTATAGCCGGGTGTGGACTGTGCTGGAACCAGCTTTGTAGGCGTTCTCGCGGAAAACGGCACCCCATATAAACTTCTCCGGGTGTCCGGAACCGGGGAAAAAAGCTGCCAGAAATGGATGTTTTGTTCCGTGCGTTCGATGCTCGAAGGTTTAGACTTGGCAAATGGCACTTCTGAAAATGTCAGAAGGTATTATCTGAAGTCCCGAAGACGCCTCGATGTACTCCGAGACCATTTCCGAAGTACCCCCGAGACTCAGAACCACATGCATGCCAATGCAGCCTCCATGTACTGTCAAGCTGTAGAGAAAGCATGCGATGTTACATAGAGGTATACCGTGCCGATCAATCGAAGAACTTTTTAGTGAGTTGTCACCGGATGGGGTATTATCCGGAGTACCGTTTCGCCGAGAAGGATCCTTCATGGTCGTAGAGCCTAATGGCATGAGTGAGATTTGCGTGATCTAAAGCTTTAGACACGGTTTTGTCAGTCACCCGTTTAAGCATTCAACGGTGACTAATTCTTTTCGCCCTGAAAGTCACTGAGTTGAGATGTGCATGATTCTGATGGTCTATGGGATAAAATATCCACTAGAAGCTGTCGCACCGTGTAATGACCTGAGTACCATATTTGTATCGAGAGAGGTATAATTATGCAAAGTTCTCACTACAGATACTTTCGCTCCTCAGAACCGAAACGAAATTTTCCCTGTAGCCGACAGTTAATCAAGAAGACTCAGCAGAGATAGTTATCGGCCAAACCCCACTTTAGTGCTTTATAGGAGTCAAAAAGTAGCACAGATAATGTATCTATAATATTGTAATATTAGCTGAGATCGTATAGCTACTGGTAATCTCAGAGCAGGGGTGCCTGGAACAGCGTCCTCTTTATAGTTTTCGATCATGTGACAGGATTTACGTATTTTTCCACCGCGCATCGTAGAGGTTACCCGGGAAGAGGTTAAGTGGGGGGAAGTTAGCGGAGAGAGGTGGGGAGAAGAGCTTGTATGAAGTCGCACCAAACCGTGAGTTTTCCATTGAATTTCGGTTAGAAGGAACCTGAAGGTTTAGTATAGGTGATGTATAAGTTTAACCTCGGTAATCATTGGAGAGAGGGAGATAAAGCCAGAAAGTCAACAAAGGTTCAGATAACTAGATCGGTATAGTGCATGTGCATGCCTAGGGCCTATTTCTCACATTCGATTAAATATAAGAATGGTATCCCATCAATCGTCAAAAGATCTAGTATTACAATCCATAGCTGTTCTTACCTATAAATCCGTATAATCATTCTATTGTTGCCATGCCATGCTTTTACAACAAGGCAGTCTACCCTGGAACTACATGCCCGCCAAGAATGGCCTTGTTTCACAGGAAAAAGTCATGTAGCTACCCCCTTTTACCGTGGATCCTAGGGATACCCCGGCATTCTTTGTCGGGACACGCCACTTTCCCACAATAAGACATTGAAAAAAAGTGAGCCAGGGGTCGATTCTAACGCTTTTTCGCTCCCTAAATTACCAGATACACGGAATATGGCTCTGTGCGCCTAGCCTACGCATACGATATAATCAGGTCATCTGTGATTACGACTGTTGTCTTCCAAACAAGTGACATTTCACTGAGACTATGAAGCTATAGTATCTTTATTCCTCAATATCTTTCCAAACTTTTGAAGGATATTGTAATCCGTTCGAGTATTATTCCCTAACCTAGTAATGCCTTATCGTGGCACGAATGAGATAACGCCGGCAGCTTCCCCGAAGAATGACCCATGATTAGCGCAACTCTACCCATGTATCACGGCCAACGGCTCACGCAGACACTTGACGGATTTCGCACTAACTATTTCACAGATCAGGCGCACGGATCTGTACCTCTCGCCTGCTGCGGCTCATCTCGATTCCTCGGGTGTCGTGCCGCTTTCCCCGCTCCCTTAGGATGATACCCAACGACACCATATTCACACAGATATTGAGATTGCTTGAATATCTCGAAGCATAAATGGTGTGTTACGGGGTGGTTATAAGTTGTGTGATGATTGTCTTGTGAAAGGGCCTCAGGATGACCTCCCCATTGTAGTCGTTGCTAGCCTAGATTTTGCGTGTCTCCGGTAGCTTAGCGCGCCAAACCGCTTAATTGGGAATTGGTACGCCTCTCAGGCGCAGACCACTTATTGGATATTTACGGCTGGCCTGATGGGTGCCCTTAAATCGCATTCGACAACGAGGTTCCCACGTACAGTAGACACCCATAAGGGGCTCATCTATTGAACCCGCTATATATAGTCATGGAGTGAACCGTAGGACTATCGGATAATGACAAGATTTGTAATCACGGATGAGGATCTACGCGCCCTCTGGGCCTGCACGCAGCTTACCACTTTTCTTTTTTCCCTGTAACCGTGGTACTCATGTCCTACCATAGTAAGAAAATTATATAGCGGCAGTGGATACTATTTTCCCACGCCTTACCGCCCGCCCTTGCTACTTCTTTAGTATCCATCTTTTCCTGGTTATTCACCTTTCACCACACCCCAAATTAGTGCAAACATGCCCCCCTCCTATATAGCCACCTTAGCCCCCGCCGTGCCCACGCCCGTGGCCTTGGGAATCAAATTGAACCAGACGCTTTTGAATGACTTCCGCGAGTGCTTGACCCGAGGCATCCGCCCCAAATTGGTTGTCAAAGATGGCCAGGTAGTAAGTATACCAGAGTGACTGACAGTGAAATGGGTGTCCCAGACTCACAAACCTGAACAGTTTTGGAAATATGACCAGCCTTAGCTTGACCTCATCGTGTTCTTTATGGCAAAGGTCAATTTAGGGCCTCATTTTTTTCTTTACGAATTTGAGGTCAATTTTGTCCCGCCAGCCCAGAGTGATCAAAAGAGTTACTCTTAAACGATGGCTAGTCCTGCTTCTTGTCACTTATAACAGTTTCGACTTCAAATACTAACTCCCCCAGTTTATCAAACTCGACAGTGTCACCTACCCCACGTCACAGGCGCCTGAGTTGAACCGCACAGACGTGTACACACGCGCACACGACGGGGATGCGCGTGTACCCGCGTTCCACACCGCCGCGAAGATCGCGTCGCGGCTCACGGTGCTCACCGCGCGCACCCAACCGCAGGATGGGCCCGCGGCGACGCCACAGCTCTTTACACCGCACCCCCAGCGCTCACGTGCCGGTGGCCTCTCAGCCAGCTCCTCCTTGCTCAAAACGGACAGTGTCAAGAAGTCCAACACGCTAATCGCGACAAGTAAAAACGTACCCAGCACACGGCTCTTGCATTTGCTCGCGTTGGGGCCGCTTTCACCTGAAACCATCGCCGCGCGCACTCGCCTCGCCCCAAAGGAGGTTGATCACCTCTTGCATATCTACGGCGACATCTACGACCCGCACACAAACACAGACGTCTTTGCAAACCCCGCAACCACACGCGGCGAGGACCTCTACGTTCTAAAGGATTCCGGCTATAAGGTCTTGAAGCCGTGGGAATGGAAGGCGTATACCCCTGAGCAACGCAGCCAGGTGATTGAGAACACCCGACTGGCGTTGGACCGTTTGGGGTATGGTGAGAATCACACGGTGAGGAAGATACTCATCGAGCCGTCGAAGCGTGTGACGTCGAGGACCCAAACTCCGGAGATGAAAGAAACTCCGAAGGAGGCTCAATCACCAATGGAGATCCCAAAGACGGCATTGGAACAGTCAAAGGTGGTTTCTGACCTGCTAAAGACTACCTCACCCAAGGAAACCCTTGCAAAGGTACCTTTAGAAAATCTTCTGGACGGTACAGACAGACTGAGCTCAAAGAGGGCATTTGGCGGGGCAATTTTGACCTCTGTCTCCACCCCAAAACTCAAGCTGGCCGCAAAGAAGCGCGTGCGCGTGCCAGACTCTCACCCGGAGCCTCTTGCCACTGCCTTGCATATCTCGTCATCCTCCGCCTCGCCCGCGTCTTCTGACGACGACGATGCTCGCGCGCGCATCAGACTGCGCACCGTCTCGTCCACCTCTGCCAGCTCGTCCACCAGCTCCATCTTGAGTAACCAGTCCGCCAAGCGCACCAAGACGCTGGCCTCGCCATCGGCTAGTGATTCGTCACCCGAGGAATCGTCGCTCTCCCGGAAGCCGCTGCGTGACGACCTTGCCCATAAGGAGTATCACCGCAAGCTTGCGGCAAGATTCAAGCTCCGTTACACCGAGTACGCATCGCTCTACCGGCAGTTGAAAGGCGGGAAGGCCAGGACTGGTGTTGCGGACGACTTGCGGCGCTTGACCGCGCTCCACAATGACTTGGCCTTATGGAAGCAGAAGTTGTGGGACTACGAGCGCGAGACGGCTGCGCTGCGCAAGACCGCAACCACAGCTAGTCTCACCGCTCAACACAATCTCAACCCGAAGAACGCCATCGCAGGGCTTTCCTCTGTAAACCGCAACAGCAACATCAGAAAGAAGCGGGGTGTTGCTTAGAACAGGCCACATTGAGGTCACCTTTGATGAGACTACACCGCCGTTACACTTGACTGGGCCGGTAACGAATCTTTAGGCTTGCTGGTATGCCTTCCATCTTTGATTCTGATATTGAGTGTTACATCTTTGATACTGGTATTCTGTGAGTATTCTTCTATCATTGATGTACACCAAGTACTTTCCACCTTTTATTTTTTTTTTTTGTCGTTTGAGTAGTGCTGAGCGCTTACTCCACCCACACCATATTCTCTGGCTCTTTCTACGCTTCCTTTTGCCTCTAAGCTTGATTCACAAACTCGTTTGTGAATTAAAAACCCCGCGATAGTGTTACACTAAGCTCTGTCCAGTTTTTTTTGTTTTTTTTACTTCATTTTCAATACACGTACAAGTAAAGGTGATGGGCTAGGTAAACGGGCTCAAAGCCTGTAAAAGATATACCAAGAATGTAATAAAGGACGCTAGCTATAGTTTTAGTTACAAGTGGACTCTAGGATGTGTGAATCAATATTCGGCAATATTCCAGTCTCTGTCAATCATGTGGAAGTGAATTGGGCTGCGTCCGGGTAATATTAATGCTAGTGCATGTAATTGAAATGGTCTGAAAAGTGTATGTAAATATACAAACATCCCCAGACGGGTAAAAATTGGAATTATTCAGTGGAAGCGAAACTTATACATGTTTTTTATTCAGGATATTATATTTACATATGTGCATGTTCCAAGTTATATTATGTTTGGGTTAAAGTATATTGATATATATTTTGAATAGAAGATATATATGTTGAAACAAAAAACAAGGATATTAATTATAAATATATTGAATATACCACTTCATACATATATATATATAGACCCTACTTCATTTACTAAGAGAAAATAATTCTGGTTTTAGAGAAACATATAGTAAATTGTGAGAAATATGAATTTTGCGTAAAAACTTGAAGAAGAAAGCACCCCAGTTTAGGCGATATATTTCATATCTGCACCGTCGTTTCTACCAGGCTCCTAATGCAGATAAATTTGTTTCTAAGTAAGATGATGTGAGCTCTCTCACGTGGTTTGAATGTCACGTGCATCAGATGGAGCAAACGGATCTCACACTAGTAGCTTACTCTCGGTGTTTTCTGCGTTTACTGGCTAGTTCAAACATCTGTACTCCCTTATAAACTTCCATACTCCGTATATTATTTTAAATTTTAACCTACAAACTTTCTTACTCTCGCTCACTTACTATAGGCCTTGAATAGATCTGGAAGCTCTTCCGAGAATTCCCCAAATCAACATGTACCTGTGTGAACGAGAGTTTAGCTTTCATTCTGCATTGTCTTCTTGGCGTAACTCCATAATGCATGAGGATTTTAACTGAAAATTCTCATACGTCAAGAAAAGCGCACTCCTCCCCACGGAGTAATCGCTGTTAACGACAGATGCATCCCGCTTTTTCTCGGTAGATCAACGAGATAATAATTTAATCTACAGAGCGTGCAGAGGATACCCTGCATTTAAGTGTTTAAGCCGCACCACATGCGTATTTTAGTGTGACAGGGTGCCATATTTCGGCCATGGGAGAGGGTACTAAGTCTTGGAAGTGAAAAATAGTTTAGGGACTGAGGGTTTTCTCTATGCGCATACAATTATGTCTGGAGTAGTAAGGCCGTTATCTTCCGAGTTTGGGCGCTTTTCTCTGGGCTTAATTGCTGGGACGGCCTTCGCTTCCCCCGAAGCAGAGTATATAAATACGCGCATTTCCTAGTTAAACTGGCTATGCCCCCTTTTAATCACTCTGTATATACCTCCAATAATCCCAAGATGCAATTAACTTCTCTCCTTGCGGTCGCTGTCACTTTGGTCTCCTCTATCTCCGCTAGAGCTGCCCCGTTCGCTAGCCCATTGAAGCACGGCTCGGAATTCGTCCAAACCAACGGTGAAGTTGGTATGTTGTACCCAGCCACCAGAGAGTGGACTGAGTCGGCCGAGCTTACCGCTCCATGTGGATCCAATGCCAAAATCCAAGACAGAACCATCTTCCCATTGGATGACGGTTTCGTTTCTCTCATTGCTTCCGAGAGGGCTTTCGAGGTCAGCTTGAGAATCTCTTACAACAAAAACCCAACCAAGAACTCCGATTTCGACACCTGGTACACCGGTAACGTCTCCAAGCAAATGGATATCGGCCACACCTGTTTCCAAATGCCTGATCAACCTTCCAACATCAACTCTGGTGACGTTGCAACCATCCAGTTGGAGTACATGTACGAAGAAGACGGGAAGTACCTCACCCACTACGCCTGTGCGGACATTGAGTTTGTCGAAGAGAGTGTTTTCAAGCTTTCTGACAATGCTTTGTCTTGTTTCAACGCCACTTCCAACGATTACTACTCTGAAGACTTGGCTGACAGGGCCACCACTACTGCCAAAACTTCTTCCACCTCCTCTGCCAAAACCTCTTCCACCTCCTCTGCTGGTGCCGGTCACTTGGAAACGGCTACTGGTAGTATTGTCTTGGGTGGTTTATTCTACCTTTTGACTGCGTTTGCCTAGGCTCTCCAAAGTTTTTAACTGCAACGCCCTCCAATGATCTCTTTCGTGTTTCGACACACGTAGTGTATTTATTTTCTAGTTTATTTTTTCGGTCATATACCTTTATGCCACATCGGTTTCTGCCGAAAAGACAAAGACAATTGTGCTATCTACGCGGTGTAGTCGGTGAAGGGACTGCAAAGAGTCGAAATAGACACTCCCAGGGAAGCATGATGAAGCCCCAGACCTAACACCAGTATATCTGGTAGAAATACATATCTAAGATACTTAGGGTGAGCAATGTGAACAAGGATCGTAGTCCTTTATATGGGACCGCTGGCAGACATTTCGGAATCTAATGGTGCAGAACGCTATGCACGAGAGACCAAGGAGCGGTTTTATCTTGATCAATAGACGAAGGAAGGGCCATTGGTGTTCACCATAGTAGACCAGTGTACTAAGTGACCAAACACAAGCTCGGTCGCTTCTCCAGGTGTATTTCCACACCAATCTAAGCCTACTTACCATCTCCGAGTAATTTAAATGGAATGGCTACGCAATAAAACAAATGCAAATTATTATTTTGATTTGACTCCCAAACCTGACCATATGCCTCTACAACCCCACTCCCTTGTAAAGCAAAATCAAGGCGCTGTCGCTCTCGCCGCCGCCGCACAACGTTTCGATCTTTTCCCTGTTGACGGCACTGACCTTGTCATCATTAAACCTCCACCAGCTGTCGCCCTCCAAATCAGTCTCGTCCTTCACAAACGCCTGGTAGTGACCAGAGTCGGCGGAGGAGCCCTGGTGGGTAATGATGGCCTTCAACTCATACAAACACGACGGGTTTTCGCCCGCCTGCAGGTCATAGGACTCCGGCAAGATCTTGGCAAAGTCGGCAGCAAACTTGGCGTTGATCTCCTTGACCTTGGCCTGTTGCTGCTCCTGGCGCTGGAGCGGCGTGCCGGTCTCGAGGGTCTTGGTCTTCTTGAACTCGCGGGTTTCGTCAAAACGCGTCTTTTCAATCTTGCGCAACTCGTCGCGGAACGCAACCTTGCTCTGTTTGATGTCGTCGTCCAACAAGTCGCTCAAGTCCAACTCAAACGGAAACTGCACCTTGCGCAAAATCTTGGACTTTTTTTGGGTGTCTCTTCTCCAGAAGAAACGCACAAACTGCACGTTGAGGTACTTTGGCAAGCGCGTGATGGTTCTGGTCAACTCGTAGTTCGCGTTGCCCCCCAACGTGGCGTTGTTCTTTTCGATCGTCTCCTTTAGCGAGTCCATAAGGCCGTCACGCAAGAAGTTGGTGCTCTTGGTGATGTGGCAGTTCAACTTGTACTGGTCCTCCTCCAAGGAGTATGTTGGCTCCTCAGCCACATCCACACACTGGCTCTTCACCTTGAACGAGACGCCGAACTGGCGACGCAAGTCCGGGAACTGCTGCATCAACACCGTCAAGATCTGGGAGTACGCCTCCTCCGCGTCCTGCTGCTTATAGAAGCCCTCGTTGGAGCGCTCCGCGAATTGCGGATAGAGCTGTCTCAATGAGCTCAACACGGCCACTGGAGAGATCTTGGCCTCCTTCTTCTGCATGCGTGCAAAGAGCGTCTTCATGAACCCCGCGAACGCCGCGTTCGTCCCTGTGGGGGTACCTGACACCAACTGCTGGCCAATGTCTTCGTTGTTAAACAACGTCTGCAAGGTTGAGTTGAGGTAGCATGTGTTACCGAGGTTGACCAATCCGGACGGCTCTTCGATGTTGATGGTGCGGTACGGATCGGCGTTCAAGTCTTCGATGAAGACGGTCTTTTCCACCGGAGCCTGCGGCAACTGCTCATCTGGCGTCCCAAGCACCATAACAACCTGCTTGTCCTTCAAGTTGAGAGAGGACAACATGGCATCGTCGCGCACCTGGCCGCCCTTGACCAAGATCTTTTGTCTCTGCGGCGGGATGTTGGTGAGAGAGTAGACCTGGTTTTTGAAGGTCAACCCAGTTTCCTCCAAGTCGAGTTCCATTGGGTAGGACTTACCCGCGTTTTTAATTGTAACTAGAGGTTAGTATCATAATAAATAGGCACCAGAGCTTGGCGTAATGGAGGTGGGCATCATGACGCGCAGACTAGTCATCGCCACCAAAACTCGCATTTTGCAGATTCTGGCGTTTAGCTAACGTCCACCATATTTCGGTTACAAACTGGCCATGTAGTGAAAGATACATACTTGCAATTGTCGACATCGTTGGGGAACAAGAGTATATAATAGTGTAGAAGGAGATAAGTGGTTTTGAAGGCAAACCGGTTCGCAGTTTACTTGACGCGTTGCGCTTACGTAAGCGACCCCGAAACGAGCGTCTGGCGTAACGTTGTCAAGTTGATATGAGCTGTGATAGAGATTATAGTAACTTCGTAACCGATACACAACCGCTAATACGGCTTTACCCAGATATTTGTCAAAACAAGAGTATAGCTGGTTCTCACGACTTTCGTTCCTTCCCATTGACTCACAGCCCTAATGTCTATCAGATACGTCATCTTGTTGTCCCGCCAGGGCAAGGTCAGATTATCCAAATGGTACCAGACCATATCGCAGAAGGAAAAGACCAAGATCACGAGAGAGTTAACAGCAATGGTGTTGTCCAGACGAGCCAAGATGTGTAACGTCTTGGAGTACAAAGGTATGTGAGGGCAAGATCAGAGACTCACGGTTACTAACCCTTCTAGATAGCAAGATCGTGTACAGAAGATACGCATCGCTTTTTTTCTTGGCGGCTATTGACAACGAGGACAATGAGTTGTTGACGTTGGAAATTGTGCACCGGTATGTGGAGCAAATGGACAAGGCGTACGGCAATGTGTGCGAGTTGGACATCATCTTTAACTTCCAAAAGGCGTATCACATCCTCGACGAGCTATTGATTGACGGCCAGGTGCAAGAGTCGTCTAAGCGAGAGGTGTTAAGACGGGTTGGCCAGGCAGATGATCTAGAAAACATGGATGAGTTTGAGAATATTTTGAGTTAATATACGCGAGAGCGAAGCACGAGCTCGGCTGAGCCAATCAGCCATAGTGGAAGTGCAACTAGCACCGAGGGAGAAACCATTGTATATATAATCTTGAAGAATTATATTAAGCTCCAGGATGTAGCCTTGAAAGGAAGCAGGGATGCAGAGAATAGTACTAGTCGTCTATTTTTGATCAAATGTTAATTGTATCCCTAGGTACCCTTGTAAACATGTTTATCAATGAATTTGTTAATGCACAAAGCAAATCCCCGGCTTTAAGAATTCAACCAGAGGTCCACTGATTATCCAAGTTACATTGAACGTTTGTCAACTTTCCAAGCCCTAAAATCTATTGACCTACTAAAGTTTCCGATTTTTCATTGCGTATCGCCAATTAAACTACCCAGAAGTAGCACTTTTTTCTAAATTCTAACCGTTCTAATGAATATAGCAGATCGTAATAACATTTGAAGCTTAGCTTTTATCAGCCACTTTTTAGGCATCCACACCCTGCTTTAATATCCTCCCATATTAATAGTTAACCTCAGTTTCATCCATTCGCCTTTACCTCTCGCGATCCTAGTTTTATCAATACCTTATCTATACCAGCATCCTGCATGGTACCCCCCTAACAAAATCGCTTGGGAAGCCGGCGCTTGCTCCCGTCCAACCAACTCATCACACATGCTTCTTAAGCACACAAGAGCAATCCCTAGACTCTCAAATATTAACAAGACACTTAATAGATTGCATATCATGTCCAGAGACCCCTCCTTAGCTAAACTCACGAGTCTCGAACCTTTATCTGGCGAACACGCGCGCTGGATCAAATTGGAGAAGATCAACTACACCGATCCGGAAGGCAAGGCCAGAGAGTGGGAAATGGCCAGCCGTACCACCAGACCGAAAAATAGCACCATTGATGCTGTGTGTATCTTGGCTATTATCGAGGACAAGACCTCTGCGGACGGTCCCCGCATCGTGTTGCAGAGGCAGTTCAGACCGCCGGTAGAGGGCGTCTGTATCGAGATGCCAGCCGGTTTGATCGACCCCAACGAAAGCGCCGAAACGTGTGCGTTGAGGGAGTTGAAGGAGGAGACCGGCTACGTGGCGGACTACGCCATGGAGACCAGCCCGTTGATGTTCAACGACCCAGGCTTCTGCAACACCAACATGAAGCTCATCACCGTAAAGGTAGATCTTAACGATGAGAGAAATGCCAATCCGCAGCCCGAGTTGGAGGAAAAAGAGTTTATCGAAACCTTTACCGTTCCATTGAAGGACTTACACCTGGAGTTGTTCAAGTGGGAGGCCGAGGGGTTGAAGATTGATGCCAGGGTGCAGAACATTGCCGCTGGGATTCAGTTGGCCAAGAAGTTTAAGTTTTAGGGAATACATCAGCCATGGAGTATTGGAGAGATCTTGTCGGTGAGATTGACATTCGTGGGGAAGCAAATAAACAAAAAATGTGTATTGCATACATTTGGTATGCTTCATCTATGCTAATGGAAACGGATTGGTACAACGTCTATATTTTGTTAAGCATATGTGAATCTGGGCGTATTGGAACTTGTATAAACATTACCAGCGAGCGATTTAAAAAAGTATGTCTACTTTAGTCGAGGATGAGCGTTATCAGAGAAGTGGGTTATATATGCAAACGGGGCTAAGCGTTAATGACTTTTAGTCAAGTGTGAGATGAGTGGGCCCAAGCGCCTTATTTTAACGTTATCAATTGACTCTGCATGGGCTAGGGAAGACAAAAGCTTGTCAATATTTGAGAAAAAACATTCATATTAAAGAATCAGAATTTTATCTTCTAACGTCTTAATATTTAAACTAGTGCATTTATGCTTCAATGATTGAACTGTCTAGACTGAACTCTTAGTCTCTGGGGACACCCGGGGATTATAGTAGTGCGCGGTTCACATGGTTCGCACACTAAACCTATGCCGCTTAAAGCTTCACCATAACAGACATATTACAGACCATCTCCACTCCGAATTTCATCAGCATGAGCGACTCAGAAACCAACGCCCTCAAATCCCAAATTCAAGAGCACCTCATCTCCTCGGGAAATTATGACCGTCTCTCCAAGGCCCTAGCGACCAAGCTCTACGAAACCGGCTGGGTCGACAGCATGAAGCAGGCAGCCACAGCCAAGGCGTCAACCATGGATAAACCAAATTTCGACGAGCTAAACGAAAGCTTGCAGCAGAAGGGAATGGACTTGGTGAATGACACCGTCAAACGAGACATGATGGCGTTGATTAAGGAGTACTTGGACGGGGTCATCTCGTCGTAATACAACATGAAAATTTACCAAATACAGCACCGGCACAGTGCACCTTGCACAGAGAATCCGAGCCCCCAAAAGTACAACTGGGAGGCGGAAAGACAGACCTTCAACATGTTAATATATTATAAGATACCTTCCTCCGTATTTCTAGTAGAGGCATACCAAGAGTCACGTGCAGATATACATTGCTTACATAATCAACATTAACTGGGGCTTGTGATTTGTCGGGACTCGGCTTTTAAAGAGGGCAGATAGAGAAGAAGCCTGTTCGCACTCTCCAACCAATCGACATATTATACATCATGGGTGCCCATACCTCCAAGCCAGCTGCTGAAACCAAGGTTCTCACGCCAAACACCCCAGTCAACTTCACAGCCTCTTTCTTGGCCCAGTTGGAAAATTCTGCCGAGGTATGTACAAAGATCCAGATACCCGTAGAGCAAGCGGGTTATTGGTTCCAGAAATGAGACCAAATTGAATTTTCACTCAATCGGAAACACTAACGTCTTAGACTGACTACACCCGTTCCCAGAATGCGGAGCAGTACATCCAGGAGAGAATTGCCCAGGAGTTGAGAGGTTTGGAAGCCAAAGCTCAGCAGCAGTTTGAGGGTCAGTTGACCAGCGCTTTGTTGACCAAAGATGAAAACAACGATGCCTCATCCTCTGCCTTGTCAGAAAAGTTGTCCAAGTTGACCGAGAAATTACAGGAAGCAAAGTTCTCTGCCGTCGGTCCTTCCAAGACTGTGCTCAGCGCCAAGCAGTCTGTCATCCAGTGCTTGCAGGACAACAAGGGCAAACCATTGAACTGTTGGGATGAGGTGGAATCCTTCAAGAAGTTGGTTGCCGAGTTGTAAGCGGCCTGTCCCCGAACCCAAAATGTAATATATCATGGGTGCATCAGTTACAACCCCTATAAATAAGCTATGATTAGTCCAGATTATAGAGATTTTGATGTAACAAAAGATTGGAAAGGTTATGGCGGGATCTCGAGTCAGCCATAAACTTACCAGCAATATAGGAACAGAGAGTTTTACACGCGGAAAGTAACAACTACAGCTCAGGGATTGACTCTTGGGCCTAGCAGTAGAGATATTACCGCGGTTCAAGCGACGATAAATAATGCCTTATTTTTACCGACATTTTTTCAGACTCTAAATTTGATGAATTTCAATCCAATATAATGATTTAGCTTCGATAACAATCTTCCGGAGTAGGCTTTTGTGAAACCTTCCACCGACCAAGCAAAGCCAGAAACTTTTCCTATTTTTCCGAAATTGAAATAAACCGTTGCAAACCTGAACCGTGAACTGAAAGTGACAGGGGAACCGTGCTTTATCTCGTACGCATTGTTCTTTGACATTATATTTCGAAATTTCCACCAACGGTCCCATATAAAGGACTGCGATCCTTACTCCCACTGTTTATTCAAAGTATCCTGGATATGTATTTCAACCAGATACACTAACTACTCGCCAACACTAGCTATTTTTCATACCCCATATTTGATCCATAATCATGTCTTGCTGGCCTAGAACTTCCAAATCTTTATTGAAACCAATTATTTTTATATCCCGGAATCTCCAAAACTTTTAAATCTCTATATTCTGCCTGCATTTCTATGCAAGATGCATGCAGGTCAGATTCGGATACTAATGCCACTGAAATAACACAGGCCCTTTGCCACCCCAGTTTCTTGGTATGTTCTTTGAACTTTCGTTTACACTCTGCCTTGATGATCTCAGCCAGACCAAACGCCTCTGCAACGGTGGTTTATCCACCGGAACCTATCGAGATCATTCCCACAGAGCCAGACTTGCTCGATTACGACCACTACGGGCTCATCGCCTCCAGGGAAATCCCCTTATGCCATCCAACCTTTTCCGAACCAAGCGTGATGGCTGTTGCGATAGTGACAGACCGAAAAGACCCCACTCTTATCCATTTAAAGACTCAGAACATGCTTGTGGCCTCTGTTAGAGTCGACATGGCTTTGTTCCACGAGCTATCCTTCATCGAGAACCAACGGAAGACCAGATCCCCCTGTACTCACGTTGTGTCTGAATTAAGAGCTGAGATAAGGCATGGCTTATCCAATATGACAGCTGGAAACCTCACCCTCTCATACCGCTTGTATGTCGCCAGTGGCTTGGAGGTGGCGTTTTCTGAATCTCAGACGCTGCTTATTCGCACAGTTCTTGGGTTTCCTGGCCTACAAAAAGGCAGAAAACGCAAACTTGATATACCAGAGCCCGAATTAACCCCAAAGTACTTCTATGACATCATTACCGATCATACTCTCGCCACGACCGCGTCCCATGCCAAGTTACAAATCCCCAACTTGTACACAGACCTCTTCCCCTTCCAGACAGAAGCGGTGCTATGGCTCTTATCCCAGGAAGGAATGCAGTACGATTCTGGCCAAGTCTCTCCTACTAACCTCTGTCTAAAGACCCCTGAAGAAATCCACCACCTACTCGATAAATTGGTCTTTGGATGGGGAATCGTTGGAGACAACTGGTTTAATCGGTTTACCGGGCATGTGTTACCCGTGTCAGAGGCGTCGGGGTACTTAGATCGCTACATACACACTAATTTTGTCTCTACCGTACCTGCAAAGGCGCTTCTTGCCGAGGAAATGGGCTTGGGAAAGACGGTGGAAATCGCCGCCCTCATCTTGCTCAACCCCAGGGCCCCAAGGCTCATCAATACAACGTACAAAAACCACTCGGACAAGACAATCACGCGGGTGAAGGCCAGTTTGATCCTTCTCCCAGAGGCGATTCTCCAGCAATGGGTGGATGAGTTCCATAAAATCACGGGGGATGTGAAAGTCTACATATACAAAGGGCTTGCCGCAGCTAGGTGGCAGGGAACGTCGATCAACCAAATTCGTGAACGTCTCGCTGCGGAGATTGCCGCCGCTGATGTTGTAATTGTTGGCTATCTTACCGTGGCGAGTGAATTCCACTACGCTCAGTACAGCCATAAAACCCGGCCCCCAACCAGATCGTGTCGGAAAAAGGAAAAGTCGGATGCAGATTACTCTTCACCGTTGACAGTACTCGAGTTCCATCGGCTAATCATGGACGAGGCGCAAATGGTGTCGTCCACGTTCACAAAGCTCTCCCAGGTGACGCAGATGATCCCGAGGTACCATTCGTGGGCCGTCTCGGGGACACCAGTGAAGACAAAGATTGGAGACCTTTTTGGGGTATTACGGTGTCTCCAGGTGAATCCGTTTGGGTGGGTGGGAGGGGAGAAGCATTGGCTGGAGGTGCAGGCGAGGGTGAGTCTTGAAACAAAGCCCAGGAGTCAGGTGAAATCCGAGATAGAACCCAATATATACGGGGCATCGCCTAATACCGAGATTTCACCTCTATTTTCTCGCCTCTGGCGCGGTATGTCGCTCCGCCACACCAAGCAAATGGTTTCGTCCCAAATTAGCCTTCCCGCGCAAAACCGCATCATGCTCACGGTCCCATTCACGGCCGTGGAGCAAAACAACTACGACCACGTTTACGAAGACTGTCTCAACACCATCGGGTTTGACAGCGCCGGGACCGCTGTCTATGACTCTTGGGGCGACAACCAGACGGTCTTGGGCCACATGCGGCAGTATTTAGGCACGCTCCGCCAGTTGTGTTGCCACGCGGAGATCAGTGGCGAGTTAGACGTTTCGAACCTCAGTACCGTAGACGATGTGCTTCGGAACATGGTTGAGGAGACGGAACTGCAGCTTGTGGGGCTAGAGCGCGAGATTTTTACTGAAAGGGTGAGATTAGGCCAGGTGAAGGAGGTGCGGCAGGAGTATCGGGAGGGGTTGGAGATTTGGATGGGGTTGGTAGAGCCGGTAAAGGCGGTGATTGGGAGGGCCAAGGCAGGGGAGAAGCGGGAGGCAGAGGCGGAGTCCAAGCCGAAGTCGCAGGTGGCACTTGAAGGTGACGCAGAGGGGAAGGATGGTGAGAAGCCTCTGACTAAGGATGAACTTTCGGCAGACGAGCGGACGGAAAGATTAACCCGGCTTAATTCCAGGGTGCGCTCGTTCCACGATATCCTCCACCGGCTCTACTTTTTCATCGCCAGTGCACACTTCCGGTTATACAACCCACCAGGGGAGGCCAACAAGAACGACATCCCGGATGAGGAGCTTTCGGAGGCGGATTTGCACCATCGCAAACTCGAGGTGGAGTACTATCAGAAGGCGGAAATGCTTAGACGGGAGATGCTTGGAGATTCTATTCAGAGGGTGAATGAGATGATTGAGAGGGCAGAGGCAGAGGCGAGGTCATGGGCGAAGCCTGGCGCAAAGTCTGGGGTCAAAACCCTTCAGGCAAAATCCTCGGGCGATTCCGAGTACAAAGGTTTCAATAGCCCTGTTGGCCATGAAGCTGGTGTTACTGGAACTGCTAAAGGCTTTGGGCTTCCTCGTCTCACCTTCCCTCTCAATGACGCACTCAGTGTGGACAGCCCCACGGTGGCAATGTTCACGCTCTTCGAGGAACTCAACAAACAGGCGGATTTCTTCAACTCTGGCCTTGCGGCTTTACGAAAGCTCGTGCACACACGAATGGAGGATTTGGATGACCCGGATGGGGAAGAGTATGCGGCCTCTTTGGATAGCCAGGAACAGATCTACGCGTACTTGGAGGTTTTGCAAAGCGTTTTGGATGCCCGAAAGTTGGCGCTTGTTGGAGGGGCTTCGGCCTCGTCCGAAAGCGTGGCAAAGTCAGAAATGTTCCGTGCCCTCAAAGCTGGTGCCCAGGAGACAAAACCAGCGGCCTGTGACAATCCGAACCTCGCCTATACTGTGTTGCTCGCTAAGATCAAATTTTCCGTGCGGGAAAAGAACGAGGCGAGCGCGGTGTTCCGGAAGGTATCGAAAGCTGATGCGATGGCTCAGGTGAGAGAGCTCCAGAACTGCTTGGAGAGCGAGAAAAAGGCGATAGCAGGGCTTCAGAAGGTGTTGGGGTCGTGCAACGCGATTTACAACGCAAAGATCCAGTATTACAAGCAGTTACAGGAGATTTCTGATAACGTAAGAGCGTTTGACGGAGAAACGGCGGAGAAGGCTATGGAGGGCCAGGGAGAGAAGGAGAGAAACCTTGACGATGGTGTCAATCCTGGAGGGGTAAGAAGCCAAAATGGGGGTCGTTCAAGAGAACGGAGTCAAGGTTGGGGAAATTCGAGACAAAGTTCACAAGCCAGAGAAGGTTCAAGCGAAAGTTCTCAAACTGCAAGTGGATTGGAAAACTCTCAGGTTTCTTCCCAGAGCTCCAGAGATACTCCATCGGGGGAAAATACGCTTCTGGAAAGCCTTCTCGCGAAACTGTTAGATTCGGAAAGAAAGCTCCTCCAAAGTATCCGCGCCAACGAATCGCTTCTGGCACGGGTTTCCAACCGGTTAAAGTACCTCGACACGCTCTGCAAACCCGAAACCAAGGAGCTGGACCGATTGTGTGTCATTTGCCGGTGCGAGATCCGCATTGGGTCCATCATTCAGTGCGGCCACAAGTTCTGTAAGGAGTGCCTAGACGAGTGGAGCCAAGGCCACCGGACGTGTCCGTTATGCAAAGCGGCGTTTTCCGGGCCTGATGTCTACAACTTCACGTACCAGTCAGCAGCAGAAGTAACCGTTGCCAGAGAAGCCTCCCACTCGAGCCATCTCTTCCAGGTGTACCACGAGATGGACCATGAGTCAGCGGCAGAGATTGATGGCATGACTCTCGCGGACAATTTTGGGTCCAAGGTGGATTTGGTGGTGAAGAACGTGCTCTGGCTTCGGGCGAAGGATCCCCGGGTCCAGATCGTTGTCTTCAGCCAGTGGCTGGCATTTCTTCGCATCATTCAACACTCGCTAGAGCGGAACAAGGTGACTTCTTTGACGTTTAAGAAGGATGCGGCGACGCGGTTCAAGCGGGACCCCTCGGTGACATGTTTCTTGCTCAATACGAGAGACCAGGCTGCGGGCTTGACGTTAGTCAATGCCAGCCATGTGTTTTTGTGCGAGCCGTTGGTCAACACCGCGCTCGAGCTCCAGGCGATCTCGCGGATTCACCGTATTGGCCAGCAGCGGCCCACCACCGTATGGATGTATGTAATTTCCGAGTCCGTGGAGGAATCAATTGCCGTCATGGCCACGGAACGGAGGTTGCACTTGCTCGGAAGGGCCGACGAATCGGCAGTAGATTCGCTCCAATTAGCTGATGGCACTGGCGAGATGGTTGATGCCAAGGGCCATGGCGGAGAGGTGGTGGGTGATAAAGACTTATGGTTGGCTTTTTTTAGCAATAGGAGTTAGCTTTAGGTGGATTAATTTGAAGGTTTAGAGGTTGCATGGTGTAAGGCGGAGGAGATTAGACGAAGCAGGGTATTACTTCCGGCTGCGGAGGACGTAGACATTATTCATGGGCAGCTATTGGTATAAGCAGTGTCAACAATATTGAAGATGAATAGAAGGTTTCCGGCTGCCGAGGTTGTGTATTTGGATTGTGCAGTTAACCAAATCTAAACGGCAGGAAGCAAACTTCATTCACAGGGGACTTTCCGTGGGGTAGAATTTGTCCAATTACCGTTTAGCTTATAAGATTAGCTCATGAAAATTTCTAAAAATACAATGATAGTGACTCTGGGTAGGTCTGGAACCCTTAGTACAGGTGCTTGGTGTTGAGTTGTGAGCGGAGAGCCTCTTAGCATGTATTCGTGTTGAAGTGGAACGTAAATATGCTATCACGATACATGGAGTTGTAAGTGCTTCGATTGGGTTTGAGGATACACAGGGAGAGTGACAAACGATTCTTTGAAAGAGGTACTCACAGAAGCAATTGTCATATTGACGAAATATTCAGATATACGCTAATCGTATACTCTAGCTAGAATTGAGCGACAATTATAGAGAACTGAATATTATCTTACACGCCTTTTGTTTTTGAAATTCTAGCATCCGCTGGATAAAACATCAAACCATTTTTATATGTATTGCCACCACTCTTCTGTGATTGGCTTGGAAGAAGGTATAACAGGGTCAAAAATGCACAAGAATTTCTCTAATTAGACATTTCAGTCAACCTAAATTAGAATTGCCTGGGGGGTTTTCCGAGACAAAGGCTAGATGAAGCTCTATATGGGACGATAAATAGAAGCTGGTCCCAGGATGGGATAAAGGCGCAAGAAATTCGTCATAAACAAACTCCTTCGGCTTAGTCCTTGACCTTAATATAATCGCAAAAGAATGGTCCTGCGATTATGATACTTTTATACAAGTACTGAGTGCGGCTCACCATATGTATGCCGTGCAGCAAGGCACATACAACCTCGAAGACCAGATCAGTGCCCCCAAGAACCGGCCAAAGTCACCCATTTAACCATCGAAATGACGGTTGATCAGAAACCTTTCCGCAGAGTACACTCCGTGAATGAGATTAAAAGCCAAAAAAAAGGGTTACACACTATGCCAGTCAAACATACACGGCTAAAAGCAGCTACGAAAAAATCAACCACGGGTTGGATGGCTCTGGTTAGACATATAAGCCTCAACCATACATAGGTTGAAGCGCTTATTCAAGCGGTAGAGTATACAACAGGGCATTACATTGCCCACACAGCATCCTTACCAGAGAGGAGGATAGCGTGGGGCTCGATCTTGTCTATATTCTAAGCTTCCAGGGAGACTGTTGTTGCGGACCGATAGTTGAGCAAACTTATACCTAAGTCGTATGCTTCCAGCTCAGCCCTATTTCAATGCCTATGCTTACACTGATAAGGGCTCTTGAAGGACACGCATGTGTTCTCAGGTTGTTTACTTCCACGTGATCAAGATCCGTATCAACGAAGGCCATACATGGCTCCCATGTGCCGGACAGTACTTATGCGTAATTATCAGCCTTGAGTATGGACATGTGTAAGGCACGCACATGAAGAAGGATGATTGGCCCACCAAGAGCTACACATCGCATCGAGAACAAACAAATTTCCAGAGTAATATGCTCACACACCCAGACAATCTAATCCCTTTATAGCTTCAATTCGACCCCTTACCCGGCAACAGCATGGCTGAGGCGTAATCCTCAGCACACTGTGCAGGAGTGAAAAAATTTTAACAGCCGAAAAAGAAACGACAGAAAATTTTTTCCCAGCGCGAAAAGAAACGTCGTGCAAAATCGGTTTAAAAAGAACAGCCGCCCGTATTTACACGCCCATATTTTGGCCCTCTTCTTCTTCTTTTTTTTTTCCTCAGTACAACGCTTACAATGTCTGCTGCTAGTGAACAAAAATACTCTGTTGAGGTTCTCTCAGAGCTTTTCAGCAAGATGGCTGTTGCCGGTCCAGAAGACCGCAACGCCGCTGCCGGTAACTTGGCCAACTTCTTGAACGGTTCCATTATCGAACACGACGTCCCAGTCGTTTTCTTTGAGCAATTGGAATCTTCCCTTATCGGCAAGAAGGATGAAACCGTTGTCGTCAATGCGTTGGAAGCCATCTCCCACATTGCTTCCGAGTCCAACTTGTCTCCATCAGTTGAGCCATACATTGTCGCCATGGTCGAGTCCATCTCCGCCAAGGCCGGTGACAAGTCCAAGGATGTCCAGGCTGCTGCCAACAAGGCTTTGTGGATGATTGCTCACTCCATCACCCCATCTGCCATCAAGATCCTCTTGCCAAAGCTTACCACTTTGTTGTCTTCCACCTCTAAGTGGCAGGAAAAGGTTGCCTTGTTGGCCACCCTTGCTGAGTTGGTCAACTCTTCCCACCACCAGTTGGCCTTGAGAATGCCTGAATTGATCCCAGTGTTGTCCGAAACCATGTGGGACACCAAGTCTGAGGTCAAGAAGGCCGCCACCGCCACCATCACCAAGGCCACCGAGACCGTCCACAACAAGGATATCGAGGTTTTCATTCCAAAGTTGGTTGAGTGTATCGCCAAGCCAACTGAGGTCCCAGAAACTGTTCACATGTTGGGTGCCACCACCTTCGTTTCCGAAGTCACCATGGCCACCTTGTCCATCATGGTCCCATTATTGTCCAGAGGTTTGGCTGAGCGTGACACCGCCATCAAGCGTAAGGCGGCCGTCATTGTCGACAACATGTGTAAGTTGGTCGACGATCCACAGGTTGTTGCTCCGTTCATGGCCAAGTTGTTGCCAGCCTTGAAGGCTAACGTTGCCACCATTGCCGACCCAGAGGCCCGTGATGTTACCCTTAGAGCTTTGAACACCTTGAAGAGAGTCGGTGCCATCGGTGCTGACGACGTCATCCCAGAGTTGTCCACTGCCGGTGACGTCACCGTCAACTTGGATATTTTGAACCAGTTGACCGCCGAAAAGAACGTCGCTCCAAGATTCGACCTCGTCAAGACCTACGCCGCTGCCATTGCCGGTGACTTCATCGACGAGCGTGTCATTGACCAGGAAGCCTGGTTGAAGACCATCACTCCGTTCTTGACCATCTTCTTGCACGAGAAGGAGGCCAAGGAAATCGTTGACGAATGGAGAAAGAGAGCCATCGACAACATTCCAGTCGGTCCATCTTTCGAAGACGAGGAAGACGAGGGTGAGGACTTGTGTAACTGTGAGTTCTCTTTGGCCTACGGTGCCAAGATCTTGTTGAACAAGACCCAGTTCAGATTGAAGAGAAACAGAAGATACGGTCTCTGTGGTCCTAACGGTGCCGGTAAGTCTACCTTGATGAGAGCGCTTGCTAACGGCCAAGTCGAAGGTTTCCCAACCCAGGAAGAGTGTCGTACCGTCTACGTCGAGCACGACATCGATGGTACCGAGGCTGACATGTCCGTTGTCGACTTTGTCTACGGTGAGGGTGACTTGGGTTCCCGCGAGGACATTGAGGTCAAGTTGAGAGAATTCATGTTCTCCGACAACATGATTGCTGGTTCTATCCACTCCTTGTCTGGTGGTTGGAAGATGAAGTTGGCCTTGGCCAGAGCCGTCTTGAAGAACGCTGACATTTTGTTGTTGGATGAGCCAACTAACCATTTGGATACCGTTAACGTTGCCTGGTTGGTCAACTACTTGAACACCTGTGGGATTACCTCTATCATTGTTTCCCACGATTCCGGTTTCTTGGACAAGGTTGTCGAGTACATTATCCACTACGAAGGTTTCAAGTTGAGAAAGTACAAGGGTAACTTGTCCGAGTTCGTCAAGAGAGTCCCATCTGCCAAGTCTTACTACGAGTTGGGTGCCTCCGAGTTGGAGTTCCTGTTCCCAGCGCCAGGTTTCTTGGAAGGTGTCAAGACCAAGCAGAAGGCTATTGTCAAGGTCTCTAACATGACCTTCCAGTACCCAGGTACCACCAAGCCACAGATCATGGACGTTAACTTCCAGTGTTCTTTGTCTTCCAGAATTGCCGTTATCGGTCCAAACGGTGCCGGTAAGTCCACCTTGATTAACGTCTTGACCGGTGAATTGTTGCCAACCGAGGGTGAAGTCTACGTCCACGAGAACTGTCGTATTGCTTACATCAAGCAGCACGCTTTCGCGCACATCGACTCCCACTTGGACAAGACCCCATCGGAGTACATCCAGTGGAGATTCCAGACCGGTGAAGACAGAGAAACCATGGACAGAGCTTCCCGTGTCATTAACGAGAACGATGAGCAGCTCATGAACAAGATCTTCAGAATCGAAGGTTCTTACAGAAAGATCTCTGGTATCTCCGGTAGAAGAAAGTTCAAGAACACCTACGAGTACGAATGTTCTTTCTTGTTGGGTGACAACATTGGGTTGAAGTCCGAGAGATGGGTCCAGATGATGTCTGTTGACAACGCCTGGTTGCCAAGAGGTGAGTTGGTCGAGTCTCACTCCAAGATGGTTGCCGAGGTGGATATGAAGGAAGCCTTGGCCTCCGGTCAGTTCAGACCATTGACCAGAAAGGAAATCGAAGTCCACTGCTCCATGTTGGGCTTGGAAACCGAATTGGTTTCTCACTCTCGTATCAGAGGTTTGTCTGGTGGTCAGAAGGTCAAGTTAGTCTTGGCTGCCTGTACTTGGCAAAGACCCCACCTTATCGTCTTGGATGAGCCAACCAACTACTTGGATCGTGACTCCTTAGGTGCTTTGTCCAAGGCCTTGAAGGGCTTCGAAGGTGGTGTCATTATCATTACCCACTCTGCCGAATTCACCAAGGATTTGACCGAAGAAGTCTGGGCCGTTTTGGACGGTAAGATGACTCCATCCGGTCACAACTGGGTCCAGGGCCAGGGTGCTGGTCCAAGATTGGAGAAGAAGGAAGACGAAGGTGACAAGTTCGACGCCATGGGTAACAAGATTGTTACCAAGGAAAAGAAGAAGAAGTTGTCTTCTGCTGAAATCAGAAAGAAGAAGAAGGAAAGAATGGCCAAGAAGAAGGCTATGGGTGACGACTACGTCTCCTCTGACGAAGATCTTTAAGCGGCATATTTTCATTACTGTAAATTGTTTTGGGGTCCTTGTTTGGTGACGTTACGCGAAACTTTTCTAATTTATTTTATCTTTTTAATACTTTTCGTGTCTATTATATTTTGCAATATATCATAGAATTTATATATAAACTCTATTGTAAGTGAGGCTGATGGAAAATTGGCTGTCCTAGCATGAAGGCGGACTTAATATCTCCAAATCGGGGTTGGCAAGCGGCTCAGGAAACCTAATTAGCGTTCCATGATCCGAGGGGGTTAATCCTTTGAACCATTGCTTGTTTGTTCGCCACTATTATTGAAAGTTCAAGGTTGTATCTTTTGTAAACTCTAGCGTATTTTACCGTTTCCAACTCCTAGACAAGCCTTGATTACTCAATATGTCTGTGAGATTTGAAACCCCACATTTGACCTTCCGTGCGATTACGTACAAAAACTGCAACGAGCCGTTCCAAATCACCGAGGAAACCATTACCTTGACCAAAACCTCCAATGAGGGCTACACTGTCGGAGACGATGAGCTTTTGGTTGAAGTTCACGCCGCTGCGTTGAATCCCGTTGACCTTTACCTCTACAACAGCAGTTACTGGATTTTTGGGAATAAACCCAAGGGGCTAGGCCGTGACTACTGCGGGGTAGCGGTAAAGGTCGGCAGCAACCTTTCCGCAAAGTTTTCAGTTGGTGATAGGGTAGCAGGGGTTTACACGAGACCATTTGGCCCCGGAACCGTTTCGGAGTACGTTCTTATCAACCACAAGAAGTTCGGTTCCACCCTGAGAGTCCCTCCAGGAGTTTTGTTGACCGATGTCGAACTAGCAGCCTGGCCATTGGTGTTTAGTACGGCCGCCGAGGCCTTGGAGGTTCACAGAGGTTCCAAGCCGATCGGAAAGGACTCTGTTGTGTTAGTCATTGGGGGTGCTACCGCCGTGGGCCAAAACTTGATCCAATTGGCGAAGAATCATTACCAGGTGAAGAAGATCGTGAGTGTCAACTCTGCTAGCTCTAATGCGTTTGTCACAGGGTTGGGGGCTGACTACACGATCGACTACACCGTGCACCAAAACCTCCTTAAACCCACCTTGGAGATTATCAAGACCGAATTGGAGGGTGAAAAATTCGACTTTATCATGGATACGGTCGGTGGGTCGGACTATTTTTCGGATATTAATCTGGTCTTGAAGCCGAGAAAGGAAGGGTCAGGGTACGCTACAATTGTGGGTGACCAGAAATCTAACTACGTTTCCGCCAACATTTTTAAAGTCTTGACGTTTTTCGGGATATTCGCCAGGATAATCAGCAGTGCCTTGGGCTGGGGATTCAAATACAGTTATTTCCTTCTCACTCCATCTGAGAAATACACCTCATGGGCTATGGATATGTTTGAGGAAAAGAAGTTGAAGGTTACGGTAGATTCCTGCTACGCCTTTGAAGACCACCAGAGTGCACTTGCCAGACTTTCCTCGAACAGGGCCCAGGGGAAGATTGTTATCAAGGTTAAGAAATCTTTATAAGTGAGGAAATGAATTGGATTCTCACCGATCAGTTTTTCTTTTCAATTGTTATTTTTATTTAAATTTCACATATTTTTAAATTTTAATAAGCCTTGTACGTAATTCAGCCTGCTCGTTGTCTATTATAGGTATGTTATACGGGGCTGGCATACATCCCACGTTGCTACATTTCCGGTATAAATAAGCGGATGACGAAAATGATGGGGACTTTGGCGGCAGTGGAGGCGCACCGTTTTCTGAGGCTGAAAGCTCGTCTATACACAAACGCGGAAAATTGATGCATGTGCAGGGGGTTCAGCTTTGGCAAACTCTTTGAACTCTGAACCTGGTTATATAACATGGCTGAAACATACTATATGATATTATTTCACCTGTATAAAATGGTCAGTTATTGCATATACGGCCTATATGAATTTTTACCCGATAAAACATGCTATGGAAAGGATTATTGGGTAAGGCAATGACGATAGGAATGCTCCCATGGGCCATGTTTCTCGTTGATAGATGCGAACCAGTACCTGTCTACTACAATAAATCTCGCCCATCTAAACATGATGAAATTGAATTCGGGGTTCCCAGGAAATATCTCAACTCTAGCATTGATATAAATCGGCTCCAGGAGACGAACTCCTCTTACGGTTGGCTTAACCAAAGTATGGGGTCTGTCAGGTCCAACACCTACGCTCCATACACCGTCTTGTGTCCAACCGAATCGTTGGTTAGACCCGCAAAGGTTTGTTGTTTATTCTATACTCACAGAGATTTACTAACCCTTTCCCAGGGGCTACGGAGGGAAGAGGAGGAGTACATAGCTAACCGACAGAAGCTAACCCAGCACTCGGTACGAAGCTTCTTGCACAGAGTCAACATCACCAATTTTGACTACGACGGATTCCTTCTTCAGCTGGCTAAACCCATTACTCTTGGAATTGCCATCTCTGGAGGGGGCTACCGGGCCATGTTGACGGGTGCCGGTGTCTTGGCCGCCTTGGACGAACGCACTCAGGCTTCCGAGGGTGCTGGACACCTAGGTGGGTTATTGCAATCAGCTTCTTACATTTCTGGAACTTCTGGTGGGTCATGGTTGATTATGTCGCTCGTGTTCAATGACTACCGACCTGTCGAACTGATGATGGACGAGCCTCTGGGACTGTGGGACTTTGAAGAACCGCTCTTGGAAGGCTTGGGAATGGCAAAGGCGGTGGAATCGGTTCCAGTTTCTGCTGTCAATACTTCTATACGAACATATCACGGTAACAGCACCGTAGACGGACGGCTGAAGCCCCTAATTCCGATGGTCAGGAAGAAGAACACGCTCCAGGCGTGGGTGGGGCAGAACGACCAACTAGTATACAAACGGGATGGTACTCGGAATAACACTTGGGATGGTACTAGTGATATTACTAGGAATAACACTTGGGACATGTCCGAAAAAGACCGGTATAACAAACTGACTCTGAAACCCCGGACTAAACGCGACCTCTGGACCAAACTTGGGGTCAGAAAATCCTCCAACGGGACAGAATCCGAGTCCTTCTTTTTTGAAATGCTCAAAACCTTTCTCCCGGCGGCGGAGGCCAAAAACGAAACTGAATTCACCAGTGCCGATGTGAGCATTACCCAGGTGATTTCCGCTGAAACCATGAAAAACTCAGCCTCCTCGCTCAAAAAAGTTTTTGCCTTCTACAGAGACATCCAGCTTGAGGTTCGGCCAAAGAAACTCTCGGGTTTCTACATCTCCCTTACAGATTACTGGGGGCGGGCCCTAGCCGGAAAGATTCTCCCACGGGGGTCCAGATCTCCTGGAACTACCTTTTCCAGCATTCCCAGTCTCTCCTCCTTCCAGAAATACCACCAACCATTCCCGATTGTATCCGCAAATGCCAAGTGGCCGTCCAAGAAAGCATCTAACTTGGCGTCGTACGTTCTTGAATTTACCCCCTACGAGTTTGGCTCGTGGGATTCTCATATTAGGGGCTTTACCGACTTGCGGTTTCTTGGAACCATGGTTGACAATGGAGTGCCGGTGGTCAGAACTGACAATGCCAATGTTTCCCTCTGTACCGCTGGCTTTGACAATGCTGGATTCATTGCTGCCACCTCTTCTTCTCTCTTCAACGTGGTTCTCATGAGGGTATGGGAGTTGGTCAATACCAGTCGTGGCGGTCATTCAGCGGTGGAGCGGATTTTGGCAGTGTTTGGTTTGTCGTCAGCACGATCCACCGCTGCGTTTCTAGGACCTCTTCCGGACTATGCCTTGTATACCCCCAATCCGTTTTACGGGTATAGCCCCGGGGTAAAAACCGATAAAGGTTGGGGGTACAATCTGGGAAACAGCAAAGAAAGCTACGGTAACCAGCGGAACGAGGAGGATACTGGGTCTAACGGTTCACACACAGAACTGAACCACGGCAACGTTCCTTTAAGTAATAGAGAGAATGATAAAACCGAACAGATATCAACTGCTCGCAATCTTTACCTTGTGGATGGTGGTGAAGACGGCCAGAATATCCCGTTCCAGCCCTTGTTGCAGAAAGAGAGAGCCGTTGATATGATTTTCGCGTTGGACATGACTTCTGATATAGACAACTGGCCTAATGGGACCGCGCTTGCGCTGACTGCCCAGCGGTTCCATGCGAATTTCAGTCTGGTAGAGACTCCACGGTTCTACTTACTGGAGAAAGGAGTCCCGGTCCCCACTCCACGGGCCGTCTTTCCGCAGGTTCCCTCGATGGAAGAGATGGTTGAATGTGGATTTAACAAGAAACCGGTCTTTTTTGGGTGCTACATTGACCGTTCTTACCCTGAGTTAGCACTAGCTACAACCAGCGAAGAGGAGATTTATGATAATACAGTGCTCCCACCGCTCATTGTTTATCTTCCAAACAGCCAGTATACGTATCTCTCCAACACCTCTACGTTTCAACTCTCCTATTCATCAACGGAAATGCGGAAAATGGTGGAAAATGGATACGGTATCGCCACGGCTGGAAACTCTACGGCGGATGAGAGCTTTACCCAGTGCGTGGGCTGTGCGATGGTGAAACGGGAATTTGATCGAATAGCCATGGGTGTAAGTGAGATTCCTTCTGACCACTTTTCCATCCCCGAAACCTGCCTCCAGTGCTACTCACGGTACTGTTACATTCCACCATCTGGTGTTACTACGAGGGACTATTTTTAAATCGTAGTTGGTTATTTTTAAATAGCTAAAAGACTAAGCAAAGGTTGTGAGAAGAAAAACCGCCGTCTAAGCAACCACCGCACCAGGCATGAAGAATGGCTTGACGGTGAAGTAACTGTTTTCTTGGTCACTCATACCTCCAAACATGTTGTAGAAACCCATGATGGAGCAGAGGACACCCAAAATGCCACCGGCCTGGTTCCAACCAGGCGATTGAATCAACGCCCCAACAGCAAGACACAAGACAAAGGTCCACACAAAAAAGAACAAGGCGCAGAATGCCCACGTGGATTTGAAGGTCAAAATCCAGCATAAGAAGGCAAAAATCGCCCAGGCCATTAAGTACAAGCCGATGGCGTTTTCAAATTCTTTGGTGGTGGCATAGGCGTCCGCAAGAGCGAGCGGTTTGATCAAGATGAAGGCGTAGCTGCACCAAAATCCCCCGAAACACGAAAAGACGGTGCCACCAAAGGTGTTTTCCACGATAAGACACCACATCCCGGCCAAGATCTCAAGCAACCCGGACACAAAGATAAACGCCCCAACCAAGACGGATGGGCTGGTAACATCCCTGGCACGGGCATTAATCAACGAGAGGGTAAACACGCAAATACTAAAGGAAGCAAGTCCGAGTGGAGCAGGGTTACCGAACTTGCGCTCAGGTTGAGAGTAGGTTCCGACTCTGAAGTCACCACCGTATGGAAGGAGGGCTTTGGTGAATTCTTCTTTATCATAATGGTGACTCCCCAACTTTACATACCTGCCGCATTCAGATGTTTGGATCTTGGTGAGGACGGGGCCTTCTATGATAGAGGTGCCAGCGTTCTTTTCGAGGTCGCTAAGGTCGTTAGATGCTGGAGTGAGCGCCTCGGGGTTGTATACGTTGGACATGGTCAACTGTGGTTTAGGTTTGATAGTTATAAACTTAGGCTTACTTAGGCGTAATGATGAGGATGATTTTTTGGTATCGGATGACACACAAAATGGATAAATACAAGGATATCTGACGCTTTTATACACAGCAGCCCTTAGCGGAGACTTCAGAAACTACTGGCCCTTGGTCTGAGAATTCTCATGGTCGATTCGTGTTACAAAGGCAACCCCGCAGAATTAATAAAAATCATTCCATCTTTGTAGGTTATCGTAGCATGGAAATTGGGCTTGCGAAGAAGTGGGGTGCGTCGCGCCCCGCTATAATTAGGATCCTGCTATCATGCACATGCACCTGGGGCTGGGACCCATTGATGCGTAATGACAGGATTAACCTTTAAATGAGGCTATCCTGGCTCTCCATAGCTCCGGAATCGAATGCAGGATGTCACTCCGAAAGCTCTAGCGTGTACAGAAGAATGTCGCATTCCCCTTCAGGTAACAGGAGCCCCGCTCCTCTGTAGGCTCTCAGGCATAAAGTTTCCGTCTGGTGCCCCTCTTCCATACAATCAACTAGTAGGGTGTACGAACCCAGCCAACAGTTTAAGCTTTTTTCGATTTAGAGCGGAGCCGATACCAGGGACTATTCGTTGGATAGCGTTTTTATAGCTTCAGAGGGGTGACATTCGGGGTAGCTACAAGAGCAACCTCGGGAAACCGGAGTAATGAAGCGGGTAAAGGGGTCACCCCAACCATCCAAGCATTATTACAGATTTATGAGCCTTCATGTTTCAATAAGTTTTGCGGTAACCGTACGTCGGATACAGAAGTTGCCTTGTAGAAGGTGTCCTCCATAGGGATTTTAGAAATGTAACCACGACATGGTACGACGCATTTAAACCATATATATCGTACCAGTAATTTATTCAGACAATCTGGACTCCAGTATATAAACGTATAGTCATAAAAGGAATATCCTATGTAGGCTATAATGATAACTTGACCGAATTACGCGACTTAACGTCGGCGAACAATATGCACAAGAGACAAAGCTGTGAGTTACCACGGGTCTAGCCATAAATGGCATTTCCAATGTGGGTTGTACCTATGATCCGTACCCTTACTACGCGTTAAAAGTTACTTGATATCTTTACAGGCTAAATACCAGACTCTGATTATATTTAGTACGCTTAATCACGCCGTGAACCTTCCAATCGGACAACTTTGTCTTTTGATACACAGACGTGAATTCACGTAACAGTGCAAAAGTGCAAGTTAGGAAGGCTGCAATACTACCTTAACTTAAACTGGAATCACGGCACCTGGCATGAACAATGGCTTGCATGTGACGTAGCTGTTTTGTTTGTTAGACATACCTGCAAACATATTATAGAAAGCCCCCATGGAGCAAAGGAAGCCACAGATACCACCAGCCTTGGTCCAGGCAGCGGAGTGGAGCAAGTTCCCAAGAGCAAGACACAAGTAGGTGGTCCACACAAAGATAAATGTGATAAAGAAGGCCCACGTGGACTTGAAGGTCAAAATCCAAGCACAAAAGCCAAAAATGGTCCAACCGCACAAGTACAAGCCAATGGCATTCTCTAACGCCTCAGGTGTGGCGTAGGCCTCCGTGAGCGCGAGTGGTTTGATCAAGATGAAGGCGTAGCTGCACCAAAATCCCCCGAAACACGAAAAGACGGTGCCACCAAAGGTGTTTTCCACAATAAGACACCACATCCCGGCCAAGATCTCAAGCAACCCGGCCACGAAAATAAACGCTCCAACCAAGGCTGATGGGCTAGTGACACCTCTGGCACTGAGATTAACCAAAGATAGAGTAAACAAGCAAATAGCAAAGGAGGCAAGTCCGAGTGGAGCAGGGTTACCGAACTTGCGCTCAGGTTGAGAGTAGGTTCCGACTCTGAAGTCACCACCGTTTGGAAGGAGCGCTTTGGTGAATTCTTCTTTATCGAAATGGTGATCGCCCAACTTTACAAACTTCCCGCAATCGGACGTTTGAATCTTGGTGAGGACGGGGCTTTCTATGACAGAGGTGCCGGCATTTTTTTCAATATCGTTGGTGTCGTTGGAACCGATGACATACATCTGCGGATTATGTTCGTTAGACATGATAAATGTAGTTTATAAAGTGCTTCAACCCTGTAACAGCTGGCTTACTAGGTGGTGAATACCAATGGTGGCTCAGTATTCGATAGGAAAAGAATCGTGAATGAATATATCCGAGGGTATTGGGCCCTTTTATAGCTAACCTGGCAGACTTTCCAGAAACAAAGTGTCAATATCCTTGGGCGGTTTATCAGACATTAGTCCGTATAAACAAGGTGAGTACAACCCAATGGATTCAATCAATAAACTATAAGCGAGTTTCTCTACGTGAAAGAACCGGGGAATTCTACCGCATGCGATTTGCGCTCTGGGAGTCTTGCATATGCGTCTAGAGTCCGGGCATGCACACGGGAATATGGCATGCTAGTGTTTATTTAACCGTTTGTCCAAACTTCCGGGTTTCCATACAGGATGCATGTCACGAAAGTAGTGATATTCCCTATTTTAAAGCAATACCCCGCTTGGAGAAAAAAAAATACAACTATGATTTATATACCGAGTTACCATTTTCGTTACATCTATATAGGCGATTTCTCAATCATATCGGGCGGGAGTAGGACTCAGTTCAAAGGTCATGCATTATGGACCTCCCGCCCAGCCTGCGCCGTATTCACGTTGTTTGTTGGGTGACTCATATATTTATACTTGCGTACAAGTATTATGGCAGGTATTCGCCCATCAATATTTCAAGCATTTCAGTTATGTATGTCTTCGGAAATATAGCCACTTTAACATACATTACATATTGCCAGTAAGGTAATTTAGTATACGCAAGGTGAACGGAAGTTTGACTGCTGGAACACCGAGGTACCCTTGTTAGAGCGGGCTATATTGGTATGTAGTTCAGCAAAAACCTTAGTCTAGGTAAAATAGAGGTTGATACTTTTCTTTTATATACTATACCTTGGGAAAGAACCTAAGCTAGTGAAAAATACTCCAGGTATTAAACTGGTATCCTGATTTGCTGGGAATACTCCAATAACAACCAATAAGGTTTTGGTTGATGCGGTTGGGCGAAATCTTTTCTTCGTTTCTAGGCGTCACCACGTCTACATGCTCGAAGACGTATTTCGGATTTATGGTCCCAGAAAGTGCGGGAACCTGTTTATTTGTTCCACTCAACCTTATTTAAATTTTTACAAGGAATGAGTTGAATACGAAGTGTCCATTCTGTTGTAAGCGGGGTTATCTAAGTTCAACCTCGGATCAGCTTTGGCGTTAATTCCTTTCCGAACTATCAGATTATGTGTCTCGTCGTTTACTGACGTCGATGAATACCATTTTAATTGTGTGCCTTATGCTATATAGTTCATAAAAACATGTATAGATACGAATATATATGTATATGGATACATTTATATCTTACACCTATACCGGAAATTGCATAGTATGTATAAATTTCAGATTTAGAAATTGTCAAACGAATGAGAAATGTGTACCGATTCGTAATTATTGTATATAATATGGACAGGGCTCATATATTAAATTTACAAATATTAAGAAAGTATGTACTTGCAAACAATCCATGTCTTAAACTCCGCAAACTTTTTCATATTCTCTCGGAGTGGCCAAGTTGGCTAAGGCGCGGGACTGTAATGTTAAATTGAAATCCTGAGATCGGGTGTTCGAATCACCCTTCCGAGATATTTTTTTTACCCGTCCAAACATGAAGCCTGCATGGAACTGCATTCAGTTTCGGAGATTTCTTCACTCTTTAACAGTTCACGGCATCTACCCATCTCTCCACCACATCAGATACAAATGGCTGCCTTTCTTGACCAAATCCTCCTTGAAGATGTAAGTACTGACCCCATTCTATCTGTCGTTTTGTGGCGCCTTGCCAGCTGTGAGACTAACCCTCTAGATCGCAAAGAACTGCCCTCAGCAGTTCATATCCTTCCAGCAATGCATGAGCAACACCGGCGGCGATATCCGTCCGTGTCTTGACCTCCAAAAGAATTTGGCGGCGTGTATCAAGACCGAGGTACCAGCCTTGCAGAGAATCCAAACAGACTGCAAGGACAAGTTGCTCGGTTACGAATCGTGCTTAAAGAAGAACATGGGTGATGTCCAGCAGTGTGCCGATGGTCTCACCGAGTTGAGAGAATGTGCCACCGGTACGTTCAGCAAGGAAGAGTTAAACGGTGCCTTCAACACCTTGAAATAAATCTGTGAGCTGGATAACCAGATAGGCGTGTATATAGACAATGCAAGCACAATGACCTTTGTGTAGCCATCCAATGCCATTTATCAACGGTAGGACCCAGGAAGCAGATGAAATACCCAAGGTGCTACGGCAATACAAACAATGCACCGAGCTTCAGATGCCTGTGTGAGCAGTCCTGATATACGTCACCGCTACAAAACTTATTCTATAGATAGCATCTAGCGTATAGTTCATGCGAGGTTAACTATATTATTAGCATAAGCCTCAGAGTAGATCTTTCACACAAATACTCATGACACGCTCTTCATTTTTTCGAAAAATGCCAGGACTTGCATCTCAAACTCCGGCGACATGGTCCGAAAGATCTGCAAACCTTTCTCAAGCTCTTTCCTGATGCCTCTTAGTTTTGCCATCTGGTTGCGGGCCAACCTTGGGTTTTCGCTGGTCATTACACGGCCCACCACGTAGCATAAATATCCGTAACAGTGGCCAGTGAGCGAGTCGTCCTCCTCGATACGCAACCACCAGGACAGGATCGCCTCGACCAAAGGGCCCAAATTCTTCTTGTACTTTAACTCGGGGAGCACCAGCGGAGAGGCAATGTTTTTTACCAACAACCCAAGTGCATAGAGCGGGGTTTCGCTGTTCTCGAGCCCGGACGGAACGGCAAAGTGCACCGCCAAAGTTACGACTTGCTCCACGAGGGCAGGCGAAAAGACCGCTCGCTTGTCGAGCAAGATAAGCAACTGCAATGCTTCATTTAACGCACTAACCCTGGGGTCATGGGCGGTTTTACACGCAAAAACCTCCTCAGGACTGATGCTTTCCACAAAGGCAGCGATATTGTGTGCAAAAGCCTGGAGTCCTTCGTCAGACAGGACGTGCGGAAGAGTGTGTTTAACAGACAAAAGCGCGAGGGTGGTGTTTATGTACTCTTCTTGGGAAGATAAGGCAGGGTTTGCACCATACAGGCGGTTAAAAATCTCCAATACCGAGTAGTGGATGCTCTGAAGCGTCCGGAGGGCATTCTGCGCCACCATAGTCTCCCCCGAGCCGGCGATGTTGATCACGCACATGATAAGCTGGAAGGCAAAGTAGCTGGGAGAGATCAACTTTTCGGAGCTGACGTCGGGGATCTTTTTGTACCGTTCGTCCGTCACCCTCTGCAACTTTGCGTACAACTCCGCAAAGGCAATCTCGCAGATCTTGGAGACCCCCACCGTTTTCATGTGCACATTCAAGCTCTGATCCACCTCAAGCAACGAGGAGATGACCTGCGCAGTCTGGCAAGGATGCGATACGATCTGGGCATCCACCGCGTCCTGGGGGACCCCCAGAGCGGCCGAGTTATTGCACAAAACAACCCACGAGAGGAGCAACAGAAGCTGAAGAACAAAGTCCCCAGAGCTCCAAATTCGCTCCAAAACGTGCTCTGGGAAACCTCCCATGGTCTTGAACTCGTCTGCGAACGAAACATCAAACAACCTCAATGTGGTTTCCAACATGGCCGAGTGGTGCTGCGAGAGGGAGTTCCCTTCGAAACTCTCAAACGTGTAGAGGATATCCGAGTGTACCTTGCTTTTGGCTGCGGCTCTCAGGTCGTGGATGTTATTAGGTGGCTTTAACGGAGACGCTGTCGGTTCCTGGGAGGTTTCAGAGTCGGAAGCCTCATCACTGACATACGTACCGGGTTCGTCGTCTGGGGCGTAGCGAAAGCTTCGCATGGCTTTGTAGGTTTTGGTATCTGATTTCTCTACAAACGGAGAGAAATTAGATAAAGTATCCCTGTCTGGCCCATCCGGCACTGACCCGAGCTTTCGGCCGGATTCTGGCTTGGGGGAGACCCTTCCGGATGTGTAACTGGAGAAGTCGAGCTTCCGTGCTACCGACTGGGCGAACGTATCGGCTTCTATGCCGTGTCTGGGGACCTTTATCAGTACATTTCTCGTTGTATCAAACACTTTACGGGTCTTGGGGCTCTGGGTCACCTCCCGAGTGACTTCTTCCACCAAGTCCCAAACGTCAGAAGCTTTCGCCGCCGGGCTGTCTCCCAATTTTTGCTCCACTGAGGTCAGTAGTCCTGGGTGATATTTTGGACTTTTCGTTGGCCTTTTATTTTGCTTTTCCGTAGGTCCCTGTGAGTTTCCCTTTGATGTAACTCCCCCGGGGTTTACCCTTTCTTTCCTTGAACGCTTTAAACTCACTTCAGGTATATCCTTTCGAGTCGCCTTTTCTTGCTTGGGCATGGCTGACGCTATTTCGAAAGGATGTAGACGATGATTAGGCTTTTTTAAAGATGTCAGTTCTTCATAAGGAATAGTGCTCAGCCCATCCTGAACTATGTTCACTGGCGCAGTGAATTCGTCATCACTCAACGTAGTCGTTTGTCCACCCAGCTTGATCGTTCGGCGTCCGTGGTACGTCCGGCTTTTTGAGATGCGAGAACTACTTGTTGGGAAATCGTCATCTAGCATGATTGACGTTCTTGTGGATGGAGAAATGGTCAAATCGGTTCTGTTCAAAAGACGGTGGGAACCAGGGCTACGCTCGGGGGTCAAAAGGGGGCCTGAAGGCAAGGTAGTAGTTTCTGTGATTTTACGGTGGACGTCAACCTGTATATTCGTCGATCCAGTAGTTTCTGAGCCGTCGCTTGCCTCTTCATCATGTGTTGGTATCGCATTCTCCAGGTCCAGTGTCTTTGGTTTTCCCGGCTTGGCAGTTTTCGGAGCAGGCATAGAGGTGGCATCAGCTTGGCCGACCTTTCCAAACGATCCCAGAATCAGGACAGGATTCGCAATAAGATCGGTCGCTGTAAAGCGGGAGGTTTTGGATCTTCTCTCACTTCCCCTATCGGTGAGAAACCACGGAGCAGTGAGACCTTTCATCGCGGACAGCGATTCTGGGCGTCTTTGGGAGTTTGGGGCCATGTAGCTTATACCGTAACCAACTCTTTCGGGGATAGTACACACGAGGAAAGGGGGTGACTGGGTATATGGTTGGTATTTTGTGTCAATGATTTAGATGGCGAGTATGTCTAAGATACATTGGGTTGATAATGTGCAGGACAAAAAGAGTTCATAAAGGGCTACAAGTCCTTCCAGTCAAAGAATTAGCCTGGCTAGCTCAATCGGTAGAGCGTGTGACTCTTAGCAGTACGCGATCACAAGGTTGCGGGTTCGACCCCCGCGTCGGGTTCTTTTTTGGAATCAACCTTTGCGATTGTTTAAACTGGTGAATTATTAGACATCCGAATAGATCTTGAAAGAAACAGGGATGGATCACACGGATTAAGAGCTTTTCAAAAATATACAATTCGTTTATCTGTTTAATCTGGATTCCTCAGATCTATTTGGCTATATACAGTTTGTCAACTCGGTTTAATACAGACACCATGATTGTATTATACGATGTCGCCCATATCATATCTTGGTTCGCGTTACGCATTCACAAGACTTATTGACTCAAAATAGACTCCACCCTATCTCTCGTCGCCCTTCTCATCCCCTTGTAATCCATCGCCAACGCCCCACGCCCCGCGGTCAAACTCCGGAGCTTGCTTAAATATCCCAACATCTCTTTCAACGGCGCTTCGGCGGTCACAATCTGCCTCCCATGAATGTCATTCCCCTTCATGACAGCCATCGTCGGGTCATACGGCACATACGTACCGCTCGCCTCATCATTAGCCCACGCCATCCTCTCCAAATTATTCTCCGAATCCGAGTCAATGGACTCGATGACCGCATTTCTGGCAGCGGTCAAATCCTGCACAATGCTACCAACGTCACTGTCATTGACATGGACCTTGACATCCATGATCGGCTCGAGCAACGTGCACTGGTCGCGGTGTAACTTGCCAATGGCCTCCACCACTGCAAGACGCGTACAGGTGAGCAACGCCTTGAGATTGGTCGCTTCCACCGGCAAGTTCCACTCGGAAACGCGTACCACCACCGAGTGGAGCGGGAGCTTGACGATCGGGCCGGAGATCTGTAATGCCGCCGTCACTCCCGACACAATTCCGCTCATGATTGCACTGTGCTGGACCTGATAACACCATTCGATGTTCCCGGCCAACGCCTCTTGCACCTTCTGCGGCGCACCCTCGGGCGAGACAATCACGATATTGTTGTCCAACTCGAGTAACACGGCGTTCGCATCCTCCGCAAACACACTGTCCACGCTCTCACCTTCAAAGCCCTCCACGGTTAAGCTGATGCTGACAGACGCAGTCGAGCCATCGCACGGAAGCTCCTTGGTGGTGGTTTCCGTCACGGTCGTGATGGTTTCCTTGTAGGTGACCACAACCGCACCCATTTCGACGCGCGCCTTCATGTCTTTGATCAATTTGTCGCGGACAATCTCCAAGTGCAATTCGCCCATCCCGGAAATCAACGTGGACCCGGTGTTTTCATCCACACTCACGTGCAACGACGGGTCTTCTCTGACAATGATATCCAAACACTCCTCCATCCTTCTGCGGTCACCCGACGTGAGGGGCTCGATGGCAGAGCTGTACACCGGAGGGGGGATATCAATTGCGTTGAGCTTGAACTCCTGCTCAGCCTTCGGAAGCTTGGTCACCCCGTCTCGGGTGACCGCGTGCGCCACGATGGTGTCGCCGGTAACGACCTCACCTGCGGTGCCGGTAATGACACCAATGTTCCCGGCCACCAACTGGCCGATCTCGCGTGGCTGGTCCGCGTGCATTAAGAGCAACTTGCCAATCTTGAGTGACTGGCCCGTGCGTGTGTTGATGATCTTGGATCCCGAGATGAGCTTTCCCGAGTAGACCCGCACAAACACCAAGATGCCTCTGACGGGGTGGGTAATGACCTTGAACGCGAGCGAGAGCGATAACTTGGCGTTGTCGTTGATGGTCATAGCACCAGTCTTGGCATCGAACGCCACCGGCACGGTTGTTTGGACCCTCTTTGCCTTTTTCGTCTTGCCCATGGTCTCGCCGCGCGCCACGTGCGGAAGCTTTCCCTGGAGCGGCGACGGAAGGTACTCGACCACCGCATCGAGCAACGGTTGGACACCAATGTTGCGGAAACTGGCACCGCAGAGCACCGGCGTCGCGTAGCGTGCGAGCGTGGCCTTTTTCAACGATGTGCGGATTGCCAGCGCCGGCACCGCCATGTAGTTCTCGGTCTCAAAGAACACATCGATCAAGTCTTCGTCGTAGTTACCCAACGTTTCGATCGCCGCCTCTCTGCACTTGGCACATTCCTCGTACAATGCCGCCATCTCTGGATCCGCGGGGTCAGCAACTAGCTCCGTAACGTCAACCTTGGTGCCGTCATCAGAGCCGTCCCACACAAGGAGCTTCTTCTCAAGAACATCAACCACACCGCAGAACTTGAAGTCGTTCGAAGCGTCCTTCCGGAAGTACGGAATGGTGAGCAACACCACGCGGGTCTGGAGCTTCGACACAACCTCCTTCACCGTCCGTGAGAACCCCGCACCATCACGGTCCATCTTGTTAACAAACACGACGCTGGGGATGTTTAACGCGGCCGCCTGCCGCCACACCTTCTCGGTCTGCGCCTCAACCCCTGCCACCGCATCGAGCACGGTGACCGCACCGTCGAGAACGTGGAGCGACCGCGTGACCTCGAACGTGAAGTCCGCGTGCCCGGGCGTGTCGATAATATTGATTTTTTTGCCATTCCACGGGATTGTAATGGCCGCCGACTGGATCGTGATGCCACGGTCACGCTCCGCCGGGAGGTAGTCAGTCACGGTATCACCTTGGTCGACATTGCCAATGTGTTTTGTCGTTCCCGAGTAGAACAACATGCGTTCGGTGGTGGTGGTTTTACCGGCGTCAATGTGCGCAATGATCCCGATGTTGCGGGTGGAGTGTACCGGGAGATCATTGATGTCGGAGGCGTATCTGGATAAGCGAAGAGTGGCAACTCCAAACCGTGAGCAATCTGGAGCGGTAAAAGAAGCCAAACGAAGGGCATGAACTCTGAAGCGTCCGAGCTGTTTGGTTAGGATTAGTGACATTGGATAGACTAGTGGATGCAAATGGAGATTAATTGTGATGCAAAGTGGAGATTTTCGGAGTGTTTTGGTTACAAACGGACAGAATTTTAGTATATAGCTATACTGTAAACGGTAGTGATGTTTTGGATCAGTAATGAGGTTTGTGGTGACTGGATTCAGTCTCTGCACTAAATATCCTCGGATTCTTGTTTTAAAATGACCGATATGAAAATCGGAGGTTTATGAACAATCTCTAGCTGGTGAACGATGTCTTCAAATGTAAAACCTGGTGTCAACTTGTCGCCAGACATACCGCCAGGAATTTTCTCAGTCACGTGCCCCAATCTGCTCATCGCACATATTTTCGCCTCGACCATCCACTCTTCTCTTGCCGTATCCTTATATCCCAAACTCACTATGCAAGACTTTAATGTCACCGAGACATACCTTCAGTACCTTGCGGAAGACTCTGAGATTACGATGCCGATTGCGGCTATCGAGTCGCTCGTGTCGCTCATCCGCATCAAACAGCCATCGACCTCTGCCGAGCTCATCAACTTGCTTTCCGCCAATACCAAAACCTTGAAGGAGTCCATTCCGAACGCGATCTCGCTTTCAGCCGGCTGTGACTTGTTTATGCGCTTTATTCACAAGAACTTGCACTTGTACTCGGACTGGGACTCGTGCCGCACCCATTTGGTGGAGAACGGAGAGTTGTTTGTGATGCGTGCCAAGGAGTCGCGTCTCAAGATTGCCAATTACGGGTTGCCGTTCATCAAGGACGATGATATAATCTTGGTGCACTCTTACTCGCGTGTGGTGTTGCACCTGCTCAACCTTGCGGCCCAGAAGTTTATCAGATTCCGTGTCATCGTGACCGAGGCGTCCCCGACCAACCAGGGCAAGTACATGGCGCGCGAGTTGAGAAAGCTGGGCATTCCCGTCAACTTGATTGCGGACTCTGCCGTGGGCTACGTCATCGACAAGGTAGACAAGGTGTTTGTGGGTGCCGAGGGTGTTGCCGAGTCCGGAGGGATCATCAACCACATCGGGTCGTACCAGATCGGAGTGTTGGCAAAGAACGCGAACAAGCCGTTTTATGTCGTGGCGGAGTCGCACAAGTTTGTCAGAATGTATCCGTTGGCCCCCAACGATTTGCCGAACAATGACATTTTACTGAGATTCTCGGTGGATGAGAGTGACAATGCGTGGGTTGAGGACGAGACGAAGTTGAACTCGGGGGATAATTTTATTGATTTCACACCGCATGAGTATATTACCGCGTTGATTACGGATTTGGGGGTGTTGACTCCGAGCGCTGTTTCCGAGGAGTTGATCAAGATGTGGTATGATTAGTGATTGAGTGCGGGCCAAGTGTATAGGCCTGCGAAAGCGGGGACTTTTATGTTTAATGGGTATTAATTAAAGTCTGTAAATACGGAGAGCTGTTCCGTGGCAGCACTTTAACATGTTGATATTTCACCAAATGGGGTTACGTAGATTTAGAGACCTAGTGCGTAGAATGATAAACCACTGTTTCTATAAATGCCACAGCTGGTTCGATATCCCAAGCTGAATTTCAATCACTTTCAGTTACCTTTTCAATTAACATTTTAACCACCTTTTAAATCACCCTCTCAATCACCTTTTCGATTTTCTTTCGATTTTCTTTTGATTCTCTTTTGATCCTCTCTTCCATCTGATATAGAAACGGAAGCTCCGGGTAAATTATTACCAACACGACAGTCCCAGACCGACTTCTATTGGTCAGAACTCAACCAGATCTAATACCACACCTCACAAGTTCCATACCTACTTCATTCATTATTATCTTTAATATACAATTCATCACGCGCTGAACAACATCGCACTGTACTCATCAGCACTCATCTTGCTCTCCACCACCTTGCTCAAATCATTCGATCTGAGAAGAACCCTGCGGACGGTCTCACTCTGCTCCAAACTTTCGTCTACCCACTCCAACTCCTCCCACTCCTCCTCGTCAAACTTCTTGGTGGCCGCCAAACAACCTCCAAGACGTGGCTGTTGATCAGACGCACTTTTGACAGACATTTGCACTAAAATCTCCTTGGATTTTGTCGGGTTTTCCGCCTTCATGGCATCCTTGAGCATCGCCTTTTCAGCATCCTTCTTCGCGTCAATGTGCGTGAACGTAGGCCGCAACTGGGCTGACCTGTGCAACGGAATCAATTTCATAATACCCTGGTCAAGCACCCCAACGTAGTAGCCGTCAGTCTCTACGAACGGCCCGCCAAGCGTCTGGGTCGTCACCTGGTTCCAGCTGTCTGCCTTGAGCGCGTCGTAGAAGCGACCGGTGTTCATCGGAATCTCAAGCTCGATGGACTGGGACGCTTCTTTGTAGCGCGAGTGGAGCGGCATCGACTCGGTTTCGATATTATACGGGCGTTTTGCCGGACGACCCGGGAACTGGAGGAGCGAAAATGTCACCTCTTCACCGGGACCTGATGCTGGGAGCGGGTTCATCGCCACGGGAATCTCCCATTCCACCGGATCCTCCTCCTCCTCCGCCACCTGGATATCCTCGATGGTTTGAGTGTACACTGGGACCTCAAGCACCTCTTCTTCTTCTGGAACAAACAAAGACATGATGAGGGAGCAAGAATGGGTTGGTACGTGTTTGATCCAAATCAAGTCTTTTAGCCGCCGGATAGTTTCAATTTTTTCATCGAGCCGCAGAGGCACGTGATGCATACGAGAAGGAACAGTTGAGGCAGGACTATGATGGGTCTAGAATACGAGAAAGAGGGAGGGGGTATATAAAGATTGCGTTAATTTACAAATATTTTCGAGCTTGGTATCCTTCGTTTATGTATTAAAAGGGCCATTAAACTCTAAAGGTGTCGTTGGAAGATGCCCTCTGATGATATTTCGGGATTATACCCTCCAGGCATCTTATCTTGATGATACCGCTCCTGGTCGTTAGCATGTTAGGAACTAGACCCCCCCGTCTATATTTTACCTTTTAACAGTAATCTCCCTTCGATCAGTCAATGATATCTATCATAATGGGACCGACACATATGGCTTTCAAAATACGATATCCATGGGCATGTAAGCTCAGTTTCTATCCACCACTTTCGGTAGTTTTCAAACTTATTATTATGCACGTGTAGTCTTTTCAAGCTGGCAGGGAAATCTAAATGCTGGATGGCTTGCTCTGACAAACCGTTGTGGCATAAATCCAAAATGTGCAACTTTGAGGGAAGTTTGGTTAGCCCAGCTAGGAGGTTTAGCAGGTGCTCATGCTCTTGGTTGTTCAAGTACAACCTTTCGAGGGAGTCCGGTAGCTGCAATTCGTTGATCGCGCTAATTGCGTTCTTCCTAAGATTCAATAATTTCAACTTAAGAGGAAGTTGAATGGCATCAATTGACGTAATCCTGTTATCATCAAGCTCCAACGAGAGAAGATTTTTTGGAAAATGGACATTTGCCAAGCTAGATATTTGGTTATACTGGAGATCTAACGTTTCCAAATGTGGTGGAAACTCAACGTTTTCTAATGAGGTTATCTTACTATAGGTGGCTTTGAGGTGGTTCAACCCCACAGGCAACTGGATTCCCGAAAGGGAGGATACGCCCGGGCCGCTTATAGTTAGGCGTGTGAGATATTGAGGGAGGGGAGAGATGTCACTAAGCGTGGTGACAGAAATTTTATCCAAGTTTAAATCCTGGAGCTTCAAACCCGGATTATCTGCGTTGGTAAATTGGATCCTATGAAGAGGATTGTGCGAGAGTGTAAGTTCGGTACAATTCACCGGAATATGGAAGTCCATTAGTTCGCTCAATTGGTTATGCTCAAGCGACATGAATTCAACGCTGTCAGGTAGCGTCTTCGAAAACTTTTGAAGTTTATTGCGACTCAAGTTTAAATAGGTCAATGATGGTGGGATGTCGAGTTCTTCGACTGAGATCAAATTATTGGACAGTAAGTTGAGAATTTGAAGCAGTGGAAGGTTTAATTTCTTTATTGAACGAAAATTTGTTCCACTGAGATTCAAATCAGTCAAGCTTAGAGGGAAGATAAAGTTTTCCAGTGAATACAGGGTAAATAACCCACCGTTTTCTTCGAGATTAAGTTTTTGGAGGCTTTCGGGGAAATTGATTTGGTATGATCTGGCTGTATCCGCATCTTCATCTGTTTCTTTCAAAAAACCGAAATCATTTTTACTGAGGTTGAGAGATTTTAAAGATCCCGGTAATGAGTTGACGAAATCTAGCGACGATAAATAAGCGTGTGCAACCAGTAAGGAAACCAAACTTGGAGGAAACTCGAGCATACGGATTTCGGATGATGTGAGCTCCGTAGTGTTTATTATCAACTCTTTGAAGCAATCCGGGAAGATATCCACGCGAAATTTGTTCAACGGGCAATTGGTGATGGATAATTTCTGTAATGCCAGAGGTAATTGACGTCGCTCAAAACTATCAAAATCCAGTTCCCACGGCTGGTCCAGTTCCCAATACGGGTCAATCCACCATAGCTCTAAATTCTCCAACAGCGAGGGTAAGTCAAATAGCTCATTGATTTCTGTCATGCTGAGTATTTCTCTCAACAGCAAATATTTCAAATTTGGTAACTTTAACTTGATAAAGTCGTCAATGGAAAAATACCGGGCCTTCACTATCTCAAACCTTTGTAAAGTTGAAGGGAGGTTGGCAAACACTGATAACAGCCCATGAGAGTCGCGAAGTACAAATTCTTGGAGATTTAGTGGAAAACGAACCGGCAGAGTGTCGATATTGGTTGTATATGAATAGTCACCTTTAATATCAAGCTTGCGCAAGTTGGGCAAAGGTGGAATGTTCGGATCAATTGGTCCGCATTGGACGGATATTTCTTGGATGCACCTTTGGACCAAAGGCGAGGATGGCAAACAGGCCCAGTCAAACATCGAGTTATATCCATAAATCGCAAAAGTTAGCGAGACATCGGTCACAATTGAGGAAATTTTGTTGAGCGCTTCTTCGTGGGGGAATCTATAATCTTTGATCTCCTTTTGAACATAAATGGAAAGCTTTTCAATTCGAAGCTGGTCTAATAGATCGCTACTTGCCAACGCCTCAAACTCAGAAGGCTCCATGTGAAGGGAGTTATCATCCATACGATGGACAGAACTACCTAACGAGTCGCAGAAGTTCAATTCAATGTTCGAGTAGTAACGTCTTCGCGCCACAAAAGCGAGGGTGAAATTCTCCGATTTCATCAATACACCAACTAGGGGAAGCAGTAGATGAGAGAAAATCATATCAACAATTTCTAACGGAAGTGTATCCCAGGTAAGGAAAATGGCATTGGAATCCATGCTGATAAGAAGGTAACAGGGGATGAGGAACTGGTGAGTTGTAGCTAGCCAGTAATCTAGATGTATCAGTTCTATATAAAGCTTTCGGTGGTAGAGACAGAGTATTATGTGATTGCTATACTTAACGTCACTATGGGATGTGGTCTGAGTGGACCATCGAAAGAATGTACTTGATGTAATGCACGGAATGCAAAAGAGTGAGTCACGGCATTGCACAGGCAGACCCTTGGCTGCAACATGCAGGGCCAATGTCATCGAGCATTCACTATGGCACGTTCGGCGGTCTACGTTTGATAGAAGCTTAATCCCTCAGTCTAAGCCCTCACCCCTTCTTGCTTATATATCTAATATATAAAAGAACAAGCAATATTCTCATAGCGAATGGTATCTACTATTACTGAATATATCACATTTTCCTGCGTCGATTGTAAACACCTGCATTGTCTGAAACATAGTTTTAGTAGGAACGCGGCAACATTTCAATATGAATGAACAACCCCCCAATCTAACCTACTTTCTCTTATCTCCTTACGACATATTTCCAAACACCCCCCACGTGGCTGTCACATTTCTTTCTGGCTATATCTCGTCAATCCTCTTCTGCATCACGTGAATAACACGTGACGTGATGAGTAGAATATTTTTTCTGCATCATTTCTGCAGGAATATTTTTTTTTTCATTCTCAACCACGCTACTCTACTCATTATCAACTCTCACTACACAATGGACGACGGTTTACTATTGAACTTTGCAACAGACGAACCAGCGCCTACCAGAAAGGCCAAGCTGTCCGGCAAGATTGTAGGAGGCTCGTGGAAGGAGCGCCGGAAGGCACAATTGGCGTCGCAGGGCCGTGTGGGCAGCCGCAAGAAGACGATTGACCTTGCAAAGCGCTTAGAAACGACCCCTTCTGTTCCAACCACTGAGGATGCTGAAGCCAGAAAGGTGCGTGCCTTGGCTAACGATAGAAAGAGAGGTGGGCCTAAGGAGTTCAAGGGTCCCTCCTCCAAGCAGATGCGGTTGGCCGAGAAGAACGGCGAGACCATTGCGCCAACTGACTCTTACGTCTCCTCCTTGTTCACATCCAACCCGAGTTTGACCAACGAAGTTGCTGAGGAAGCGTTCACCGAGCTCGCGCCGTCCAACGCGCCGTTGACGGATGCCACAACCTTCGAGGGACTTGGGATCGAGGGCCAGCTCCTTAAGCATCTCGAAGCCTTGCGCTTCACCAACCCAACCAAGATCCAGCGTGCGGTGTTGCCGCGTCTCTTGGAACGCGAAACAGATCTCTTTGTACAGGCGCAGACCGGTTCGGGGAAGACACTTGCATTCGCGTTGCCGATTTTCCAGAAATTGATGACGGTGAAGGACTTGGACCGCCAGTCGGGGGTTTTTGCGTTGATTTTAGCGCCAACCAGAGAGTTGGCCACCCAGATTTACAGTGTCCTCGAGACCTTGAGCCGGTGCTGCAACCGCATCGTCCCGGGGATCGTCATTGGTGGTGAGAAGAAAAAGTCTGAGAAGGCGAGAATTAGAAAGGGGGTGAATATCTTGGTGGCCACACCAGGTAGATTGCTTGACCATATCGAAAATACACAGAACATGGACTTGGCGAACATTCGCTGGGTCGTGTTGGACGAAGGTGATAAGTTGATGGAGTTGGGGTTCGAAGAAACCATCACCAAGATCTTGACCAAGATCACCAATACGTCCGCCATCAGCGCCACTACCCGCATCTACCCGACCTTACCAAAGCAGCGCATCAATGTCTTGTGTTCTGCCACCATCAAGGATAACGTTCAGAAGTTGGGTGAAATTTCCTTGCAGGACGCTGAAATGGTCAGCGCCGCGTTGGTGGGCGATGAGTCCGAGCAGATTAGCGCTCCGGGGCAGTTGTTGCAGCAGATTCTCGTGGTGCCGCCAAAATTAAGACTCGTGTCCTTGGGCTCTGTCTTGAAGAACATCACCCGAAACGAGAATCAGTTCACTCGCACTATGGTCTTCTTTTCCTGTTCTGATTCTGTCGACTTCCACTTTGCAACCTTCACCAAGGACGGGAAGAAGCTCCTCAAGCGAAAGATCCCCGAGGAGGATGACGAAAAGGTGACGGAAATCGCTCAGGGTGGCGATGACGATTCCACAGCCTTGACCGCGCCGTTGCTCTCAGAAAACACCTATGTCTACAAGCTTCATGGGTCGTTATCGCAGCAGGTGCGTACTTCCACCTTGGCCGCTTTCACCAAGGCCAGTGAGGGCAAACACACCGTGCTTTTCTGTACTGATGTGGCCGCCAGAGGGTTGGATTTGCCGGATATCTCCACAGTCATCGAGTATGATCCGCCGTTTGCCATTGAGGACCATTTGCACCGTGTGGGTCGTACCGCGCGTGCTGGTAACAACGGTAAGTCCGTGTTGTTCTTGCTCCCAGGGACTGAGGAGCAGTACGCCGACAGAATCAGCAGCTATCATCCGGCCGGGTTGCAGCACATTTCGTTCGAGTCAGTGTTAGTTGACGGCTTTGGCAAGAAGTGGGAGGTGGATGCCACCACATGGCACTTGAACGTCGAGAGGTGGCTCTTGGAGGACACCACCGCCCACGACAAGGCCGTCCAGGGGTTCACCAGTCATGTCAGAGCGTACGCCACGCATTTAGGGAGTGAGAGGGATGTGTTTAACGTGCGCACCTTACACTTGGGACATTTGGCAAAGGCATTTGGGTTGCGTGAGACCCCAAAGAGATTGGGGGGTGCCGGGTTGAAGAAGGGTGACGGCAAGGGCGAGAGCAAAAAGACAGGTAAGGAAGATGCCAGAACGAAGATGTTAAGAATGGCCAAGATGAATGTGAAGAGTGCCAGCAGTGAGTTTAACTTTATGTAACCAGGGGCTGATATCGGAAATACGCTTGTCAATTGGGCGTGTTTTCCGATTTTCTGTTGCCATTCTATCTTTCAGTCATCATCCAAGCCTACTCTGATGTCTTATGTCCAACTCTCTGCGCTTGCGTAGAGCCTTGTCCATTTTCTGTTCTGCTCTTTCCGCATGCATATGCAAGATCGCTGTTTTCAGCACTGTAAAATAACTAAGCATTGTAATATATTTCGTTAATAATCTGGAGTGTAGACATCAAGAGATTACACAGAACTGGTCGCAAAGCGAAGGCTCGATTAGTGTAATAGGGTATAAGCTGCGAAAAATGACCCAACTGGATCCGACAATCATTGACTTTTAAAGGTTTGAAGTTTATGCCATGACTTACTCTGTTCAGTACTTTTAACGCGAGAATCAAGATCAGCAGATATAGTTGATGCCTTCAGATCTCCCATAGATTTGCATCTACAGACAGTATTCTGCACTCGAAAGGTCAACCTCACAATTCTGATCTTCCTCCGCATGGAACTTTATGAGATCTCGTGGAATATTCTGCTAAGCTCCTCGAAAAGCTATATATACGTCCCTTTGAACCACAATCTATTTCCTCCGTTTTATATTACAAATAAAAATCACAATGAAACTCTTAATCCTTTTTGTCCTCACCACCATGGTTGGTACCCCCACTGGAATGGTACAGGGATTTCAAAATACCACCCTAGAAAGCATTGCATCCGGCTCTGTTCCCCTTTCCAATGCTGATGATCCCCTCTTTACGAGCCAAACGATGTACCTCAAAGAAGACCAAAATTGTGACTTCTTGGGGGCCAACAACATCCCCTTCACTGGCCACCGCGTGTTCAAGTCCAGTTCTTTGAAGAACGATGTCATACTCACCCACTCTCTTGTGTTTGTCAACTGCTTCCTCGGAAGCGCCATTCAGACGTCATCAATCAAGATTGACAGGAAGGATGACATGATATACAACCGGATGTTTAATGCGATCAAGAACCCGAGAAACGCCACGTTCCCGAACGGAACCTTGTTGCTTGAACTCTACCATGGAATGGACAAGATCGATCACCGGTCCAAAAAATGGCTCATGGGGTTGAAGAATGTCTTTGTGGACCTCCTTGATAGTGCCAGAATCAAGTGGCTTTCGAGTGACTGGTATTTTAACCACAAAAATACTGTCTCCAGACACTATAACTTTGCGTTGCGCTCGTTGAACAACAAGACTCTCGCCGCGGAAATCTACTACTCCCCAGAGAACATGGACTATTATTCTTTTGCTCGTTATGCAAAGTTCAGAAACCGGAAAATCACCGCGTATATTCCCTTCCAGACTGTCGGGGGACAGTTTAGCTGTGTGCCCACAAAGACGCAGCTCGACGAGCTCATCGCCAAGTTTGAATACAGCAAGATCGGGGGGGCCTTTGACGGCGACTTTGTATGTGACCCGGAAACTGCCGTTGCAGTCAAGCCTTTGCTTGCAGACGAGTTTTACAAGTTCAGAATGGGGGCGGCCTACCCCAACAACCCTTTTGAGGGCAGTTCAGGGATCCAGTTCCAGACTTACTTCCACACTCCGTTGGTCTTTACCGCGAGTCCGTTAGACCCGAGATATATGTTTGGTGACTGGAGCAAAGGACTCAGGGTGGACGAAGGCTATGCTTATACTTCTGGTCAGTGGCTCAACATCCGTGAGTTGGAGAACAAGCTTATTCTGGTGATTGGCGATGTCTACGAACTCTTTCTATTGCCAAATTCGTTCTTTCCTTTCGAAGCTGATTTTTGGAAGGGGATTTTCGGGGATGTGCCGTTAAACATCGGTGCCATAGCCGTGGATAGTGTAACCAAGTTTGTGGTTCCAAAAGGGGTCAAGCAGGTGATGGATAGCTGGTTTGAGAACGGAGCGTGGGCATGGACTATGTTTCCCTTGCATTACGACTTGGACACTTTCTTGACACTACTTATTCGGAAGCTTCCGTACGATATGGCCGATTATTACAAAAGCCAAATCGAAAAAGCGTACGTGGAGTTTGACCAGAGTTGGAGAGACTAATCTGGAGGGACTAATTTGTTTAAACGCATGAGCCAAACGTTTGATGTGACGCGTAACGCGCGGCGCGTTTTTTTCGCAACCTCGAGTGGAGTTTGGTTTTCATTTGTATTTCGTACATATCACGCGGTACAACCTTGCGACAAAACCTTACAACCAACAATCTAGATACAACCGTTTTATACCATCTTCATACTTTAGCCCCATATCTTTAGCCCACCTTTATTCCACATGTACGGAGACGCAGCAGACAAGCTCGTCGCAGATGCAAAGAGATCCACGCAGTTGACACATCTACCGCTCTACCAGGGCGAGTTGATCCAGAACATTATCAATGAAACCAACGATTTGCAGGCCGAGGTGGAGCATCTCACCAATGAGGAGATCGTGTCCCAGACGCAGAGCCAGGGCGACCGCACCAACCAGTGCCAGTTGTTCATCTCACACTTGGCAATGAGGCGAAACAAACGCTGTTTGCTCGCTTACCAACGCTACAGGGCTGAGCGCCTCCAGTACATGTCGTGGTTGAATAACACGACTGGCATCACGGTGGATGAGCCGGGTGCAGCGCCGAGCGGAAAGGCTGCCGACAGCTTGAACCACAATGAGGAGGAGTACTTGAAGAAGTATAACGAGCTTATCATCAATTATAACAAGGAGTTTAACGAGTCTCTTGACTTGACAGGGGACATCGAACCGCCCAAGGATATTTTTATTGATGTTCGTGTGTTGAAGGATGTTGGCGAGATCACCACGGAGTACGGTGTGTTTAACTTGACCAAGGACAGTCAGTTTTTTGTGCGGTACAACGATGTGGCGAGGTTGATTCAGCAGGGATATTTGCAGAGGTTATAGATGGTATATATTTGATTGGTAAGGATGTGTATGGATAGATATTGTAAACGATATAAATCGCAATATATAAATGGGTTTCTTTTGAGACATTTCCATAAGGTGTAACGCAGATATGACTGAGTCCAGTCTAGTCAAGGCTTAAGTGTTTGTCCAACAGTCTATTATTTCACGCAATGTAATAGATCTTTAGAGAATCAATTGGACTAGAGTTGAGGTATTAAGATCATTTAAGAGATACGGTGCATTAATTTTACAAAATTATTCGACATCTCCAAAATTTATTTAGGACACATTGTTACATCATTGAAGTTCTTACGTAACCATCCTTGAAAGCTGTTAAAGATCTTTGTGTCGTCACCACGCTTCCACCACACAATAAGCGTGTCATGGGGGTCCAAATAAATCAGAAACACGTATTTCCAAGGCATCTCGTCTTCCAACTTTTGTCGCTTAACTATTTCATCCGCTTCGAGTCTAGCCATTTTTCTTCTATAGGCTCTTGTCCAGATGCCTTCATTGAATGATAGTAAAACCTCGTCATCTTTAATCTCCATCTCATAACCCACAGATCCTAGTAACATCAAATCAACGCGTTCTCCCAACTGAACGATTCCCATTTCGGTAGTGATCTTCACAGTTTCGAGGGTTTTTACCGGCAAATGCGCCGGATCTATGCCCGTTCCTTTGAGTTTTTTCAACTGTGCAGCGGCGATTCTCGGCCTATCCACCCCAAAGGACCATGCAACAATCCATCGGCGGGTCTTTCCCAAGCTCTGGGATGAGCTGCCAGACAACTCGCTTACGGTGCTATTGGTGATTCCCGCAGTATAGAGGTTTGCTAGCACTTGTGAAACACTCTCAAATTGTCCCAATAATGTGGTATACCACTTCACTAGAGATCTGCTTTTCACCGATTCCGCAATCATTTTGGTGACAAATCCAACTTCACCCCCATCCGGATGGACCAACTCGCTGTAAGAAGCTTTGATAAGCGGGATAGACATGGAGTGGGTCTTGCGCAGAAAGTACTTTCCCACGAGCTGCTCGTAGGTGGCGTAGAACGGTGGGTTGCACATTGTGAAGGTGACCCTCGAGGAGGCTACAATATCCAGGAAGAGCACATCGGGGGTGGCAGATCGGTCCACAAGCGATACCAGAGGGCTTAGATGGTTTACTCGAATGTTCTCCGCGGCGACCAAGAGTGAGGCGGGGTCGATATCTGTGGCAATAAACTTCCAACCGTACAAGGAGTGGCCAAGCATCGGGTAGATGAGCGAGTGGCCGGTACCGATATCCAAGCCGCAAATGTCACTACAGCCGGTATCGTCAAGGAGCCGTTTTAACCAGTTCAAGTACAATACCCGGTTGAAAACGCGCGGAACAAGCCGTCCAGGAAGGAAAACCGCATCGATGGAATAAAACTGTAAAAGAAGAGCTTTACTCATAGCAACAACCGCCTCTGGTTCCAGAAAGTCATAGACATCCGTGCCGGTTACAAACCACGGCTGTAATTGGGGGTGGTGCACCGAGAGGGTCCGGAAATCCACTTGGAAACGGTTCTCCAAGGTGGGAATTGCAAGGACTGGAGATCCACTTTCCGTTCCTTGATTCCCTTCCCGTACAGGCTTTGCAACACCAATTTGTTCTGAAAAATGCAGTGACTCTGTTTTCTGGCGTTTCCGCACCCCCGGCTCCTCAATCGAGCATCCTACTTTGTTTTCCTGGGAGGTTTCCCGAAAGGCGCGGACGATTCGCGAGCCTGCCATTCCATGAAAAAAACTGCTGAAGGTGCAATATATCTGTTCTGTAACGACCAGTAATGGAATATATAGCGGCTATAACAGAATTAAATTCGTGGTTTAGGCAAATGATTAGTGTTGAGGGCTCATCGGCCGGACTGCTCTGCGTGAAATTATGCAGACTACTTTTAGAGCTAAAGATTTAGCCATCACGTGACAACACCTTAGGAATGTAATGCCTAAGTCTCGGAGTTTCGGGGCTATAAAATGCGTGAGCCGATGAAACAGAATACAGACTAAGATTGAAAGAAATATGATAAACTCTGAGACTTGTCGTCTCAAAGGACTGCCGTTTGAATAATAATATCCTAAACAAATGCTTGATATAGGAAGTTGAGAAGACATAGGATTCTCCTCAGACCGAGCAGTCGGCACATAATACTTTACTTAAAAATGGCAGCACAAACTTGTAACAGACAAGCAAATAAAAACCTCATACAAAAATGATTTTAACAGACTTTTTAAACGCTTGGTGAGACCCAACAAGATTTATAAATACATAATCCTCATTCCATGCCCAACACCCATAGGTTTTGGTCTTAAGCGATTGAAGCTTTTCGTTAATTCTCCAAATATGGTATACAGTACCATACCTGTTTGACCCAAACAATCTATCATACGATTCCAATAATCCATACAATGTAGCATCATACCAAAGATTCATTCTACCTCTACACCGACTTGTCGACTCAGCCTTGCATCTAGATCTGGAATGTGCCTGGCTGCGCCGCACCTCTGCAACTACATTTTTCTGCGTCTCAACCAGAAGTTCAAGTGTTTTGCTCTGCCCAAGGCAACTTTGTGCAATTGCCTGAACATCCACAAGTCTCTATCGATTGACTGAGGATTATCATTTTTTTCTGTCAGTGACACTCAGATTCTTCCTTGCTCAAGCTTCCCGCCATGAAGTACGGATGGAGCATGGCGCTATCGGCAGTCTTGCTCGCACACTTCTGTTTTTGGTGGTATACCAACGGGGTGATTGACCGCTTTGTTGCCGCCTTTACCAAACACATTGCTACCACAAAGTTGGCAGAGTTTCCCCACCCCGACTTTTCCCTCTCGGAACCTCCCAGCGAATATGCGCGGGAAAACGCAACTTTTGTGACGCTTTGCCGCAACTACGAGACGTACGAGATGCTCGAATCGATCCAGATCGTGGAGGACCGCTTCAACCACAAGTATCACTACGACTGGGTGTTTCTCAACGACAATGAGTTCACCCCCGAATTCCGCTCGGCTGTTGCGGCGGTTGTCAGCGGAACGGCCTACTTTGGGAGGGTGCCCGAAAGGCACTGGGGATACCCCGACTGGATCAACCAGACATATGCGGCGGAAGTGCGGCAGCAAATGGAGAACGACGAGATCATCTACGGCGGGAGCGAGTCGTACCGCCACATGTGCCGCTTTGAGTCGGGGTTCTTTTTCCACCACCCCATAGTTCAGAGGTACAAGTATTACTGGCGGGTGGAGCCTGGCATTAAGCTCTACTGCGATATCGATTATGACGTGTTCAAGATGATGCGTCAAGCGGGCAAAAAGTACGGCTTCGCAATATCTTTGTACGAATACTCCAACACCATTGCGCTGTTGTGGTCGACAGTGCTCAACTTCATGAAGGCCAATATGGATATGATCAATACGGGCGACGACAGCATGAACGAGTTTATTCTCGACTACGGGTATGACAATGAGTCGGTGGAAAAACCGCACCCGCTCCAGGCATCTTACAACCTTTGCCATTTCTGGACCAACTTTGAGATAGCTGACATGGACTTTTTCCGCTCGGAACAGTATACGCGTTTGTTTGAGTACTTGGACCTTTCTGGCGGCTTTTTCTACGAGCGCTGGGGCGACGCCCCGGTCCACTCCATCGCCGTGGGGTTGTTTCTCAACAAGTCGGAGGTGCACTGGTTTGGCGACGTGGGGTATTACCACGTACCGTACATGCTGTGTCCATTAGACTATGGTCTCCGATTGAAGAACCGGTGTTCGTGCGATCCGCGGAAGGACTTTAGCTTTGAGATGTACAGCTGCACAGGGCATTTTCTTGATATAACGGGGCAGCAGAAACCGCTTTTATCAGTTTAGGTTTCGAAGCATTCCGAGTAAGGGCCGTCTATGTCAAGGAATAATAGTTTGAGAAAAGGGAGGTGCAAGAAAATGTGATAAAAAAATGTCCGTTATTGTTGATTAAGAATCTCTCCCAGTTTTGAGCAGCCCATTTACGTTTGCACTTTGATCGAATCAAACCAATGTGAGGGTATCAAAGAAAATATCCCTCTAAAAGGGATATACTCTTATCCTAGACTTTCACAGGACAGTGTTGAAAATAGAAACACGTTTGCTTGCCCGTGATTCAGTCGAGTAGCAGATTTCACCGCATTAAATTTATAGACAGCATAAAATATAAATTATCAGCCATAATAAACACAAGGATAAATTTAACCCGACGAGTTAAAATACTGATACAAAAGATGTTCTAAAACGTTAACCAGGAATGCCTTGAAAAGTCCAAAGATCAAAGATTTAAATCCTTTAAATCCAACTCATTGTTTCACATCACCCCATCCAGGGCACATAACCTCATTTTCACTATCTAAATTCCAGAACAGGAAGCTACAGCAGATAGCCACCATTCCAGTACATCACACTATGAAATTCCAATTGCCGTCTATCATCCCTTTTATTGCTCCGCTTCTCCAGGTAACCCTTGCACACGACCCCCACATCAACCCTCAGGGCAAGGGGTCCGATTTGAAGCAGCGGATGCCGAACGACATGACCTGGGAGACGTGGCACATGAGCTCCGAGCACGGGATCAGCGAGTTTGACCACGACTCGTTCTTCACCTTACACGACATCGAGGGAAACAAGGCGTGGGAAAAGAGGGATATCCTCAATTTGTACGGGGTGTTGCGCGAGGAGGTGGTGGGTAACGGCGACGGGATGGGCTCCCATGACGAAACCGAGGGTATCAGCGACAAGACGCGTGAATTTGTGGCTAATTCCGTTTTGGAGTTGTTGGACACAAACAAGGACGGGAAGGTCAGCCTCGAGGAATGGCGCAAGTTTAAGGAGGCAGGCGGCTATTTGAGAGACTATGGTGTCGGGGTGGGGCACCACTTGGACTTTGAGTCGGAGTACGAGGTACACCACTGGAAGGAGTTCCACGAAAAGGACGACCCGGATATGAAGATCCAGCACGCTGCCGATGTGGAGCATGAGTTGTTGCACCACTTGCACGAGATTGAACACAAGGATGCGGAGGACTTGGAGGCCGGTAAGGCTGATTTGAAAGCATATCAGCAGTATTTCAAGCAGGAGCATATCCCGAAGAAGTACAGAGTTTAGACAGCTACTCCACAGGAGGCATCAGTTGCTGCCGTGACCGCCTGGATAGGTTGTGGTTTGGGTTCTACGTATTGTAAAAGACTTTGATGTGGCGTAAGTTGTAATGCTATGGCTAGGCCATTGCTTTTCAATCTGTTTAAATATCTGTCATCGAGAACTAGCCATGTCTGTGATTATTCGAAAATGAAAGAGGGGTTTAGAACGGGGCATCTGGAGAGATGAATGAGCTAAATGAGAGCTTGAGAATATGTGCTCAGCTTATTTTGCCAGCCCCATTATTTTTCCTCCCTCGGGTTATAATTATGTTTCCAAAGGTGTGAATTTATAGAGTCAGATCCGCGATTCTCTGATTGGTAGCGTTGAATCAATATTAATATAATAGATCCAGCTATTTGCCATTGTCTCCTCTTCATAAAAAAACAGTCAGAAACTAAACAATCTGAGTCCATTAGTCACAAATAAACCTTGGTTACTTTAAATAGGATAAGGTCAAAGCTTGCCACTTAAGGGCTACCTTATTACAATACCAATATCCAAGAACACTCCCCATATATGATAAGTAACCCCCACACATAATTCCCAGCGCTGAATATTCGTAACACTCACAGTAAAGCAAAATACTATCTTGTCAGGTTGGACATAAATGAATGCCCCAGTCGTGCGCGTACCAGCAAGACTTTTCACAGGCTATTTACCAACGGCCACCACTCCGGCTCTCACCGTCCTTCGAGATCTACAACCAAAGCATGTCAAATATTGGTTTGCAAGTGCGCCAATCGGTGCCAGGAATCGACCCAGTTGTCGCAGAGTACGCCGTCGGCTATATCACCCACATCTCGCTGTGCACTGAGGACAGCGTTTCCGCCCAGCAGGTGGACATCCACGGGGAGATGCAATTCCTCTCGGACTTGCTTGTGAGTGCGGGTGGAAACCCGGAAAAGGTTTCGGCGATGCGCACAAAGATGGCTGAGGTTTTGACCAAGAAGTTGCGCGAAAATATGGCCAAGTTAGAGTTGACCGGTGACACCTCCAAGCGGTTGCTTGACCGCTCGTTGTTCAACAACCGTGAAGCGCTGTCCTCGTTGGCGTTGTTGGGTGCGACACAGGACATTGAACACAACGGGAGAAATATGGAGACACGTGTTGATAAGAAAAAGTTGGAGAAGGCGGAGCGCAAGATTGCGAAAAAGGTGGCCAAGAGAGACAACAAGTTTGTCAAATACGAGGCGTCCAAGTTGTTGAATGAACAGAGTAGCGATGATTACGACGAGTTTTTCCTCAAGATCAACCCGATTGACTTCTCGTCTGGGGCCGGTGCTGGTAAGTCTAAGGACATCAAGATCGACAACTTTGACTTGTATGTGGGTGAGGGCCAGAGAATCCTTTCGAACGCATCACTCTCCTTGGCGTACGGCAGACGCTACGGTATTGTGGGCCAGAATGGTATCGGAAAGTCGACGTTGTTGCGCGCGTTATCGCGCAGAGAGTTGAACGTGCCGAAGCACATCACAATCTTGCACGTCGAGCAGGAGTTGCGCGGTGACGGAACTTCCGCGTTGCAGAGTGTGTTGGACGCTGATGTGTGGCGCAAACAGTTGTTGTACGAGGAATCAAAGATCCAGGAGCGCATCAGTGATATCGAAAAGTTGCGTGCGGACTTTGACGAGGACTCCTCGGAGGTTAGAAAGTTGGACGGCGAGAGGGACGACTTGGAGTCCCACTTGCTTGAGGTGCATAGCAAGTTGGAGGAGATGGAGTCGGACAAGGCCGAGGGTCGTGCTGCGTCGATCTTGTACGGGTTGGGCTTCACCAAGGAGACACAGTCCATGCCAACCAACTCGTTCTCCGGTGGGTGGAGGATGAGATTGTCGCTTGCTAGAGCCTTGTTCTGTAAGCCGGACTTGTTGTTGTTGGATGAACCGTCGAATATGTTGGATGTGCCGTCGATCACCTACCTCGCCAACTACTTGCAGTCCTACCCATCGACCGTGGTTGTGGTGTCGCACGACAGAGCGTTTTTGAACGAGGTTGCCACGGACATTATCCACCAGCAGTCTGAGAGATTGAACTACTACAGAGGTGCCAACTTTGACTCCTTCTACAACACCAGAGAGGAGAGACGCAAAAACGAGCGTCGTGAGTATGACAACCAGATGGCCTACAGAAAGCATTTGCAGGAGTTTATTGATAAGTTCAGATACAACGCTGCCAAGTCGTCCGAAGCGCAGTCCAGAATCAAAAAGTTGGAAAAACTACCGGTCTTGGAGGCGCCAGAGGAGGAGAAGATTGTGTCCTTCCACTTCCCCGACCCGGAAAAGTTGTCCCCGCCAATTTTGCAGTTGCAGAACGTCACCTTTGGCTACGACCCATCTAAGTTGTTGTTGACCAACGTCGACTTGGATGTGCAAATGAACTCGCGTATCGCACTTGTGGGTGCCAATGGGTGTGGTAAAACCACCTTGTTGAAGCTCTTGATGGAGAGATTGACCCCGTTGGACGGTTCCATCACGCGTAACGGGAGGTTGAGAATCGGGTACTTTGCCCAGCACCACGTCGACGCCATGGACTTGAACGCGTCTGCCGTCACCTGGATGTCCAAGACCTACCCTGGGAAGTCCGATGAGGAATATAGACGCCACTTGGGGTCCTTCGGGATCACCGGTACCTTGGGGTTGCAGAAGATGCAGTTGCTCTCCGGTGGACAGAAGTCGCGTGTGGCCTTTGCCGCGTTGTGCTTATCGAATCCGCACATCTTGGTGTTAGATGAGCCATCGAATCACTTGGATACCGCTGGGTTGGACGCGTTGTCCGAAGCGTTGGACAACTTCAAGGGTGGTATTTTGATGGTTTCGCATGATGTGTCCACGATTGACAGAACGTGCAAGGAGATCTGGGTCAGTGAGGACGGTACGGTGCGCAGATTTAACGGTGATATTCATGACTACAAGAAGTACATCTTGGCGTCTGCGAACAGTGCCGGTGTGGTAAAGCAGCATTGAGACGAATACAGTGAGTATCCAGAGATTAAATATACTGATATTTTGTACATTAAGGGGGGGGGGACACCCCTGGGATGCTTGTAAGCTGAAATGGGGTAGCATTTTATAGGCCCAGGCTTGGAAAGCATGGCTGGATGTATTACAAAAGCGGAATTTTGCGGTGTTACCTGCCTTCTGCATACCCTATTGATTCGACACATATTCTCATAATTCAGCCGAGCCATCATATATCATGAGAACGAAACGTGTCTAAACTGATGTCACTAATTAAAATACTAAGTGTTACGTGAAATTTTTCAAATAAATTTCCAGACAATAATCAATTTCTTCATGCCATAAACCACTGGTTATGTTCTCGAAAACCTCGTTTTGACATCACCCCTTCGTTCCATCATATTCCTGAATCCACCCACTGTTTTGCACTCTACAATGCCACCATCTTGATCTCGTCGGTCTTTTCCAATATTTGCGTCGCCAGCCACCTCTCCTCTGCCTTCAACTCGATCCATTTGTGAATGTGCCCGGATTGGACCCCCACTAAAGCCTGCCACCCTTTTTTGGCCGCCCACGGCGTCCACAACACCACATCCGGAAGATTGTGCCTGTCCACCTCCATCACCGGTTTCCCAAACTCAATCACCTGGACCGGGATCCGTGTGTGTACACACTCATATACCCTCTCGGCCTCCTCCGTGAACCCAATCATAGGGGACTGCTCGACATAGTGTGCATCGAGAACCAAATCGTGAACGTGCTGGCCTGGCAAGTTGTTCACCACCACATCGGTAATGTCAGGAACACGCAAGTGGTTCTGGAAGAGCCAATGGAATGAAAACGGCACGGATCCAGCGTTGAGCACCTCAATCGAAAGTGATAATTTGGTTGGTTGCAAGCAAACCGTGAGGAGAAGGGTGAATTCGGCCCCCCTGCTCCAATGAGCCACCACTGACGGGTCCACATCTTTTGACTGAAGCTGGAGCTGAACCGTAGGGTTAGCAGAGGGGCATTCACCCACATACCTCCAAGTGGCATTTCTGGAGAATCCACTTTCTCGCGAGCCTTTGGATCTGCCGTAGACGGGAAACACGAGAGGGATCCCCCCAGCTGCATCTTCTGTCCAGATCTGTTCCTTGTTTTCAACCTTCCACGAAACGACTGTGGCACCCTGATGGGAGATTCTGCAGGAGGTTTTGGGATTCTCAGGGTGTGTTAGCTCGACGAATGATGAGACTGGCATATTTGGGTTGTTGTAAGGGAAAATGTGAATTGCTTCTGATTAGACAGGCTGTTGGTATGCACAATGCAAGTGTTTAGCTGAGGATGCTAGTTCAATATCAGTGGTTCTGGTGAATTACGTTTAAATTTAAACAATTATGTCTTATGCTCCAACTAGGATAATCAGATAGAGACTAGATCAAACGGTTTTGGCCATCACTCGTACTGTCGTATCGGACTTTCAGGAATCCTGCACTCAGTCAGAGGTAGTGCGTTCTACCGATACACTGGTACAAGTACGTCCAAGATGCTTCGATGTTCTGTTAGCTTGTTTCTGACTCTGGCCGCCCCTCAGATCGAGTTCTCATCCACAACCAGACCCCGTAAGAACGGCCAACGGTTTCCAACCAATCTATTGATTTAATGACATATCATTCTATAGCTATGAAGAAGCCGACTTCATTATGACCACTACTAACCGAGCTGTGCCGTTACTCTCATGACAAGCCTATCATCGTAAGCTATATGCTAAAGCAGGAAAATCCAAGCTTGGAATTGGCTAGTTCCGCAACACTAGCGCAGATGCCAAGGAGGTCTCGTATGCCACGCCATGTAGCCTACAACCCTCGATCAGATCTCAGCCATAAGTCCCTCATTGATACTTTGAACCAAGTAGACTCCCCTTAACTACTGATCCACGGTTCAAAGTTGAGCTCTTCCAAACTTAGTTTAATACAAGCTTAACCAGGACGTTCGCCAAACATCTGCCTTCACACTTGGTATACTGATCCAAGGGCCCTCATGCATGCTGCGAGGCACGGCACTGTACAGATCTTTCTCTGACTCCGCCATGAAAATAGCGAAAAACTATAATATCGCGGAACGTTTTGGCACATTTACATGCCAGTCGACCGATACCGGATCAAACGTCAGAGTTTCTCCGCTATTGTACATCAATGAGTCAAACATGCAAGAGCCTTGGGTTCTCTAATTTGCTTACAGGCTGCCTTTGTACACTGCATAAACTCTTCGTGGCGGGAAATTAGCAAAAGGTATATAGTCCCGAAAAGTCACCAGAAACCTCCGTAAACAAACTGGCCACTTCCCGTAGCTCCTGCACTCACGAAATACACGTGCTAATTCTTGAAAATTTTAGTGTACAGGAGCTGCGGGAAGTGGCCCAGTGCCGCATAGAGTGCCGCTTTGGTATTGTGCGCAGGCCGTCACGCCTTGGTACTCCGAGGCAGGTGTGAATCATCGATGCTAAGTTTGTCCGGCGTGAAAAACTTTCAAACTCTAAACTCTACTATATATTCCACTGTCCCCTCACTACCAATACAGCCTGGTTCTTTGCTCCATACCTTATTTATTATCCCCGCACACAATGTCTATGTTCATGGAAAACCCCCGTCTTGGCGACAGATCCAATCTCGAAGATTTCAGAAGTATGTAGAGGCTGAAGACAGACTATCACAAGTCTGAGTATGAAATTTGATCCATTCAACCTGGATGGCTAATCCAAATAGCTGCTCGGAAACCAGACATGGTTTTGGATGAAATTTCATTCGCATTCAAGAGTGATACTAACCCTCCAGTTCGCGGTTACAACCCGTTGACCCCGCCAGACTTGTTACAGCACGAGCTTCCAATCTCCGACAAATCGCGCGCAATAATCTTGAAGGGAAGAGACGATTCGGTCGCGGTGCTTCAGGGCAGGGACGACCGTCTCATCATTGTCGTCGGCCCATGCTCGCTTCACGACCCGGTCGCCGCCAAGGAGTACGCTGAGCGTTTGTACAAGCTCAACGCTGAGTTGGAAAAGGATTTGGTTATTGTCATGAGAGCGTACCTCGAAAAGCCCCGTACTACCGTCGGCTGGAAGGGGTTGATCAACGATCCGGATTTGGACGGCTCGTTCAACATCAACAAGGGTCTCCGCATCGCGCGTGAGATGTTCTGCAATTTGACGGAAAAGTTGCCTATCGCCTCTGAAATGTTGGACACCATTTCCCCACAGTTTCTCTCCGACTTCTTCTCTGTCGGTGCCATCGGTGCCAGAACCACTGAGTCGCAGCTCCACCGTGAGTTGGCCTCCGGTCTCTCCTTCCCAATCGGGTTCAAGAACGGGACTGACGGCTCGCTCAGCGTTGCTATCGACGCCATGGGCTCTGCGGCCCACCCCCACCACTTTCTCTCCGTGACCAAGCCGGGTGTCTGTGCGATTGTGGGTACTGACGGAAACGAGGACTGCTTTGTGATCCTCAGAGGTGGTACCAAGGGTACCAACTTTCACGAGGAAGCCGTCAACGAGGCCCATCAGGAGCTTGTCAAGCGCAAGATCGTTTCTTCCGAGAAGCCGGGCCCTCGCATCATGGTTGATTGCTCCCACGGGAACTCCAATAAGGACCATCGCAACCAACCAAAGGTTGCCCAGTGTGTTGCTGACCAGATCAGCAAGGGCTCCACCCAGATCTGCGGGTTGATGATCGAGTCCCACTTGGTTGAGGGTAACCAGAAGACCGATGTCTTGGAGAACTTGACCTACGGGAAATCCATCACCGACGCCTGCATTTCCTGGGAGACCACCGAAGACGTCTTGAGAGGGTTGGCCAAGGCGGTCCAGACCAGAAGAGCTTTGACGCAGTAGAGAGCATTTAACTTCATTTCGTGTGTACATTCTTAATTATTTTTGGGTTAATTTGAGGCAGTGTAGATTGTGAAAGGGTGCTATGAACGAACGTTCATATGGAAGGGACAATTACGATCAAAAAGCATGACTCTTTCTATCAGCTTTGCAACCTCCTTGATGACGTTTATTCCAAATATATACAAGCGGATGTCCGGAACAGCCATGTAGTACCTACTCCAACCTAGCCTGGGCCTCCTTCTCCAACTTAGCCTGGACCTCCTTCTCCTTTTCCATGGCGGCAGCCTTGGCTTTTTGATATTCTGCCTCGTACTCCGGCTTCAACTGCAAAGGTTGGGCCTCGCGGAACTTTACATTAAATGGCATGCGCTTCTTGGTACCGTCCTCATTGAGAGGAACTGGCTCACGCTTGATAATCTCGTACTTTCTCAACGGAAGGAGGCCAATGTAGATCCCAACGGAGCCGCCGAAAAGCGCGAGCCAGAACCTTCTTGCAGTTTGTGAAAGGGCCATGGTGGGTAAGATCGATGGAGTGGCTTGTTGTGATAACAACTGTCGATAACTATAATAACTTGATAACACTGATGATATCTGGTACAGTAAGACCATGTTAGGATTCATGCAACTTTTGCCTCAGCTTAATGTCTGAGGACCTGTATATATCATCCTGCATATAGCTGAACATCGTCACGGTCAGCTCCTAGGGCGAGTTGACATCTACGTTGCCTTCCATTGTAAGGCAATAACGTTATTTAGCAAGCTGATAATTGGATCATTCGTTTGCTTGAGATTAAAACAGTACCAAAACTCTTTTCACCATACCACTCCCCCTTTTATCTGTCACACCGTCTAGGTTCCTCCAACTCGTCAAAACCTAAGCAGATACTCATCTAGTTTATACCCTCTGTGACTCTACTAACTTCTGTACGGACGCAACTTAAGCACTGCAGACACTAAAGAAATCTTCTATACAATAGAACTCGCGGTAGAAGACTGCTTTTGAACGTACCACCTCGGAATCTACGCCCTCATTCACAGACACACCTATGTCTATCGCTGTCATTTCAGGAGGAACCGCCACCAACGAGCTCGTGTCGCTTTTCTCCAACATCTCCTCATCCGTCTCTTATATCCTCCCGATCAGCGACAATGGTGGGTCTACGTCTGAGCTTCTCCGAGTGATTGGCGGACCGGCCATCGGAGACATCCGCTCGCGCATCACGCGGCTCATCCCAGAAAAGTCCGAGCCATTGCGTCGCCTCCTCTCATACCGTCTCTCCGACGACCCCTGGCACGCCAAAAATGAGTGGACGGAGATCGTAGAGGGTAACCACCCCTTGTGGGCCCCCATCGAAGCCTCGTTAAAGGAAATCTTTCGGTCGTTCCTAATTCATGTTCACGTGGAGTTGCTCAAGAAGTCGCGCAATCCACTGACAAAGTTCCGCTTCGAGCTCGCCAGCATTGGCAACTTGTTTCTCACAGGCGCGCGACTCTTCTGCGGCTCACTAGATGCGGCGATTGAGTTAGTTTTGCGCCTTGCCAGAGTCGACGAACGAGTAAAGGTTTTGCCATGTTTGAATACGAACTTCACATACCACATCTCGGCCCTCCTCGAGGACGGCAGCATTGTCACGGGCCAGTCGCAGATCTCGCATCCAAACACCTCGGGGGCGAGCCCAATGGCCCTGATTGTGAAAACCGGGCCACTGACCCCGGTGGACTTCCTCTACAACGATATGAGTCACTTGCTTAACTCAAACACAGACCTACCGCGGTTTCTCCAGGAAGTGGACCCGGAGGAATCCGAGGATGCCAATCCACCGTATTCCCACCCAGAACTTCGCCTTTCTCAACTTCATTTCTCGAAGATGGATAACATTCCGCCGCTTCCCGCCGCCGTAGAACGCATCTTCTACATCTCTCCGTTTGGCGAGGAGATCCACCCACAGGCCCACACGCGGGTAGTTAAGCAGTTGAAGGAGTCGCATATGGTGGTGTATTCCATCGGCAGTTTGATGACCAGCGTGGTGCCAGTGTTGGTGCTCAAGGGTGTGGGACAGGCGATTTCCCACGATACAAACTCCAAGAAACGCGTACTTTTATTGAATGGGAGTCTCGACAGAGAAACATACAACATGTCCGCACTGGACTTTATCGAGACGATCGTCGAGAGCTGTTTGTATTCGCAGAATGTGACGTTTACCCATAAAAACCAAAAATCTCTGTCGCCGATTGGCCACCACTACGGGCCCCGTGTCCAAGAGAACGAGCAGGACTGGTCGCGGTATATAACCCATTTGGTGCACTTGGAATACTCTCAGATCCCCGTAGATAAGGCGGTAATTGAGCAGAGGGGGGTTCGGTGCATTGCCGTAAGGAATGCCGTGGAGGATGGCGAGGTTCAAAATCTCTATGACTTGGAGGGGCTACAGAGGTGTTTGACTGATTTAATGTGAAAATGTCAAGACGGGGAGGCAGATCTGACTTGAAAAACAAGTTGCATTATTTTGGATCCGCACATCAGGTGAGGTAATGCCATTCCTCAGTAAATATTCTACGGCCATTATTGTTATTTATCTAGCTTGCTCATCCGAACCAGGAATTTAAGCAATTTACAGTAAATCCAATCCTACGTGGATTATTGTTAGATACCTAGCTCCAACACCCATTCCAACTAAGGCCAATAAACTGAGCACCTAGTATATATTAAAGCCTCCTCGAGTATACCATGGCTATATATGAAACATCCAGACTCCGGCTTTATTTGCATCCCGGATGACGTCAGCCCGTGTGAACTCCTGCATGCACATCGCCGTGATTACGCCGGGAACTCTCCAGTATTCCGATACTTCATATAAAGCCACGCCCTGCTCCTTAATCTTCCAGCCCACGGCCAATTATTCCTATATCACTATCCACTAATCATGTCTACCCCTAGAGCTATTGTTTTCACCGACTGGGACGGAACTGTCACCATGCAAGACTCTAACGATTACTTGACCGACACCATCGGGTTCGGTTACACCAAGCGCCGCGTCTTGAACCACAAGATTCTCGATGGCTCCTTAACCTTCCGAGACGGGTTCCGGGAGATGTTGGCCTCCATCCATGCTCCTTTTGATGAGTGCATCGAGATTTTGTTGAAGAACATCAAGTTGGACCCGGGTTTCCGCGTGGCTTACAACTACTGCACTGCCAACAACATTCCTGTGATTGTGGTTTCGTCCGGCATGAAGCCCATCATCCACGCGTTGTTGCTCAACTTGGTGGGTGAGGATGCCGCCAAGAATATCGAGATCATCTCCAATGAGGTGGAGATCAAGGAAGACAAGACCTGGGACATTGTCTATATCGACGAAAGCGACTTTGGCCACGACAAGTCCCGCGCTATTAAGCCGTACTCTCAGAAGCGAAACGCTGCCAACCCTGTTACCCAGAAGGCGTTGTCGGAACAGGTATTGTTCTATTGCGGCGACGGTGTCAGTGACTTGAGTGCGGCCAGAGAAACTGACTTGTTGTTTGCCAAGCGCGGCATGGACTTGGTGACTTATTGCGAAGCCCAGAACGTTCCCTACAAGAATTTTGACGACTGGAGCGACATTTTGCAGGGGATTAAGGATGTGATTGAGGGTGGCAAGAATGTCAAGGATTTGATTGAAAATAAGGGACTTTAGACAATAGATTTTACCCTGCGCTGAATACCTTTAGCAAGGCTAAGAAGTTATAGAAACTGAATATATATTTAACATTCCTAGTTGTAGCATGTAGTTAAGGTGGTATTACTACGATAGTAAGGGGGTTTTTTTTTTGCGGACATTGAGTTAATTCCAAGATAACTCAATATCACTACGATCAAAAGACCAAAGCTCGATTAGACATACGTTTAATCAAAGACAGTAGAATCAACAACATGTTAGCTGATTTGGCAAATAACCTATGGCCGTTTTGTAGCGGATTGTGTCTATTGAATCACGTTATTGGATCCTTTGCTGTAAACGCACCAAACTACCCTTTATACAGTCTTTAGTATTTTCTCATTCCATTCGCTTCATAAAGTTGCGGCAAAAACCGTCATCGTAAATATTATTCACTTCCGTAATGTTGTCAATTTTCACAAGACGAGACACGTGCAAGCCTGGTACCTGTTCGTTGCTCCTGAGAGACAAGAGCCCCAGGTCGTGCGGGCCAATCCGCTCAAAATACCTCTCTCCAAGGTAGGTTCCCGTCTCAAGTCTGTACAAACATTCTAGCTGGATGAGATACTGAATGTACCCCCACTTGTCTTGCTCGTTGGTGGTGGCCCCAACGTATACCATGCGGAGATGCTCGCCCGTAAATGCAAACAACACCATGGCAAAGAGCACACAAAGCAACAATAGCGTCCCGTTATTTTTATTCTGAGGAGTCGACTTCATAACCAGCCAGGATTTCTGAACAAACCGGAAAACCGCGTTCCGCGACAGCTCTGGAAAGTCAAGCCCCGGGAACTGCTGGAGGATAACTTTCCCTGTGAGCGCCATCCCGTAGCACATAATCAGGATGTTCGACACGAGAAACCCGGCAAACCATTTATAATTTCCGAGACCAACGCAGTTGTTCAACCAAATACAATGGTGGTCGTAGAATGCAAAGCAGCCGCCGCAGAGTGAACAGTGCTTGGACCGCGCTGGCTTGGCAAGCATACACGTGGAACACACTGCGTCGGGAAAGAAAATAAGCTGGTTGGGAGGGAATTTCACATGCATCGCTGCCACATTCCCTTGGGTGACCCGCACGGGGCGTACAAACACTGCGGCAAAGGTGACAGCGTAGTTTACCACGATGATGGTCCATACCAGAAACCACCGAATACCCCATTGGTCAGCCGGTAGGAACGGATAAGTATCCCGGAAAAAAATGGTCAAGGATGTGGTGAGAATGGCGAGGTAGAAGAACGGGATGAGCAAACTGAGCTTGAGCGAGTATTTGTAGAATGTACGTATGTGTCTATAGCGGCTGTTGCCGAAAAAGAGCATAAAGAGAAGCCAAAAGAGGAGGAGCCCCGCCCCTGATACAAGGTATACTTTGACCATCAGGTTCATTGACAGATGATTTCAGCTAGGCCTGGAAAAAAAGGCTCAAAGCTGTAAGGCGGGAGTAAGCAACAACTTCCGTCAATGGTGTTGCCTCGGTCTCATGTTGGAAACTATGCAGGCGAGTCCTGCACTTAGCGGCCTGGGCTGATGGCAAGAAAATGTAAGAATGTAGTCATGGTACGATATAGAAAAAAACGACAACCTTAGAAAGACATTTTAATAAAAATATTGTTTTTAAAAAATACATATTCCGTATAAAATAATGCCAACACCGCCTCGCATTCTCCGGTGCAACCCAAGCTTCCTCAAAACTACGATTCGCGAACTTTTCATGTCTCGAGATCAATTCCATCCGCATAGCGCGTCAATTTACGCGCCGCGTTAAAAATAAACCTCTCACAACTTTACTTCCTCTTTACACCAATCACAACACGCCACCAAAATGCCACCAAAGGGATGGAGAAAGAATAACGAAACGGTAACCCCGACGGCTGCCAAGGCTGTAGACCCAGTCTCGATCGATGTATGTACCAGTATCCCATCTATCGTTCCTTCATACTAACTTTTCAGGAACTTTTGTTCCCAAAGGCCACCGTCAATAGAATCGCCAAGAGTGTGTTGGACGAGCATTCATTGTCGAAGGATAGTTTGATCGCATTGCAGAGAGCCGCCACTGTGTTTGTTAACCACTTGTTCTTCTTTGCCAGAACCGCCGCCAGAGACCAGGGCCGTAAGACCGTCAACTCACAGGAAGTGATTGCGGCATTGGAAAAGTCCGAGTTTGCATCCTTCATTCCGATTGTCAGGAAGGAGTTGGAATCGTACAACAAGATCCAGGAACTGAAGAAGAAGCACAAGGAGCACAAGGATGAGGACATCACGATTAACGAGGCCGAGTCCGCTAACACCACGGTCCAGGAGGAGCCGAAGGAGGGGGATGAGCCGGCTGCAAAAAAGACTAAGGACAACGCCGGCCATGCAGTTGGCAGAAATACCAGCGGCGAGGACACCGACGAGGAGGGTGCCGACGAGAACCCCGACACGATATCGCAGGACGAGGAAGACAAGGACGAGACGGAGGAGGCAGAAGAGCGCGCCGTTCAACCGATGGAAGCGATAGACTTAGAGGAGAAGGAGCTTAGAGGTGAGGATTTTGACAACGACACTGTTGGGAATGAGGATGAAGCGGAGGAAGAGGACTAGGAAAGTGTATATTATAAATCTTAATAAGTAACAGGCCGTAACCGTTTGTAACAGTTCGTAACGCTAGGTGTAATGAGACGAAGGTGGCCCCAGAAGGAGCCTCAGGAAGGGCCCCAAGCCGGTGAAAATCAAACCTATTAATACTCTTAGGTCCCTAGGAATCCGCTACGTGAAATCCCTATTTAAAAAATGACGACAACGGCAGGACTCGAACCTGCGCGGGCAGAGCCCAAAAGATTTCTAATCTTTCGCCTTAACCGCTCGGCCACGTTGCCTAATAATGAGGATTATAGGGATACACTGAGGGGCGTCCCAGGAGGGTACTTTAGGTGCTCTGGCTATACCAGGAGTTTTCGAGCTAAGCGAAGAAAGATTCGTGGAAACGGCACCGAGATCACGACAATTAAAATGAAAATCGTGCTAACACCAAGCCAATCGTCGAACATGTACTATTACAAGAATGAGGTTACGATATTATAATGCCAATCACGTGCTGATTCAGAGACGAAATACAGGCATAAATCTGGACACACTTACAAAGCTGAATAAGTTTTTTTCTACTCAAGGAGTTGAATGTCTGTTAATAGACTAGTTTTTGGTTGGGAAGTTATTTATCTGAAAGCTATCAATGAAACCGTCGACAACTACCTACTCCTATACCAGTCCTATTACCTTTTGTAACCTCTCAAACGCGACAAGTTTGTATGTATATCCGAATGGGACAGAAGTAATAGCTTGTGGGGAGGTTTTTTCTAATAAAAGCAGTGAGGCTTATAACAAGATATCAATGTTTATGGTGTTTCTAATGATATTTTCATTTGGGGCTGCGCTCCACCTAGTTTAACCACTGAAGGCTTGAGCCGTGCCAGTGATACAACATGAAGTTGAAACTATCAGTACATATGGGGATTTAATGGCTGTTAATGATCAAGTTGTTGTGGCTGCAATTATTGGAAATGATTTCTCACTGTCGAATGTTACAGTACTTTATAACATATATGGCTAATTACAATTAATCGATGCTTTACGTACACATAGTCTGTCAACACAGGTTTGAGCTGGAATGCAATCAAGGGGTTGCTAACATTCGGTGCTGTTGCGTGTAACTAGCAGCTATTGACAGTATTTCAGATAGAGATACCGGCCCATCTAACGTAGTGGCAAAATTTGGTGTATATAAAAACATGAACTCCTCCCCTTGTGTATATCTTATGTATGAAAAGTATTCTCTTCTGGCTAACTAACTGCGCTTACTAAATATACCACAACCGGTCTGAGATGTATCACAAAATGATTTATCAATACGTTTAAACCGATAGCGCGTTTAGTCTAGGTTGCTCATAATGGCAGACTGTATTACAGACTGTATTACATCCCATATTACATCCTATATTACATCCCATATCACAACCCATGTTACGGCCCATATGAACACTTTTAATGAACATGGAATGAGTGGGGAGGGTGAAAATGCAGGTTAACTGGCATATACCCTCTGACGTTATCCAATCTATAGCACCCACGGGTACATCCCATATCTATAGGCGGTAGACTGGGAAAACCCACGACAAATAAAGAGTGTAGTGCGCTCGACATTTGCTCTTAAGAAACCCAAGACGTGCCAGAACGTTGTGATCCACCTTCTGCCTGATCTCACCCCCATTCTTTAGCTTTCAGATAAACATACCGATAAACTCCTATTGTCCTCCTCTTAAGCACTGATTGAACAATGGGTAGCCACATTCAGCTCCCATCACCATATACACCACCCCTGTGGCAACCCCACCCACAATCGCCATCAACCGCACATTCGTCCACCACATCTTGCGCCTGATAGCAACAGTGCGTCTTCTGAAGGCGTTGGAACTATTATTAATCCTGTCCGTCTTGTTCACTAACGAGCTAATGCGCTCGCCCCGCTCGAGGATACGCTCGATGTTGTCAACCATGATGGTTTTCACCGACTCCACCTCTGCGGTAGTGGCGGTAAAGGCATCCGTATCGTATCTCGCCTCGGCCAGCTTGATGATCTTATTCATTGTCACTTTGAACTCGCCTAGCACCGGCCGCAACAACGGCTCGCTCTCGTGGCTCGGGGCGTACTGAAACGCAATATACTCGCCCATGATCTTGTCCAACGTTTCGAGCACAAACGCCTTGTTAATCTGGCTACTGGCAATAGCACAGACATTCACCAAGTCAGCAGAGGTGTATTTATCGGTCCCTATCGCGCGCTTTAAATAAAAGAGCGTGAGTTGCACCTTTGAGGGGTACAGTCCGGAGGGATTATAGGTCAAGGGCACCGAGCCTACCAGCGAATTGGAGGCATTGATTCGTCCAATTTCGTCCGTGGCTATCTCTGAGCAATTGAGACTGAGCTTGTGGAGCAACGCCACATTCTCGTATGAGAAGAGCGTGGTTGAGTTTGACGTCAATGTCGTGTAGAGTACTATATGGTTAGTCGTCACCGAAGGAGTTTGAGTAAAGACTTTTTATTCACTTACAGCTCTTGTTGATATCCTCTGTCATCGTGAAGGCCAGTGGGGTGTTGAAAAAGGGCGTGGGCAAAGGTTGGTTTGGCTCAGATAAATGGAATTTCCGGGGAAATACATGACAGCCTGTGAGACGTGAGGGCAACTCATGGCGATTTCGCGAAGCGCACTCTTGTACAAGGGGTAAGACTAGGGCATACTAAAAAAAAAAAAATCTTGATCTATACGAAATATATATTTAAGGCTTCAGAAATTCCAGCATGATTCGTGAAACATCCCCATTATCCTTTTACTACATAAGAGGAGCCTAGATTAGTCCAAAGAGACGGTTATGGCGCGTCATACCTCCACGTTAAGTCTTTTTTTTTATATTTAATAATATATAATTCCAAAAACCCAACCGACACAAAAACTACGAAACAAATCAAAATAAAAATACGAGATTTAAGCGGAAGCCTCTTCGGTCTCAGCGGTCTTCTTGTACTCCTCGTAAGCGGCAAGAGCTTCATCGAGGTGGGTCTTGAAGGCGTCTTCGTTCTCCAACAAGTTCAAAATTTCCTCGTTCTGCAAGTCCAACATCATACCGGTGATTTTACCGGCAGCTTCGGCGTCCTGGGCCTTACCGGAAGCAGCAATCTTTGGGTACAACTCTTCACCGAGCATTCTCTTCTGCTGCTCTGGGGCAGCCTGGGCCAAAGCGGCGGCCAAGCCACCCTCCTTGCGCTGGTTCTTGAAGTTACCTCTGCTCTGGTAGTTTCTCTGTGGACCACGGTTGAACTCCTGGTTGAAAGGAGGTGGTGGCATGCCGTAGACTGGCATTGGCTGGCCGTTTGGACCAGGACGTGGCCACTGACCCTGTGGAGGCATCTGGCCTCTTGGGCCCTGCTGCATCATCATTGGGTTTGGACCGCCGAATGGGGCACCGCTACGGGACCCTGGTGGCATGAAGCCGCCTGGCTGCTGGCCGTAAAAGACCTGTGGCATAAACTGGCCTGGCATACCGCCGGCAGCGGCAGCCTGCTGCAATCTCATCTGGTTGCGGGCCTGGATCTGCTGTTCCAACTGGGAGCGTCTGACGTCCTTTCTCTGGGCCAAGGCAACGTACAATGGCTTACCGGCCAACATGTGCTGGTTCATCTCGGAGACAGCCTTGGTGGCTTCCTCCGGGGTAGAGAAACAGACGAAACCAAAGCCCTTGGACTTACCGGCATCGTCGGACATGACCTTGACGGAGGTGATGGTACCGAAAGAAGCAAAGGCCTCCTTCAACATCTCGTCGTCAACGGAGTCGTCCAAGTTCTTAACGAACAAGTTGACACCCTGGTACTTGGAGAGCTTTTCCATACGGATAGCCTCGTACTGCTTCTTCAACTCCTGCAATCTCTCGCCCTTCTTCTGGGCACGGCCGACGTACAACTTCTTGCCGTTAATCTCCTTGTCATTCAACTCGTCGACGGCTCTAGCGGCATCGTCGGTGGTTTCAAAGTTGACGAAACCGAAACCGCGGGACTTACCCTCGGCGTCCTTCTCCAAGTGAATGGAGGTGATGGCGCCATAGGTCTCGAACAACTTCTTGAACTCCTCCTCGGAGAACTCGACATCAACGTTCTTGACGTAGACGTTGGTGAAGACGGCCTTCATGTCCTCAATCTTGGATTCACGGTCCTTCTTGGAGATGTGTGGGCCGACGTAAACCTCACGGTCGTTCAACAACATCCCGTTGACGTTATCGATGGCGGCGGTGGCGGCCTCATCGGTGTCGTAGTGGACAAACCCAAAACCCTTGGACTGGCCCATTTCGTCGGTGGCAACCTTACACGACAAGATCTTGCCGAAAGCAGAGAAGGTGTCATGCAACGCTTTGTTGTCAATAGCCGGGTGCAAGTTCTTGATGAAGATGTTACCGGCACCGTTGCGGCGCAACGATGGATCTCTCTGAGACCACATGATACGGCATGGACGGTTCTTGATTGGAGAGTAGTTCAACTCATCAATAGCACGTTCACCGTCAGAGACGTTGTGGAAGTTGACGTAGGCGTAACCCAAGGATCTCTTGGAAACGGCGTCACGACACACTCTGATGGAGGAGACTGGACCGATGGCAGAGAAGACTTCGAACAAAGTGGCTTCGGAGACCTGTGGGTCCAACTCACCAACGTACAAGGAGGCAGAGTTGTCGGAGACTGGCTGGGAAGAGGAGGCTTCTTCAGAGGCAGCGGTAGTGGCTGGGGTTTCCTCAACTGGAGCGGCGTCGACAGACAACTTCTCAAAGCTTTCTTGCACTTGTTGGGCTTCGGCGGCAGACATTTTTTTTTTTGGGTTTTTTTATTAGTATATGGATCTAGAAAGATTCGTGACGGGGAGGCTACGAATTTTGATAAACTGAATCTATATGAGGAAGGAAACTACACTACAAGTGCCGAAGGTCAGGAAGAGACGTTTTTGTTATGACGGCGTGCAAAGTTTGGTTCAAGTTTGCCAGACTGCGAATTTTTCGCACGAAAGCTGAACTGGTGAAAATTTTTGTTCGATCTCGCAGAGTTACCCGATCGACCACAAACAGCGTGCACGTCCGGCATGGAAAATACGAGGCCTTGCTTTTCGTGTGTTGCGTCTAAGCTGACAGCGGTTGGGGCACGTACTTCTGATGTAATTGATAAATGAACTATGTTCTACGAGAAAGGCAAGAGTTAGGGGCAATTTACAAGATATCGGAGAAGTAATTTTATGGAAAAAGAGCACATTTAAGCTTAAGTTTGGATCATAGATCATGGTATCTATACGATATCTAAAAAAAAAAGAGAAACTAATTGGAGATGCTAATATTGAGATCGCACAGGTAGAGGAACCTGATGAGCTTGATAGGCTAGAAAAAAAGTGTTTGATTAGTATACTTCTAATTTGTATATTAAAATCTCAACCCCATTCTACATCTAGTATTTACAAGAATCTATTAGCTACACCAAATCTACAACATGGAACTTGCCCTTACCCACCCTGAGCAAGAGCAAACGGTCCTGGATCAAGTACTCTTCGGTCAACAACAACTCGTCGCTCTCATCAACCTTTACACGATCTACACCGACGTAGACGGACCCGTTGGTCACCAAACGGCGAGCATCGGACTTGGAGCTGCCGGTGAGAATCTGCAAGATCTCAGAGTACTTCTTGTTAATGAAGTTTACCTTGCTGAACCTGATCATGATACCAGCTCTTTCGAGTGCATTGATTGTGGCCTGGGCCTCTTCCGGCGATGCGAGTTGTTTATATGGCTCGTTTGGCAACGGATACAAGAACGACGTGATCAACTCCGCGCTATGGCCGCTCCCCGCTCCGTGGATCAAGTCAGTGACTTCCGCAGCGAGAATCCTCTGCGCAAGACGCAACGCTGGGTCCGTCTCATGCTGCTCCATAATCGTCTTCACCTGCAGAAGCGGAAGAAGGGTAAAAATATGCAAGAGCTTCTTCACATCCGCGTCTGGGGTCTTGATGAAGTATTGGTAGATCTCAAACGGCGGGGTGATTGCTGAATCAATAAACACCGCGTTCCCCGCGCTCTTACCGAATTTGGTACCATTGGCAGTGGTCAAAAGCGGAACGGTGATCCCAAAGGCACCGCGCTGGTTCGAATGCGCCTTCTTTTCCTCCTTGGAGAACTGGCCCTTCAAGCGCGTGATGAAATCAACGCCTGCGGTGATGTTGCCCCACTGATCGTTGCCACCCACCTGCACCGAAACATTATCATGCTTCCACATGTGCCAAAAGTCAAACGCCTGAAGAATCTGGTAGGAAAACTCGTTGAAACCAATTCCGTTAGCGGACTCCAAGCGGTTTTTGACGGAGTCACGACTGATCATCTGGCCCACACGGATGAAGCGCCCATAAGTCCCAAGAAACTCCAACATCTTCACTCCGTGCCACCAGGAGTAGTTGTTCTTTGTCTGAATGGCCCCACCCGCCTTGATTGGATACTGTTTGGTCTTCGCGTACTCCAAGCCCTGCTCCAAGAAGTTCTGCAACTGTGCTTGTATCTTGAGCACGTTGTCGTCTCTTGCAGCGGCATCAAGCGCATCGCGCTCTGTCGTGCGCCCAGACGGATCGCCCACTTGCACCGTGGCGCCACCCACGAGCCCAATAACGTCGTGCCCACGCAAATTGAAGTGCAAGAGGATCATCAACGGAAGGAGGTTGCCTAAATGGAGCGAGCGCGCCGTCGGATCTGCCCCGCAGTACAACCCAAGCTTGTGTTTTTCGGCAATGTCGGAAAGCTCCTCGTGTGTGATCGATTGGAGGAGCCCACGCGACCGTAAGTGGCTGATGAGTGGTTCCTGGACATCCGCTGCGTGTCCCTCAGTGGTGGCCGCTGAGAGTTCCTCCAAGCGGGCAAGTGAGTTCCAGCGACGAGGAATAAGCTGGAAGCCGAGTCTGGCGGTTCTAGCGCGTAACATTGTTGTGGCAAAGAGGAAGAGGGCAACAGTGGGAAGTGGTGGGGATGCTGAAATAGACAAACTGGCGTATCACGTGTTGAATACTGTATATATCACGTGTCATACTTCAGTTAGCTGGCAAGGCAGTAAACTCGTGTTGCTTACTATGAATGGCGAATCTTGCGGTTTGGTGAAGAAAAAGAATTTAAAATATTTTTAACATTCATCTGTGTAAGCTTAGCGGCCATTTTAGCCCGGTCGTATGGGGTTTGAAAGGTGTTAATATCACTGTGTTTGATCAGAGCGTTAGAATTTACAGTGCTAAGTTTTTAGCACCCGGTTTTATAGGAGGGCAAGCGAACGCTACTTGTCAAGAAGTTAAAGTTTAAGCAAGGCTGTCTGATTGACCATATACTTTGGGATAGTGCCTAACCAGATTCCCTCTAAGCACCCAATGATTCATGCGTGCTCTGTGTTAATACAGATATAGAACATTGGCATGTAGTTCGGACCACCGGCTGAAGTATGTCAAGGAAAGTCATTCCATAACAGCGCCAAGATGTGACACTTTAACTATTTAATACATCCTTCCCCATAATGGTTCCAAACTTAAGTATTATTAGCTCTGTTAACGTACGTACAAAAGCAACTGCCACAGCAACAATGGCTATCGCATCCGTAACTACAGCGGTAATACAAATAACCCTCCAAGGATTTGCGTCTCCCCTCTCAGTCCCCAAAAACCGACCAAAGCCTAATATATTGCTGTCCAATGGCCCTCGGCTTATCGTCTGTCAAGCTTTAAAATTACATACCTGCATTGCAATTTTTCCGTGCGCTTTACGCAATCCATCTTGGCGCTTATATAAGCAAGGCGTTACCGCGCCTTTCTCCAAGTTACCCTGCTTTCTCGTTCATCGTTCGGGCGTCCCAGAATTTTGCTCATTCCGGCAAAATCCTCTTTGCTTACATTTTACTATGACGCTTTCGCTACCCTCACCGCTTTCTTTATATAGCATCTCAGAAAACAGATGATTTTTGTATCCAGATATCTCCCATACACCTGAAGTAGGTGCTATACGAACTGGAGGCCCCCGTCAGATTGTGCTATCCACCGTCAGCACTGGCGGGGCGTGAACCGCCCTTTCGCAACTGCTGTGGACCTTTGGGGTCCTTCCGAAACGGCGCTGAGATGCAGTGAGTATCTGAGCATTTGAGATCCTCTGGCGTTCTAGGAACACCTGGTCTCTATATTAACGCTTCACCCCCCTCCGTCAGGCCGTCTTGCGAGGATTCCTCCCTCTCTTCTAGCTTTTCATTGAAGCCTGGGTGTATATTGATTGGAGATGGAATATCCAGACGGTTTACGCGTCAATGTGGTTGTATAAGCAAATCACGGGTCTGCCAGCAGCACTGTTTCTCATGGGGGCGTTGCGGTTTTCCAGACTGCGCGTTGGACTGAGTTGATGTGCCGCCATGATATGTATGGATGGACGGCTGGCTGATCGCGGCTGGATTGGTGATTTATGCTGGAATGGAGGCGTATGTGGTATAGCGTCACCACTGGGCTCGAGATGCCCTCATCCTTTCCACCGCCACACAACACATCCTTCTTGTCCCCCTTTGTTTACCTTTCGGACGCGTCAGTTATACTCTATGGTTTTCTCCTCTTTTCTTCTCTTTCTTGCTGTGTCTCGTCATAGCATCCTTCTAGGAAGCGTTCCCGATGAGCTCCAGCCCTCTCTCTGAACACTTTCATTTTCTCTGAATTTTTTTCTATATATGTAAATTAGACACCTGAATATACGACAAATGCACCAAAATCGGCCCTAAAAGCACGTAGTTTCCTCCCTAGCTTCTGAGCAATCATCTCTCCAATAGGAGCCCCCGTACGGTCGTCCCGGCGAGAATTTTGTTGGCGGCACTGTTTTTTCCCACTTTTTTTTCACGCGCCAAACAAAAGCGTTGTGCCAACATATTGTTGTCTCTAGATACACAATATCAGCTAGCGTTGAATTATTGTGGTTACTTTACTGATTTCAGTTTATCGGCTATACATCCAATAGCTGACCCGATCATATCTGGAAAGTCAGATCATCATCCCCCTGGTAAACCATCACACGTTCATAACAGAACTGAACCCTATATCTGAGAACTGTCATCAACGAACGGTGCTCTCCAGACACATTCATATCTGCTTGTATCACACCTGATCGGTACATCCAAGCATCCATCCAAGCATCCACCCGATTTAGCATCTGATCAAACCATTTATTTTCCATGTCTTCCAGAGTGGATTTGCCTGACGACATCCTCGCGGACCCCGAGTTGTACGGGTTGAGACGGTCGCGCCGCGCGCACGTTCCAGTGCACACCTACGAAAGCGAAAGCGACGAGGAGCCGGTAAAACGGACGCGCCGCAAGCCTAAATATGAGTCGGAGGAAAACTCCGACAACCATATGGAGGAGAGCGAAGAGTCCGACGTGGGCTACGTCGAGGAAAAGAAAAAGGTTGCCCGTGGGGCTGCCCGCAAGACCGCCAGTATTCCCGCGGAGGTGCGCTTCTCTGCGCGAAACAACCGTGCGGTCAATTATGTGCTAGAGGACGACGAGGAGGAGTTTGTCGAGAGCGACTACGACGCGCAGGCCTATGAATACGAAGAGGAAACCTCGCCCACCGAGAGCATCGATATGGTGATGGACCACATGCTCAACGACGCGAACGCGACACAGACCGGTAACATCAAGCTCGACTACCTCTTTCAGATAAAATGGACCGGGCAATCGCATCTGCACAACACGTGGGAGAAGTTCGACGCGCTCAAGAACTTAAAGGGGGTCAAGAAGGTTGACAACTACATTAAGCAGTACATCGAGTTGGATCGTGCGCTCCGCAATGACCCGTTAACGACGCGTGAGGATCTCGAGGTGATGGACATCGAGCGTGAACGGCGCCGTGACGAGATGGCGGAGTTTACCAAGGTGGAACGCATCGTTGATTCTGAGCGAGTAATGGAGGATGGTATTGGCAAACTCCGCTACTACATCAAGTGGCGCCGCCTCAACTATGACGAGTGCACGTGGGAAGATGCAGAGGAGATCGCGGAGGACGCGCCGCTTGAGGTTGCGCAGTATCAGGCGCGCGCAGCGTCAAAGATCCTTCCCGGGCTCTCTGCGAACTACGGCTCGCAGCGCCCGCGCTTTGAGAAACTCGTCAAGCAGCCGCCGTTCATCAAGAACGGGGAGTTGCGGGACTTTCAGCTCACGGGGTTGAACTGGATGGCGTTCCTCTGGTCGCGCAATGAAAACGGAATCCTCGCGGATGAGATGGGGTTGGGGAAGACGGTCCAGACGGTGGCGTTTCTTTCGTGGTTGATCTACGCTAGGCGCCAGAACGGTCCTCACTTGGTTGTGGTTCCGTTGTCGACGGTGCCGGCGTGGCAGGAGACGTTCGAGAAGTGGGCGCCAGATGTGAACTGCCTCTACTACTTTGGCAACACGCAGGCGCGTGCAAACCTCCGCCTGTACGAGTTTTACGGAGCGTCGGCCAAGAAACCCAAGTTTAACGTGCTCCTCACAACATACGAGTACATCTTGAAGGACCGGACAGAGCTCGGCGCGTTGCGCTGGCAGTTTCTCGCGGTGGACGAGGCCCATCGCTTGAAAAACGCGGAGTCGTCGCTCTACGAGGCCTTGCGCGACTTTCGCGTGGGCAACCGTCTCCTCATTACTGGTACACCGTTACAAAACAACATCAAAGAGCTTGCAGCGTTGGTGAACTTTCTAATGCCCGGGAAGTTCACCATCGACCAGGAGATCGACTTTGAGACCCCCGACGACGAGCAGGAGGGGTATATCCGCGACTTGCAGCAGCGCATCCAGCCGTTCATCCTCAGACGGCTCAAGAAGGACGTGGAAAAGTCGTTGCCATCGAAGACCGAGCGCATTCTCCGCGTGGAGCTCTCGGACCTCCAGACCCAGTACTACAAGAACGTGCTCACCAAGAACTACTCTGCCTTGAATGCCGGGGTGAAGGGGGTCAACATTTCCTTGCTCAACGTGATGTCTGAGTTGAAGAAGGCATCAAACCACCCGTACCTCTTTGACGGCGCGGAAACGAACGTGCTCGCAAAGGCGGGGTCGTCGCGTGAGAATGTGCTCCGCGGCATGATCATGACATCGGGGAAGATGGTGTTGCTTGACAAGTTGTTGAACAAGTTAAAGAAGGAGGGACACCGGGTGTTGATCTTTTCCCAGATGGTGCGGATGTTGGACATTCTTGGGGATTACCTTGCCATCAAGGGACACCAGTTCCAGCGTCTCGACGGTACCGTTCCATCGGCCCAGCGCCGTATCGCCATCGACCACTTCAACTCGGAGGGGTCGCAGGACTTTGTGTTTCTTCTTTCCACCCGTGCCGGTGGGTTGGGGATCAACTTGATGACCGCTGATACGGTGATTATTTTCGATTCCGACTGGAACCCCCAGGCGGACCTCCAAGCCATGGCGCGTGCGCACAGAATCGGCCAGAAGAACCATGTGATGGTGTACCGGTTTGTGTCAAAGGACACGGTGGAGGAGGAGATTTTGGAAAGGGCCCGGAAGAAGATGATTCTTGAATACGCAATTATTTCCCTCGGGATCACCGACGGGAAGCCCAAGAAGAAGAATGAGCCGAGCACTGGCGAATTGAGCGAGATCCTCAAGTTTGGCGCGGGAAACATGTTCAAGGCCACGGACAACCAGAAAAAGTTGGAGGCGTTGGACTTGGACGACGTGCTTAACCATGCGGAGGACCATATCACAACTCCAGAGATTGGTGACTCCAACCTCGGTAGCGAGGAGTTCTTGAGGCAGTTTGAGGTGACGGACTACAAGGCAGACGTAGACTGGGACGATATCATTCCGGAAGAGGAGTTGAAGAAACTCAAGGCGGAGGAGGCGCAGAAGCAGGAGGAGGAGTATTTGCAAGAGCAGATCGCGATGTATCTGCGGCGCGCAAAGTCGGTCGCGTACGACGAGGAGAGCGAGGGCGAGGCGCGCAGCGCGCGTGCCGGTGTGCGCGGCCGCCGCGTGGTTCAGGACGTGTTAAGCGAGAAGGAGATCCGCAGCGTGTACCGCGCAATCCTCAAGTTTGGTGACTTGTCCGCCAAGTGGGACCGCCTCGTGGGCGACGGTACGTTGTCGAATAAGAACCCGGAATTGATCCGTCATGCGTACAACGAGCTTCTCGCGCGCGCGCGTGAATTGGTGCGGCTTGAGGAAGACCGCCGTGCGGCCACGCTTGCGGAGTTGGAGCTTGCTGAAAAGACCGCGCCGCCCGACGCGCCGTCGCTCTGGATGCTCAAGCGCAAAGAGCGCAAAGCGATTCTCTTTTCATACGAAGGGGTCAAGAACATCAACGCCGAGCTACTCTTATCACGCCCTGACGACATCTCAGCACTTGAGGCCATCATGCCGCCGGTTCCTACGGCGTTCCGTTTACCGAAGATGCCAAAGCCCGTGCATGGATGGACGTGCGACTGGTCTGTGCGTGACGATGAGATGTTGCTCGCGGGTATCTACAAGTTTGGGTACGGTTCGTGGGTCCAGATCCGCGACGATCCAATGTTGGGCTTACAGAGCAAGGTGTTCCTCGACGGGGGTGACGATAAGGAAAAGACCAAGAAGGTTCCTGGGTCGGTTCATCTCAATAGGCGATCGGATTACTTGTTGGGGTTGATTCGTGGTAAGGATGAGGATGAGGGGACCCCAGATGTACCGCTTCACCACGTCAAGAGGCGGATCAAGAAACCCAAGCCATCGGGCACGCCGGAGCCGGCGCCTAAGCGTGTTCGGAAGCCTAAGCCCGTGCTTGCGCCGTCTCCTGTGGCGAACGGAAAGTCGGACGAGCCGACAGAGTACGACATGTGCAAGGATCGCCTTCTGGCAGTCCAAGCATCGCTCCAACGCTTAAAGGAGGGTGGGGCTGGATTGGATAAGAAGGTATGGGTTGGCATCTTAAAGACGAACTTGCTTGCAGTTGGGAGCAGGATTGACGATGTGGCAAAAGGTGATGCGGAGTTGGGCCCCAAGTTGTGGAAATATGCGTGTTTGTACTGGCCTGCGAAAGTTGACCCCGCCCAGATCATGAAGATGTACAATAAGATCAGGGACGCGCTGAAGTAGTGTATGATAGCATTAATTGGAATATTAAGTTGAAACCGTTATCCGAAGGGTGATATAATAAGTTGGTTACCAGCGGAGTTTGTGAATCTTCAGATCCCCTTCGATGTACGTCAATTGTCTGTCTATGTTATTTGTTTAACTTGATAACGGTAAATTTTATTTCTAACTTGCCCCTCGTTACGCGCTGAAGCCTGTCGAGAAGCTACACATAAGATGGATAGACACATCTTGTGTCAAAGATTCAGACAGTCTAAAAAAAAATAGGTCTGATCCGCAAATACAAGTCAAAATCTAATCAATAAATACCAACATAGCCGATAGAAAGTCTTTCTCCAGTTCCTAATCGAGTAATTGGATCCCACCTTCCCCGTGACTCTCCGCCTCCTTTAACATACTATGCTCGTTGTTACTCACCAAACTCTCTCCGTTAGTGCTACCTCCCACACCCCTGTCGGAATACAAATCGTTCAACGCAACTGGGGTATCCTTTGGCACGGGTTTTCCAATAACTCCCCTCACAACCCATGCAAGCACGGCGAGAAGCGCCACAACGCCCAAGGTCACACCAGCGCCAATACCCCCAGCACTAACGTTACTCAAGCCCTTCAGAATACCCAATGTACGGTAGTCGCCCTTCTCCACAGCCGTCAAATTAACTCCATTATGGACCAAGTCTACGGCATCCTCGTAGGTGTCGGAATACGGCACACAGAAATTCTCATTGGACGAGCAGACATCACACCAATTGTCCAAACTGGAAATGCCATTAACATTTGCCACGTTCAGCATAAAGTCATCCCAGAGCATAAAGTTGCTGCTGGAGCCAAACATCGGCCAGGCGGTCAACGGAACTTCGTCGCCAGTGCCATTACGGAACAAGAACTGGACGTAGGTTGAATTTGTATTATTATCCACAAGCAACTCCCAGACATTTTGGGCACCGTAGGCCGGCATTCCCGTGAAATTAACCGATTGAGAGTCCATTTTCATCAAGCCGTAGAGCTGGTACATCACGTTAAAACTGCCAGTGAGGTAGTTGAGATGGGGTTTAGCGGTCGCAGATGAATTGAGCAAGACGCTCACATGTCCCAACAATGCGCGCGCGCCGATCGCAAGCTGTTGCAGAAGCGCCGCGTCATCCGCATGTGCAATCATCCACTGGTAGCGGTCGTTCAACACCGAAACTTGTTGGATGAGCGACAGGTTCCAGTTCTTGGCAAGGGTTTCGTTGTGGATGGAGTTGACGTTGATAAAATCCTGGACGGCTTCGGCATTGCCAAAGTTCAACTGCCACTTGGAAAACTCCTTGACGTCGTCGCTGCCGTCCTCCAAGTTCGGAAGTAAGTCGTAGAGCGACTGGTAGAAGTCCCACGTAGACGCGTTGACCTGTTTGAAAGCGTCAGATGTAAGTACCAAGTTGGTGGCATTGGTAAACACCGGACACCCACTCGCACCATTAGTCCAGATCTCATCTGGCGCGCCGTCCGCAAGTAGGTTCAGTTGCACGTACTGGTACCCGCCGAGAGGCGCAGACACCGCGGTTCCGTCACTCAAGTTTGCGTTCATGAGGTTATTGAGCAGTTGCACTTTGTCGATCTCGACCGTGGGCGGGTAGAGTCCCTGAAGAAAGGCCACGTGCAGGAAGTAAATGGGCTGCAGCGACGTGATCGATTCGGTGTAGATGTCCCCGGCGATGTAGACGCCGTAAGGGTTCGCCCCAGGGAGCTTGCGGTTGGTCTCGACGGGCGTCGCACCGTCATACCCAAAGTAGCGCTGGCGATAGTAGTTCCCAGCGTTGAACTGGTTCTTCGAGCCGAGCGGAGTGAGGATCTTTGCAGGCTTAATCACACGATCGTTGTGGCGGCCGAAGATGACGGAGCCAAGGATACTGAAGTTATTTGGGTCGGGACTGGTGGTAACCGGCGCTGCAACAACGAACCCGGCTGTGGCAGCGGCAAAAATGAGATGTGATAATTGCATGAGAGGGTTAGTGATTCGGGGGGGGTTGTTTTGCTGTGTGTCGCGGGGATAGCTTACTTATATGGAAAGTATACATGAAAAGTCTTTTGCCGCGGGTAGTGTTTCCCTTTTTAGCCATGCATCTTTTCACACTAATAACAATACACAGGGCCTACTGAAAAAGCTGATAGCTGTCGCTTATTAATCGTCGCCATCTTTTAATTGTCGCCATCTTTTAATTGTCGCCATCTTTTAATTGTCGTGGTTTTTGTTTATCTGGCACTATTAAATCCTGGTAGAGGCAAGGCCCTTTGATACTGATTGTTAACCGCGGAACGCAGGGGGTAGGGGCTTTTAGTTTTCAGGGTCATTTTCCTATATCAGCGCCGGGACCCCGAGCGGCTGCGCTAAAGTATCGATCTGTACGTTTCTGCATTAAGCGTGAATTAGCGTGAAAAAAGCAAGGGGCAACTACGGGGATATCTCACTGTGACGATCGATTCACCTGTGGCTCTGTGAGACCACTGACTCTTCGAAGGAATAGTATACAGATAGTTCTAGTAAATATAGGAGGTGTAGAGTGCTACGGTTTTCCAAGGATAACACCGACTAGTTTGAGTTGGACCCGGGGTGGAGGCTCTCCTGATTTTTTTGGATTGTACTTGGTTGTTTTCTAAGCAAGCTTCTCAATAAATATCAAACAGGCAGTGGGATAGAAATGTATCCCTTTATACATGCTCAGCCGGTAAACGGGTTGGTACTAGCATCGGACCTTTCTTTATCGGGCAAGGCTGCAATGCGAAACTATTGATGGGACCATTAACAGGAGAGATAATAATGATTGCGGATTAATTTAAAAGCGGTTTAGATGGTCTGTACATAAACGGTAAGTACGTGCAACTAGAATGCCCCTATCATTCGTCCTTGTCAACCTATGACCGACCAACTCTTCGCTATCGGCATCCAGCCAGCCCTCCCTACACCCCTCTAAGTATATACAGGTTTTCATATTCTCAGCCCTATTTAAGTCGTTTACAACTTCCACTGGACGTACTCCTGGTTCTCCTGGCTCGGCACGCACTTTCTCGCCAAGACATTGTCAACCTTCCAGGCGACACCGGCTTTGTTTCTGTAGTGGTTCAAGAACTTGGTCTTGACCTCCTTCGGGGTCGGCAAGTACTTCCTGCCAGAACCGTCGCTACCGTTGATGTACTTTTGGATCTCAATCTCGGTCGGCAAGCCCATATTGTATGGGTACTGGTCAAAGTCACGGTTCTCGTACAATGGGAGCGAATCCTTGTTGACAATAGAGTTTTCCGGCTTGGTGAAGAATCGGGCAACCTCGGCGGCGGTGACGTCGGCAACGGATGCGTGCTTCCAGTGAGGGGTGGTCTTATTGATTAATTTGGCGGTGACACCCTCGGTGAAATCGGAATCCATCATGAAATTCTCGCCGGCTTGCAACTCTCTCTGGAGGGTCTTGTGGATGGTAGAGACGGCACCCTTGTTCAACATTTCGAAGGTGACCTTAAGCGACAATGGTGACTTGGTCTGGAGCTTCTGCAAGGTGGTTTGGGCGAACTCGGAACCATCTTCAATCAAGTAGGCAAGTACGTCGTCAAATGTGGCCTGGGAAAAGGCTCTGTCGATCAAGTCTCTCTGCTCGTTGGTGTAGACAAACTGGTAGTCGGCCGGGATTGGCTCGGCAAAGTCCTCGATGGCCTGGTTTACAACCTGGAAAAACTCCTCCGGCTTGTTGAAGGTGGCCTTGTTGTGTTCCAACTGGGTCAATCTCTGGGTCAATCTCTCCAATTGTGCGGATGGCACGTAATGGGTGGCAGTACCGGCAGCCAAATTGTCAAAGCCGTTCAAACGGTCACCAGTCATGGCGAGGTAGTAGCCCAATTTACCATCCATGCGTGGTAAGAAGAAGGTGGTCCCGACGTCTGGGAACAAACCAATGTCCATCTCTGGCATGGCAAACATGGTCTTTTCCGTGGCGATTCGGAAGGGAACGTGTGCGGACAAGCCAACACCACCGCCCATGGTGATCCCGTTCATGTAAGCGATGATTGGCTTGTTGAACGTGGCCAAGAGGTAGTTCAAGTAGTACTCGTTCTGAAAGAAACCGGTGGTGGAGGCAAAGTCGCCAGCAGCGTTGGCCGTGGCACACGCGACAACGTCACCGCCGGCACAGAATGCCTTTGGGGACTTGGTGTCGATAATCACGGTGGAAGCGGCAGCGGAGTGGCCGTATTCAAGCAAACGAGGGATGATCTTGGAGGTCATAGAGTGGTTCAACGAGTTGAGCTTCTTTGGGCGGTTAAGCGAGATGATCCGCGAGGAGTTGCGGACATCAAAGACAACGTCGGTCTCGTCAAAGGCAGGAATAGAGGTGGAAAACATTCTGATGGGGGTGCGGAGCACGGGGGATGTTCTGGTGAAGCGAGAGAGCATTGGGAGAGTGTGGATTTTTGCGGGGCGCGTGGCTTTTATATAGAAAAAAAAGGCGGAGGGGAAACTTTAAATGGGGTTGCAAATGGGGCTGTCGGCTAACGGATCGGAGATGGAGCGGGCGCTGGCAGGGGAAACGATGCAAAGGCGTCAGATACGGATGGAAATCGGAGACGGATCGAATGCAGATCGGTTTGGTAGCTGGCGGAGTGATCTATTCGCTTATGGTGTGTTTGACGGCGGGGTGAAGCCGTTGTGGCGGCTACCACCAAAAGTTTTTCGTTTGGTTTGCCAAATCACACGTTCGGTCGGATATGTGTGCAGGAGGGGATTATGTCAGCGAGGGGATCGACTGCTTACGTGAGCAAGGGCTGACTGAGGGGCTGTCGGTAGGCAAGGAGGGGGATAGTTCGACCAACAATAGTCTTGCGGGGAAACACCAGGCACTGAAATCACCTCGGGAAGGGGTTGACAGGGGCCGCGAAGTGGCCCGTCTTCGGTGCTATCACAGCGCCGAGTGCTGTCACTGTTACAAAAAATATTACACTGAGAGTGCAAGGTTGACGGGTCCTGTATGGATCCACGGTTTGGTAAGGGTTTAAGACGGTTCTCCTTTCTAGGGCTGCAGTAACCAAATGGTTTTCGTTTAGGCAGAATTCGTAGGGTTATTGTTAGTTCGCGTTGGTGCAAGCAGTTTTACAGAATGTAATTGGATGAAAGAGAGTGCTGTACGCGGATGAAAAGGCTTGATGTATAGTCCAGTTCTGTTCCATAACTTTTTCATAAAATAGTTCAAATTCTTGACAGTCCCTGGCGTCTCGTTCAAGACTGGTACTCAAAACTCTTGTCCTATATCTAAGTTGATGAGATTTTTCCCCGAAGAGTAGATCACTTCCTATAATAGAAAAGGAATCTTTGTGATTTCTCATTGATAGAAACTAAACCGTAAGCTGTGGGACTACAAGAGACTAGTGATCGGTTAGCGTTGTCCGAGGATATTTCGGAGATTGTCTACTACAATCTTTATGAGCAATCAACCAAGGTATTTAAACGTTTATATATCTAGCGATTTGATAATAAAAATACAAGTACAAACTGTGAGTTCATCTATTTCTATCCTTCTTTTTTTGTACATCTATATGGGAAAACTGGCACTAGCCTACCAATGTTACCATTAAATCTCATGGTACATGTTGCGTTCGCGAAATTCTCTGAATTTCATAAACGCGCGAGAAATCCTGCACACTGCTTCATTTTCGCGTGTCTGACGATATTCGTCGCAAAATCTCATTTGTTTATCACATGGCCATCCGAAATTAATGTATATTAGTGTGTGCCAACAGCAATAACCTTATTAAAAATGGCCAGAAAAGCAAAGAGAAAGGTTAATCAAAAGAAACCACAGGCCACAGTCGAAGGAAGCTCCCCCGTATCAGAAAACAAGTCTCTCACGGCTGAAGACGATGTCGCGCCCAACAGCCCGACGCTCTCAGAAAGCGATGCCGCGTCGGATTTGGTGGACACCTTCCAGCCACCATCTAGTGCCACCACTGTGGAGGCGGTGGTTTCAGATAATAGTGTTGGAAATAAAGTCGATGAGGGAGATGTTGATAACGAAACGGTGAATAGTGGAAAAGTGGCTGTGAATGACGAGACAGAGTCTGCAGCTAACGAATCCGATGTTGATGCTGATATCGACATCTCTCTGATGGAGCTCCTTCCGGTCAAAACCCTTAACGCGTACAACGCAGGGATCGAAAAGTACATTGAATGGAGCCAGAGTATCTACCCTGACGACGCCTTTTTTGATAAGGTCACCGGCGAAAAGGCATTTCTCTGGCTCCGCCACATTGCGGCCGAGGGTAAAACCTCCAAACTGGGCGCTACCGTCCCCTACTCCCGCTCCACCTTAATCCACTACCTCGCTGGGATCAATCTTGTGTACAAGCGCCAGATCGCCGAAGAAATTGAGCGCACAGGCGACGCCAGCGTTGCCTGGGACCCGCCGCGCACCCCAGAGGTGAAGGAGTTTTTAAAAAACTACGGTAAGAGCTCTCAGCTGAACTCTGTGCATGGGGCCACCCCTCAATCGGACGAGTTAGACGCCTCCCCAAGAGCCATACCTCCTTCCACCCCTCCTCGCAATACCCTCGCGGTCAAACGCGACTTGGACGACCGCTACAACGGCCTGACCTATAGTCACGCAGAGCTCAAACGGATCGTCCACCACGGCTTTGTGCGCAAAAATCCTAGTAGCGTGTTGGCGCTCCTTCTTGCGCGTAACCTCGCGTATCCGCTCTCCAAGTTGCGCTATATCGAGCTCGCCGACATCCGTGTCAGCGAGCCCACCGCGCCGTTCGGCACCGTGCTTGCCATTGCCAAAAATGGCTATGTCACCGGCTGCGTGCGCCACGCGGAGGTCGAGGTGTGTCCGCACTTTGCAATGGCACAAGCGGCAGTGCGGCGCTGGGGCGACGCGAAGATCGATTTTGCCGTGCGTGGCAAGTTTGCGGGTCTTAAGCTCTTTGCGGCGCGCGGCAGCGATGGCTTCCAGCCGGTTTATGCAACCCACCACAAGAGCACGTTGACTAAGCTTATGGATGGTGCGGGCGTGGGTCCGTACAATGTGACATACGCGGGGCTTTGGGCTGCAGCGCAAGCGTGTCGTGCACGCGGCATTCCCGAGGGCGTGATCGAGGAGTTTATCCACTGGTCCGCGCCTGAGGCATCGCTTGAGACGTATCTTGCGGACGTTGTGCCGGAACCGCTTTTAGCGTTGGGTGGCTATGCGACGGACGCGCAGGAGACGTGCACACGCGACAGCGTTGTGCCGCCAGATTCGCTTGTACACGCGGTCTTTCCGCACTTGCAGGCGTGGCGCGACGTGCTTGCCGGCTCCAGCTCGTTCCAGAACCACTTCCAGGGCGCAACTTTGGACGACGTCTTGGAGACCGCGCGTATGGCCAAGGACGCCATCCGCACACTCGACTACCTCGCGCGCGTGTTCATCGAGGACTGGAAATTCCTTCCGGCCAAATACCGGCAGGAAAAACACCCGGTGTTTGCAACTGAAGCGTACGCCCGGTTCCGCCGAGAGCAAGATGCGTTTTTCCCGGCCAACGGCACTGCGGTTGCTTCCGGTCCGTTCACCATCAGCACCATGGCGGATGTTAATGAGTACTTCGGGTATTTGGTCGAGGAAAACAAGAGTTTGAGGGTAGCTTTGGAAAGCTTGACTAAGCGTGTTGATCAGATGAGCCGCCTGGTTCAGGACTCCAGTGACTCTGACGAGCTCGCGGAGGAATCCGAAGACGATGCTCCGTTTGTGCCGCCGCCAAAGCGTCGCAGAAAGGAGGCGGTAACTGTCAAACACGACTTTGTCTTCAAGCGCTCACCCGCGGATATGCGCGAGGTCTACCGCGAGTTTACTGAGAGCACGGACGGCGTTCCTTGTCCGTTAGACTTGGAGGAGCAGCATGGGAACGCCTGGAGAGGTGCCAGTTCGTCCACCACGTCGCAGTACTTCTGCAGACGCCGCAAGGTGTACAACATCGTGCAGAACGGGATTCGTAACGGGCTTTCCGTGGACGAAGCTATCGACGCGCTTGAGGCACACTACCTTACCAGCGGACTTCCGTTGTTGATCTTCATCTCCGGGCGGATCACCGATGCGTCGCTCCCAAAGGCGCTTAGGAGTTAGGCGTAGGAAGCTTTAATTGTATGCGTTTTAATTGCGTTTTGATCGCAGAAAAATTTGGTGCTGAATTAATTGTAAGTATAGTAGAACAGGTTTGAATGGAAAGAGCAAAGTCTGAGCCGTATGGATGACACTAAGGGCGAATGTAGGCATCGTGCAGTTCCTTCTGGTGATATCTGCGAGTAGGATATAAGGCAATGCACCAGTAATAATCAACCAGCTCTCAAAACGTACACACTATATAAATACAATATAGAAGTTTATCATTGAGTATATATACTAGAGTGCATATATTATATAATCCGATCTCTGGTTTTGAAAATGAGCGGGGGTTGAATAAATTACTATATTTTTATATTAAATACTTTATTAGCTAATTATACGTACTTTCACTCGTAATTAGTGTTGGGCTCTGACGATCAATGAGGAAAAGCGCTCAGAGGTTCCACACCTTTAAATAACTGTAAATAAACAGTTATGACAATAAATCAATCAAACCAACCCATTATATAATTTATCTCTTGTAAACCCTCCATCTATATGCATGACATCCACTGGGAGAAAAAAGAAAGTCTACCCCACTTGCCACCGAGTATACCTATTACCACTATTAGTTCATTATCCATTGCCACTATTAGATCATTATCCATAATTACCAATTCATCACCATCCTCTTATTCTTCCATGACCTGCTTGCACACCGCCCAGCCGCCACTGCCTTCAGCCACGGTGTACAAAGACGATTGCATGTACTGCTTCGACACGCCAGAGTCGTCTTCTGGCCTCGATATCTGCCTCACGTGCTTTCAGGCGTTTTCCCGCGGCGACTTGAACCATACCGTGGAGCACTTTGCGGCCTCCAACCACAAGCTCTTTCTCAACTTGAAAAAGACGCCGAAGCCGGAACCTCCCAGACCGACCAAGATCGCCAAGTTGGAGGTCAGAGAGCTTTCTGACGACGAACTTTTTGACACTGCCACGTACTTTTACTGCGCGGCGTGCGACAGTGCAGTCGACGCGGGAGCGGAGGGCGCGGCTGCTGCGGCCGGTGTGATGAGCGCTACCCTGAACGCCAAAAAGGAAGAGATTAAGACCTGGGAGCAGGAGATTTTGCCTTGTGAACACTCGCTCTATCTTGACCAACAAGAGCACACTGGTCCGGTTCCACTCTCTCAGTGCGCGCTGTGCGACTTGAGGGAAAACTTGTGGTTGTGTCTCCACTGTGGGGCTATGGGCTGTGGAAGGGCGCAATTCGGCGGTATTTCCGGGAATTCGCACGCCTTGAGTCACTTTGAAGCAACGGGGCACCCGGTGGCGGTCAAACTCGGTTCGCTTTCGCTGGATTCCGCGGATTGTTTCTGCTATCAGTGCAGTGACGAGGTGCAGGTGCCCGAGCTCACAAAGTTCTTGGGAAACTACGGGATTGACGTCTCGAGCCACACCAAAACGGAAAAGAACTTGATAGAGTTGCAATTGGACCAGAACATGCAATGGGAGTTCAGCTTGGAGACGGCCAACGGGAAGTTGGAGCCAGTGTTCGGGCCGCACCTCACGGGGGTCAAGAACTTGGGCAACTCCTGCTACTTGAACTCCGTGATGCAGATTTTGATGCAGCTAGAGACGTACAAGCGGTTTTTCGAGGCCCAGTCGTTCGGCGACAAAGACCCCTCCAGCCTCCACGTGCAATTGCTCAAGCTTTACGAGGGGTTGGCTTCCGGAAGGTACTCCAAACCGGCACCCGACAGCGCGTACCAGAGCGGCATCAAGCCATCGGGGTTTAAGACGGTTATCGCTGGCACCCATGCGGAGTTTTCCTCCGCCAGACAGCAGGACGCATACGAGTTTTGGCTCTACGCGGTGGAAAAGCTTGACGCTTATTTCTTGGACATCGTCGCTCCGTTGGAAAACCCCAACGTGGCGATGAAATTTGTCATGAGGAACAAGCTTGTGTGTACCAGCTGCCACGGTGCGAGTTTTTCCGACGAGTTGGTCGACAGCCTTTCGGTGCCAATCCCCGACAGAGTCATCAACGTGGATGCAGATGGAAAGAAGGAGTACGAACGTGTCAGCTTGATCGATAGTCTCGCCAGCTACACCCTGGTGGAGGAAATTTCCAACTTCACCTGTTCTAACTGCTCTCAAACAACCACCGCACGCAAATCTAACGGGTTCGTGTCGTTCCCTGAGGTTCTTGTGGTCAGCGCTCAGCGTATCAAGCTTGAAAACTGGGTTCCCGTCAAGGTGGATGTTCCAATTGCTTTGCCTCATGAGCTCTTGTTGGACCGATTCAGATCCACGGGTTTGGCAGCTGGCGAGGTGCTTGTTGAAACTCCTGTTCAGGGCTTTGAGCCGAACCAGGATGCCCTCAACAGCTTGGTAAGTATGGGGTTTCCGGAAAACCGGTGCTTGAAGGGGTTGGCCAACACGGGAAACGCTCTGACGGAGGAGGCGATGAACTGGCTCTTTGCGCATATGGATGATGCGGATATCGATGCACCATTTGTCGTGCCCGCTGCGCCGGCAGGACCTGCGGGCCCTGTCTTGGCCGATATCGAGAGTTTGGTTAGTATGGGCTTTAGCCCACAATTGGCGAACAAAGCGCTTGTGCTCTCAGGTAACGACGTCAACAGCGCCGTGGAATGGCTATTTGCCAACCCAGATGACAGCGGTGAGATCACCCAGCAAGATATGCCACGCTTACCCCAGGCAGATGTCGACAGAATGGTGATGGAGAATATTTTGGCCAGCCCGCTGTGTGTGAATGAAAGTGCATATGAATTGTTTGGGGTGGTTTGCCACAAGGGTTCGTCTGTACACACCGGCCATTACGTGGTGTTTATCAAGCAGGATGTGGACGGCGCTGCGAGATGGGTGTTGTTCAACGATGAAAAGGTGGTGGCGGTGGTTGAGGAGAGTGAGGAGAGCTTTCAGGAGATGGAGAAGAACGGATATTTGTTTGTGTTTAAGAAAAGAGATTGGTGATTTACGAGAGGATGAGAGTGGAGGTTTTCGTATCTACAATTATTATGTTTATACAACTTGATGTATTGCAGGTGAATATATTTGGACTGTCGGTATAGCTTCGAATTCACTCTCAAAAACACCAGTAAGAAAAGGCTTTCGCAGTTGGTCACATGCATGGGAGTTTCCTAAATTCGGAGATTTTCATAAACCCAATACCGGTTTTGTACATCATACACTATCTATAGTAATTATTAAGTTGCTGTTACGAACACTTTTTCAAGAGAAATATTATCCAGATATAGAGTCACCACACGGTGTATCTAAGCGATGTACCAGAACCTCACCGTATCCTGTGCGTTGACATCGGTAAATTCTTAAAAGGCACACCTTCAATCAGGTACCAGCTACCCGATCTACTGCCTAATGAACGTTACACTATTGGGCGATGTTCCAGACCAATATTCACACAAAGCAGACGAACGAGCCGCTCAGCTACGAGGTCGATCTATGGCCACGGCAATGACCTACGACACACACTTTCTGCCTGAGATTGACGGGTTTGTGCCGCTGTCGTTTGTGTCAACGCGGGAAAACCGGTTTAACTTCGAGAATCAGCGTGATGGGTTTGAGATCGGAGACCAGATGGACGCGGATGACACGTATGGAAACGCCCAGCTCCGTCTCAATGAGCCTTACGACCAACAGATGACCCTGACATTTCTCCATCTTCTACAGGTGCCAGCTGTGAGCGACGAGAAGATTGTGATACCGTTTAACCTCCGCGAGAGACACCTCCAGTATGGAGGCATCTATGTGTCGAGTGAGAGAGCGCCCACGAAACCTGCCAAACGGAAGGTGGACATTTCCTATGACTACGGCGAGGATTCCGACACGGAGGATTCATTGGTAAACATTCAGCGAACAAATCTCCGAAAGAAGGTGCGTGTGATGAATGAAAAGGTTGGGGAAGAACTCTTTCAGGAGCTCCGGTTTGTCCCCCAGCCAGTCCTTGAAAAGTCCCATGGAAGCAAGCGCCCTTTTGAAGTTAAGCCCCAGGAAGTTAAGCCCCAGGAAGTTAAGCTCCTCCCCAAGGAACCCGTTCTCCATCTACAGGGTTTAAAAACAGACACTAATGCAGCAGCCAATGCTCCCTTGGCGCCGGTGAGGATGACACACATCATCAGGCAAACCCCGTTTGTGGAGCCCGCTTACACCAACTGCGAATGCATTCTGGAGATCTCTCCCTTTGAGGCGAACCAGCTTTTACACATGTTGGATCTTCACGCGGCACACCTCATCGACCCCCCAAACCCTTTTCTACAGGCCTTCATCGACAAAGCACAGCAGTTTGTCCTGGGCGAGGTTCTCTTGGACTTTAAATTATATTTGTACGCCCGAGTTCACGGGTGCCGGTATGGCGAAAAATCCCTACCCCTGGAGACTAGGAAAGAGTTTTGCCTTGTAGCCCACAGGGTGTTGCAGAAGACGGTTGATCCTTTCCCCGGCGGCCTTGCAAATCCTCTGCTAGGCAATGCCACCTCTATTGCCCATTCTATCACCAACCAGGCCAGTAAGTTTGTCGCTGCCCTGAACCTGAGCCTTCCGGAAGCCAAAGTACAGACGGCCGTCGACAGAGCCTCGTATTTTGCAGGGGGGTTCAGGAACGAGCGATACAAGCACAAGCTGCTGACGTTTGATGTGAATCACGTTATCTTGAAAAGATTGCTCGAGGATGACTGACGGTAAAACCTCCATTGACTAAATATCTGCATAAATATTGATAGAGATTGCTATTTACTGTATACCAATGACATCATAAGGCAGTAAAATCATAACACGTACACTTATCGCTTCGGAAAAACCAGTTTATTACCTATTATAACGTACATTACTACACATCAATCACCCTCCTTCGCGAATTGCTCCGTCCAGCTCTTAGCGGTGGCAATGGCCAGCGCCTCGTTGGATTTCCACTCCTCAGCGACCTCGTTGGCCAACGGATCGTCCGGGTTAGGCGCACCCAACAAGGCCTGGATCGATAGTAAAATGGTTCTGATCTGCAATGCCGGCGACCAGTTGTTCTTCAATACATCCAAACAGATTCTGCCCAACTTATCGATGTTTGGGTGGTAGATCTTGGTCAAGAAACGCACCTTTGGCGCGCACATTGGGTAATCGTCAGGCAAATACAACTCCAACTTAAAGGTCCCGTCCTCGTACGGCGACCCAGACGGGCCCTGTATGGCGACGTCAAAGTATCTCAAGTTATCGTCGTGCGGAATGGCGGATATGCCTGGAACAGGGTCTGAAACCAAGCGTTCCGTCTCCTTGATGATTCTCTTTGGCAACGAAGACATGGGGTCAATAAACAGCTGGGAATGTAGATGGGGTTCAGGCGGGAGTAGTATATGTCTGTTTGACAATGTCAATACAGGCTAGTTTAGTGCTGATGTCTGAGAAACCGAAATCATCATGTGAGGAGTTCGTGCTTTGTAGGATGGCGCGGGCAATTGGTGCCGGTCATGCGAAGCCTCAAAGTTTTGCCAGGTGTGGAGTGGCGCGTACCTACCGATTACATGGCGTGTGCACTATATTGGAGGATGGGGAGTGGGAGTGGAAACTTGAATAACGAATGGCTATTAATCCATAAAGTGCATTGCAAAGTTGTGAAAGAATTAATGCCAGTATAATGGCCAACGGTTATCCTTGTGAATCTGTTCCTGTACATGAAGACGGCTGATCTGCCAAACACGGCAATTATAAAGCGATATTTAGTCGCAGACATAGTTGAGAGAGGATTCTGATTTTCTTGACCCTTAGCTCGGATCAAAGTTTCATTGACTTAGAAACCAGAATGGCTATCGTATTCAGTCTTAGATCTGTAACTAGTACCATTGCAGACGGAACTAAATGGTACGTCTGTCTATATCAATCCGCGATACGTTCACGTCGGGGTCAAGCAACACTGCGTATTATCAGGAGAATAGATGGTCTTATTAACCACCGTCCAGATACCAGCGTATAGTAAAACCTAAGAGGTGCTTGGAGGTGGCATTACAAGAGACAATGACACGCAAATAATTTGGTAAAATAACAGCCATAATAGAACTCGATAACGAAGGGTGCCAAAAAAAAATCCCGCTCCATGACTAACGGTGAAGATAATCTATTTCTCCGTGTACAATTGTAGTGATGAGGGCCGCAAATTCTTTCCTGGCAACGGCGATACGTGCATGTGTACGCGACTAGATCTCGGTGAAATTTTATACATCTGCAAGCTGCTTGAGGTAATTATTCTTGGCCTGTCGCGCACCTTATCGTGATGTGTAAAAGGTTTGACAGATCATCAACAGGCGATAGTGAATGTCAGTGGGTGTCAAAGGACGCCGGTGAATGTCAGAGGACGCCAGTGAATGCCAGTTGGGTGTCAGTAGTGTACGGCTCGATGAAAGTTGGAAAAGACATCATGTAGTAACGATGATTGCGCGCCAACATGCGTTTAACACTAGGGCACCCTACCTTGCATAAGCATACCCACGACATGTGAACGGCCAAATTATAGGTGATGGTCTGGCCTCATAATTCTTGGATGACCGCAAATCCTAGAGTCCTTCCCTACAAACATCCCATCATGCTCTACATGTACATTCAGGAACCTTGAAACATACGCTGAAACACATGATATTGATGTATATGGAACGGCAAAATATAGTGCAGATTTCCCAAGTTTTTGTATTGGAACACAGACGCGAGTTGTAATTTAACGCCGAGGTTTTTCGCCGATAATCTACAACCAAGATATTTCTGCAGCTAAATGTGCTGCTCATAGACGAGAAACACCTTATACGCAGTGCACGCCAGGGATTCTAGATCCTCTGTTAGTACATCATCCCTTTTTATTTAGTAGCCTTAAACAAACCTTCGCACGCGCATACACTCCCCTAGATCTTGACTAGGGGAACTTTGCATACACACGCAAAGGAGTTTTACCCTAATGGGAAATAGGTGCGTAAACACACGACTCTCAGGAGAAGGAGAGAGGCCCATGTTAATAGACCCGATACCACGCAAAACCCTATAAATACCCCATATTCCCATTCCTATTCCTTGAAGTTAGAGACCGTATTCCCATCACAGCATCTCATATACCCTTTCACAACATGTACAACATTATCCTCTTTTTCTCCGTTGGTATCCTCGGTGGCGCTGCCTACCTTGTTACTCTGATTCGTAACATCAATTTCGATTCCCTTAGAGAGGTTAACGGCAAGCTGAGTGTGTTGTGGTAGATTTCTGAAATACCAGAGAGATATCGTGACCCAAAATTCTTTCTAGAATCTTTCATCACACCAGTCCATAATCTTTGGGTATCACAACTTTCAGCATGGGGGCAAAGAAGTAGCTCCAGAATGGCTGGCAGCTAGCATTTGGTTTCATGCGAGATTGCATCGCGCGGCTGGCCATGCGAAAACCTGAAACTATACTGCAGATGTCATGTGCAACGGTACTCCGTGTTGTATTCTAGCAAATATATTGTTATCATTCCTATTTTTGTTTTATCCTTACGCATATAATACATGAAATTTGAATTCAGGTCACAGCTGATCGACGTAGGATCCTTCGAAATGGGGGTAAGAGCGCAGATGGCGACGACGCAGCGCCGTCTTGTATCAGAAGTGTTCGGACGGGGGTGTGAGCATCCGATAGCCGGTTTTCTCAGAGCCTCACGTGTTACTGATTGAGATAATTCACGCCCAAGGGGTAATTTAAATCGCATATTCGGGATATTTCTGAGGTATGTCTGGGGCCTGATGTTCTGAATTAATCTCGTCTAAACACAGGGCGTACTTATAGCTGCGCTTTGGGAAAAAAATGAAACTGAACTGCAGCTGCACGATCGCAGCCTTTACCGCAAACTTGAAGGCATAGAAGTGAAATAAGAGCACTGTAGAACTCATGCGGGTTATTTTTATACAGACCAGACTTCGACTCATATCCAAGATTATACTACCGATTGAAACGATCGCCGTGTACTATTAGGACCAATACACTAGAGCACACAAGCATTCTCAGATGCAGTACAGCGGGGCGGTTAAGTGCAGCCCAAACCCCAGACTATTGTCTACATTTTGCAAGCCCGGGTGAAACACAGTTTGTATAACCAAAAATCTTCTCATAACTCCTCTCGTAAATCCCTACACCACCACCAGAAATCAGCAACGAGATAAGTAATGCAGCGATATCACGAGGTCTGCCCATACCTGTCCACTGCCTTTGAGAATATAACCCCTGTGTTCTACCATTATCTTATTAACTATCCGGGGTTCTCCAGTCTTTCTATACGCGCACAATCCAGGGCCGCCAGTAGACCGACTGCCTTGACGTAATACGAGGCGCGATCCGCTTGTTTCAGGGGTATGCATGACAGGGGTATTCAGAAAATGTGGACCACCATAGAGGCACTACCTTTGAGGTAGTGATAAAATGGCTGGTAAAGCATTAATCTAGTGCCAGAAGTCAGATAATTGAAGTTTCGGGGCAACGTCTAAGAGTACGCTTAAGTTTTTTTTGTCCAAAGACCGCCTAATTCATACTCAATGAGGGGAAGCACTAATTGCGGTATTCCGATATTCCACCCTATCCGAATTACGGCCCATTATCCATTGGAGATTAGGCCATTTAAACTAAAATATGGAAAGCATGTGAAATTTATCGGAATAACAGGTGAAAATTTGCCATATCCTAGACCTTCAGCTACTGGGTGAGCTACATGAACCCAGCTGCAGATACATGGCATACGAAGTAAACCCCTACTCATCGCTGAATTCGTTCCCTCGACAAATCCGCTTTAGATACGGTGTATTCCGGGTAAAACAAATAAGTGACTAACTGCCAAATTTAGTCAGACTTTCATTTCTCAACATGAAACACGACCCGTGTCGATTACTGAATTAGCATTATTTCTCCCATTTGACAAAGTAGCATTTAAGAGCAGCCATGCCAACACACTCGGCGGTTTAAACTAGCTTATGAAATTTCCGTCTAAAATACACTCAAAAGATCATAACCCCGCATGAGACGGCCTTCATTGGACCAAACTAAGTCATTATTCCGGTTCCGCTTACGTCCTTCCTAAACAAATACATCTATACGATTAATATACACACCTTGGCTATTTCAAGAACAACTCAGCCTTACGCTTACTGGTGACCTCATCAAGTACCGACTTGATATCCACCTCGACCTGGTCGAATACCGCAATGGTTCTCTCGGCACCGGTATGGTCCGTAAACGTCAACGAGTAGTTCTCCTCGTCAAACCTGGCGGAGTTTATGTCACCCAAAGACTCCAACTTGATCAACCCCTCGATCCCAAACTTTGGCACCAAGACGACAATACCGTTGGAGAACACGCGGATCGCGTACCCCAGCTGGGTGGACTCGTTGTTCTTCATCACCTGACCGACATAGTACTCGATCGAGGCTCTGCCGGCGAACTGAGCGTTTCTGTGGCGCCGGTTGATGTTTTTGCACACCGTCTCCATCTTGCCCTTGTCTCGATGCGACAAGTCCAACGGCTCGTAGCCAATGGCGGCAGCGAGCTGTCTGTGTGCAACCACGTCGCAGTAACGACGGATTGGAGAGGTGAAATGAGTGTAGATATCTACCGCCAAACCGTAATGGCGGAATTCAGGGTATCCGTAGGAACCAGAAGAGAAGTACTCCGCGGCCATCATGCACCGCGTAGCCATGATACGTAAAAGCGTGTTAAAGTACGGGTCGGCAGGGTCCTCACATCTGTCTAAGGAGTCTGCCAACGCCTTGGATGACTCAAGCGAAACAGCCATGCCCTTTCTGACCCGCAACATGTCGTTCAAGTTCTCAAAGTTGGTGGCTGGCGGGTTTGCATGGCGTCTCAACATGGCGGTCTGGGGAAAGGCGTCAAAGTTCTTTCTGGCGACGGAAATGTTGGCAAGCAACATGAACTCCTCGACTAACGAGTTGGTGGCCAACTGTTTCTTGATCTCCACCTCTGCTGGATCCGACGTTTCGCTGTCCATGTGGACCTTAACCTCCGGCGAGGCCAAGTTCAACGCACCGGCATCCAAACGCTTCTGCTTCAACTTACGCGACAACTGCAACAAGATTCGCATCCCCTTGGTCAAGTCGTCCTGGTTGGACTCGTCATCAATCCTGAGCTGCGCCTTTTCGTAGGAAAACGCCTCTCTGGACTTGATAATCGACTTCATAAAGTCCACCTTGACAATATTGGCATCGGAATCAAGCTCCCAGATGACGGAGAAGGCGAATCTCTCGACGTACGGGTTCAACGAACACAAATCCGTCCCCAACAACATTGGCAACATGTCGATACGCTTGTCCACGAGATAGACCGACGTTCCCCTGGAGGCGCCCTCAGCGTCCAAAGCCGTCCCGGCCTTGACAAAGTGGGTAACATCGGCAATATGGACCCCCACCTCATAGTTTCCGTTCGGCAAGAGCTGCGCGTGCAACGCGTCATCAATATCCTGGCAGTTTGGCGGATCGATCGAGCACACCAACTTTGCTCTCAAGTCCTTTCTCTTCTTAATAAACTCGTCTCCGTCGAGATCGGTCGGGACCTTCCAGTCGTGGCCCTCAGACGGTAAACAGTCCAAGACATTCTTGCTGAACGGCCTGTACTCGACGTCGTGCTCCAACAACAATGCCTCGGTTTCGGCCTCGGCGGACTCAACATCGCCCAAGGATCTGACAAAGTGACCCTCAGGAAACTTAGAGGTTGAGGGCCACGAGTCGATGGCCACGACGATCCGCTTACCGAGCAACTCCGGCGCCTTTCGGGTGCGGATTCTGATCTTTGGCAAGCACTTGTCCATGAGAATGACGAAGCAGTTGGATGGTGCGCTCCCGGAGTTTTCGCTCACGGAGGTTGGGGCAATCTGGCCCACGTAGAATCTCCACGAGCGTCTGATGATCCCCACAACCTTGGCCGTCGGCTGGATGCGGGAGGCGACTTCGTCGGTTGGCTGAGTTTTGTGGGAGACCATGGCGTCCTGGGCCAACAAACGGCGTTCCTGGTCGGAAATCTTGAGCTCTTCCTCGTCTTCGGGGGTGTCATTAGCCTCAACGGCCGACTCCTCGATGATCTGCGATGAAGGCTCTCTCCACTGCGACTTTGGCAACAACTCGACCACCACGGAGTCCCCGTTGAAGGCTCGGTTCAAACGCTCGCGACCCAAAAGCAACAACGGCTTCTTGAAGGACGGCACGTTAACTGCACCCTCCAAGAAGTTGTAGGACGAAATGTTGACAATCCCCTGGTAGAGGGTCCCGTTCTTGATCCCGCCCATGAGGCGCGCGGTCGAATAATACTCGGGATATGCGATTTCGTTGACGCGCTGCAACTCGGATGAGTCGGTTGGTACCAAGTCACGCAATTCATCGGCATTCGGTAACGCCTCGACATATTCGGCAAGAGTGCGCGCATCGATACCTTCAGTGATAGCCTTGGCCCTATTGTCATTATCGTTACAGAGGAAGATGATGTTAACTGAGAGCTGGGGGCTGTTATCATTCAAGTGTTTTTGAAACCACGAGCAGGTGCGTCTGATGGCCCTGTCGTTTCGGTCGTTGATTGATTCGTTCGCCTCTCTGGCGACGTAGGTGTCTTCGGAGAACTCGTTGTGGAACACAACAAAGCGCTTGTCGTCACTCTTGCACAAGGCTCTCAATCGAGTGTAGATCGGCACCGAGCGGTTCCTGACTTCTTCCAAGACGGTCTGCGGCACAAGCACATCGAAGAAGCCGTGCACGTTCTCTACCAAGTCGATGGCGTGGAGCACGATGTTGGTATCCAACACGAGGTAGTGGTGGCCACCATTAGCAAGCTTGAGCGGAGTGTCTGACAATGTGAACTTCTGGAACTCGCCCTTCGCGTCCGGCTTCATGATCGACGGACAGAGGTTGCACAACTTGGACAAGCACGGGATGTCATCGCGGAGGTAGTGCTCGCGGACAATCTTGGTGGCACCCCCATTTCTCGAGCGCACAAACACCTTCTGCGTGACCGTGAGACCCGCAGTTAATCGTTTTCTTTCCACCTGTGCGACCATTGTAGTTGGGAGGAGTTGATTAGGATCGTGGCAAAAGACGTATTATTTTTTTTTGGACTGATTTTGATGCAAGAATTTTTTCGCGCACGTGATGGCGTGCAGGATGCCTTTCGTTTTGATACTGGTCCACATTTAGTAAGCACCGCAATGTTGAATTGCCGGTATGATCTCTAATGAGAAGTTACTAGAAGTAAGCATAGTGCTACAGACGAGAATGCAGATAATTTCACCCGGTAGTTTTGTATGAACATATTTAACATTTCACGCTTTCCGATGCAGGCTATTGAAATTTCACGAGCGGATGTTCCCTCTAATTCCAACAAACGCTACAGTTTTGATGAACCACCACTTGTAGGCATTGGTTACAAATATTCACAGGCATTGCTCAAATTCGCATGCCTCCTCGTTACTTCCGTTTATGAATCGGCATTCTATAGATCTTTTTATTATCTCAACACAAGCATCACCCACATATGTTGTTTTATAATACACATGGTCTATGCTCGACGACTGCGCCAGAGATATCCCACCCCCAAGGCCCCCATCAACACATATAACCCTTTCGACGAGCCAAAACTCTCAAACACCATGAGACTACGCTTTGCATTCGTATCGGGCAGAATGAACCCGATATCACACCAACCGTTGACGGGGATACAGTTTAAATATTTGCACCACGAACAACCGCCGCCGCCGTTCTTGTGAAAGTTCATAGCCAAGGCCGTAAAGTACGCGAGGGAGAGCAAAAAACACACGACACGGAAGATCAGCCAGTAGATAAGACGGCTTTTGACCTTGGCCTCGAGATTGGGGCGCATCGAAAAGGTTGTCCCAAAAAACTTGGTGCGCTTGTTCTTTAAAGGGTGGCGAATATCATAACGCGAAGACGCTAGGTACTCAGAGTCGTACACAAAATGCGGATCCTTGAGCAACACCACACCCAAAAGAAGACCCTGGACAGCGCCCCCGACGTGCGAGAAGTTGTCCAACCCTGGTAATAGCCCTAGAAACAACGATATGACAATTTCACACACCATGGTGATTAAAAAGAGTTTGTAGTGGGTGGTGTTGTAGTGGTTGCGGCCTTCCTTTCCCGCGTACACAAACATCAAGAGATTGACGGCGATGATGCCAAAAAGCGCGCCAGAGGCACCCGACGACGATATTCCATTGGTGGAGAAGTTTGCGCCGAGAAGAAAGCCAGACATTCCCAGGGCAATGTAGATCACCATGTAGCGGACAATCCCGAGTGTGCGCTCGATGTCCGCACCCATGGTCAACTGTAGAAAGAGGTTGAAGCAGATATGGAGGAAGCCTGCGTGGAGAAACATCGGCACAAACACGCGGTACCACTGGTTGGGATAGCTCACAGTGTCCCCAGAAGCGTTGGTGTACGTCCCAAAGCCGTTCATGCCACACAATTCCCGGAGGGAGCACACTTCGGTATCAGTTGTGGTAGAGTTAGGGCAAGGAAACAAGAGTGACGGGTCGTCCGTTAGACCCTTATAGGTGTGCATGCACGGGGTAAACCGCGAGCCCATGTTGATTTGAACGTACGACAGCGGGCCAATCATCGGATTGAACGAAGGCTTGGTCTGGAGGGGCGATCCTGTGAGCTGACTCATCCTCACGAGCTCCACGATGAATACAAGGACCTGGATGAGGGTTACAAAATATGTGAAATACGCGATCTGCGAGACAAAGCGCCGGAGGGGCGATTTGGGCGGCTGGATGGATGCGCTGTTCATCGCGGCCGCAGGGTTCGGGAACGCCTGTTCGTAGATTCGAGTATGGTGTTTGGGCGTGATCGGGTACTCAGGGTACGCAAAACGGCTACCGTTGGCATCATCAGAGCTGCCGCTGAGCGCTGCGTCGTCACCAAAAGGGTAGCGCGGCTTGGGTACAGGCGCATCCCTTGCGTCCATCGTGTATGCCATGTCGCGGTCGGTGGTGAACGGGTTGCCATATATACTGTGCTCTGCGGTCCAGTCCGAATCATAGCTCCAGGGCGTGACAGGGGCATTTGGGTTTTGAGGGTTGGTCCGAGAGCTGCTCTGATTATGGGAGTAAGGTTTGGAGTTGAAGCCACGAGAATTATTCTGGGAGGTGGAGTGCTTCTCCCAGGAGGTTACCGGGATCCAATTTTGGGCCTCCTGGGTCGGTTGCAGATCCTGGTTCCAGGGGTCGGGGTCGTCGGCCTGGCTAAACGGATTAGGGCCAGAGAATGGAATCTCTGACGGCAGATTTATCGAGCGGCGCGAAGACCGGTCATCGTGCGAGGGCCGATCGTGGTGTGGTGTGTGCAGTGGGATATTAGAAAACTCAAAGGATTCCAGACGGTTCATCTTGAGTTAGTATAAAGGAGATGTGAAGAGATGGTATCTCAGTTGAGGGTAAGGACAGAGATATGACAACGTCACCGTGTGCAGATTACAGTGATACAAGGAGATAGGGAAATGAAGCAACAAACAAAGATCTGAGATAAGTCTACTGGGGCCAAGGTATGGTGATGCCAAAAGACTGGAGACAAAATATGACACAGATCAGGGTTTCGGAAGACTTTGGGTCGGGGGGTCAGCGGTTCAGATGACACCAGGTAGAAGTTTGGAACAAAGCTAGTCTGACAGGTATGGCTTTAGACCAAACGTTGAGATCCAAGGGGTATAATGGGAAGTCAAAAGTAACTAGGATAATTTGGAGTAAGGGATGTCACCGGATTACACTAGCAGGAGACGCTGGCAGAGGACACAAGAAGAAACTAGCAAATAGCACTAGCAGAAGAAACTACCAAATAGCACTTGAATGCTCTGGGATGATGCTTTTCTGATGTATATCCGTGCTTGAACGCAATCTCTATAGGACGTAGAAGTAATAGTGCAGAAATGTTAGCGTAGCTCTGATGTCTCCGTTAATTTACGGCATGTGCACCAGGCTGTGCCTCGGGATCACGCACATGCACTTCCCTGCACGCCTCTTGTTTGAGAATATTATTAGAGACGCCTGACACCTTCCTATTGGATAATAGAGGGACGGATGATACTGTGTTAAATAAAGGAAGAAATAATGTCGAAAGCTGTCAAATCAACCAACGTGGATCAATTCTGATGCTACCGAGATATTGAGGATGGTGGAAGCTTGGCAGTAAGCTTAGCTAGACGACGCTAGTAGTGAATAGCTTTCTAAGACCTACACGAGGTATGGGCTCTGTCAATCGGCGGAGATAAAATGGGCTTGCCACCGCTTCCAAGCCTATTGCAGGGGTTTACTCCGTGCATATTTTTTTTATTACTCATTATGATCCGAAGAGATATGTTGACAGAATATTTTCTCATCCATCGTAAAGTCTTTTTGGGCAGCCACGCAGATCACCTACAAATCGTTCTGTTTGTTACGAGCACTGGCTGCAAAATGCCGTTGTCTACGCATAATCCCATTACCTTCGATTTCCTTGATAAGTCTGACTTTGTATTTCTACAATGCCAAGCATAAAAATACCTACGAAGTCACCATTGTTTGTTCTGAAACTGCAGACCCGGCTTTTCATGGGATCTGTAGGGGGACTTTTTTTTCTTTGACAGGCATATTGCACATTTCGTGCCCATACATGCTAACATAGAGACTATGACAAATGCTAAGGAAATCCATTGGCGTATAATAGAGTACGTATTTTGTATTGCAGATAGCCGTATACATCCATTTTAGTATTTATTTGGTCTGAAAATTGAAATACACCCAGATTAGTGTTTATAGCGCGTAAAGCTGAGGTCAAAAGTATAGATCTGCACCATTCAAAAAGGATGGGCAATCCTAAGGCTGCCTGTCGGTCGGTTGAGCTGGATTACATGCCGCTCGGTAGGCACACGTCTATAAATACCCTACATTGCATCAACCCAAAAGTCTTGTCTCCCTCAGCCCAATGGCTTCCTCGGCAAAATACTAAACATGGCCGACCAAATTTCTGTTGCATTCGTTTGCTTGGGTAATATGTAAGTCCAAAACAGTCCTCTGCAAGACAAATACTAATACCCCAGTTGTCGCTCCCCAATGGCCGAGTAAGTACCTCTGGATCTTCTCACACCCGCTTCTAACACGACAGGGCCGTTTTCGCGCACAAGGTTAAGGAATTGGGCTACTCAGACCGCTTTAAGCGCATCGATTCCTTTGGCACCGCTGGTTACCATGTTGGAGAGGACCCAGACCACAGATCGTCCGCTACGTGCAAGAAGCACGGTGTCCTGGTCAAACACCGCGGCCAGCAATTCGTACGTACAGATACAAGTGCTGGAAACAGAATATCTTACAACTAACAATACAGAAAGCAAACGATTTCAAAAACTTTGACTACGTCATCGCGATGGACGAAGAGAATAAGCGCAACCTCTTGAGAATCATGCCCAAGACGTCCAACGCGCGGGTGGAACTCTTTGGCGAGTGGAACACGGAGCCTGGAAAGTTCAGCAACATCGTGGAGGACCCTTATTATGGTGGGATTAACGGGTTTGAGCACAACTTCGAGCAGGTGTCGCACTTCAGTGAGAACTTTTTGGAGCAGGAGGTAGGCCAGGTGTAGGTAGAATTGAATATTGAAACGATCAAAGTGTAGGTAGCATTGAGAAAGTAGAGGTGGGGCCACGGAAGGCAAGGTGTAATTAAGAAAGGTGACAAATGCAGCTTTGCATCCGCTTCTTCCCTAATTTCTAGATTCGGGTTCCTCTTCGGCAGATTCCGCACTCAAAGGTGGCGGCGTTTCGTGCTTCCGCTTCAAGTTTTCCGCCTGGGCCATTCCGTCGTAAAAGGTGCCCCACAACTGTGAAACACTATCAAACTCCTTTCCCACGGCCACACCACCTTCTAACGACCGGTTCAACGCGTTTACGTTGTTTAGGACAGACTCCATGCTGTTGCTGATCTCCTGGATCAACAAGTCTCGCTGCTTTTCAAAGTAGGTGAGCGAGGGGCTCTCTGGTTGCGTGGTCATTGATGTTTGGAGCTGGAGTTGATAGCTCACTTCGGTGATGATCTATTGGTTGGTTATGTCTGTTTGATTCTGGTTTATGTTTACGCGGCTCGCGTTTTCTGCACCCACTTGTTCACGTCTCTGCGAGTCCTGCCTACAAACTTTGTGCGGCTGAGAAAAATTTATGCTTGTATGGCCATGTCTTACTACAAGATCGTTCTTCTAATAGTCTTCCCAACGGCAAAAATGAGGTCGATAAACCTTCTGCTAGATATCTGGGCAAGTTCTCTCGGAGGTATGGGTTTCAGGTTGGCCCGTTTTTCCACCACTGCCCGCAGCACCGGCTATGCGGGGTTCTTTGACCACAAGATTCAATTGCCCGACCCCACAGAGGTTTCACAGATTTACCAGGAAGCCAGTACCAAAAAACAGATGCAACCCATTAGAAGCCTTCGCAAGCATGGCAAAATTCCGAAAAAGACCAAAAGACTGAAGAAGCGCGAGGACCCCATCAGCGCTGAAAAAATCCTAGAATGGGAGATGTCCAACTTTCTCGCAGAGATGAAGGCCGCCGGCCACCCGTTCCTCAAAACCTACCCGGAAATTGCCATCTCTAACGAACCAGAATTGGTGGCGGAGTTCTGGAGAAGCGACACCGCGCCTGAAACCGCCGAGCTTGAGGTGACTGTCACCGGCTTCAGTGCTTCCTCTGCATGCGGCTTCGCCCTCGCAGAGTACCGTGGCCGGCTAATAGTTTTGTACATCCCTCTAGCGCTTAAAGACGAGATAGTTCGGGTGAAGTTGGACCGCATTTACCTGACATACGCCGAGGCTACGGTTCTTGAAGTGGTGAAGCCTAGCCCGGAGCGGGACGACTCCTTGTCTCAGTGCCAATACTTTGGCAAGTGTTCTGGCTGCCAATTGCAGATGTTACCCCAGGAAATCCAGCTCGAATGGAAGCGTAGACAAATTTCCAGTGCAGTCAGCATATTTTTCCCAAACGACAGCCAACTTCCGGAGATTGGCGCAACTATTGCCAGTCCCCGCACGTACGGTTACAGAACTAAGTTGACTCCGCATTTTAACGGCCCCTCCCGACGGGGCGAGGCTCCACGGGAGACCAAGATCGGGTTCAACGGGTTGGGCCGGGACTCTGCCCGCTTGATTGACCTCGAGCGGTGTGCCATTGCCAGTGACGTCATCAATGAAAACTTGCCCGCAGAGCGCCAGGGTGTGAAGGATGGTCTCCATAACTGGCCTCGTGGGGGCACACTCTTGATGAGAGAGTCTGTGGGGGAAAATGGTGCGAAGATGAATGTGTCGCAGGAACGGGCCACCGTCAGAGAGATTGTGAACGGGAAAATCTTTGAGTTTCCGGCGTTCAGTTTCTTTCAGAATAATAATTCAATTATACCAAGGGTTTTGGATCATTTAACGGAGAACTTCTACATCACACAGGCGGGTGTGCAGCACAAGCCCAGGTACTTGATCGATACGTATTGTGGGTCGGGGCTTTTTGGGATATCCTTATCGGGGCTAGTCGATAAGATGATCGGGATTGAGATCGACAGCTCTTCCTTGAGAGCTGCTGCAACAAATGCAGCACTCAACAACTTGACCAACTGCGAGTTCGTGGAAGGTTCTGCCGACGAAATATTCTCCAGCAGCATTCTCAGCCGAGAGATCATCGCCAGTGACGCCTGTGTGATCATGGACCCATCGCGGAAGGGCTCCAACGCTGTGTATTTGGACCAGCTAGCAGCCTTCCAACCAGGTCTTATTTATTACATCAGTTGCAATGTCTACTCCCAGGCTCGAGACTTGCACTACTTTTTGACCCAGACAGAAAACGGGGCTGGGTACCTGGTCAGACACATTAACGGGTTTGATTTCTTTCCGCAAACAAAGCATGTCGAATCAGTCGCTATTTTGGAATTGAAAGACTGAGGAGTAGTCAGTATATGGAAGCAAGAGGGGTATTGTTTAGCTCATTGTGTATAAATATTTGGACAACCCACGTTATAGGTGATGGTTAGGGCTTGACAATGTCGTTTTCCATCATGTACGAGCATTCGAGCAGAGTTACAGATGGGGGCTAAGCTCACGAAAATAATAATAATAATAATCTGTAGTGAAGATGAACGCACCGCCTGCCCAAATACCTTGCCTACTGCATGTATAGTCACGTGTTACCCCACTATGCCGGACCTCCTTTATCAACTATATGCAGGATTAAGTAACGGCTCAACTCTGCCCAGTAAATTCCGAAGTCTATAGCAACATCCACCTATATCGCTTTTCACAACAAATAATTTTTCATCGCCAAGACCTTGCTCCTACATACAGATACTGCACTGTTATACATTCACTAGCTACTCTTAGATTGCTCATTACAAATACACAAGCGTATCAGCCGCTCGCAAAACATGTTTCTCAAGTGGAGCCTCGCGCTATTGGCGCTTTCCCAGGCCAATGCCGTCATGTCTAGCAAGGAATCCATTGAAATGGGCCTTAAACCTGACAGAGAAGCCCTTCTTGTCTCTGTCAACAAACTTTTCCGGGCACCAATCGAAGCCGGAAGGCTGGCGGCCTTGAAATTGTCGCCACGGAGTGCCCAATCGAGAATTTCGTCTAATTCAGAAGCTATGTCGCTAATGCCTCCTCGCCGCAAACCTGGTGACGACCGCGATGATACCTGCCCCCCATGCTTCAATTGTAATCTCCCCCAATTCGAATGCACTCAATTCTCCGTCTGCAACTCTTTCACCGGGTACTGTGACTGCCGCGCGGGTTTCGGCGGCCCTGACTGCTCCGAGCCCGTTTGCGGTGCCCTCTCCGACGACAGCAACAAGAGACCTTTGCGGGAGAAGGCCTCCTGCGACTGCAAGAGCGGCTGGGGCGGAATCAACTGCAATGTCTGCCAAGTCGACTCCGTCTGCAACGCCTTCATGCCCGACGGCGTTGCGGGCTCCTGCTACAAAGAAGGAGTCATCGTGAATAACTCGCAACAGATGTGTGAAGTCACCAACAAGAAGATTATCGCGATCCTCAACGGAAAGAAGCCCCAGGTAACGTTCTCGTGCAACAAAACTGCTGAAACGTGCAACTTCCAGTTCTGGGTGGCGGAAAGAGAGAGCTTCTACTGCGACCTTTCCTCCTGCGACTTCAGCTATGACTTACGAAAGAACTCGAGTCTCTCCACCTGCAAGACGGCAGCCTGTAAATGTTTGCCGGGGCGCATGTTGTGCGGCGAGGACGGCTCCATCGACATTTCCGACTTTCTCACCGAGACCATCGCGGGGCCTGCGGACTTTTCGTGCGATATTTCGGACAAGAACTGCCGCTTTTCCGAGCCGAGTATGAACGATTTGATTACAAATGTCTTTGGCGACCCGTACATCACGTTGCACTGCGACTCCGGTGAGTGTCTCCACTACAGCCAGTTGCCTGGATACAAGCTCCCGGAAAAGTCAAAGCTAGACACCCGGGCGAAGGTGGTGATCCTTGGGGTCACGTTTGCCGTCTTGTCTGTGATTGTGATGTCAGTCCAGCAGATCCGCAAGTCGCCGCTTTTTGCGGTGGTTGAGAGCAGCTCCAGCTCGTACGCGGATGAATCCAACACGTTGCTTGAGGGCCACATTCCTGCAACGCTTACGTTCGAGGATGTTGGCTATGCGATCAAGGGCCGGCAGATCTTGAAGCTGGCGTTTGGGGTCGCCAAGCCGCGCGAGTGTTTAGCCATCATGGGAGGCTCAGGGGCCGGGAAGACCACGTTGATCGACATTCTCGCGGCAAAAAACAAGAGTGGACGGGTTGGGGGAACTATCAAGGTGAACGGCCAGACCGTAGACCCCAAGAGCTACAAGAAGTTGATCGGGTTCGTGGATCAAGAGGACTACTTGATTCCGACATTGACCGTGTACGAGACAGTGTTGAACTCGGCGCTCTTGCGCTTGCCACGTGTCATGAGCCTCTACGCGAAGAACGCGCGTGTGCTCGAGATCTTGACCGAGTTACGTATCTTGCACATTAGGGATCGACTTATAGGCGACGATTCCCAACGAGGGATCTCTGGGGGTGAGAAGCGCCGGGTGGCGATTGCCTGTGAGTTGGTCACCTCGCCATCGATTCTCTTCCTCGACGAACCAACCTCAGGGTTGGATTCGTACAACGCGAAAAAGGTGGTGGAGTCGCTTGTAAGGCTCTCCCGCGACTACGACCGCACAATCATTTTCACGATCCACCAACCACGCAGCAATATCGTTGCCATGTTTGACAAGTTGCTCTTACTCGCCGAGGGGAAAATTGTCTACTCCGGCGAAATGAGCTTGGCCCCGCGGTTCTTTGCCGGCTACGGCTTCAAGTGCCCATTAGGTTACAACATTGCAGACTACTTGATAGACGTAACGACTACTCAATCGCAGAAACAGACATTACTGGTGAGTGGGATTGACGAGGAGAATATCAATTACGAAGACATCCATGACGTGAGAGATTCCATCCTTGGCGTACGAGATTCCGTCTCGGGCGATACCACCCGGGAATGGCAGCACTACGCAAGCCACCGTGACGACTTTGGCCTGGAGTTACACCAAGACGTCACGCCTGCTGTGGCGGCGGCCGCCGGGATCCCCCCGGCCGAGTACTACGACATTAACACGATTTACGTGGAGTCGCCGTTTGCAGCTGAGGTTAAGCTGGAGATCGCCCTGATTGCTGCAAACCCCGTTCCGTTGCAGTTTCGGCTCGAGAGCCAGCATGCATCCTTCGTGCAGCAGCTAGCGATTCTCTGCTCACGCACGTTCAAGAACCTCTACCGCAACCCAAAGCTCTTGCTTGCCCATTACGTCCTCGCCATAACGATGGGTGTATTCATCGGCACGTTGTACTACGACGTGTCAATGGACATTTCCGGCTTCCAGAACCGCCTCGGAATGTTCTTCTTCATTTTGGCGCTCTTCGGTTTCTCTACGCTCACCGGGCTCCACTCCTTCTCGGTTGAGCGTGCCGTGTTCATCCGCGAACGCTCCAATAACTACTACCACCCTCTGGCCTACTACATCGCCAAGATCATCTGTGACGTGTTGCCGTTAAGGATCATCCCGCCAATGCTTTTGTTAATCATCGCGTATCCGTTGGCCGGTTTGAACATGGAGGCGAACGCGTTGCCCAAGGCATTATTGATCATTGTGATGTTCAACTTGAGCTGCGCCATGGAGATCCTCATCATCGGGATTCTTGTCAAGGACCCAGGGAGCTCCACCATGGTCGGGGTGTTGACGCTTTTGTTCTCCTTGTTATTTGCCGGTCTTTTCGTAAACAAGAGCTCTATCCCGGTCTGGATCTACTGGTTGCAGTGGGGGTCTGTTTTCCACTTTGGCTACGAAGCTTTAACGGTTAATGAGGTGGCGGGACTTGTGTTGCGAGAGAAAAAGTACGGCTTGTCGATTGAAGTTCCTGGTGCCACGATTTTAAGCACCTTTGGGTTCAGTGTTGGTCACGTTAACCAGGATATTGCTTGGTTAGGTGGTTGGGCATTGGTGTTTATTTTTGTGGGGTATTTCGCGCTCCATGTATATGTGATTGAGCGGAGATAAGATGTGACTCGGATAGAATTTTGATGGATTCTGTTGTGATTTTTCTGTTCATTGGAAACAGGTGGAGACTAAACGGTGGACTACGGACAATGTATGGTATACCCTGGCTCTGGACTATTCCTAAAACTATACAGCGTTTGTTGAATATTATACGTGCGCCGGGAATGCACTACATGCTTTTGATGTAAACGAGTAACCTGGAGTAGTAGCTGACGAGCTCACCCGCATTTACACATCCCTTATCCATTGGGAAGGGCAAATTTCGCCGGATCGCAAAACACTCTGCAAGTATTCTTCAACTTCTCTATAGATCAGAATCTCCTACGATAATTTTGAAAGCACGGGATGTTCAATAGTGCTAGGTCCAAAAAAAAAGGGAGACACCATCCGTGTCGCAAAAAAAAAATAAACCATAGGTAAAAACCAAAATAAAACCAAACAGTAAAGTAACCGAACTAAATGTAAGAAAAATACAACCGAAAAAGAAATACCCAGACAGGGAGAAAGAAATATTAGCGACAGCAGGGGAGGGGAACAATGTTCCAGAGAATTACAGAGGGGTCGAGACGAGAGGGGGGGTTGCGGGCAGCAACGGCGGGCGTAAAAACACCCAGTGCTAGCAAGAAAACTGTATACACTTGGAAGACAGCGTCGTAGTGGCCGAGGCGGTGCTGGAGCAAATCGACGGGGACAAGCTGTTGCCGCGCTGGGACTTACGCTTCATGTACTCTGACTTTTCATTGAATTGGCAGAACTTCATGCCGGAAAGGCAGTTATCGTTGGCAGCTGGGGTCTCGGAAGCGACAGAGGATTTTCGCTTCAAGATATCTTTGAATGAGAAAGGCATGGTGGCTGGATCTTAGAAGATAAACGGGTGGAAGAGGACTTCACTGGGAAGATGTTAGGTAGACGAAATCTTGGAAGCGGATGTGGGTGATAGAGAGGTATAATGGATGTTTAACGACAACGTGTATGTGCGGAACCAAACAGGATAATGTATATATACGAGTATATAAAATTATCGAGATAACGAAAGGTAAGAGTGGAGAAACGGGTTCCTGGGTTGTGCGAGAGGAAGGGAACTCTGAGGCTATATGTACTCAAAATATAAAAAAAATATACACCGTCGACCAGTTTGCATGGCAACAATATGCAAGCTCGCGGGAACGCTGTTTCCTCACCACTAATTGGCGCGCTAACAAGATCAGGTGCACCAGGGTAGAAAAACACAGATGAAAAAATTGTCTGTCCGCCGGATGTGTGAGGTACCGCGCGGAGAGTGACCCAAGAAGGGTAATGCCAGTGGGTGTATACATGCAGCGCTCCAGGCGAGACAGTAGCAAAGTTAAATTAGTTCATCGCCATCACTTTCGGGGCTTTTCCACTTTACAAGATGGGCAGATGAGCTGGACACTAGCGCCTTTCGGCTTGAGGCTGAATAGCTGAGAATCTACGGTTAATATAAGGCTAATGAGCAAAGCACACTGAGGTTGGTTGTTCGGCCGTTTATAAGCCCCAAGAGGGGAAGCAGAGATTTTCCATGTGCACTACAACGGAAAATTTAGTATATTGCGGGAATAAAAGTTCGCGCACCAACGATAGGATTTTCTCACCAGAGGCGCTTCTGTTGTCTACATCAGGGAACCGGAGCGCATACACGGCTGCAAGACATGCTGTACGCACCGGTCTTTGATTTACCCAAAATATGGCCATTTAATTCACACAGAGAAAAGCTAGTGTGAGCATGTCGCAAAGAAATTTGATGCACCGTGTACGAGGGGCAAGTGGTAATTTAGACTCCTGTGCAACAGTGGGCTGATCGTGTATAGGCTTAATATTGGCCGAAACAGGTCTCCCTCAGTTGTATGCGTCTGTATGGCCAAGGAATTATAAACGTAGCCGGCCGTACCATCTTAGCTGAGGCATTGCCTGAAACGGTGGTGAATCAGGTATAGCACGTCTTTGGCACCAAATATGACAATTGCTCCCCGTATGTTCTAAGATTTCCATTTGGCAGACGGTTGTCAACGAACAATAATTCTGTTTGCGAGCTGGCGCATGTAAATTATTTCCTTCTGTACGAGATAGTTAGCATTTTATGGCAGGCATAAGTAAAGCCGCATGGAAGGCTAATGATCCACTCCGAGGCGACGGGAATGTGAGAGCGATGTTTAGGTTCATAACTAACCAGCGAAAACACTTCTGCCCGGTGAAAATACTTTAACCTAACGCCTTAGACGGCTCAGCATCTGGAGGGACCGGAGATGTGAAACAACCCCGAAAATGGTAGTACGACAAACACCGTGAGGGGAAATTAATTAGGTATGGGATAATATCAAATAAAACACATCCGTAGATGCTCGACTAACGTGGAATGGTTTAACGCCTGTAATAAAATAATTCTGGCCGTTAATCAAACAATTAAAATTGCCGTTATGGGGCTTAGCTATCTAAACGGAGCCGTTAGCTATGAAGTATATCTGTTACCCCTTTCCTCTGGGCTGAATAACCGCGAGATTACAAGGTTGCCAACAAACCAGACAGGTTTCAGAGACTGGGACATCTATAGGGCGAAACAATTGTAGACACAATCCAAGCCTAAGATCGTAATTCACCATTCCACTAAAAACAAGGTTCCATCTACCCAAACATGTTAACGTTATTGACTAAATAAAACATTCTTAATCGCGCATCTCACGTAGCCGTGGCGTCAAGTAACGAATACTGCTTCAACAAGATACAGTCTCCACCACGCTCAGGGTCCAACCCGTAGTTGTAAAAATATCCATCCGACGTAATCACCATGACGTGCAACAACTTCGCTCGTGGCAACGAAGCATTGGAACCGCTAGTTGCATCTTCAGAAACCTCACTATCCCCGGAAAAGACCGCAACCAAGTCTCGGTTACCGTTCACAATGCCGTTACTACCACTGCCAGACGAGGCGTGATTCGTCAAGACCCACAAGTCCTCTTCGGTCATTTCCTTTCCGATACTGGCTATCGCCTTCACATCCTTGTTGATCGGCACCTTCAACGACGCAAAGTGGCGGGTGGGCTCCAAGATGGATGAGAACTTGGAGGGCAAAAAGGTGCCCATCCTCTCTGCCGCCTTGCGACCCAAGGTCTGCGACGAACGCCTGATCATGCGGGCCACTGACCGTCTGGTCAAATCGATCAATGGCTCCGACTTAGCCTCGTCGGTACCGTTAACGGATTTGCCAGACCCCAAGCTGCCACTAGAAGAAGACCTCCTTTTTGGAACCACTAGCCCCTCCTCAAAGCTCTCATCGTCGTCCACAAGCTCCACCTCGCTATCATCCTCTGCCTCGAGTAGATCCTCTTCATCTTCCTCCTCGATCTCGTCGGTCTCCTCCACCTCCTCGGTGATGCTACCAAAGGACTGCTTTCTTCCAGGCTTCAACTTCTTGCCAGACTTCATATGCGATTTGCCGTCTCTCTTTTTGCGGTTTGCCAACGCCTCATCCTCACCCAAACGGAAAATATGCACCGTTTCGGTGGCAGACGTTGCTGTGATGAACCGGTCGTCGTCGCTGAAGCTCAAGGAGTAGATTGTAGTGGGGTACGTTCCCCTCCGGAACTGGTACAACTTTGTGCCTGTCTCGACCTGGAATACACGCACGATGGTTCCTTTGTCGGAGGCCGTGGCAAGCAACGTGCCGTTTGCGTTGAGGCACATGGCAGATATGGTTGACTTGTGAGCCTCAATGACCGTCACCGGCTGTAACGTCTCTGCGTTGAAGATGATGACGTCGCCGGTTCTGGAAGGAAGCGTGGATGTTTGATTGGTGCTATGTGGGGTTGTGTGTGTGGTTTCGTTGATTGTGGGCAAGTTGGTAGAGCCTAGCAAGAAGGAAGTTCTGGGAGGCGAGGGATACGCCAAGTAGTTCCGGTCAGAGTCCGGAGAGAGGGCACAGCTGCCGAGGGGGTTCAGCTGAGTCTCGATGGAGTGTAACATGCGCATCGTCTTGATGTCGTAGATAAAGATCTGCTCCTCGAGCAACACAACCATCCGCGTGCGATTCATCTTGACGGCGAGAATGGTGTTGGGAAATGTCACCTCCACAATGGTGCACTGCCGCTTTGTGTTGATGACCTTCAATCGGCGGGGCGAGAGCGACGGCGGCTGGTCACCTGAGCCCACGACCGCAATAAGCGACGTGTTAAAGAGCATCTCCACGATACCCACCGATCCGTCGCCCTTGGTGAAAAACTGACCAAATGGGTCGCAATGGAAAATCTTGTACCCGTTGTTGTACCCTACGGAGATGCAGGATGAGTCCTGGTTGAAATTGATAAAGTTCACATGGTCTGGTTTCTTAGGGGCCGCCAGATTGGCTCTGGTTACGGCATCAGCAGCAGCGGCGGCAGCCTGGACCGCGATTCGGCTCTTATCCAGGTCCTTATTGACTGTAATCGACGTTGCTGACATGGTCAGTGGTGTGATGTGGGGTGTATGATGTGGGTTGCGTTTGACAGATTTGGCCGGTTTGCCACAGAGTACAGGCTGGTAATTTGGAAGGTGATAGCGCTGAAAGTGGGGCTAGAAGCAGATGTTTATAAGTAAGGAGTAGTATTGGAGGAGCAATTGTTTGACTATGCGGTAAAAAAAAAAAACTAGGCCTTGGATCTCAAATATATTTTGATGCAATGCCAGCGCGTGTACAAATCGAGACCGTAAAGCGATGTCTAAGGGCCACACAAATGGGAGCAATGACGGGAGGACGGTACAGGTGATCTGGTCAGCTGATGTGTCACGTGGGTTGATCTATCCAGGCGCAGTGTCGTAAGCTGGATGTCCTGGCGATAGGGCCTTGAGTTGAGCAATATACGAAATATGAATGATTCGTGTAATACCTTTGGTCAAGCGGGCTGACATCAACAGTTGTAAGGATTTCTTTCTTGGGTTACTCGTTTAGTGAGGCTAGGGGAGCCTTAAAAGTGACCGGAAATCCAGAACCCAGTGCTCGTGCCGCCACAGGCTCACCGACTTTTAATGCTGAAAGAATCACCGAAATACCCCTTGAGCCCCTGGTAAATTTAACCATACTAGTTGATAGACTTTCCAGTGGTTGTAATTATATGGCCGTATATTGGGTAGCCATCTCATTCCGCAGTAGGAAGTAAAACATTTTTTTATTTTGTAAAATCGCGTTGAGCTATCATAATGTAGCCGTGCCTGACTAATTCATGGGACTGTAATATCCTATATAGCGTCTAAAATCTCCAACCACTGTCCACATTAATGCGCATTATATATTTTGCCCCTTGGCCACTTTTCCAATTAACCCCCTTGGTCTGCCCTTTAATTGACGCTATTCCCAAACACGTTTTCTCCACCGAGAGAATTCATTACAGCGTCACTGTATCTCTACAAGGTCGTGCGCTCGCCCAGAGGATATCCCCATCAAACACGGACAAAAAACAAAAAGGACGAATCGGCCTTGCAATGGTTTTCTTAGATACCATTTTGATTACACAGCCGCTACGAACATCAGACATACACATTTGTCGCTGCAACCAACTTATATACTTCTTTGAGCCGCAAAGTTGCACTGTTCTTGAAGCGTTTACCCTAGTCTGCGTGACATAGCCCTGTATCTATCGGCCTCGACTCAGACATAGATATTGCAAGGCATACCATTGTTTATTGATGTCTGTAGCCTGAGAGTTTTTCAGAAACTTTCCTTGTGTATCCCAAGATACCTCAGCCCCTGATCCGGTTGCAACCTCTAATCCTGTTCATAAACCATCCATTCTGCGGTGCCTCCACTTCTCTTAATATCTAATACCAAACAATGGATCGCACGGGTGAATTAAGGCCCCTCATTCCGGCTAACATGAATGCGCCCACCCCTATGCCCCATCAGCACCCAAAACATGAACCTCCAGAGCCCAGAGACTCGCCCTCTGAAAATAACAGCCTAGAGCCGGTAGACTCGTCTGAGTCGTTCGAAATTCCGCCTGTGGTCGCTGGACGTAAGGCCGCCAAGTCGTTCAAATTGTTTGAGCTACCTAAACTCACGGACAAGATTCATCACTCTCACAAGTCGCATCGCAAGGAACCCAAGCACCACGCCGAGACCGAGTTTGTTCCCTCGAAGTACGGCTCCAGCACTCTCAACACCCTACTCTCTCAGGTATCTTTAGACAAGGAGAAATCCCGCAACAACAGCGTAGAAGAAGAGCTCATTGGCATTGGACTGTCGACGGCCAAAGATGTATCGCTCTTGGCATCTATGACCGACCTCCAGCCAGTGTCCTCGGCTACATATTTCCCTCACAAGTCAAAATCAGATCCAACCTCTTTCGATGACGAGGTGATTCACCCCGAGCATCTCAGAGCCGAAGCCGAATTTGACATTAACCCGGAGACCCAGAAACCAGAGAATATCCGTCGCGATAGAGGTCATAAGGATAGGGCCCGGTCGGCCGCCACTGCCCACCATGAGGCAACCCCTCACATCTCCAGTGACGGCACTCCAGCAGACAAAGGTCTTGGCCCTTCCGACTCTAAGGTGAAAAAGTCCATCAAGTTTGATATTCCCGAAATTGCAGTCCCTGGGTTATTGGAGGCCTTGCCGGACCCATTCCATAAAACTGCGGGTTCGTTTGATCATGAAGCTGCCAGTTATCCAGGACAGGCGCCTGGCTCATTGGAAGATCACGGTACCGCCGTGGATGAAGATTCTCATTCCCTTGCTGTAGAGCTCACCCCGTTCCAAAACAAGGTCGGCGGCCACACGGCAATTTTCCGGTTCTCGCACCGCGCGGTGTGCAAGGCTTTGGTCAACAGAGAAAACATCTGGTACGAAGAAATTGAACAAAAGCAACCAGAGTTGTTGCCCTTCGTGCCGCGTTACCTCGGGGTGTTAAATGTGAGATACACGTCGCTTGTCGAAGACGACAGCAACGGTCACTCTGATACTCCTCCTGTCACAGCGGTGTCTCAGCATACCACCCATTTGGCTAGGCAGATTGGCCATGTTTCAGCCGCCAGCACCCCACTGTCTCCGGGCCGTGGGAATACCGGTAGTATCGACAAGACCCATTTTAGTACCCTTTCGCCGGCACAAGAGCTTAATTTCAAGACAAAGGCATACAAGTCAGCTCCTAACTCTAGTAAGCTTTTACCCTCAGAAGGCATTGAGTTGCCCCCGGAGGTGGTTTTGGATGACAACAAACACATAATCCCCGAATCTCTCCTCAATCACTACTCTTCCTCCGCACCGTCACCCTACGGCTCGTACCTCTCGTCATCCGAGGGCAAGGCAGGCTTAGTTGACCCGAATAATACTCCAAAAAACTCGCCGTATCAGCACGGAATGAATGAACTTCCCCAGCGTGACGGCGGGTACTTGGGTTCCACCAAAGTCAACCAAAGACTACAGGCATTGGTGTTGCAAGAAGTGTTTGCCCCAGGCAGAAAAGTTTCGGGTACCCCCTCCCGCCACCGCAACTCCACCGATGGGGACAGTGGCAGCTACAGCAACTCCTACAGTCCTCGAAACGAGATGCTCTACCTTTCAGAACGTTATCCGGGAGCTGACCACCAGAGCTATGGAGCCGCCTCCAGCTTGTACCGCCATCGCTACAGCGACGTAGATAGAGTATCTGTGTCCAAGTTTCGTGACGCCAGAAGAAGCAGCCACCTGTCGAATCTTTCCAGCCCCCATAACGATAGCCAGTCTTGTGGCAGAAGAAACAGCCTTGTCTCCAACAAGTCCGAGGGGCGCGGTGACGCGATCTTCGAAATGGACGATGATGACACCATGCTGCTCAATAGAGGGACTGAGTTGGCTGTTGGAAATGGGGATCTGGACGCCAAGTCAACTGGCTTGAAACGCCTGGCCAACCTAACGCCAGGTTTTATCTCATCACACAACTCCTCAGCTTCGTTGATGCATATGGGCGGCGGGTTGTATTCTGACGGAAGCTCTGGTGTTGGTGTTAACGGGAAACTTCGCCGCAAACTCACCCGCATCGAGAGATTCATCCTTTTGGAGGATTTAACCAGTGGGATGAACGTTGCCTGCGCGTTGGATTTGAAGATGGGGACCCGCCAGTACGGGATTGAGGCCAAGACGTCCAAAATGCTCTCACAGCGGAAGAAGTGTCGTCGAACAACGTCGCGTAGCATGGGTGTGCGTATCTGCGGCATGAAGGTGTGGGATAAGGCCGATGAAAAGTACGTCAGTCGCGACAAGTACTTTGGCCGCAACGTGCGGCCCGGCAGACAGTTTGCAAAGTGCTTGTTGCGGTTCTTGTACGACGGAGAGTCCTTGTACAGCATTGTTCGCCATTTACCCAAGTTGATTGAAAACTTGTACGCGTTGTACAAAGTGTTCTCTCAGCTCAAGGGCTACAGAATGTACGGGTCGTCGTTGTTGTTAATGTACGACTCGGTGCCCAGGTCCCAGCAGGAGACGACCGGCACCACCAACGCCACCTCCAAAACTATTGATATTGCCGAGTCGAAGCAGTCGTACGCCTTATCTATGGATGAAGAGAACAATGCCAAGGGCGGCGAGTTAATCATCCGCATTATCGATTTTGCCCAGTCGCTCACCCCTGGCGTACCCTTGACAGAAACCACCACTTACCCACCGAGACATGCCAACGACATTGACAAGGGGTATATCAAGGGGCTAACCTCTTTGCTCCAGTACGCCACTGTCTTCTACCGCAAGTTCATGGGAGCGGATTACGTAGATAAGGAGTCTGCTCTTCGGCTCATCAAGGCTTCTAAGCAGGACTTGTTACAGCAAAAGTATGCCTGGTTACAGGATTTCGACAACCACGACTTTACCAATGACGCGGCCGGGGCGTTCAGTGACGAGTTTTCCGAGCTAGACGAGTTGTTTCCGTCTGGCGAGCAGGCTTTTGACGACGGATGTTCTGATTAATGACATAATAAAAGTAACTTATAATGGTATCGTAGGTGCTATGTAGGGTACTGCTGAGTGTGCCAATGTGTTAGCCAAATGGGCTTGCCTATTAGGGATTGGTAGAGAAAGTTTTTTTATGGCCTGGCTCCTGCTAGTTTACGTTTTAACCGAATTAGTTTGGCTTTCATCTTACGTCACTATTCTGTCAGTTTCATGACCAGGTACCGCTGCAGGGATTTTGCAGTGACCCCGACTCTCTTCAATAGTTGGGACGGATGCACGCCATGAAAGATAAGCAACCTTGCATTTAAACTACCGCCTTACCATGTGATGATTCCAAAAGCCAGCCCGATCTTCGAATCAATGCGGAAGAGTGGAAATGCCGACTGGATAAAGAAAGTCAACAGGGGTTCATCCTGAGTATAACTCTTACCCCAAGCAAGATCAGTAATCTTTGTGCGTCAAGATGGGAAATGGCGAGCTTGACGGCAGAGAGTAGAACTCGGCACGTGTCACCAGAGCCTTGCTCCCCTGGTTCAATTGATGATCGAATTGTGGCCTACACGAAGCATGTCTGAATTGTTTGTAACGGTCATCACGAACAGATATGAATATGCCACCATAATTAAAACCATCGATAAAAAAAATACGCTATCCATTCTTACTCCTCGTTAGGTCGAGGCAGAAGTGGGGTTAAGCAGGAACAGAAACTAAAATCGTTCCATGGATCGAGAACATGAAACTGGCATAATCTGCTAGGCAAGATTAAGGTTGTAAACGGCGCAACTGTGCATATAATTACGCTCTTTATTCTTCGTGAAGCTGACGTCCGAAACTTTCTCTGAGAGTGTATTTTAGTCTGGAGGGTCTCACCGGACCAGAAACCTGGCTGGTAGACTGAAAAAAAGCCTTGCCGTAATCACTGGATGGACGGGGAATATACTTTTTACCCAGCGGCCTTCAGAGGGCTAGCTAAATTTCACATGACGCATGAACGGAATACCCCTTCGTGCAGCCCAAGAATCCCTGTTGTCGGACGAGTATCGGGAGACAACCGAGTAAAGCCGTCGTCTCAGGTACGTAAATGAACGTACGTAGTGGGGTTTAATTCGAGCCGTAAAACCACGCGTTTCCCAGCTTACTGTAAGTCCGGTATCGGTAATCAGACATCCTGTTCAGGAGCCGGAAAAGGGAACTAGCTTACCGAACTGTACGTTTCACTGTAAATGCTAACATTATTAAAAGACCCACCCAGAGTTCTAGAAGTTCCCCTATCCATCAGTTTAATGGTCCATAAGATAATTCAGATAAACTATTCTCAGCAATGTTTTAAGTGTGCATTTCCTCGGCGCGGGTCAAGGCTGCGTGTGTGCCGCGTTGTAGTGTGTGAGCTAAATGCTTTGTCATCCCCTTTCACGCAAGTACTTGAAATTTAAAAGGTTTCACAGGGTGCACAGGTCTATATGTCTAGCAACCATATATATCCACACGCTCGCGACAAAAAAAAACCCCGCAACAAGACACCCGGCAAAATTCAACTCTCGTCATTCTGCACAAATAAACGAAATGAGTGAAAACTTTATAGTCTATCCGAACGGAGGCACCCCCGTGCCCCAGGCCGACCAACGAATGAACCACTCCCAGATGAAGTTACAACAGCTCCACCAACAACAAATCCAGCAGCAGCAGCAGATGCAACAGATACAACTCCAACAGCTCCACCAGCAGCACCTTCATAATGAAACGCTAGCACCGTTTGCGGGACAGGCGCCCATGTATGATGCTAGCTTTCCCGCGACACCCTTTGGCCTGGTGCCAAACGTGGCAGCCCCACCGGTCCAACAGCAGCATCCCCACGTGCTGCAGAATCTCTTGATGGAGCATTTTATGAACAACAACCAGGAGGTGAACAAGTATTTTTTAACCAACCCGCCGATCTTTGATCTGTCAATGCTTTTGGACCCGCCATACCAGAGTGGGCCACATCCGCGCCGAAGACGTATTTCGATCTCTAACGGGCAGATACACCAGATGATCGATGCCTTCCACCATCTTCAGGAAGATGAAAGGGCCACCAGCCCCTCGACGGACTCCTCAGGGAATAACATTGTGGACTTTATCAACTTAAGGGATCCTCCCACAAGCTTAGGGGCTGCTTCTATTTCGCCCAGATCCCACGCACGCGACATCTCCGGGATCGATAGCATTACCCCGCAGCCCTCAGTACCCCCCTCCATCAATAGTCACACAGGAAAAGCCATCAAAACCGAAGGCGACAGGGGGGTTCCGGGCGACAGACTCCACGTGAACGGAAGCGGGGTGCCGCAGCACCAGTTGTTTTACAACAACGAGCTCATTTTCAATCCTCACGGAGACGCTCCTATAAAAGGCACCGCAGCATGGAAGCGCGATCGCTTATTGGAGCGTAACAGGGTCGCGGCATCCAAGTGCAGACAGAGAAAGAAGATGGCACAGGAGCAAATGGAGCGCAACGCGGAGATTCTTGTGGTGGAGAACAAAGAGCTAAAACGCAACTACCTCAAGATGCGCGCAAACTTGGCCAAGTACCAGAAGTTGATGCAGAGCCACTTGCTAGAATGCAAAAGCGGCTCCAACAGCTTGCGGCTTCTCGAGGACTTGATGAAGATCGATAGCGAGGAGATCAAGATTAGTACCAGTGATAACGAGCTTCTTGATGATAACGATGTCTGAGCTCGGCACCGCGATCGTTCTATACTTGCTCTCGAGCTCACTTTAATTTTTTGGGTTTCTTTATTCCTGCTGGGTGTTATTGCTTTTATTCTGGTTATGGTGTTATTTATTCGTTTTCATGGCGGAGGTGGGTGGTTGTGTCTTATTTGTGGTGAAACAATAAAGGTGTGCCACCATACAAAGAGAGAAATAAATAAAGATATGAAATATATGTAGAGGGGATTGATATGTAGAGAGGAGTGGATGCGTGGAGTGGATGAGACTCGAGAGCGGTTGTGGGATAATCGTATATATATATATATATATATATGTTTTCCTTACCCGTGTATCATACCTTTTTTCATGTATACGTCTATGGATACCTGCTCCAAGGTCTGGAAATTGATAATACGGGGACTGGATCAACCGGTCCCGTAGCTGAGGGCAAGTCATTCCTTTTCGTCTCATCTGCGAACGGTGTGGTAATCAATTAGATAAAATCTATTTAGACTATACTCTACAAATCCCCAAAAGAATCGTACACGGCCCTCCACTTGTCGAAGAAGCCCTCAAAGAACCTGACCCCCAAGCCGATATCCTTGGTCCCGGTAGCGGCTCTGATGGAGTGCATGGACAACTGCGGAATCCCCAAGTCGATGGTTCTGGCACCAGTCTGGATGGAGAGCGACGGTCCGATGGTGCCACCAGATCTGCTATCGTTTCTGATTTGGAAGTACTGCAATTCGTCGCCGTTCAACTTGGCAATCTGCTCCACAAGGGCCACACCCACGGCATCGGTCGCCATGTGACCGTTGGGGTCCAACGCGACGGAAATCCCCTTGTTTGGAACTGGGGCGTGGTGCTCTAAGTACACATTCTTGAAGTTAGGGTTCAACAAGTGATTGACATCGGCAGACAAGATGATCGTATTGGCGTACACCGTCCTGATCAAGGCAGAAATGTCGGCGCCCTTGTTGTAGGCACTAGTGACACGCGACACGACGGCCTCCACAAGACCGCCCTTGGCGCCCTGCCTCAAAGCGGAGCCGATTTCCTCGTTGTCATACAAGCCCACAACGGAGAAGGAGTCCTTAGGGACGGAGCCCCCGTTCCGTACTACAAACTCGATGAGCCCGCTAATAGCGGCGAAGGAGCAGATTCGGTCGTCCACACGCGGCGCAAAGAGGAATTCACGCGAAAGACCACCGAGAATCCCCTTCTGGACGTCGTACAAGTCCAAATCCAACTGCACAATGTCCTCTACCTTGACCTCTGCCAAGGATGCGATGTAGCGAAGAAGCTTCAACGCGTGGCGTCCGTACAACGGCGCGGCCTTTTCAGCGTCCGTAGCTTCCTCCTCCTTGCCGGTAGAGAACCCCACCACTGGCACGGCCTGGGTCTCCGGGTTGAATGGACCGACGGCAGGTGCACCAAAGTGCGGGGCCAACGTAGGGATGTGCGCAATCGGGTGCGGCGATGAGTTGATCAACTTTGACTCAACCTTGTAGCCAATGTTGGCGGTAGGGTCCGCAACCTTGACCAACACACGGCCACCCAACCCCAAATCTCTGTCCCACCAGAGATTGGACAACGCCCCCGCGTATGGGGCGACGCCCAAGAGTTCGTAACCGTCGACCTTTTCCTTGGTGGAATTAGGCTTCAACTTTGTCGCAAGCGCATCGATATGCGACCCAATAATCCCCACGCCCTTTTCTGGGGTCCAATCGGCGCCCACGGCAAATGCCGCAAGGGAGGTGCCAGAGCGGGTCGTGTAGTACAAGCCCGGGGTCAAGTCGTCCCAGGAAGTCTTTTCGGAGAGGTAAGAGAAGCCGTGTGATTCAAGGAGCGTGCCAATATAGGAAACCACGTGGAACGTCGTAGGCGACTTGTAGGTGAAGTCAATGTAGCGGTGCGCGTAGTGCACAAGGTAGTCATCAGTGTACTTCTCCTTGGACGTTTGGAAGACCGGCGAAACCGCCGGCATAGGACTGAGTGAGGTAGTTTTTGCCTCGGCTGGCTTGCTATGGCCTGGGGTTGCTTCGTTCTTGAGGGCGATGAACTTCTCGACGCCCTTGGAGCCCATCTCGAAGAGCTGGAACACCTGCTGCAACGCCGCCACGGCACTTTCTGGGTCAAATTGATTCTGGGCCATTGTTTGTATAAGTTATCTATAGGGCGTAAATTCCGTATAATATAGATTATGAGGGGGGCGGCAATTGACTTATAAAGAGTTTCATGGTTCACAGGGCGGGGCAACGTGGGGCCGTAGGGTTGGCTGGCTTGGGTTGCGAGCCCCGGTGGAGGTAGGCACGTCATCCGTGCGGCGGTGGTGGCAGGCTTATCCATACCGTTTTTGGTAAATCACCTCAACACAGTTGGGAGGAGTGGCGGGCGGCTTGATATAGTAGCTAGGATGGGGACGGTATACTATGCATATTTTAGTGGCGGTATGACGATTTAATACGCCCCTTGTGCTCATTTCTTGAATCGTTAAAGAGCTGATAACTTGCACCGGTGAGCCGGACTCCTGCATTTATGTAACGATAGTATTGGTCTATATTCCAACTCGTAACTAGTTTTCCAACATTAGTTTTTAATCTATATATGTATTATACGTGATGCAATGATATAGGGTAAGCATATTAATATTAATGTTATTTATAGTGTTTAGAAAAATAGTGCAATGTCGATAATTATTTTGTTATAGCTGATATATCACCATATATATTAATATATATACTTATATTTTACGTTTGGCATATTATCAATACTTTCAATATCGCAAGCTAATTAATAATACACACAGTACTGCCACACGCTACAATTTCACTATAAGTTATAACCACCCAGAACTAAAATACTCGCTCCATCACTTTAACGGAGGGTAACCAACTCTTCGGCACTGGATGGGTGGATGGCAACACAGTTGTCAAAGTCGGCCTTAGTAGCGCCCATCTTGATGGCAACACCAAAACCTTGCAAGATCTCGGCACTGGAGTCACCAACAATGTGCAACCCAACAACCTTCTCGTCCTTGCCGGCACAGATCAACTTGTAGGAGGTTGGCGATTTGTGCTCCAACATGGCGTAATACAAGGCGGTGAACTTGGACTTGTACACCTTGAGGTTGTCCTTGCCGTACTTTTCAATAGCTTGCTTCTCGCTTAAACCAATGGAGCCGGCCTCCGGGTGGGAGAAGATCACAGACGGAATATTTTCGTAGTCCTGTTTCTGGTCCTTAAACTCAGCTGGACTGAACAACCTATTGGACAACTTTCTACCCGAGGCGATGGCCACTGGAGTCAACTCAACGTTACCAACAACGTCACCCAAGGAGTAGATACCCTTGACATTGGTGTTTTGGTACTCGTCGACAAGAATCTGCGCCTTGTCGTTGGCCTTGACACCGCTGGCTGGCAAGTTGAAGCCCACCAAGGACTTTCTACCAATGGTCCAGACCAACGCCTCGACCTCCAACACTTCATCAGTGGTCAAGGTGACCTTCAATAAGCCGCTGGCCAACTTTTCCACAGACTTCACGTTGGACTTCTTGTGCACGTTGATGCCTTCCTCGACGTAGTGGTCGGTGATGGTTTCCTGGATGCTTTCGTCGAAGGATCTCAAGACAGTTTCACCTCTAATGATCAAGTGGGTCTCGGAGCCCAAGCCGTGGAACACACCGGCCAACTCCACGCCAATATAGCCCGCCCCAACGACCGCAACGGTCTTTGGTTGGGTCTCCATTTTGAAGAACCCGTCGGAATCGGTGCCCAATTCGGCGCCTGGAACGTCTGGCAAGATTGGCGCCCCACCAGAGGCAATCAAAATGTGGTCAGCGGTGTAGACCTGGGTCGTACCGTCGCGCTTAGCAACCTCGACCAGCTTCTCGCCCACAAACTTGGCCCAGCCGTAGACGTACTCGACGCCCTCCTTCAGCATGTTTCTCTCGTAGATCCCGTTCAATTTCTGGATGTAGGCGTCTCTCTTAGGCTTGAGATACTCCCAGTTGAAGGTCTTGGCGGCCGAAGGAGCCACGTCAAAGCCGTACTCCTTTGCCTGCGCGATTTTGGACGCCATGTCCGAAGCGTACCACATCAACTTTTTAGGCACACATCCAACATTGACACACGTCCCGCCCATCGCCTTGCCCTCGATCACCAACGTCTTGGCACCGTACGACGCGGCTCTCCTGGCCGAGGCAACGCCGCCGGATCCGCCTCCGATGACGAGATACTGGTAGTGGGTGGATTCAATTGGGGCCATTGTGGAAGTAGAAAAGTGTTTTGTTAAAAGGGATAGTCTGCTTGTGGTGGTGGTGGTGAGCAGCTTGGAGAGCAAGTTAATCATTTGAGAGCGGAAGGAAGAGCAATAAATAATAACCGGGCGAGGGACTGAAAAGAAATGGGGGCGAGATGTGGCGCCGTCATTTCGATTACTAAGCGGGGCCTAGGGGAACCAGCCACAGGTGGATGACATATAGGGATGTGGCGGAGCCATTTGACAAGTTTCTCAGGCAAAGGGGGATTGCCGGACGGACCGGGTCGGGAGCTTTATGCATTTCGTCTATGAATATTGTCGAACTCCGTTCTGGTATACTGTTAGTTCCACGGGAATGTTTCATTTCTGTTTGAAAAATGCCATACTGTGCATCAAAAGAAATGACGGCCAAACCTTTGCACATCGGATTTCCATTCTGGCGTTAACCAGAGATTGGTACAGCTGTACCCACGTGAAAAAAAAAAATGAAGAAAAGGAGGTTGGGTACTAATGTGATATAGTTGATTGTGGCAATTGAGGCAAAATTGTTAATACTTCAATACGTAGCGTTAACCTTCTTGGCTATCAAGATCGGCATATGTCGGAGAAACTCCTCACTCTTGCATCTTTTTAAGGCTTGCCTATGTGCATAAGGTTAGGGTTAGGCGATGTTTCAAGAGACCTTGGTTATTGATTTGTTGCCATAGAAATTAGTCATATACAGTGTATCTAACAGTATCAATAACCGAGATTACTCGCACCTGGATAGATTTAGACCATCAGGATCGCAACAGTTTTGTAGGATTTTTCTGTATTGATTGCCAAAAAAAATCCTACGAATGACCTTTGAGTTGTATCCTGCACGTTCCCCACTAAATATTTTCGATTTTTTTTTAGCGTAAATCAACCTGGACCAATAAGCTCCAACACCCCCACTACAATGCCCGGATGGACAGCCATCCCGAATGAACTCCTCGATAGCATCTTCTACCTCGTCTATCAACACGACAAATCATGTTTTCTCAAGGCGAGCCAGACGTGCCGGCGATGGCGTGAGACGGCGTCCTCTGTGCTCATGGCGGCGCAACGCAAAGCCCACACGGACTGCACGTTTCCCGTGAATTTCACTACGTTTCGTAATCAGCAGATGATAGACTACCTCCGGAGCCGCGGCCTGTCTGCCAGTTGGCTCCATTTTGTCACGACAGAGGTGAAGCTCCCACTTGCCCACTATCGCTTGCTCCAGCCGAATTGCCATATTCTTAATTCGTTTACCTGCTTCTATCTTGCCGAGTACGGCCCGAACTACCTTTTCTGGCCGGATATGAAAAATCTATGCAGCTCACTCAACGTGACAAATAACGGCGAGTACGTGATGGTTTCCTTTGAAACGTCCGCCCGCACGTGCTCCTTCACGAAGTTCTCCACCCCGGACGAGGCCTTGGTATATCCGCGCGACAGCGAGAGCCAGACGTTCCGCGAGAACGATGCGATTCTCCCATGGTCAAACGAGCAGTTGCTCCAGCACCGGGCCGTCTTGTTTCCGGATATTCCCACCTTGGTAAATAAGAAGTACCGCCTCTGTCTCTACAAGATCTCTCACTACACGAATAAGGCTGACTACTGCCAGCGGCAGACGCTGATCTATCGCAACCCCATCCAGGGCTTTATGTCTTTCAACCAGCCCGTCACCCACGCGTTCATGTCGTCGGACAACAAGCACCTCGCCGTCGCCTTTTACGGTTTGGTGCACGTCTATCGCCTTAACTACACGACCATGGGCGCTTCCCCAATTATCTTTTCGCGGCAGTATCCGTCAGAAATCAAGTATTTGGGGCTCTCCGCGCACGCAGAGATCTTGTTCATCCAGTCGATGCGCATTGGCGGGTTGCTTATGATCAATCTCGAGACAAAGGAGGAGGTTGACTTTCCACACTATCGATTGGACTTGACGATGAATCTCCAGAACGATTTTAACTTGACAATTTCCGGATTTAACGAGACGTATGTGTATGGCATGCCCACCAGGATTCGGTTGGACTCTTCGCCAAGGCCGGTAGATGAGACTCCAAGGGAGGGTGAAGGCAGAAGTGGAATATTCAGGAAGGGTGAGGCCAGAGATGGAATATCTAAAATTCCCGAACGAGCCCTGAAGCGTCACTGTGGATGCATCTCGGGGACTCTTCCTAACCCTGTTAAAAGCATCTGGGACTACTTCAAACGGACAATTGAAATAGACTACTCCGCCTGGGGCTCGCAACTCCACCGACTAGAGGGTCCCGGCACGTTCATCGGGATAGACGTTAAGCCAGAGGAGGATGACTTTTCTGGCTCGCTAACCATCCTCTTGTATCTTCACCGCCGGTTCCTCAAGGGCCTCAACTTTGATTACTACATCCAAGACTTCATGCGGGGCTGGTACGACGAAGGAAACGAAGATGACGAAGCAGAGAAAGATGAGGCGTTTGACGATAGGGACGAGGAAGAAGATGGTGAAGAGGACGAGCACGTCACCATCCCCTTGTTCAGTCTTGTTCCTTCCCAGAATGACCCGATTTTCACAGTGTGTCCGTCTGGAAGGAGGGTCGCCATAGCTTCCAACACGCAGTTGTTCATCCTCAACACATCCTGGGAAGCTTCGCTTTTGCTCTACTCGTACTACCAGCGGGGCTCTGGCGCAAATCTCCCGATCCACACGTATGGCCCGGGAGTGGGACTCAACACGGTCACACCGGAAAATGACTACTTTTGTTTCCACGAACGGATTGATTTTCTCAAATTTTTGCCCGACTTGGGCCAGCAGGCTGGGAATAAGCGGTATATCGATGAAATCAAGTTTGTGAGCGATACCAAATTGGTGTTGTACTACCAGGATCGGTGCTTTGTGTACGACTTTAGTAACAAATATTTGTCCAACCCCAGCCGTGATGGAATGGCGTGAGTATGACAGGGCGATACAGTCCTGCATTATTTATTCCACTTCCATCTGGTATGGTGCAATACCCACGGTAGCATACCGTTAGCCTTTCAATATAAACACAACAATCAATCCGAATTGAGCATTACAAGCTCTTTGTGCAATTTCTCTGTGCAATCTCTAATAGACCGATATACTTATTCATAACCAAATTCTCTAGACCATAGGATTCTGCCATCCCATGTCTAAGGGAACTGTTCTATATACAAAATACGTAGATGTTCCAGCCACCTAGATTTGTCATACCTCCCGTTTCCACCCATAGACCGTTATAAAAATTACAGTCAAGAACTTCATAAGTCCTTTTATCAAGGATTTCATCCTGCATAAAGGCTCACTTGGCCGCACCGCAACCCTGACCTCAGGTCGTGCCCCTCCAAATTCTGCTTATCACCAGCGCACGACGTAAAAAGCTTCGCCTCCGCACTTCAACCATTGACAGTTTTTTTTTCCAATTAACTAACCGATCATCGTCACCATTCCCTCGTTATGAATTGGCGGCTATATCTAGCGCTCCTGCTCGTGGTGCCAGCAACGGCATTCACACCTACGGTGAAATCCTCAGTCTTTAGTAACCTCACGCAAATCGTGTACTTTGAAGACTCTTCACACGTGCTCAACCTCAACTACGACGACCTCTACCTCTCAAAGGATAACGGTGCCACCTGGAAGCCCGTCAAGAACTTCCAGGACAAGGCCGTCTCCCTCTATGCGGATCCGTTTAAGCTGACGCGCGCGTTCACCTTCACGAGCAGCAACCACCAGTTCGTGTCCAACGACCGCGGTGAGTCGTGGAAAAAGTTCGACTGGAAGCTCCCGACCATATCCAAAATTCTCCAGCCGATAGTGAACGCCCAAAACCCCGATCTTATTCTTTTTCCTGTCTACACATGCCCAGATGGTGACTGCCGCACACAGTACTACTACACGGCTGACGGGCTTGCATCCGCACCGCGGCTTATGCTCGACACGCCTGAGATCAAAAAGTGCACGTTCGTACAGGCCACACGCGCGTTCACGAGCGGGCCCACCACGCGTATCATGTGTGTGGAGCACATGATTGTCCGGGGAAAGCGCAACTCGCACGTCACTTACTCTGACGACTGGTATAAGACCAATCATAGAATCGCGGGGCTTGCTCTCCGTAACGAAACCCGCATTCGGATCGAAGATATCACTATTGTCCAGTCATTTGCGATCATCCAGGCGGTGAACATCCGTCTGTCGCAGGAGTTTCTCTTTGTCTCCACCGACGGGAGAGAATTCCGTGAGATCTGGTTCCACGCGGAGCTCAAATCCGGGATGTTTGAGTTTCTCGCATCGACTTCATCGTCGCTCCACGTTGCAGTCCACGGCTACGATTCTTCGCTCAAGGAAAACACCAAGATCAGTGCGACCGACCTCTATGCCTCAGACTCCTCCGGTTTACAGTTTACAAAGATCCAGTCGGCTGTGAAGGGGGAATATCTCGGTTTGTATCAGATCCAGAAGGTTTCCAAAGTGGACGGGGTCTGGATTTCCTCCATCAGCAAGGGCTTCAACTACGACACCGGGTTGCCCAAGTACCGGTCGATGATTACGCTCGACGATGGCCGTACCTGGAACTACCTCAAGGTGGATGAATGTGGTGACAAGCCGCTTGACGAGTGCCATTTAAGTTTGGGAATTACTGCATTGTTCGACAACGACAAGATCGACGCGACGGGTCCGACCCCGGGGATTGTCATGGGCATCGGGCATCTTGGCGAAATGACCGCTGGGAGCTACGAAGGAAGCACGTACGTGTCGCGCGATGCAGGTGTGACGTGGAAGTTTGCACTTAAAGAGCCGTGCGCGTTCAACTTCGGTGACCAGGGAAACGTGATTGTCGCGGTGCCGATGATCTCCCATGTGGATGGCGTTGACTACGCGTACTACTCGTTCGACCAGGGCGATTCGTGGGAGAAGTTTGCCCTCGGCAGAAAGATCTCCCCGACGTCGTTACTCACAACGCCAGACGGTTCCTCCGCCAAGTTCATCCTTACAGGGTTCACCGACAAGACAAACTTCAGGAAAGAGACGATCGAGGAGCTCGTGCTCTCACTTGATTTCTCACGCGCGTTCGGTAAGTGCGGCACGAATGACATGGAGCTCTGGCACACGCGTGTCGATGCAAACGGCGCTCAGGGCTGCATCCTTGGGCACCAGGAGCTGTTCCAGCGGCGCAAGCAGCACGCGAAATGTTTCGTGAACAAATTGTACGAGGACGTAAAGCCGATTGAAAAGAAGTGCCAGTGTGTGCTCGAGGACTTTGAGTGTGCGTACGGCTTCATCAAGGACCACCGTGGCGAGTGCGCAATCGAGCCGGCTGCTTTGAAGGAGTTATGCAAGGGGGGGGACGAGTATGTTTCACCTAAGAGCATGCGCCTCATTCCCGGAAACTTGTGCGAAGGTGGCGAGGACGAGTTTGTGCGCGAGATGCGCATCCACTGCGGCCAGGTTGACGAGATAGTGAACGGCAGTCAGATCAAAACGCACATGAGCGTACTACCGGATGCGGTTGCGGAATACCGCTACCTTGACAAGATAGAGGGCGAAAAGCACGAGACAGTGATTGTGCGGACGAAGAAGCACGCGATTTACATTTCCCAGGACAGCGGCCAGACGTTTGAGCGGCTTGAGGACAGCGAGGACGAGGAATTCCTTGCAATCTACACGAACAAGGACCATCCGCGCCACGTGTATTTAATCACCGGGGGCAGTCACGTGTATGTTTCGCACCGTGCGGGGAGGCACTTCAGGAAAATTAAGACCCCGGGCCCCCCAAACACAATGGGCGTGCCTGTGCTTACGTTCGACAAGAATGACAGAGACTTGTTTATTTGGTACACGGACTGCGAGTCTGGCGAATGCGTGGACGCGCACCACACACGTGACGGTGGGGAGTCGTTCGCGCTTTTGCGCGCGGGCACGCGTTCTTGCTCGTACGTGGGATCGCGTCTTAACCCGCGGACGGTGCGTGAAGCGGACGTGATTTTCTGTGAGGAGCCAACCGGGCAGTATCTCCGTATCATCTCCTCGACCGATTTATTCGAGACATCCACCACCGTGTTTGAGAAGGCAATCGGGATGACCATGACGGGTGAGTTCTTTGTAGTTGCGGAGGTACTTGAAGAGAAGGGTGTGTCGCAGTTGCGTTCGCACACTAGCGTTGACGGTGTACTGTTTGCCCGCGCATTGTTTCCGCACGACTTTGAGGTTGCGTCGCAGCAGGCGTTCACGTATATTGATTCAACTTCGCGCGCAATCTTCATGCACGTGACAACGAGTGCGAAGGCAGGCGCGGAGTTTGGCACGCTCCTCAAGCTGAACTCCAACGGGACGTCGTATGTGGTTGCCGCACGTGATGTTAACCGTGACGCGCTGGGTTATGTCGACTACGAGCGCATTCAGAGCCTTGAGGGCATCTCTGTGCTCAACACCGTTGTGAATCCGAAGGGCATTACCGGAAAGGACGGTAAGAAGATTAAAACTGTCATCACCTACAACGACGGTGGCGAGTGGTTTGAGTTAGTGCCCCCACCGATTGATTCTGAGGGAAAGAAGTACGCGTGTGCGGGGAGCTCGCTCGAGGAATGCTCGCTCAATCTCCATGGGTTCACTGAGCGTGTGGACGCGCGCGACACGTATCTGTCTGGTTCAGCTATCGGAATCCTCATGGCCACTGGGAACGTTGGCAAGCATTTGTCCGCAAAGGAGGACGCGTCGACGTTCCTCACGCGTGACGGGGGTGTCACGTGGCGCGAAATCCACAAGGGCACCTACATGTGGGAGTACGGCGACCAGGGCACGATTCTCGTGTTGGTGAATGATAAGGACCTGACAAATGAGTTGTTGTACTCGCTCGATGAAGGAGAGACGTTCCAGACGTTCCAATTTTCTGACTCAAAGGTGAGCGTGCTTGACATTGCGACCGCGCCGTCTGACACATCCATGAACTTTCTTCTCTTTGCGCGCAGCTCCATGGAGTCGGGCCAAAAGACGCTCACGTTCGCGCTCGACTTCCAGCTCGTGTACGGCAGACCATGTGTGTTGGACTTGGAGCATCCGGACCGCGACGACTTTGAGTACTGGACTCCAAAGCATCCGTTCTCGGCCGACAAGTGCTTGTTTGGGCACGAGGCGCGCTACCTCCGTCGCGCAACCACCGCACATGACTGTTACGTAGGTTCGGCGCCTGTGCGTGACGCGTACAAGGTGATCCGCAACTGCCCGTGTACGCGCGCGGACTACGAGTGCGACTACAACTATGTGCGCGACACTGACGGCACGTGTAAGCTCGTTGCGGGGCTCGCTCCGCCAGATCACTCGGAAACGTGTCAAGTGGATAAGAACGTGTTTGAGTACTTTGAGCCAACAGGGTATCGCCGAATTCCCCTTTCCACGTGTGTGGGAGGCAAGGAGTTTGATAAGGCTGAGGCAAAGATGTGCCCTGGTAAGGAGAAGGAGTTTAACAAGCACCACCGTCCGGGTTGGTTTGGGATCTTACTTGTGTTTGTTGTGCCGGTTACGGTGTTTTTTGCCGCCATTTGGATCGTTTACGATAAGGGGATTCGCCGCAACGGTGGATTTGCGCGGTTTGGTGCTATCAGGCTCGGGGAGGATGACGATTTGCAGTTGGTTGAAAACAATATTGGGGATAAGGTGATCAATGCGGTGGTGACTGCGGGGGTGATGTTGTTTGCGGGCATAGCGTATGTTTATAAGAGTCGCGGATTTGTTGACGGCTGGGTCCTTACGCAGTTCCGGTCCGCCATGGACCGCAGAAGTCACAATCGGAGGTATGTGGCCGTTCCAGAGGACTCTGAGGATGAATTTTTAGCGTTTAGTGATGGGCTCAGCGAGGATGACGCGGAAGAGCTTAACTAGAGCTTTTCGGAGTGAATTGTAATAAGCTATTTGAAGGGTATTGTAGAGGAAGGACTGAAATCGCCGAAACAGGCTAAGCGGAGGGGGAGGGTACAAAGACCTAACACAGTGTCTATAATTACTCTATTTGCATATTTCGGTGCTAAGGGCCAGTTTAGCATTGAATCCTAATTAGTTTCATCTCCGCAGCTGCTTCTCTCTACACCATATAGTATCTGGTAAAGCGATATACAAAAATTATAGCCATACACATCCATCCATACAATTTGCCTAATCGACAATATCGGCGGTGCTGATGTGGTCCTCGATCTCCAAGTCCCCCAACTCCTCAATCACCGGCTGGCCGTCGTTCTCGCGGTGGTACTGCTCCTGCAACTCCAAAAACTCCTCCTCGTTTTCCAACACCGCATTGATCCCAATCACGCCCGACTCGTCAAAGATCTCCAAGATGTCCTCGGCGTCATCAGTGCTCATGTGAAGGAACACTTCGTTGATTGCGTCCAACGAGCCGGTCCGGACGGCCTCCTGCATCTTGATTGGCAAGCGCAAGAAGGCATTGTAGCGCTGTACCTCCTCCGGGTCCACGGACTCAGCGTTTGGAAGACTCACCACAAGCTCGGTGCTTGGGTCCAAAGACTTTAACTGGATGGCATCGCCTTCCTCATTGTCGCGCGGCTGTTCCTGCTGGATCACCAAGCAGCGCTCGCGGATATGGTTATAGGTACGTTCGACGTCCTCGCGGAAGCCCTGGATGGCAGGATTGGGGCCCACACTCATCAACTTGCCAAAAAACATCTTTACGGCCTTCTGGGTCTGGACCACACGCTCCTTCTTGTTGGCATTGGCAGCGGTCATGCCCGCAAGCTGCGCGCCGTATTGGAGTAACAACGACTGGTGCACAATGTCACGCGCACGCGCCGCATTACCTTCCAACTGTGCGTTGAAAGCGGTCATGATTAATGCGTCCTTCTGCTGCTCCGTGACGATGAACGGGTGGAGGTCGAGGTACTTCGCGGAGGTCACGAGGTCCTTACTGGAGATGTACGAGAAGCGCTCGGTTTCCGGGAGTAATTCAAGTTCATCCAAGTCTTGAGAGTCGGCCGGGGCTGAAGTTTGAGTGGGCGCACGCGGGGTAGGTGCGGACGGGATAGGCGCAGACGGGGTAGGCACGGTCACAGGTCTCTCTCTTTCCTTCGCCTCCTTTGGATTGAGAGTCACCTTGGTTGGAAGTTCCTTACTTGGCTCTGCAACACCTTCCGACTTGTTCAAAAATGACTTTTCAAACCCCGTGTGCATATCCGCGCTGGAGATGTGATATGACTTTTCCTCAATGAGCTGTGCCAACTTCTTCTCCTGCTCCTCCATCACGCCGCCGATCCTCTCCCTGTGCGCAACCACTCGACGCCTCAAGGTTTCGGCATTCAGCTGTTCCCCGTCTTTCGTCATATCCTCGCCAATCTGCGTAAACAAATCCTCGATCATTTCGTTGTAGGTCGGCGTGTCCTGGCTGTCTTCGGACACAAACTTCTCCGCTGGGTCATATTTGGCACGCAACGCCGTGTCTCTGGCTGCCTCACTCGTAAACTCAGCATCTGGAAGACCCAACAAGTAGTCCACACGGAGGTTGAGGTGTTTGTACATTGCTGTTTGCACCGTCAACGTGCGAATGTCCTGGTCGCGCTGCGCGCGCTTCTCGTGGATGTCTCTTTGCTTCCACTTGATGAACGACTTTTTGTCCACATTTGGGTGAACCTCAATGTCGGAATCATCTGATAATTCAATCTTGTCCCACTTGGAGTAGTCAATGGCCATGGTGTGCTTGTAGTGAAGATACGTACCAGGAAGAAGCAATGGTTGGCGCTTAAAATCGGCCGTTTCTGCTTTGCGGCCAGAGCAGAGCCGGGCTACGTACAGGATAATATAGAATGAGGAAGCCCTAGATAATTGTTACTTGGCAGAGTCCTTCTAGGGGATAGGGGAAATAGGATTACATTGAAGGTGAAATTTCTTGTTGTCACTGAGCACCTACTTTTCAAAAGCAGAGTACGGCATTACAGAGGGGAGATATAGAGCAAGAGACATCAAAGATTGCATGGATAATCCTAGATCAGTCTGGGGGCTTTGCATCGGTATCGAAAGCTTGAATGAAGACCGGTGATGGACATGGAGGTTTAATGGTATACAGCCTTTTTTTATACGGTTTATCTGTTCTCTACAAGTTATTTGAAGCTACGATACCATATACATATGATGAAAAAGCAAGCCTCAGATCCAGGGCGGGTGCGCCAATAATTGCCTCGACACGGACAAATTGGTTTTTGGTTAGTGTATACAAGCACGTTTCGGGCTTTAATAGACAGTAACAATCGAGCTTGACGAGTTCTATTATACAGACAGGGGCTTGGTTTTCTGAGGATGTTAATCAATACTTAGTAACAGTTGTCAGGGTTCCAGCGCCTGTTGGTATTCCAGTCGGGGGGTTGTAATCAGTCATTGATTCACAAGTTACTTATCGTGATCTTCCACAAAAATAAAGATAATATTAAAACCAAGATCATTCTTAGATCTGGAAAACTACTTCCTTATATAGCTTTCTTCGGTGCCTCATTTGCTTTATGCGACAGGATTAGTTTCAGATACTCATTATCAAATAATCCTAGTAGCCTCAACTGGAACCTCATAAGGTTCCTGAAACAACTCTCTAACTCTGACACAGTTAACAGCTAGCGCTGTGGCGCAGTGGAAGCGCGCAGGGCTCATAACCCTGATGTCCTCGGATCGAAACCGAGCAGCGCTATTGTTCTTTTTTTACGTATGCAACATTCTGCCCATTAATTATGTGGTCTTACACTTGTTATCTTCAATACCGGGAGTTGTATTTATGTTTGATCCTTTATTTAAAGTGTGAATAAACAGGCTTTGGTCTACAAATTGTAAAGCTGGTAGTTTTAGACATACCTACTAATCTGGTATCGTTTTGATAAGACATGACACTTCTCGCCTGTTTCTATAGAAAGATGCTCCCTTTATTCACAGATATAAAACAGAATACTAATATACAAAGTAGCGAATAGAGACGTCTATGCTCGGGTTATGCGCTGCGCGAATGTGAACTCACGAGTGTGAGCTAACTCGCAGATATGGCACGTGCATTGTATTCGGGTTCAAATACCGCCACTCGAGCTAACGATAAAACTCTGGCTTATTCACGTTCAACCCGTACTCAGACAACGCCGCACTGAGATCCTCCATTGTCAAGACAATCTTTGCTTGGTTGGCAGTCGAGCCACCGCCGGAAGACGTGCTCCCTGCCTGCTGCGACGCAAGTAGCTGCCGCGCCTTGGCCTGCGAGTTTGAGACCGACGCCACCGAGCGGATGCGCGAAAACTCGTATGCGTCTGTCGCGATATCTGAGATGAACTTCTGCGTTGCCAACGCCAACACACGCTTAATCTTGACGTCACTGCAGTCGAACCCGTTCTTGGCCAAGTAGTAGTCAGTGACCGCATCTGGAATGATCGGAGCAAAGTCATCCATCATGTCCACAATCTCCTTGAGCGTTTTGTCCTTGCGGCTGAGCTGGGGCAACTCGGGCACCATGTTGCCGTTGAGGTCCTCGCCTTCGCTTTCATCAAAGAGTGCGTCTTCCTTGTTGATTTCCTCGTCCACGTCCATGTCTAATTCAGACGGCGGGGCTTCGTTGGCGTCAGGCATGATAGATGTATAAGTAGGTCTAGCTGTGGGTGGGAAGCTGGCGTGGGAGAGATGTCAGGGCCGTTAAGGATTGCATTTTGGCTGTGTGCATATGCACCTGTGTGTGACGCACGACCCCAGCCAGAACAACTGTGTACCAGCTAGATAGAGCCAATTCTCCGTATATTGAAGTATGACTCGAGGGAGTTTACAGTTTATTGTTACTTTTTTTTGTTGAATATAGAATGTATGTGGGTGTTGGCGAAGACATGGTGGGACTATGTGGGGGTCTCGGCTAAGATGCATAAGCATGTATACCCCACTTGCGCTTAACATCTCTGTTTAGCGGCCGTTTGGGGTGTACCAAAGACCAGGAGTTCCGGTTCCTCTGTTATAACGCAGTCTTCGAAGCCATATACATTCCCCTTTGACTGCTTGTTTAGAGTCCGAGCGGTGCTCTCCCTCTACACGAGTCCAGACCGCTTCACTTTCCTATTAAATCTCCACTTCGCCTTCGTTTTCCACGTTTCCCGGAACCTTTGACTCTCCGCCGGACAACTCCGACGGCGGTGTACTTGCGAACGGATTCCCCATCGTGTGCAACAAGGCGGAGGAACGTGAGTCATAGGAGATATCGCCCTTTCTGGACGGCGGTGATCCTTCGTTCTGTTCTGTGGCCTCAGAGTCATCCTCAATCGTGTGATGCGTATCGTGATTAGCGGGCGATAGGGCAAATGGCAACACACCGCTCGCGTTATCGTCCTCATAGATCCTCAACGGAGACGAGGGCATGGTGCGGAAACTTTCATTGGCCTTAGTCATCGGGGTTTCCTTGTCACGTTTCGGAATATCTACGGGGGTCTGTTCGACGGGTGTGGCTTCGAGCCCCTTGCTAAGTGGTTCGGAAAAAAGCTGGTCCATCCAGGACGGGTCCTCGTCTTCCACCGCCATTGCTCCGTCAAACTTGTATGGAGAGCCACTCAACGACACGGGAGACGATTTGCTCTTTAATGACCGCCGGATCAAGTTCTCAAATTCAACCATCGCATCGTCACTCCCCATCTGCAACATCTGGTCCAACTGTACGTCTTCCACCGCCGGGGGATGGTGTAGAGGGGTGTGGTTTTCCTTATTCGCTTCGTCAAAATCGCTGAGATTGATCACTGTGGTGTTGCATTTCGCCGCCAACTGCGGCAACGGATCGATATCCGTCATGGGGTTGGTCGGGTCGGCGGTCTGGCCCTCTAGAAATGTGAAATCATGGATAAACGAGTCTGTAGGGGTAGTGGTGTACGGGCTGGAGAAAGCTGGTTTTGTCATGAGCTTCGAGGCCACTTTAGAGTTGAGAGTGGTAGGAGTCCGCGAGGGAGGCAACATGGATGACTTTCGGCCTTCCATTGGGGTTGAAACAACCGGCGGGGGGGATGAAGGGGCATTGATAGCTCTGACCTCGGGACTATGGTTCTTGGCACTACTCTTGTAGAGCTTCTTCCGGTGGTACTCCCGAACGGTCGTTCGAGACCGCATCTGGCCCTTGGCCTTGGCATATTCCTGGCACAACGAACACATGAAGTTGTCGGACTCCCCCGGGAGGTTGCGGCGCCGCATTGCAAAGTAGTACTCGCGCACACGCTCCGCCTGCGAGCTAAAGTCGTACCAGATGATGGTATCGCTGAGATGACAGTTGAAACATGTAATGCCTTCGTTTTGCGCAAAGAGCCGGTCGTACCTCTCCGCGTCAAAGTACTCGCTCATGACCACTGGGTTCCGCGGGGGCTTGGTCTGTACGAGCGGAACCGTTTCGTCCTCGCTTTCCTCGGACGCTTCGGAGATGTAATCGTCCGAGTAGAACGTCCGGCGCTTCTTGCGGCGGCGGTTCCTGGTGCTCAGCTCCTGAAGCTGGATCCTTCTAGTTTCCAACTCCTCGGCAGTTTTCTTTTTGTGGTCTAACTCGGCAATCTTGTCGAGAACGTTGGGGTACCAGCCCGGGGCGCGGCTCTTTATGGCGGTGTTAAAGATGCCTACGCTAGGCATGGACTGGGTTCTTGTGGCCTTGGTGATGGGATTCAGCGCGGGGTTGGGACGATTCGCAAGGATGTTGGCTATGTTCGATGGGTTTCGGGAAGGATTCGTCTGGAATTGGCCCATTGGTGGGGTCGCCTCTCGGGGCTTTATTTGGATCTGTGAAACACTGTGCGACTTCTGCGCTCTGGAAACATCCACTTTGTTGAACCTGAGGCGCACCTCAAGCGTTTTGGTCTTTCTCCCAGTTAGCAATGCATTGAGATTCGAACAAACTTTTCCTGGAATCATGATCATCTGCGGCTCATCGTCTTCATCGTCGCTTTTGCCACCGTTTTGCAAGATCCGTGACACTCTTCCGTGGCCGACCAACGGCTGGTCCGGCTCAAACACGTCCGTGGCGTATATGGCGTAGTCCCTGGCGGGGTCCGCAAATAGCTCGGGTGATGCTTCCATCACACAGCTGAGGATCAGAAGGATGCTGATGACCCCCAAATCCATGTCGTCGACTTCTATTGTGCGTACCGGCTGTGGCTTCTTGGAGCGCGCGAGAAAGCTGGTGTGGTCGTCGAATGAGTAGAGGATTTTCAATGCCATCTGGTGTGTCTCCGGCATGGGACTCGGTGAGCCATCACGCTGGTATGACATTGTGGAGAGAGTGGGTATAATGGGGGTGAATGCGGTCGTCAAACGTGGTGTAAGACTATGACTGTAACACAAAACGGGACGGTAAGCAGTTTGTTACTATAGACGTTCTGTTGTGTTTGGTAGGACGTTTGATGAATCTCTGCTTGTAGGGGACGTCGTTTTGTCTTGCTGAAGTGTATTTCGAAAACTGTGTTTAGAGTTTGCGAGTGTGATGAAAATGTAAACAATGAATGTTGCGGGTTCTGGTCAGCGAAGTGGTCGCGTTTTGCTGTGGTTTTGAGTTTTTCCTGTATTGTGCGTTTTGAGTGAGAGAGAAAATATTCCTGCTTTGTTTTGATCTCTATAAAGTGAGCCAAGCCTGTCAAGCTGTGGTTTGCAGACACTTTGTTGGTGGCTCAGACCTTTCACATCCTGCATACATGCCCCAGGGGAAAATATCGTGTTTAACGCGAACGCGTTTCGGTGCTAAACGCGAACCCAGTGGGAGGCTTCTATCACGTGACAGGTGCGGCAACGCGTCCGGTGCAGTACATTGTTGTTTTTGTTTTCCTTTTTTCGGACTATAGTGCATAAATTGAGTGTGACCACTTACGGGGCACGAGCGATGAGACAAGTGGGTAAATAATCTGACCGTAGAGAGTGACTCGTTCTCTGATATAGCACCTTCGAGGTGGTTGCTCTGTTGAAGTATACTTTGATAGTGCAGATCTGCTAGCCCTTTTGGGAAGCAGAGGACGATCTAACGCGTGCGAATTTCACATCTCGAGTGCCAGTGCTGCGAGTCATCACGTTCGCAGGGTTAACACCCAGATTTCCAACGGCTCGGTGGCATTGTCATATTTTAGTTCGTATACCGTACCAAAACAAATAACTCTTGTAGAGATCTAAAACTTTATTCCTTTGTCATAAAGATGCTTTTCCGTGATTGATAAATTAGTAATTATTCCAAATTTCTAATGGAGTATTTCAGAGTGATGGACCGTCATTATCGTGTACAGGGATTAGTGACGCTCAAGCAGAGTTATTGTATGTTTCTAATAGTCATAACGGCCTTGATCATGCATACAGATTTGAAGTACAATCCACCGAACCTTCTATTCATTACTTTCTCTTAAATTGACGTGACTCATCCTCTGCGTAAGCATTTATAGCTTTTCTGTCAAGCGGGGTGTTTGGCTCAAATATCAGCGTATGCCCGCTGGATAGGTCATTGCCTTTTGCCAATAGTGTTACTATAGAAACATGTCTACGATAGAGGCCAGGTGGCAGATATTCCGTCTGGAGTCGACCAATATTACTGTAGACTCAAGAGTCTATTCAAACCTAGCCGTATCTTGGATAAGAACATATCCGTTCAGCTTCCATTGGTCCTTGTACATCCGCTTGGCCAACTTCGGGTCGATAAACTAACAATATCTTGAGGTAAAACCCTCTGGTGACACTCTATTCTGGCTGTTGCGTGGAGTACCCTAGAGTTGGCTTCTCTGAGGCGTCTTCTAAGACTCCCATTGGTCAGACATGTATCTCAATCTATTACAAACCGGAAAGACTGCTGCAAATCGGCGCTCTTAACAATAAATCCCGGGAACATTACCATATCGGGAATCTCCCCGGTCTACGCCCCTACACTATCCGCATCTCATGAGTCTGTACGACTAATTCTACACAGTGGGTAGCCTAGCGGTAGCGTTTACGGTAATTTCTATGTATTATTCATCTATCGGACCTCCGTTTTGCCTACAAGTTCTATTCGATAGCCCGCCTCGTTTCGGAACAATCCCTTCCAATCTGCACGAGTTGTTCCGGGGTCGGCACTTCCGGAGACTGCCAAAAGTTGCCAGGTTAGATAACACACGGTTACGTTTCTTAGACCACATGTTCTCGAGGGAAATTTCAACTAGGAAAGGCGATCTATTGTCAGTTGAACCAAAAAAAAATCCATTAAAGACAGGCGACAAATTCTACTGTGAAATATGAAGGGAAGTTCCCTCAATGGTTAGTCGGCGTCAGGCGACGCACAAAATTTTCCTTCAGGCGAATTGCTTTTTCTGCAGCCTCGTCACTAATCAGGATCCACACCCTGCACAGAAGCGTAATCATTTGGGAAAAACTTCGGCTTGCTTAGGGAAAGCGATAGCCTAGAGCCACTACCTATTCGTTCGTATTTCCAAGTCTTGAGGCATATTCTAGAAAGATACAAGTCAACTCAGTTGTCAAACTTCTCATAACAGCTAATCCCGCTCTTTTTTATATTTCCAGCTCAGTTTTGTTTCCATCTCATCCAGTCTGGTTCACTTATCTTTAATTCAGTAGACAGCCTGAACTCCAGATCCCAAATTGACAATCGCAGTCGAAACATCGTTGGTTTAATCCTTATCCTTTGGCGTCCAAATTCTCAGCCGTAATCGTTAGGCTTTATTTCACTCTACAGCCACCCTCATCCTATTTATTATGGTGATTTTCAAAAAAGACACGGCCAAGTCCGCGGCACTCTTCGACATTCGCCTCAAGAACCTCGACCGCGATGTGTTGTTACTCAAAGGCCCTCCGAGCGAGGCGAACGCGGCGCTTCTCCTGGGAAAAATCGTGCTCTCACTCTTGGAACCAGTGAGCATCAAGCGGCTCTCGCTCAAGCTCTACGCAACGCTCCGGCTCAACTGGACGGAAACGGTAACGACCGCCCAGGGCACACAAATTCCCAGACCAATCAAGTACGAAAAGCGGATCTTTGAGCTCGAATGGGATGATTTCGACTTGGACGGGTCAGGACGGATGAATAGCCTCGGCGTCATTGACCCCATCTCTGGCCTCACCTCGCCCGGACGTGGCCAATCGCCAGGGCTAACTCGGTCGGGAAATTCTTCCTCCTCCTCCCTTATAAACCTCCGCATGTCCTCCACAAACCTCTCGGGAGGTGCGACACCCCACGGTAACACCTTGCCCCGTGGAAACTACGACTTTCCCTTCAGTACAATCCTCGATGGCTCCATTCCCGAGTCCGTGGAGGGGCTTCCCGGAGGATCACTCGTATACCGCCTCCAGGCGAAGCTTGAGAAGACTTCGCGGTTCTCGACGGCTATCGTTGCCAAAAAGCACTTGAGGGTCGTGAGAACCGTCACCACAGACGCGGTGGAGCTCTCTGAGTCCGTGGCGGTCGATAATACCTGGCCTAAGAAGGTCGAATACAGTATCAGCTTGCCGTCACGGGCAGTGGCAATTGGCTCCAGCGCTCCGGTAAATATTCTCCTCGTGCCGCTCCTCAAGGGCTTGAAACTAGGCAATATCTACATGTCATTGGTAGAGTACTACTCCTACTGCGGCGTGTTTGGCCCAACGTGCAACCGCGAGCGGATTGTGTGCGAGAAGACGATCCCCCTGGCGAACGACCTGGATGAGGAGTACTACAGTGAGGACAAGTGGGAGGTTGACACGTTGCTCAACGTGCCGGCGTCTTTGTCCATGGCTACCCAGGATTGCGATATCGCCAGTAATATGAAGGTCCGTCACAAGTTGAAATTCACCATTGGTTTGGTTAATCCGGGGGGTCACACGTCGGAGCTCCGTGCTTCCATTCCGTTGTCGTTGTTTATTTCGCCATTTGTGGCCATCACCGCAAAGCATGAGGTTGATCCCTCGCTCGAAACCGAAGATAACATTGGTGCCGCGCACATTGAGGCGAACGAGGAAGATATCTTATTTGCCATTGATGACGAAGGGACGGTGGGAGACGATACCCATCGTCTGCTGGAGAGAGTCGATAGTTCAACCAACTTGGCGTCCCACACCCAGGGAATGATGGCCCCGCCGGTATATCTGAAGCACATTTACGACAGACTCTGGAGCGATGTGAGTCCGGGCGAGTCACCACTAGCCTCAGGTTCGGTTACCCCGGCATGGCCGGGAAGTACTAGCTCCGGTGGCAGCACCTACGGAGGGGTTCTCTCGTCCAGCGCTGGTAGCAGCGCCCAGGCAGGAATTCTCTCGCCCGTGCACATGGGTATGTCGCCCATGGATAGCGCCGCCTCCATGCACTTGGCCGAGAGCTTGCGTAAGTTGCACTTGCAGCGGCAAGAGAACCCCCAGGCCGGGTTGTCCTTTTCGGTCGGAGGAACCAGCGCCGCGGCAGACGCGCGTAGCCGCGCGGTATTTAGCTTGGATAACGACGAGGAGGAGCACAGCTCTGGCGCGCAAACGCCGATCCCGGGCGACCAAGCCCGGCGATTCTCCCAGGGCGAGTCGAGACACCCAGCTCAGCTCTTCTCGCCTGGGGTTCTCTCGCCCGCGCAGCACTTGTCACGATCTAACTCCACCAAGGACTGGGACGCGACGGTATTATCGCGCGTTCCGTCGTACACCGCAGCACTCCGCACGGAAGCGGCCGAAGCGGTCTTGACACCCACGTACGAGCCGCCAATTCCCGGCTCGTACTTTGCGTCGGTCGCGCACACACCATCTCCACCACTCGAGAGCCATGTGCGCACGCACACCAAGACACACATTGGCTCGCGCACACTGAGCGCGTTGAACCTCCGCGGTATTCGCGGGTATGGGCATGACCCTGCGAGCAAGTCGCACGGTTCTTCGAGTGCATCGTCACCGCTGCACTCCACGGATGTCTCGTCGACAAACTTGGCGGGGCTCCACTCCGCCGCGTATTCGACGTCGCCAACGCTGACGATTCCTATCCCGCTGCATCACATACGCGCGGGCACAGCTTCACCGATGGGAGGCGCGATGAATAGCGCGAACACGAAGCACATGTCGTTATTCCACTTGGGGCACCGGTCCAAATCATCAATGGGTCTCTCGTTTTTGCACAAGAAGGAGTCGAAATAAATGGGATTGTGGCAAGACTAAATTGAATTTAAGTGTTGGCTGTAGGAAGGATGCAGATATGTTTTGGGTAATTAGAAATACCCATAGGCGTATTTATTCAATCTTATTGTGTAAATGTTTGGTTGGCCGTAAAAGCGATGGGTTTTATATAAACATTAAAGTATATCTTTGCATATGCCAAACACCCAAATCGTATCAATATATTGTGCCATATACATATATTACGTATATTGCATAACACACCCTTCATTCTTCGTCGCTTTCCTCAAAACCAAAGCTAAACGCTGGGGCTTGCTCCACACCTAACTTCGAAGCAGTCAATTCGTCCCACATCTTGCTACGCACGATTTCCCTACTCGCCAACTTCTTTTTCATCTCCACCGCCTCGAGCTCTCCCAAGGATTCATACGCGGCCGCAAGGGTCAGACCCATGTCTTTGGCAAACGCTTCATTTGACGTATCAAGCAATAATTGCTCAAACATCTCAAACACTGGCATCAACAAACACTGGCCGTTCATCAAGGTCTCGCCGCAGTCCTCCTCCTCAAGGTGACCCACGGTCTGCGTTTGCTCGGTGGCCTCGAGGTAGCGACGGAACTGCACCAATCTGAGCCCTAGAGGTGACTCCTTACCCTCTTCACCGGCATACCTCTGTAGCACGCGCTCCAACTTGGCCTTGACATCCGCGGGCCGGAACCCGGAGATCTGGTGGTTCTTGTTTTTCAAGAAGTTGAACACCTTTCCCAACAGCGGCCGGGGAACAAAGTTGTGGGTCAAGGCCACACAGTCGTCAATATTGATAACAGAATGCCACCAACCCGCTGGAACGTGGATACACTCTCCAGGATACGTGACCCCGATGAGACAGTTCCCGGAATCGTTGGAAATCTTTATCGTATCCTGGAAAAAGCCCCCGATAAACCACTCCGCAATGCCCACCGGAGACGTCACCTCGCTCTCATCGGTGTCGGTTCCCACGCCCGGTGGGGCAAACTCCGGAGGCAACATGACCCATAACTTGCGCCCGGAAAGGGTTGTATTCCAGGCGGACGTATGGTTCGGGTCCTTGTGGAAGGTGGAGCCACTTCGGGCCGGGCCCACAATCAACCATGCGTGATCAGGGCGACACTTTAGGGCGAAGGTGCTAGTTTCAGATGCATCAGACAGATTCTTGTTGGCTTTGTCACCATCTATTTCGTCAAAAACAGTAAATAAATCATATTGGAAACACTCAGGAACACGATACTCCTGGATAAGTTCGGTCATAGCCGGGGATTGGCAGTCAAAGAGGTACAACGGTGACTCGTCATGGTTCTCCCTGAAGTACTCGGAATAAAACGAAAGCGGCCACTTGACGGCTTCCTGTCGGAACTGGACGTCTGGAAACCTCTCCACCAACGTTGCCAATGTCCATTCAGGCCACCTAGCGTCTGCCTTAGTGAGAATGAATGGCTTGGTTACCCATTCGGCGTTGTATGCATCACTGTTCATGTACGCTTCGGAGAGACGCGGAATGCGACCCCTATCGTTGGTATTCTTGCCCGCACGATGGCTGTGCTCCTCCTCCGCTAGTATATTGCGTAAAACCGTGTCATAGTCAATCGTAGAACACTGGAAGGATCGGAATAGAGTGTCACTGAAAAAGAGGTTATCGGGGACCTGGAACACCTGTTCGTGCTTGACGTACGAGGGCAAGTCCAAAAGCGTCTTCTTCCACGAGCCCTTCCAGTGCTGGATACCTAGCGGGAGCTTCGGAGCCATAAGACCCTGCTCGAGGTGTTCCTTTTCCTCCTGCAGTGCCTTTTTGATGTACAACTTTCGCCAGAGCTCCTCGTCGTATGTGTAGCAGTACATCAACTTCGACACGTGACTGAGCGCAAGGAGGTCCTTCGGGTTGTCAAAGTAGGATAAAAAGTCCACTATGAGCTCGTCAGGGAACCCAGAAAGGTGTCCAAGCTGTGCCCGTCTGAAGTCGACGCATTGGGCCGTGGTTTTGCTGTCAAGGAGGAGCGAGTTACCGGACGGTCTGATGTTGAGTGGATGCCTCGGGGTGACGGTGTGGCGTGGCACCGAGCGCTTGATGCCAAACACTTTTTGTTTCTTTGTTGGAGGAGAAAAGGTCATGGTATGGGTTTTATGGAATAAGTGAACAAGCCTGGTTGAGTATTGCCAGCCTTGTAGAGATGTCCTACGTGCGCATATGCATGAAAAATTTTAGAAATATTTCCACGCCATTCATGCAGGGCTGATCGGTGGTATACCTGGAGGTTGGTATGAGGGATATTGAGAATGAATTTCAAGCTAGATGAATATAAAGCGTCTTACAGAGTATATGTAGAGTATTGAGTATAGCTTGTGGAAGAGCTGTGTGTGGAGGATAAGATGTTACATAAATACTGGCGAGAACGATTCAGGTCAGCATGTAAGTTGAAGTATGAGGTATAACACAGCATTTAGATGTCTGGCTCCAAGAATTATCACCCGTAAGTAACATCACCCGTACATCGACACGGCTTCTCTATAGGCTCACGCTATGCAAAAATACCTACATCTATTCGATACCGTCTTCAACCCCCAGACTTTAGTTCGTAATATACCCTCCGGACCTCCCCTCCACTCTCCATATTCAAAACATTTAGATTATATCCAATCTATATACAGGTATGCTTGGCGAGCTCTATTTCAACTCCTGTCTCTTCTTAGGACTGACGGTTCTGTCGAACGGTAAGGTCTTGGAACGGGTCAAGATGTACTGCGGCTTCATTTCCTCCTTCAAAAAGTCGTCGTGCTTCAAGAACTTGCTCGGATATAAAATCTTCTTGTCGGTTGTATCCATTTCCAAGGTTTCGGGGGTCTTAGTAGGCGCCACACCGCCCTGGTCCTTCTTCAACATTGCTTTGATTTCGCCAAAACAGCTCATGCACAAGGTGTGCTGTCTCTTGAAGTTACCACATGCAGGGCATCTCCCCAACGAGTCCAAAAATTTGACGTGTTTGTCGCTTGGCGCCAATTGTCTTCTACGTCTTTTCATGTACGACGTCTTCTTCTTTGGCGCCGCAAGGAAGATCCCGTTGTCTATGTATATTGGCTTGTTGCCGGCCTGTCTCTGGGCAATCTGTTCTGCCAACCTTTCCAACGGGGTGGCCATGGAGAGCTCGGCATCGGCCTGGTGCTGCTTCTCGGTGATTTGCTGGGCAGTCTTCTTGCCGTTGATGGAAATCTCCAACTGGATGCCTGGTAAACGGGGCATCATACCGGCAAATCTACCAGAAAGCGCTGGGAGACCGCTCAAAGACGAGAGACCGGTTTTAAGCGCAAAGGACATGGTTCTTGTGATGGGTGGATCGGGTTGGCGAGACTGGAAGTTGTCAGTTTTTCAGCCGCTTTTTTTTTTCACTGGAGGTGATGGGGAGTGTGGTTGGTGCACGTATCACGTGACTGGATGTGGCACGACCCGGCTACGGGCTTGCCTGGGCAGAGTCTGCACACCAGCTTACAAGCTTAGATTTAATATCCGACAGTGTTTCTGCCGTCAATCAACAATTATCATGGGTATTTTGAGGTTACCAATGGTTATGGCATGATCTGGTAAAGCGAAACTGCTGACGCTTTGGAAGGAGAATGTTTAGGAAATTTACGAAAAGAGCACGTCAAGGTAGGCGTTGGGTTATACCAAATGCCCTGGCATACCTTGAGAATGGCGAATTATTGACGATAGAGATGGCGGGAGCTATGAATAAAAAAAGTTCGACAGGGGTGGAGAGTAAACCATATGGGGAAGGCCCTAATGGGTCTAGTCAATTATATGACTCGAGACTGACAGGCCAATGCATATACATACTTCTGTTGGAAGCAGAACAGTAGATTGGGGTCATTTCGAGATGAGCATTCCTCAATTTATTTTAGACATAATGGACTCTAAACAGACTCCTGTAACTGATTTTTGGAACAAGGATCACAAAACTGGAGCAAATAATTACTTTAAAACTATCGATGGCTCATAGATATCGGTGTTATCTTATGTAGGGTGTTTTCCGTAAGAGATCAGTCAGTATGCCACTTCCCTCCACGGTAGGTCAGCTTGGCACTGCCGATGTTAAACCGTATATAATCAAATATATACATGTAGCATTGAAAGGCTTACGACTGCCTGATTGAGCATATACCTAAATTCACAGAATAAAACACCTTAAACCATGGTGTAAGAAGGGAAGCATCTTCTCGACCAGCTATTCACCTTCCATTTGGTGATTCCTTGATGGGTCCCAATCAACATGTACGTGCCCTGCGGAGTATCCAACCAGTCCAACCCACAAATCTCGGTGTCAGAGTACTCATACGCGTCTCTGGCAATGGTATCCGGTAAGGCTAGCGGTGTTTGCTGGCTGGTTCTTTCATCGTCGGAGAGGACCTGGCCCTCTAAGTTAATGGCATTCTGGATCCAAGGATCATACGTGGCTGTGGACGCTCTTCTATAGATGCGTCCACCGTTACGGTTGTTGTGGACTGACGGATATCCTGTTGCACCTGGGGTAGCGGTCATACCGCTGCTATAGAATGGTGAGGGCTCGGTGGATGAGGGGATTGGGGAGGAGCCCGATGAGTTGGAGACGGTGAACGTCCCGTTCCCCATAAGGCTGAAGGCATATGCACTAGGCGTCGCGTTGGCCATCACGTAGTCGTAATCGTACAAAATAGGTTCATAGCCATGTCCTGATGCGCTTTCGGGGATCCCCACTTTATTGGCCATCGGCATGATAACCACCTGGTGATTCTGGAAGTTTCTCGTGTCGACCAAATGGACACGGCTAACGTGTTCGGAAATAATAAGCAAGTCATCATGCAGAGGACTGAACTTGGCCACCCTGAAAGCCCCCTCACCGTACTGGGCTCTCTTTCTGGAGGATAGCACCTCTTGCAAGGGTATATCCGTCTGCCTTACGTCGTAAATCAAATTCGTACCATCCTGGAAACAGCACGTGAACAACGTCCCCGATCGGTTGAAGCTCGTCGAAAATCCACAGTCCTGTCTGGTGGTGATTATCTTCTGTCCTTTTGTGGAGTTTCCCGTACCACTACCGAAAGCTTCCTGGTCTAAAAGTAGGATATCGCTCGAGTCCCCACAAGCCACCACCATTTTCTGGTCAGGCGACAACGACGAATGGTTCAAAGCTGATTTGAAGCGTTTGGAGCATGTCACCTTAATCTCACGGTTGCTGATGTCAACTCCATATAACCACTGATCGTTGTTGCAGACGTGTGAAATAAACTGGTTCGGAGAGCCGGCCAACGGATTCACCGACACCGAGTTGTTTATGAGAGACCCGATTGGAATCGTTTCCAGGATTTCTGAGTGTTGGTTATGCACGGAAAACAACCCTTTTCCGCTGTGGAGAGACCCGTGGCTGGCTAGACCCCCACTGACAAGCACACCATTAGCCTCTTTGAAGCATCTGGGGCCGTATTCTGTCTTAAAGACACTGGTCAGTTTGCGGGTGACTAAATTCAAGCTTTTGATGGTGTTGTCGGAGGAGTACAACACGTTCTGGCAGTTGACACTGGATGGTGTAACCAAGTCTCTCAACTGCCAATGTCTGGATGGTTAGGACCGGAAAGATGGAGAAATCTGAGGCATACTTACGTTACGGAAACCTTTGCCGGGTAGAATTTGGATTTTGTGTAGAGCAAGGGTGCGTGTCTTTGCAAGGTATTACCGTCGGTATGTGTGTCCGACCTTTATATCTGTTAGTAACTGAATATCATCATCATAAGTGATAAGAGTAGCTTCCTGGATCGACACATGACATGCATCATAGACAGGAAACAGTCCGATACACATACTGTAGAGTGGAGTCAATGGTCATTGTGTTGTTTTGTTTGTGGGTCGAGAGCAATATCAGGTACCAGTGAAGTGGACCACGATGTATTTATATCAGTGGTGCAGGACAGTGCAGTGTGACGTATAAAAAACCCATTCCAACTCTATCCCTGTTTCTTTTTCCGCAGCATTTGTGGCGTGTGAGTCGCCCGTAGCTTATCGCTTTCGCGGAAAATACGAGACATAGGCATGCTATCAAGGGCAGCACCGTGTAGATAGGGACGGACCTATTGCACCAATCCAGCAAAGATCCATTGAATTATAATGCAAACTTCCTGCTTTCTATTAATACGTGGGTCAAACCGTTAATGCAAAAGTATGGCTATAGGAATATGGTACTGTACATAATCAGCAGTCACTAATGTATGTTTGGTATAGATTGCTCTTGCATCTGATTGTTTCACGCCGTTGTCAACCACACTCCCTTAAAGCTCGGAGAAACATTCATTTTAGACACTACATTATATTCGCAATAAAATATAATATCTGTGATTGAATTTTGCTCATCCATACTTGTGTATCATCATCCCTTTACGACTCGGGGCCAGCCGCGCGATTATGCACCGCGATAAGATTCCCTTGTGCTAAAACTGCGGACCTCTTGCGCAGCTCTCACGTGACGCTTGCGGGGTTTGCCATAGAAGTATATGAAGGCTGCACATGTACCTGATAGATAACTTTGGCTAGGTGGAAGTTATGGGAAGAAAATACAAAGAGGAAGAGATTGAAAGTCTTTACGAGATATTTTACGACTTGGCGATGCCAACCAGCCCGGGTGATTTCCAGTGAATACCTAGCCAAAGTCATCTATCAGCTGGATGTATGGATCAGATACGTATGCAGCTAGAGGGGACCATCTTGATCCTGCAGATAATTTGAAATTAGCCCCATTGCACAGGATTTGCACAAGTGTCAATCACTTTCAGACAGGTGCGAAACCACTTTATGACGAGCCATTCACCTTCTATTTAGTAATTCCTTGATGGGTCCCGATTAACATGTACGTGCCCTGTGGGGTATCCAACCCATAAATCTTAATGTCCGGTAAGGCTTGTGGTAGTTGTTGGTTGGTTCTTTCATCGTCGGAGAGGACCTGGCTCTTTAAGCTAATGGCATTCTGGAGCCAAGAATCGTACGTGGCTGTGGACGCTCTTCTATAGATGTGTTTACCGTTATGGTTGTTGTGGGATAACGGAGATTCTGCAGCACTACTGTTGTAGAATGGTGACTGCTTGGTGGATAAGAGGACTGAGAATGTTCCGTTCTCCGTCAGGATATGGTCATATGCATTAGGTGTTTTATTGGTCATTACGTAGTTGTAATCGTACAAAATAGGTTTAAAATCATGTTCTGACACACTTTCGGGGATCCCCGCTTTATGTTTCTGATACCGCTACCGAAAGCTTTCAGGTCTAAAAGTAAGATCACGTTTGAGTCCCCGAAAGCCACCGCTATCCTCTAATCAGGTGATGGCGACAAATGGCTCAAAGCTGGTTCAAAGCTGGTTCAAAGCTGGTTCAAAGCGTTTGGAGCATGTCACCTTAATCTCACAGCTGCCGACGTCAAATCAAATTATAATACATACTTCCTGCCTTCTACTAATACGTGATTTAAACCGTTGATATAAAAGCATGGTTATAGGAATATGATACGGTAAATACCTAAAAGTTCGTATAATATCAATCAGGAATAGTGCCAAAGGCCCCTTCCACCCATCCGTATAATACCCTTTGGTTTGTAAATACACCTTTGAAATCACCTGCTCGAAAAATAGCCCTATGGTACAGACTCAGTAGTGCCATACCCGAAAACTCAGTAGTGCCATACCCGAAAACTCGGCAATGTTATAGCCGAGCCGCCACTCCTTAATAGATACGTACAGGACAAGTTTGCCGTTATCCACGTAACACTCCATTCTTTCACAAACACAGCTTTATCACAACCCGAAATAAAAGGCCAACCCAACAACTCAGCAAAGCACAATATACCCATATCATGTTTCGAGATAGAACAAACTTGTACATCTCGTACCGCCGCACCTTCCCTCACCATTCCAAGACCAAGTCGTCCCAAGTGGACAGATTCCGGTCAATCAACCGCGAGGAGGAGGGGTTGGGGCTTATGAACTACAGAGACGATGGAAATGACATGATTTTAGATGAATTCCAATCGCCGTTGCTTCCGCCAGCGTTTCACGATGTGGGCATGGAGATCGATGACTCTTTGAAGGCGATCGACCAACAGATAGCCAAGTTGAACTCCCTCTACAAGAAAAACCTCCTCCCGGGCTTCAATGACAGATCGCTGGACGAGGAGGAGATTGAAAAGTTAAACTACATGATCACACGAAAGTTCCAGATCTGCTACAAGTTGATCAAGAAGTTTGACTCGTTGAAAGAACACTTGACGGTGCAGAATGAGTTGGTCATGTTGGAAAACATGAAGAAGAACTATGCCATTAAGGTCCAGCTGACAACCTCTACGTTCCGAAAGTTGCAGAATAACTACATCAAGTTTCTCAAGGATGACGAGTTCGAAGAGCAGCCGTTGAACAAGAATAGCGATGCCATGCTCCAGGAGGAGGACGACGAGTTATCCTCAAAGACCATCGAAAACTACTCCAGACAGGCCCTAAATCAGTCTCAGTCTATGATGCAACAGCAGCAGGGGGTCAGTCAGAGCTTGATCCAACAGAGAGAACGTGAAATCAGCTCTATCGCGCAGGGTGTGCTCGAAGTGTCCACCATCTTCAGGGAGATGCAGAATATGGTGATTGACCAGGGAACAATTTTGGACAGAATCGACTACAACATGGCGAACGTAGTGCATGAGTTGAAGGGGGCTGACAGGGAGTTGGACAAGGCTACAACCTACCAGAAATCGACCCAGAAATGCAAGATCATTTTGTTGTTAGTTTTGCTCTGTTTCATGCTATTAATGATTGTCATTGTGAAACCGAAACACACAACCACCATCGTGGAGGGAGATAAATCCAAACCTCACGCCACCGCGACACCCACCCCCACGGAAGGAACAAAGGAGCTGAACCGTATTGGCGTAGATCCTGTTGGCCAATTGATATAGACATCGGTGGGGCAGAGACGGTATATTAATCTGTACCACGATGGATTATGTTTCTTTCCTACACGGTTTAATTTGCGGGCAGTATACCTATGCATTATGGTACAGTGTAGAACATAATCCACTTGACGGGGACTATCAGGTTGAAAGCACAGTCTTAGGTACACACTGCCAGGTGAAGGTCTAGTACTGACCTGTGAACCATCATCGGACTTTTTAAATCTGGTTTAACGGTGAGTTGACTATCGGACCTTTTTTTTTATCGAACTTAATAGAGGGTCGACCAAGCTAAAATACAATAGGCTAGGGTGCCAGGTGGTACACTACCCTAACTGTGGGTAGGTATATGACCTGCATCTGATAGCAGATCCCAGTTGGTGCATAAAATTGTGGAAGCCGTGTAGTCAACGTGGGTATTGCAATTTTCGCGACTACTGACACAGCCTCGTTTACGGACCGATGCAGGAATGGACACGAAGAGATCCCCTAAAACGGTCTGAATAATAAGTATTTATCTCTAGACCGGCAGATACACCAATAGGAAACACGCGAGACATAAAAACTTTTAGAAATATTTGACGGCAGTGTCGCAATCAGTGGCACCAAGTACAGCTCGCTATGCATGTAATTACACAGCCATACGGCGCTAGTGTGTTTTGACATTTCCCATACACCTGATATATTGTCCCTTGCATTCGTTTCTTGTCTGCTCTAGTATTCCCAAAGAGGCCGACCCAGACTCCCAGAAAGCATGGGCTGCACTTTAGCGCTTCCCATTCGGCACTACCATGTGTATGGTTGACATTTTTCCGTGCCCAGTAAATACCGCCGCTCATCCCCCCCATGAAATGCGCTATCTAGACACAGCTAATACCGTGTTTTAGCCTACATGACTACGCGAATCCCAATGCCTCACAGATTATGTATGGCTCATGCACCATTATTTCGCCGGCCACATTGCTTTGTGTGCATCTCCTGGACAAGACCAGTGAATTTTGGCTCCCATTTTGTTTAGATCCGTTGAATCATCTTTCCAACCCCAGAAAACATCGTACTTTTTTTTGTCCCGTCTCCCTAAGACACTTTATTCACCACGCTGAGACTCAATATAGCTTTCTTTTAACCCTTCTCAAGCATAGTTTGTGCTGCATATCGCTTTTTGTGTCCCCTCCGAACACAACTCTAAAACCAGACATCTGTGTGCCTCTTATATTGGCTCTCCTGCTCTCAGTTTAAACACTACATTAAAAGTTTTTGTCCAAGATGCCCAGATTTTTGGCACTTCTCGGGACGGTGTTCCAGATCGCCGCCCTCGTCTTCCTTATCCTTGCAACGCTTTCGTCTCCGGTCACAAGAACGTTTAGCCTTGCTAATGACAGTCAATTCACCTACGGTGTTTTCGGCTACTGCTCCGTCGCTACTTCGACCAATGCTGTTTCCTGCTCCAAGGCAGCAGCCTCGTACCGGCCGTCTCAATTGGGGACGACTTCTGACTGGCTCTTCAAGTCGGGGGCAAGAGACACCTTGGCCAAGATGTTAATTGTTACCCCAATCGCTGCTGGTATGACCTTATTTTCCATGTTATGGAACACTATTTGTGTGTTTTCTGGTGCCACCAAGGGTTCCGGGGCCTGGATTGTTGGTCTCATCCTTGCTGTTCTCGTTACTGTTTCGACCATCTTTGCCACCCTCGTCGTGGTATTTTTGTTCCATCCTCATTTGACCTGGAGTGGCTGGATTTTAATCGGATGCTCCGTGTTGAACATACTAGCCATTATTATCTTTGCCTTGTTTGCGTTCCCCCGTGAAGACGACAACGACAACGAGTCACTCGGAGACTTGACTCCACTTGGAAAGACAGAACCGGACTATGTGTTTTCCTCTGGCCCTGATACCGGCTATCAGGCTAATAACTTCCCGCCGCCAAAGCCATACCTGCCACTCTCGGGTGAGGCCAAGGAGGATGCATACGACGTTGACACCTCTAGGATGGACACCAACTCGACGTACGTTTCAAACAAATCTGTAGGTGGCAGCCAACATGCCGAAAAACCGGCCGTTCCAGCCACCGCCAGCGTCGATCACAGCGCCTACTCTCAGAGCGAAGCCCAGTTTGGGTTTTTGAACCACCCTGACCCACCTCTGCAGCCACCGGTTTCCAGAGGCTTAGACCAGTTCGGCGACTACAACGCGATTGGCACACCGACAAACGCAGTGGGTCTGTTTGAAGACGAGGAAAGAGATCATAGATTGCCAATCACCTCGCACACCACCGACTCTACTGATTCTGACTTTACCAGCATCTCACAGCGTGCCATTAACCCGCGCTACTACCGTGGTGGTCAGCAGGCTCCTCCTCAAATCCTCGAGCGGCCTGCCTATGGCTATCAGCCTCAACTGGCACCACCGCCAAATTTCCAGCAAGGCTATGGTCCTCCCCAGTCGCAGCAGTACTCGCGTACACAGCAGCAGTCACCGAGACACAAACAGCCGACAATCTCCGACGTTGTTCTTAACAACAACCCAGACTTCAACATCGGCGGTGTTACAGGGCGCAAGTCCAAACCGGCCCCTTTACTGCACCCTCAGAACAGGCAAAGGATGCGGGATAGCATTCCTGCCGCTTCCGCAATTTCAGACGGGCCGTACCGTTCGTTCAATTAGGCTCTAACGCTGTCTAGATTTCAACGTAGACTTTGGGGGGGATTCTGTTACTTTATTTTTATTTTCACGAGGCTCTGTGGAGTTTTTTTTTTCCTGCTTTTCTTTTTCTTTGTATCATACTTTCGCCGTCTGATAGACTTCATCTTCGGTCTGTTCTATACACTCTTGGTTTAATGTGAATTAGGATCTATCTCAATGCTAACGTAACTTATGCTAGGACCTGGGGAAAGTTTTCCGGGTTCACATGAATAAGGAAGGATGAATGGTCCTGAAATGGTTAACGTTTCGGGGTCCTGGCGACGGAGAATGCTGCGCGCTCCACTTAACATTGCCTGGAGTTGTAATATCCTGGCCAAAGATCTCCGTCGGGACTCACTATCCACCCTCCATCCTAATAGGTTAACACGGTATAATCCCCAAAATAAAAGCGAACATATATATCAGGATTAGCGCTCCATGACCTTTGTTCAGTCTCTCCGCACATCTCGCGGAGCCAGCTGGTCGGGCTCCGTACGTGCACCCACCGTTTCCTTTTGTGAGCGCTAGAACCCAAACAAACAGCTGTGCCTTGACGATTCACAGGCAAAAACGCGCCGTTTGACACATCACTTTATAGCTCTAGATTTCAAACTCAGATCACCATTGTGCCAACATGTCTGCTGCTGCCCACGACAATCACACACAGCCAAAGTCCTACGTCGGATTTGACACGATCACCTCGCAGATAGAGAGCCGTTTGCTCAAACGCGGGTTCCAGTTCAACATCATGGTTGTGGGCTACTCCGGGTTGGGGAAGTCCACCTTGATCAACAGTTTATTCAGCTCCCGCCTTGCCACGTCCAGTGGCCGCAAGAACACGTTCGATCCGATCGAAAAGACATGCGAAATCAAGGCCACGAGCCACTCTTTGATCGAGAACGGTGTCCGCTTGAACATCAACGTGATTGACACGCCCGGTTTCGGCGACCAGATCAACAACGACAAGTGCTGGGAGCCTATTGTCAAGTACATCAAGGAACAACACTCGCAGTATCTCAGAAAGGAGTTGACCGCGCAGCGTGAAAGACACATCCCAGACACCCGTGTGCACGCCGTGTTGTACTTCATCCAGCCAAACAACAAGGGCTTTAGGTCCTTGGACTTGGTGGCGTTAAAGAAGTTCAGCGAAATTGCCAACGTCATTCCGATCATCCCAAAGGCGGACTCCTTAACCCTCAATGAGCGTGCCGCGTTCAAAAAGGTCATCCAGGACGAGATCGTGCACCACAACCTCAACATCTACCCGTACGACTCCGAAGACTACGTGGATGAGGAGAGACAGATCAACGAAGACATCAAGGCATTGATGCCGTTTGCGGTTGTAGGCTCGGAACGAGAGATCACCATCAACGGCAAGACTGTGAGGGGCAGAAAGACCCGCTGGGGCGCCATAGACATTGAGGATGTGTCGCAGAGTGAATTTGTGTACTTGCGTGATTTCTTGACCAGAACCCACTTGCAGGATTTGATCGAGACAACGTCCTTGGTCCACTACGAGAGCTTCAGATCCAAACAGTTGATTGCCTTGAAGGAAAATGCCAGCGGCGCCCGTTCCTCCTCCCACATGGGCAATGCCGCCAATGGTACTGCCCCTACCGTGCCAGTGGCCCTGACTGCTGCAGGCACCACGTACCAACAGCCTGCTTAGGTCTAAAAGTTTATCTTTATTTCTCACATTTTTATCTCTAATTGTACGTTTCCTATCGATTGGTATTCATACGTGGGTAGGTTACAGAGCAGAGCTCACCCGGTGAACTGTCCTGAGGCTTCTGGTGCTAAAATCCATACTAGGCTTAATTTGTATAAATGCATTTTAATCATTGTATGGTTTACAGCCATGCACCCTACACAACTTTGCTAGACACTAAAAGTAGACTGTGAAACCCGTACAGAGAAATAAATTGCCTAATCCTAGATATCCGTGGGATATAGATGAAATGGTTGGATGTCTCAATTTAAATTCCTTGTACTCGGAGGTCGCACACTACTGGGTTTCTGAGGACGCACGCTCTGCACCGATCTACTAGTGTAATTCGCTGAATCCGACGAGGTTTGGCTCATAGGAGACCATAAACACACATTGAACCTTATCTGAAGCCAACACAGCATATACGTGCGGCGTGGAATGATGTCACATGCTATTTTTACAAACACCGTCAAACACGGTAAAACCATGTTATTTTCTCCACCAATTCCTAAATATTCCCATTGTGTTACATTGACTATCATAAGCTGCGATACTATGGTGCTGCAATGCCGCAATATTGTATACAAGGGCAGACTGCCGTTTGCGGCAGTGTCTCCACGTATGGAGATGTATGAAGACCCCGTCTAACCGTGCGGGTGTCACGCCGCGCGTCCTCCGAGCGGGGAAACACCCGCGGTATGGGCATAGTCCGACCATGACTGACACCGAATCATCAAATCACCAATCCAACAATGCATATCCCCAACAAAAGATTTACAATCGCATTACGATATTTTTCGCGTGGCATCGTTTTTGTCCATTATGGTCCTGCGCACCATGTCGGATAATAGCACACGCCTGCATCGTGACAGAAGCTAATTTTTCCGTCGCCGTGGATCTCCGTGCAAATCCCCACGGAGATGCACGCAGCAAGGCGCCAATCGGCGTGTCCCACACTGTGTGTGTGTTTTAGTCCGGTTGCTAGATTGAACAGTAGATAAGGCCCGAGGTAAACACTGCTGCTGATCCCAAGAGGCTTAATCGCAGCTCTGGTTTCCAACGTTAGCACCCCTCTATTTATTAACATTTTCCCCATACACCCGCGTAGTCGTTCCTACTTGAGCTTTATATCCAATGTCCGAAGCCTACGTAACCATCCTCACCAGCGATAACTACTTGCCTGGCGCCCTCGTGTTGGCGCGTTCTTTGAGAGAACTTGGCACCACGAAAAAGCTCGTGGTTCTAACCACCGACTTGTCTGACGCCTCCACCCGCTTCTTGGGCGAGGTTTACGATGAATTAATTGAGGTGGAGACCTTGGAGTCGTCTTTGTTTGAGCAGTTGCACGAATTGAACCGCCCGGAGCTCTTCCGGACCTACACCAAGATTGCCTTGTGGAAGTTGACCCAGTTCTCCAAGATTGTCTACTTAGACGCCGACTTGTTGCCCGTGCAGAATATTGACGAGTTGTTTGACATAGAATTGAGCCCTGAAACCAAGATTGCCGCTGCTCCCGACAGCGGGTGGCCGGATATTTTCAACTCTGGCTTGTTTGTCACCCTGCCAGACTTGAGCGTCTATTCTGGCTTGATCGACTTGAGCGAGGAGCCGAATGCCTCCTTCGACGGAGCGGATCAGGGCCTCTTTAACGAATACTTCCATTCTGGAGAAAACACCCCCAACCGGTGGCACAGATTGCCGTTTATCTACAACGTCACCCCGTCCTCTGGCTACCAGTACTCCCCCGCCTACAAACGTTTCCAGAAGGATATCAAGGCCGTGCACTTTATTGGGGTGAACAAACCATGGCTAACCCGTGATGGGTATGGTTTTGCCTCCAGCTTCCTTCCAGGCGGCGGTGGCTTCGACACCTTATTTGAAATCCACGCTAATTGGTGGAAGGTTTTCGACAGATTCTACCCTGGCGATAAGGCCGCGGTGATCTTTAACAATACCGATTTTGGCAAGGGTGAGGCCTGGTCGTTGAATGTCAAGAAAACCTCCAACTCCTGGGACACCGACCCGGAGCTGGCTGGAGCGCACAATTTTCCATCTCTGGCTACGACCCCCTCTCCGCTTTTCCCGTGGGAGCGTCGTGCGGGTGAAGACGCCCCAACGAGATTCTTTGCCGAAGAGAGCACCACGAATTCTCTTCTCCTGCAATTGAAGCAGACTCATATCACCGACACTAGCGGGTAGTGTCTGGTTTTGCTGGGGCTGAATCCTGTTTCTCGTTTGTCTACTTTCTATTGATTGGCGCTTATCGTTTTCTCGTTGCTACCCTTATATATTTTTTAATGGCATTGCTAATATTTTTTCGGTATCTTTGTTGTAACTGGTAATTCGATATACAATATGAATTACCAAGCGATATATAATACAAGAGGAAATTGGCCGAGGTAGGAGCTATCCGCGAGTATTGAATTAATAAATGATACATGCCCAGAGTTAAATCTCCTGCTTTCCAGTGTCTCTATAGTTTTCTCTTCTTAGTCCGTAAACTCTTAACCCATACGAAGCAACGCCTTGGCATTGCCTGTGGCAAAAAAAAATCTAGAATAAAGCAATAAAACTACCAGAAACCTCACGCTAAGATTGGCGCGCGCTTGCGGTTGCGTCTCTCCAAAATCGTGGCACCACTCAAACTCAAATCGAAGCCGCCTGGCACGTTCTGCTGCTGCTCGAGCGGAATGGTCATATTCATCGGCTCATCCTCATCCTCCTCAATCATCGAGTCCAACAAGGTCAGCCGCGGCACCTCCTCCTGCTCTCTATAGTAGGCAACCGAGATGTCGAACGCGTCCTTCATGGCTCTGGCGGACGGCGTGTTGGCGGTGACGGTATCGGCCATCAAATGTGCCAGCACCGCATTGCGTGCCTTCTCAGGCATCCGGAACAGCTGGAAGCCCTGCTTCCCCTGACACTTGATCCACGGGTCGTTTAACAAGTCCACGATCGTGTACCGCTGCGTCTTGTCCACACACAACAAGTTCTGCACGCATTGCTTGGCTTCGACGCTAATTTCGTCCCACCACGGACGAAGAAACTCGTACTCTCCCTTCAGCACCTTCTGCGTCAACTGGTCGATTCTCTCGTCGTAGAACGGCGGAAAGCCGCAGAGCAACGTGTACAACACACAGCCAAGCGCCCACATGTCCACTTCCATGGAGTACGTCTCGTCCTTGACAATTTCCGGCGCCGTGTAGCCAACCGTCCCGCAGGGAGTGCCGGTGTTGTCATACCAAACCTGCTTTGACAACCCAAAATCAGCAAGCTTCACTACCCCGATTCCACCGCCGCCCACCCCCGGCTCAAACTCACCCTCATCCACCTTTGTATACGGATCGTCCGACTTGCGCAACTTCGCAATCGGGTTCATCAGCGGCTTCACCGGAATCGGATAGAAAAGCAAGTTTTCTGGCTTTAAGTCGCGATGCACCACCCCGATGTTCTCGTGGAGATACTGCAACGCCTGAGCCACCTGAATAATCACGTGCCGCGCCAAATCTTCCGAAAAGTACGTATACTTGACAATCGGGCTGAAGATCTCGCCGCCCGGTACAAGCTCCTGGACGATGTAATAGTAGTCGTCCGCATCGATAAACGTAATAAACTTGACGATATTCGGGTGGTGCAACTGCCGCATGATCGTCACCTCCTTCAACACCGCCTGCTTCTGCGAGCGGTCCATCTGCTGCTTGTCGATGATCTTGATCGCTACCTCTGTCTGCAGGGCCAAGTCGAGCGCGCGGTACACTACCGAAAACGCTCCCTCGCCCATTCGTCCCAAGATCTGGTACTTGCCTTGCAACGCCGGGTACTTTGATTTATGCTGGCGGTCCTGGTTCTCCTCCTGAACGATGTGGGTTGCTACCGCTTGGTAGTTGTGTTCTTTCTCCTTAAACTCAATTGGGGAAAGGAGTGGCTCTGAGGAGACAGTCCCCAATGATCCCACCCGCGTGGCGTCGTCCATATGTGCCGAGTCCGTTTCGTGGACCGGCAGAGATGTCTTGTACGCGTCTTGCGCTGCAAACTCGGTGTGAAGCGGAATCCCGTTGGGGAAATTACCCATGGGATTCAGTGGGTGCGAAATGGCCACCGATGCCTGAGCCTTTCGATTGTTCAAGTCACCGGCCTGTTTCCCATGCCTGATATATGCCCTTAAATTGTCAAACATCTCTGGAGGGGGAGCTTGCGGAAAAGTATGTAAAGAGAAGAAGAAGGGTTTAAAATGAGGAGGGATGCAAAAGGGCAGCGTAAAAGTGCGGCGTAAAAGCGCAGCGTAAAGGCTCTGGCGTTCCACGACCCGAAAATGAACGCACTGCAACTGTCGCACGTTGTTTGGCGCTCTGCCGAACAGGCTAAAAAAATAAAATTACCGTTTAACCTGACGAAGTTCAGATAGTATAGATGCGCTTTTATTCTTTGCAGAACCAAAGTATGTCTCAGGGTAATGTAAGGCCGGTTTGATAGGCTTGAAGCTCATGCGAGCAACTATACTCAAGAGTGTGAGCAATGTCTGGTGGAATACAGGACATGTGCTGTGACTGAAGTCCGGAGAGCCCCGGTAGGATGGAACTGCCGTCATTTTAGTGGACTGATCCTTTCCCGCTTAAAATAAAATAAAATTTAGCTAGTTAGGTGCAGATACACCAGTTTGATGCACTGGTTAAAAGCGCATTGCTGGTCCGTGTTTGCTGTGTAAATGAGGGGTTTCCTTCTGCAGCACGCACATCCAATAGCGAGGGAGAGCTCAGACGCAATCTAAATCTACATATGGATGATTGGATTCTTTCGGCGGCACTAATCAGGGTTCTAATTCACGTGGAAGAGAGTAAGGCTGGGGATTAAATATTTCTAAAGCACACCACAACTATGTGTTATTCGGATTGGCCAGCTGGCGTAAAGATAGCTCAAACTTACTTTCAGTTTACAGCGAGTTACTTACGTAGGGCCGGTATCCAGTTTGTTGGCGCACCCTAGATTGAAATGTCCGGATCTAGAACACATTGCTAATCTCTGCATAATCTATCTGGCATGATTCATGGCAAAAGGCTTGTAAAATTAGAGACTGCGATATCATTGTAATTTGTAACGGAAGAACCGGTATCTCGCTTTTGCCCCTTTTATTTACACGATTAATGATCTAATTGATAGTTTTTGAAGGCTAAACCCTGGAATTACATAATGGTACATCTCCCCTTCCTATCAGATCTGGATCGTCCCCTACGCCGAGCACTCCCTGGTCTTGGCCTTTCAACCGTTGGGGGGGCCTCTGGAGCCTTTAGTGGCCTTGGTAAGGTGCTTCGTTGCAGCCTCGTCGTGGTCTGTTTTTTTATCCGTAAAGGCTTTGTGGGTGAAATCAGTCCGACATCGCAAGCCATTCCCATGGAAACAATTCTTCGAAATGTAGGAAAAAGCTTCTCCAAGTTTTGCGAAACGCAACACTCGAAGTAGATTGGTCTCGGCAATAATAGATCCGAAAGCTGGCAGGCCTCGGTTCTGGCGATTCTATTTTCGTCCCCCCTGATGTCCGTTTTCAACCCCACCAACACTACGGGAACACCGGGACTGTATATATCTAATTCTAGCTTCCAGCGTCGGATAACGCTTTCAAAGCTGGTGCGATCGTTTACGTCGAAACAAATAATAGCCACATCTGCCTCTGTGTACCCCAACGGGCGCAAGCGGTCAAAAGATTCGTGCCCTGGAAAGTCCCAGAGAACCAACTGAACGGTTTCACCGGGGGACACTGATACGTCCTGTTCGTGAATCTGAATGGTTTGGTGGATCTTTTGCGCCCTGCAGGTTTTGGTCGCCATACTAGAGAGGAACCCGGTGACAAATGTTGATTTCCCACAGTTTTCGTCTCCAACAACTACAATATTTACTTTTGCAGCAGGTGTAGGTATGCTAGCAGCTATAGGACCAAGACAAGCAGGGCTGGGATGCAGAACCTTCGTATTTGGTCTGCGTAGAATAGAGGAATATTCATTTAGAGCAGCTCTAGGGCATGCTTTAGACCACTGAGGGTCGTAGCTCTCAATCGGAGGGATACTTGACATGAGTGAAGCAGCTCTTAACCGGTGACAGTTTTCCATTCGGGCCTGGTATCTACGTGGTGATAATCTCCCCATGTTGGTTTGTCCCGGTGGTTGTGAATACTGTGAGCTGTGGGAGGGTGGTCTGTGTCTAAGGGGTGACGAGATTGAGTTGGCAGTGTATGCTCGTTGCTGAATAATGGGGAGAAGAGGTGTTTTATATGACTTATTGGGGGGTATTACCGGTAAAGGGTTCATAAGGGATGGTTGTAGCCGGACCAGCTTCCCTCTAGATTCCGTGGCATTGCGAGAAAGAGGGATGGGTGGGTGAGAGTTGGACCTCAACGGGAGGGTATTCTCATTCATCAGAATATCTGAGGAAGCTATTCCCGTATGCAGAGGTGTAGGCAACTCGTAGTCTAGATAAAGCTTTGTCCGTACCCACCGAATATGACAAATAAAGGAGGAACTGCAGATTTATCTGTGAAAATTCAGGAATGCTTATACGCTTTTTTTTTCAGTTAGTAATGGTTGGCCCGAAAGCTGGCCCAAGGTGCGGTTCTGTGGATGCATATGCACGTGTATGCATCTAGGTTGCCTGGCGGACGGTCATAGCTTACAACGGTGAATTCCTGAGGTTCAAATTCTGGAATTATAAAGAAATAACATTGAAAACAAAGACTAAAAAAACAGAAGCGGCAGTTTGGTTGTGGGGAAGTCTACGTAGCACATATGGTTTCCAGTAGACCCACCTTCCAGGAGTAACTACCCAAAATCGCAACCAACAAAGCAAACGAAACCATCACACTGATAGCCCCATACATATACGAGTACCCCATTCCTCTGCCATCAGGAAACATTCTCGATATCAAACACAACTCCATAATGAACGTACTAATGGTGCTCAAAGTTCCGCAAAACCCGTCCGCAAAGCCGGTTAGGACCTGACATTGTATAACCTTTGTTACTAGTCTTCCACTGTGTGAAGGTGACTTTCCACGGTTAAGAAGGGTGACAATATTTAGCACCACCACGGCGAGAGTGTTGGCAGCAAACGTTCCAAGCGGAAACTGAGGCACTATCAGGTTCAAATACTGCGCCAAATTATACCGGAGAAAGCATGCAAAGGGGGAGAACAAGCAGCTGAAGAGCCATGCCCTCCACTGTGGAAGCACTATTGTAAGCACCAACACGGCAACGTAGGATACTACTCCCATAGCGGCACACCCGAGCTCAACAAACCTGTACAACGTGGGGGTAAGAGAGTAACGCTTTTCCACCACGTTGTTCATAAAGTGTTTTCCCAAGTTTAGGCCGGCCATGGATACGGCTAGTTGGGTGATGATCACCGAAAAAAACTCCATGATGCCGTAGCCGCCACGATTAGGAAAGTGGAATGTTTTGCCGTTTGTCAAGTTGGCTGCTTGATAAAACACTTGGAGAAGGAGAGTAGAGAATGACGATAGGGTACCACAAAAGCCGGTGGTCACGCCCGTGTACATTGGCAACTTTGCTTTGGAGGCGGCGCCCGTGCTACGTAACACACGAGCCCAAAATCCCTCGTTGGAGGAGAAGCCAAACGCTCCCATAACAAAACAGGAGGCAAAATTCGCCCAGATGACACCGCCGACATAGTTTCCGTTGTATGTGGTTAAATCAGTGAGTCCCACGCGGGCCAAAACCCCAACAATGCTGAAAAATGTAAAGATTAAGTAGAGGCGGAACGTTTGGTAGGTCACGCTGTGTAATGGTTTTGGAAGAACTCCCTTGGGAGACTCTTCATTCACTGACAGGTATTCATCAGGGTCAGCTTGATGGGCTGACATGGTCCGCTTGTGCTATAAATGAGAGAGAGATAAACGTTTGGAAAAAGAAATATAAGTTTGCAGTCCTGTATACACCTGATGTGGCAGGACACTTTGAGAATCGGCAAGGATTAAGCCTAGAATATACAGCCGACAAACAGATTATGTATAGAGTTACTCGACTTCCAACCTCTTTATCTCAGATCGTAATATTCATATTATATATATAAAAAAAACTGGCAACATTTTCGATCTTGAGCCGTTTTCTAATCCGCAGTGGACACGGAGGAATTTCCCCGCGGATCCATGCATCAAAATCTCGAGGATTATGAGCTGATTATTGTTAGTCATAATTTTCCACGCCGCATCTCCAAACCACACACTACGTTAAGTCCCCTCGAAGCCACCATTCCTTTCATCTTCCGATTAGACCTATTTTTCGCCTTTAGCATACATCAACTACATGCTCAGAGCTGTTAGATTCTCACTTATTAGACCCTCGCTTGCCCTCCGATTCCACACGCGCACCATGTCCTCCGAAGCCTTTAACAGCGACTTGAAACAAAAGCAAGACGACGATGAACCTATCATCTTTGCGCCAAAGACCTACCAGTACGACATTTACTCTCTCGACGTGTCTGATGTCAACCCAGACCCGTTCGAACAGTTTCACAAGTGGTTTGACGAGGCCACGCGCTCCACCGAGCCGATTCCGGAGTCGGTCAATTTTGCCACCTGTGAGTTACCTTCCGGGAGAGTCTCCAACCGTACGGTGTTGCTCAAGGAGTTGGATCACCGCGGTTTCATCATCTACTCCAACTGGGACTCTTCCAAGAAGGCCCAGGACATCAACTCTAACCCCCACGCCGCCATGACCTTTTTCTGGAAGTTGAGTCAGAGACAGGTGAGGGTTGAGGGCCGCACCGAGTTTGTTTCCGCCGAAACATCCCAGAGGTACTTTAACACCAGGCCGCGCGGCTCCAAGGTTGGCGCCTGGACCTCCCCACAATCCCAGGTTATTTCCGGGAGAGAAGAATTGAACGAGTTGTACAAGGAAAGCAGTATTAAGTTCAAGGATTTGAGGGACCACGAAATTCCATGCCCGCAGTTCTGGGGAGGCGTGCGAGTGGTTCCGCTCGAGATTGAATTCTGGCAAGGTAGACCAAGCAGGTTGCACGACCGAATCGTCTTCAGACGGGCATCCGAGAACGACGCATGGAAGGTTGTTAGAATCGCCCCATAGGTGTAAGCGTTATTCCTTACACTAGTCTAGAGTTTTATGTAAATAGAATACGATAAACAAAGATTGGGTATATATAAAAAGGTTATTGAGGGGGTTAGTAGTACTTTATGGAAGGCTGGATTTATACATACCGTTAGAGTTTCTCGTTAATCAAAGTCGAGTCAAGCCGCTGTCTGTCAGGGTTGGCCATCTCCTCATAGATTTAATGAAACCATATTCACGGGAACGTCAATAGTGCACATACCCCAACAACACTCTCAACTATCAGCTATACCATAATCCAGCTCGGGGAGGGTCAAACGTAAAAAGTACATTGAGCTCCCTGAAGAAGAGACATACGTTCATGGTTCACACCAGAACCCTGGCTGTGTAAAGCCAGTTGAATAAAACGTATTGGATCGTCTGCGTTAAATATAGCGTGATATTTGCAAAGGCCCTCCTCCTCACTAGGAGCAAACGGAATGGTCTCGGATGATCGTGGAGAAATGAGTTAAAGTAGGCGCTCTAAGGAATGGCTCACCGTTCCCGCTATGCCCTTTCTAATCGCCTCTAGCGAGGCTTTGGAGTCATTCATGTGCTATGACGTATAGAACCCCGGAACTGATGGGCTAGAATCTGAGTTAGAGAAATAAGTGATTGGCAAGACGTGGTATTATGGATACAGGCAATTTCCAAACAGAAACAAGGATTCCGCGGGGATCAGCGGAGGAAAAGCCATGGCATCCAAGAGGAGATAGAGACATCCAGAGTTATGTAGTAAACCGTTTTCAACTGAAATGAGTCGTTTTCAATGTAGTTACTAATGGGTATACGTCATAGAGTAGCAGACGGGCTGAAAATAACTCACTTGGGTAAAAAGGCACACCGCCGCTTCTCTCTGTAACCATTGAGCTGAATTCTTAGATAGTTTAAGGTAACCTCACGGGATTGGATTCGTTAGTGAAGTCAGGGGTGTCCAAAATAGCTTTGCAAGATGGGATGGACCAGGAGAGAGGAGAAAAGGGGAGTTGCTGCTATTTAGCTAACGATCACAGGAATAGACAAAGAAATCCATGGTTATTTTAGTAGAGCCTAAACACGAAATGGTTGAGCCAGCAGGGGTAACGGATTAAACGCATTGGGTATACCAAATTTGCAAAATCAGCCAAACACAGTGCAAAGCTCCTAGAGTAGCGTGTTGATAGACCCAAACAAGGACGAACGTTGGTATATCCCGTTCACTCCACATCCGTCTTTTCTCCGGCTTCCCAAGACCCAAATCAGACTCCAGTTTGCCTGGGCTATATTCCACACAATACCTGATCTCATGCACGAGTTCAAATCCGTCATCAGCGATTAAACCTCGTTGATAAAAAAAAGTGGAAAAGTGTCTGGATGGGGGTGTGATCGCGCCCTCTTGCGCAAAGCTCGTGAGTAAATTCAGGAGAGCGGTGTGAGGACGGTACCGAATCTGTTGACAGGCGTTTAAAGTAATGATGTCTCTATCTTCCTCTTGGTTCTTGGTATTCGCTCGCCGATCCAGTGTTCCCATCACTGCTTCGCATTGAAACACCTGTATCAAACCGCACTGGGATAAAAGCCCAAGTGTGGTCATACACCGAGCATTTCCCTTACCTTCCAGCTTCAGATCCCAGTTAGTAATCACCACATCGGTCCAACGTCAGTCATTGCAATTCGCGCCGATCCATGCTTTCATCGGCAAGTTGCAAGGCCAGGGGGATCAGTGATCCAGGGTTAGTATTAAAAAAATGAGGGACAATACAGCCGGCTTTGAGCTCTTTTTCTCTAATAGACTTAGGGACCTTTGTTCAATGAGATACTCGTGATGGAAAGATCATGGGAAAGACGAAAGATAAGCGCGGGCCGTATATACCAAGGGACTGCACCTAACTTTACGCGTAGAATTCAGCAAGCGCGTACGCGTTCGGTCTGGCGCGTCCCCGCCAAACAAACAATTCCAATGCGACAGACAAAGCATTATCCACATACTGATCTAAGCATGCCAGCATAAAGACCAACATGGAAGGAATCAAATAAAACGCAGTAGTGCCGTACCAGAACGTCTGACCTTACGTCCGAATAACAATTCAACTATCAATAGCATCTATTTTAAAATCTATTACAATTGGTCCTACAACTTGTGCTGTCTGTTAAAATGCACCACAACCTCGTTGATCGCCTGGGCAACTCTCTTGACGTTCCCCTCGTTCAACCCGGCCACAGACGCCCTCCCGGAGCTGACCATGTAGACACCGTGGGTCTCCTCCAACCGCTGGACTTCCCGGGCGCTCAACCCGGTGAAGGAAAACATCCCCTGCTGCTCGACAATGTGGTCCCACTTTCCCGGCGTCTGCAACACCTCCAACTCAGCCTTCAAGGCGCGGCGCATGGTGGAGATGCGGCTCGACATCGTCACCAAGTCCTTCTCCCATTGGACGTACAACTCAGGGGTGTTCAACACGGTCGCCACAACCTTGGCACCATAGGCTGGAGGATTAGAAAGCTCGCTTCTGATAATCTTCTGCAAGTTAGTTGAAATAGCCGCGTTCAAGTCTTTGTTGAATTTTGGGGTAATGGCATGGATCACACCCGCTCTCTCGCCGTACATACCCACGTTCTTAGCGAAAGACTGGCAGATGAGAATGGTGGAGTCCTGGGGCTGGGTAGCCACGGCATGGCGCACGGCCCAGGCATCCGCCTCAAGCGACCCAGAGGCAAACCCCTGATAGGCAGAGTCAAAGAGCGGCAAGTGGCCCTTGGCGTAGATGCTGGAGATTATCTGCTTCCATTGCGCCTGCGTAGGGTCCAACCCGGTTGGGTTGTGCGCACAGGCATGCAAGAGGAAGATGGAGCCTCTAGGGGCGGCTGTGATGGTGGCCAAGTAGCCCTCCAAGTCCAAAGACTTTGTGGCGTCGTTCCAGTAGGGGTAGAACGCCGTTTGGATGCCGGCGGACTCAAAGATCTGGATGTGGTTCGCCCAAGTTGGCTTGGAAATATAGACAGTCGGGGCCGCGTCAGAGCCGGTGTAGAACTGCTTCAAGAAAGAGGCGGCCACGTGGAGCGCGCCGGTACCAGATAACGACTGGATGGAGACGATGCGGTTGTCCTGGATGACGGGAGAGCTGTTGCCCAAGATGACCCTAGCGGCGGCAGAGGTGAAGGGCTCAAACCCGGAAATGGATAAGTACTCGTGGTTGTAGGTGGGATCCGCGTGCAACTTCTTTTCGGCCAATCTGACCGACGGTAAGATCCATGGCTTGCCCTGGTTGTCACGGTAGGCGCCAATCCCCAAATCGACCTTGTTGGCTCTGGTGTCCGCCTTGAAGCGTGCCGAGAGACCAAACAACGGGTCCGGTGGTAAAATAGTGAGGTTGGCAAAAGCAGAAGACATGAGTGTGGTTTATCTGTGGAGAAAGGGCAGGCAGCGGCGAGAAAGGAAGAGGGCGGGTATTTATATCCTTTCGCTGGCATGTGCAAATCGGTGCGTTCGCGGCGCATATCTGATGTGGGGTAGGAGCCTTAGCAAGGCTCGTTGTTAGTCAGAGTGTGTCACACGCCATACCGGGGAATAACGGAACACTAAGGTATGAGGCAGGTGCCGACATCCGAACGCCGAGGTCACATGGTGAACCGATGCCAGACGGGTCGATCTAGATACAGCTTGTTCATATTTAATTGTCCGTCTAAGCAATTATATTGAATACCATACACGAGATTTTCATACACGAGATTTTTATACACGAGACTTTTTGATCTTGTGGATGGCTCTGGTTATGCCATGTTTATGCCGTTATATTTTGTAACTTCCCGGGCCTGCTACATGTTATGTCACCCTAAACCCGTTGCTCATGACATATCTAGCTTCTAACATGCTCTTATCTAATTGAAAGGTGGTCATTGACTGGCTTAATACAAGAATTTAGTAATTTTTCTGATAGCTGGTATATGATCCGGGCTGAAGAAACCACGCCTTGTACTCCTTTCCCATCACGGGAACCTCACATGGCCTCTACACGTGATGTTTTGGTGGCTAACGCGTGCGCGTTATATTTTTCTCACGCAGAAGCTGCTACATGAGAACCATTTGTTAATGAAACGCCGAGATAACTATTGGTAAACTAGCCTCCGCAGTGCTTCCCGACCGGACGATCCTTCTTCCTCTCCTCGCCCTCCTCAATGAGCCGAGATATATGGTCCAATGTCCCCGAATCGTCTACCGTGCCTACATTCCACTCCAAGGTGCTGAAAGATAAGGAAAGGCGCCTGTCATCTAAAACTGACACTTCCAAGAGCTCCCTGATCTCCTCACTGGGTCAACTGAAAACTGCTCAGCCCAAGACAGTGCACGTTTTCAACAACCAGACAACGCCGGTGGCCAGCACCAAAAAGAGGCACAAACTAGCGATCATGAAGGAAGCCCTACAGACCTTGGAACGAACTAGGCTGGAAACACGGGAGCAGTCGTCACAGATCTCCCAGGAGTCGTTTGACCTACAGCGAGACATCCTACTGCAGGCTGGCAGCCAGGACAAATTGGTCTTTGGAGATGAAGTGGAAACGTCTCAACCGAAAGCACAGCCCTCTGACGTCTACCCGGTTCTGTGCCATCCTCAAAACGGGTACAACAAAGGGCGGACAGTTTCGCCGGTAGAAATCGGTTCCTATAAAGGGCAGCTTTCAGAAATAAAAGCCCAGAGGGATAATACAACAGACATATCTGGGGATGCAAACACCCCTCCAGTGTGTATGGTCACCCTTAAATGTCCCTCCTCGATTAGAACAGACCTGGTTCTGGCGTCATACAACAGTTTGGACGCTGTGGAGAGTGGTACCCCGCCAGACAGTGAGCCCTCGAGCCTAGGACCCGAAACTGATGCCATGTTCTCATCCAGTGCATCTTTACTAGACTCCAAGAATATGGCGCATATGGAAGAATACAATTCGTATCCTATACTTCCGATTGAGGAAACTTCCGTATGTGCTAAAGACGGTGAGCCATACCAAGCTGCCTTACTGTTTGTTTCGGAAGACCTTTCCCCGAAATCGCATGAATTACCGTTCGAAAACAAAAGCGAGAAGGATGAACTTATTCCCTCAGAGCCAAAGAAAAGGCTCTTGAAGCTGCCCATGAAGACCCCCGCCAAGAAAAAGAAGTCTGTGGCTGAAACGAACGATGATTATTTAATTCCTGTTACCGCCAAACGGACGAATCGCTCGGCGGCTCATAGACTTCAACCAAGTAGCTCGTGCTCCAAAAGACAGCCCATGGAAACTGATATATTCGCTGTATCTCAGGGTGATTATAAAAGCGACGGGGAGATATTCAACAGTGATGTTGAACCTGATGTTTTGGACGAGGAGTTTTACTCCTCGGCGGCGAGACTGGCACAGAGTTCTCTAAATTGGCACTCCCTGTTGACCACTGATTACACTGGCTTGGAGTTTAATGATCTGGTTAAGGAAAATGAGAGAAAAGTCGCTAAGACTGGAAACCCCATTGAAGTTGATGTACAGATCGAAGAATTGCCGGTGGAGATGGAATCGTCATTCGACCAGGCTGCTGAAACCAAAAAGCCCACAAAAAAAGCTACGAAGAAAGCTACGAAGAAATCTGCGAAGAACGCTGTGAAAATGAGGGCAGAAAAGACATTGGGAGAGAAGGTTAGTTCGGCAAGCGATAATTCATTAGAACTGTTAGCTCCTATTGACCCTAACAAAACTGCAGCTGTCAAGCCTACTCGAGACTCCAACAGAGATAACATGACTCTATATACATCTACGGAGAGCGATTCCAGAAAAGCTACGACCATAGCTACAGCTCACATTTTGACGCCGAAGGCGGATGTGCCTGGGATATCTCTTGACATAAAGCCCACCATGACCCCCTCCCCTGCTGCGTCAAATCCACGAACCAAATCCACCCTAACTAAACCCAAGGCTGCGTCTTTGGCGGATTTGTGCGCTCAAACTAGTGTCAAGCCATATAGGGTGGGGCTATCCAAAAGGCAGAAAGTGGAGCTGCTCCACCAAAATCTACGAAAATGATTAATGAGTTAGGTTAATACTTTATGTAATAAATTAAAAGGCTTTGGAAACTAGACGCCAGTGCTTGGACTACGCCTTCTTGGCAAAAACATATCCGGTGTTGAAAACCATGTCCAAGATCTTCGACTCGTTGTCCTTTGCCGTCCATCCCATTTCCTTGTTCATCTCCTCAACCATCAAGTCGAGGACATCAATCTGTTCATCTGGATGAGCCAGTTTATACGCATGATACGCACTGGAGGTGAGACAGTACGCCTTGTAGTCGTTCAACGTGACCTTCTGGTGGATGTACAACGGAGGCTCCTTCTCCGGGCCACCCTCCTCAAACTGTTCAGCATGGAATTCAAACTTTTTAACTTGGGTGAAGGAGTGCTCGGGCACCGCAACATCCTTCAAAAAGCCACGCAACAAATTTCTCCCCGGTTGTTCCCAGTACGAGCCCAAGTATCTTGGATCGTCATAGATGAAGTTATCCGCAATCTTGTTCAAGGCAGGATACTTTGGAAACACCGGGTCGACATAATACCAGTAAGCCAATGTTCCTCCTGGCTTCAAAACCCTGAGCACCTCCTGGAAGAACAACTTATGGTTAAACCAGTGGATGGCTTGGGCCACGGTCACCATATCGGCAGTACCACTCTCCACATCACCCATATCTTCCGAGCTGGAAACATGGAAAGACACTCGCTCAAAGTCTTGCGGCGGAAGATTTTCCGCGGCCTTACTGTTAGCCGTGGCAATCATGGCGGCAGAGGCGTCGTGACCCGAAACCTTGTCAAAGAATGGAAGGAGCGCTCTCGCAGCAGTACCGGGGCCACAACCCACATCAACGACCAACGATGTCGGCCCGTTGTGGTACTTCATGAGATGCTCATAGAAGCTGGTGGAGTAGGTGGGACGGAAGAGGTTGTAGTTCGCGGCTGCGAAATTCTTTGCAGAGAAGGTTGCCATAATTGTAATTGGTAAGGGGTGACTTACAATTGGTACTCCTTTTCAGCCGGGCACCATGTTTTTATAAGCTAGGTGTGAATTGAAGGTTAAGTGGTTTGTGTATGGCCTGGAGTTCGTGTTTGACTAACCCGAACTCGGTCATCCGTACGGCACTAAGTGACCACTACGGTTCACGCGTCTCCGATGCGGACTTAGAACGGTTCATGCGTCCCCGATACGGGCTTAGAGCGGACACTGAGCAGAATGCAAGTGATGTTGTAGTCACGTGATGAGGGAAAATGCCGCGATTGATGGTCCTGGGGCCCCTCATTTGTAGTGCCGTAGGAACCAGCCATATGCAAGAGAAGTCTACCAGACTGGTGAAGCCTCTGGTCTCCAAAGGCTCTATATTTGCAATGGTAGCATACGTAAATTTAACTGTTTCTAATTTTAAATTAAATTATTTATAGAGACGAAAACGTTTGGGATGAACGTAGAAGTGTTATGGATTGTGCTGACATGGCCTTAGCAGTTCAGTTGTGGAGAACCGTAAGTCTCTGCATCATGCCAGCCCCATCGGAGCCGTACTGGAAGCGGAGGTAATGCCTAAGTTAAATGCCCGCTGGAACCAACCGGATTCCATCCCTAAATCGGAAGATTCCTATACATGCCCACTCCCCGTCAGATATGGTTATACGGTCAATCTTTGTGCCAGAGTGCGAGTCACGGGTTGTATGGTGATGACCCAAATGTCTAGCACATTACAAAAGTTGATATGAGGGTACTGTCGGTGATATGCTTCTGGTTGCTAACCAAGCTTGGCAAGGACAGTGGAAGAAAATCACATTGGCATGTAAATGTATAATTACTCCCACGAATAATGAGATTTTCGTACTGTATTAAGATTACTGGTTAAGGATTGCACACTGTTCAGTTTGGACATTTCGACCGATTTTTAAAGTTTATCTCGGGCCGTAAGACCATTCGCGGTATTCCCCACCGGCTTGCTAGCATTAGGTTTTTATTTTCTAATGCTAACGCATACGGGTCAGTGGCTGTCACAAAACAGGTTGGATTTGAAATAGTGTGTGCTTCCGAAGCCCTATTAAGCGGTCGCCACTAGCTGTAGGCACAGAATCGGGACCCCGTAATACGGCATAACCGTTGAACCGAAGCAGGAACTCTGGGTCTCTCCAAATGCAAGTTTACCTTATCGGGATGTATAACTGAATATTGACTCTGTCGGATATCTAGTGAGTATCACTAATATCATTGGCTGTATTATTCCCCAGCTGTATGGTCAAGCGGCTGAGGAGGTTCTATAAGGATAGCCGTATCACGAAACTCCAGATACAGGAAACGTCTGGCGAGCCGAAACACGTCAGCAATACACGATTTGTAATCACACCTTTTAACCCTTCATCTCAAAACGCCTTGGCAAACACATATCCTGTGCTCCAGGAAACCTCCAAGAGAATACTATCGTTATCCTCGTACGTCCAGCCCATGGCCAGGTTTATCTCATCAATCATCAAATCTATGCAATCCTCTTCATCGTCGCTATGCAGCTCCTTGTACGCGAAGTACGCCGCTGATACCTGAACGTACAACTTGTACTCATTTAGGGTAAGGTACTTGTGTATGTAAAGGACATCTTCCTTGTTTTTGTCGGATTCCCCTCCTGATAACCTGTTCTTGCCAAACCCATCCTTCCCGTGAAAGACCAGCCTTTTGATCTTTGTGAAGCATTCAGTCGGCACCTCCACGTCTTTAAGATACCCTCTCAATAACCTCCTCGCAGGTTGTTCCCAGTGGGGTCCCAAATATCGTGAGTCCTCGTAGATGAACTTCTGAATTATTTGGTTAATCACCTCATACTCTTTGGCAAAAATGCCATCGATATAAAACCAGTACGCCAAGGTGCCGCCCGGCTTGAGGATTCGGTGCACTTCTCTGAAGAACAATTCCTGGTTGAACCAATGGATGGCCTGGGCCGCAATGACCATGTCCACCGTTTTAGCTTCGATCTGACCGAGGTTGTGTGCCAGCGAAACGTGGAAGGAGATGCGGTCCAGATCCTGTGATGGAAGTACATCCTGTGCGATCTTGTTGGCGGTAGATATCATCGTGGCTGACAGATCGTACCCGACCACTTCGTCAAAGTACTCCAAAAGAGCCCGAGAAGCAGTCCCAGGGCCGCATCCCACATCCACTGCGAGTGCGGTCTCGCATTGCCATTTCTTGTGATAAGCAAGGAGCTGTTCGTAGAACTCAGCGGGGTATGTTGGCCGGAACCGGCTGTACTTGACCGCAGAGAATGTTTTGGCCGAGAATACTGACATCGGACGTGATTCTAATGTGGGGGCAAAACTGTGGCGGGAGATTATTGCTTGTATGTATTGGAATTGCCGTGATGCTGCAAAGGTTAGCTTTCGAGAGCAGCTTGGTCGGTTTTATACCCTTTCCATTCGGTTTCAGTTACGCGGACTGTGGACTGATAATCGAGTGTATTTAACCAGTTTCCGGTGCATCCCAAATCTTCCGCGATTACAAACGCGTGCGGCTTAATGATGTCTTTGCGCATGAGAAAAACGTTATGGCGAGCGTTATGCATGCATTATTAGCCTTGTGAATCAGCGGTCTAATCCTCAATCCATGGCGGTGAAATGCCCCACTGGAATGGAGGTTGTTATTGGAGAAATCTCAGTGCGGGGAGTTTTAGAGGTATTTACCCCCTTATTCGTGACCTCTTCATCCTGTGCGCCTCGCTATGGTAGAACAAACGGGGCTCTATTTACGCCACGCTCTACGGTATAATTCGCGCAGTTATTCGCGCAGTTTAGAAGGCTTTGATTGATCAGCCATCGGAATTTGCACTGGGGCATATTCCTAAATGTATGTTCCATAACCAGCAAATGCATCCTGGCTAAACCACTCACACCCCGATACTCTAAACTACGTCCGAGAGCATCTCGTTGTTGGTTTCGGTGCAACTGAGACACTGGCTGTTTTTTACTTGCAGATGCATCACGTCTAGCTTCTCGGAATGATCTTGGCGTACCAGTGATGTGCATGCTATGTCCTAGCTGGCGTTTCACTCAATTGGGGTGACCTGCTGTATATGGCTCCTAGACAACCGTTCTCCGTAGACCGTTTTCGACGTTTAGTCCCAGTGAAATTAAATAACGGGCGGATGTCCCAATACCGGTGTAATGGCTACGCAAGAGATTGGTTCCCGGTGCCAGTACAGCCCCAAATGGTTTTGATCGTAGGTAAGGTTAACGTTCCGTTTCCACCGCGTACTACTCTCTGGTAAAACAAAAAGCCTTGATACAGTGCTAGGCAAGCATACCCCCAGACTTAAGCATCCCGTAAAGATGTTAAATCCGATAGATACCGTCGGCGGATATCCTCACCTCCGACGAGACGATACCGCTTGCAGTCCTCGATTCCTCCGCTATATATTTTTGATATATCTAAGTGATAGCGGGTAGTTTGAGCCACAGTAATGACGTCAATGAAAGTATTTGGAATACACAAGAGCGCATGAGCCTCTACCGTGTGGAGTGTAAGACGGGATACCTCAGGCAGCGCTGATTCTCAGCCTCAGTTATCCTGGGGACAGATCAACGTGCCATTGAGATAATAAGCTGTATGGTGGCTATTCCTGGGTCACATCCTAAACCCAGAAATTTGTCCCTTGGTATACCTCGTAAAGTACTGATAAACCTCTGGAGGGTCCGCAGGACGGAATCGGTTATACCGTGCAGACGCAATGCTAGCGGGCACAGGGTTTGCTAAACCGTTATTGAGAATGGCACTTATAGTACCTCGAATAACCTACAATTGTAGGGGACCAGTGCGGGGAAAAGATGAAGATGTACTGCGTGGCGCCATCAATAATCTATTCTTATGACGTTTCCGTGTCTGATCTGGATTGCTGCCAAGCCTTTGTCGACCTGATAAACCTTAACGCGTAAACCGTGCAGCCACATGACTTGACGGTAACAGCTGTGCACGTTTAGGTCTGTTGTTACTGCGTCTTAATCCGACTAGATGGCCAGAATTGCAGCCTTTAGTCTAGATTGTGCAGAGACAATACATCATAGTGTTTCATTTCAGATTGCATATTTTCATCAGAAGTGAGTAGCCTAGGAAGTCGTAAGAGGGAGTAAAGACGGGTTAGATGGCCAACTCTGCAATGTCAAAGGCACCAATTTGACAAATAGACCACGTGCAAGGTTGTCTAGATGGTGACTCTTTCGTGCCGGGAAATTGGTTTACGTAACCAGAAAACGGAGTTTTCCGCACTCGTTGACGATCGTATTGTTTCCAGTTCTAGTCTCGAAAAAAGCGGCTTAACTGAATATCGATTTCACCTGGCAGAAGTTAACTCCAAGGTGTGACTGAGAAAATCAGCTATTAAGAAGTATATATCCATAAGCAGAAGCCTGGGTTCTCGCAAACTAGAGATACTAACCCGTGGGGTTATGGTAAGACCACATGTATGACTCTATTGGTTGAAGTGCTGTGTTCGGCTACATTTGCAATCATCTGCCCAATGCGAACTACACATCAGAGGTATATAAGTGTATATTACACCGCAGAGCGAGGAGAAACAATGAACTCTCCGTCTAGGCTGAAATACATAAAGGAAATTAAAACAACTGAAGAGAAAAGGAGTAGGGAATCAGTCGATAGATGTATATCCTCTATCTCAGATTTTACGGGACACAAGGATTAATTCACAAGGTTCTGGGGTGGAACTTAGCAGAAGCAGGAAAGACAGTCCTCCAACGCGCAACAAGCGCAAATGGCAAGACAACACCCGCAGAAAGAACCGCAACACCCGCTGTCCTGCTTCTGTGGCTGTTGGACGTAGACTGGCTGCTGTTGCTGCTGGTAGCCCTGTGGTGGACCGTAGTTGCCTTGTGGAGGGCCGTAGTTACCCTGTGGTGGGCCGTAGTTTTGCTGGTAGCCCTGTGGTGGGCCCTGTTGGTAGCCTTGTTGCTAATAGAAAGTTAGTCATAGGCACATTGCGGCCCATTCCTAGCTCTACTGGTGATACTAGGAAGGAGCATTGAAATATTGGGCACGTACATAACTCATTCTTGGATAGTTTTATAGGGGGGAAAAAAAGTACGTATTGAATATACTAGCTTGTTTAAACGTGTAAAGAAAGGTTTTGAGATTGGTGGTCACACGGTGTTTACAATTTTTCGCACTCTGGTCGCATTCTCGAGTTGACATTTTTCGTTCCAGTTTTTTTTTTCCCGCGAAATGGGCGAGGCTGTAATCTATGCCGGTTTCTCCGTATTGGTACATGTGCATAAATCGAGCATATTATCTTTTTCTTGCTGAATGTAGACTATCAGTTTGTGGTTAAACTAGAGGTATGTGCGGACTTCAGTACATCGACCCGGCATCTCTCGGTCTGTATTCTTAGCAGCGTCATGGATAGGTGTAATTTGTTACTTGAAAGCTCTAAGCTCGGAGCCAGACTGGAACGCGTAAAAATGGCATTGAAAAATGCATGTGTGGGTATTTTTAAATGGAATTAGCTATTATACAGGATACGAGTTACTTACAGGATAAGAGTATGACTTACGTGATTAAGAGAGTCATTAGTCATATAATTGAAGCTCCTTCGAGTACGAATTGACATCTAGGTAGGAAACTGTAAATGTGTATTACTAATGGTGAATATAACTGGACATGCTATGTGGCATCCGTTCTTGAGATCTCATTACGGTGCCGTCACTCCATTCTACGTCTTGAGATACAGCGATTGCTAAACCTACCTTTGATATATGTAACGGAAAATGATTTAAGGTTAACTTCTACGTGTCTCTGAAGACTGCGATTAAGGAAAGGGGTTTTTTTCGGTGCCGCATTCACAACAACAACAGTAGCAACAAAACCAACAGCATGTACTGCACCAGACACAGAAAGTAAAATAACCAAAACAGCATTCGCCCCAATCTATTTTATCTTCTGGTAGGTACTGTTGGTTATCTTGTGGTGTGATCTGTTGGTCATCTTGTAACGGTTCCAATTGGTATCGTGGTGGGATCTGTTGGTATACTTGTGGTGGGACCTGTAGGTATTGTGGTGGGACCTGTTGCTGTAAAAATGTTAGTTAAATGCTGAGTTCATAGATATCGTTGATCAAACATTTAAACACTGACTTCGTTACTCATTGACGTGGACGGTATATGACTTCAGCGATTAGGTGAGTAGAGAAATGAAGGAAGCGGATCTTATATAATTACCTTTCCGCACAGCCCACTCTCTTCTGGGTTTCATGGTACCATTTGTTGGGTAAACACCTCCGCGTTGGTAGAAGTTTTTAGATTTGGTGGTGGAAGCTTAGTCCTTGGAAAGTCTGAACCCTAGTTATTCGACCCTTACTTGAGCTGCGAGAGGGAATGACTAGTTGCACGTGCCTGGTGACCCTAAAGAGACTGCGATAAGTGTTGGGCCCACTACGTCATGAACTTACACGAGGCGTCGCAAACCAAGAAGATTATCTAGTTGAGAAGTTAGTTCATTTTTATATATAAGGGTAGGTTACCATCTTATATAGTTTTTTGTTCTAGCTAGAAATTGACCTTTATTTTGGAGACTCTAAGTGTACCATTAGAATCTCTCAGTTAATAGCTAATAATGGAGTCTGTCAGAGAATATTAGTCAACATGACAAGTCGGACAAGTCCCGACGGAACGCTGACAATCTGGATCCTAACATAATTATTGGTTGCCACTCGTTTAATCTTGGTTGCTTTTATCTTCCAGGCTACTGAAAACGTCTCCATGGCATGTCTTAAACGAGGAACAAAGGCAGAAGATTGCATATGCACATGTCAATAATTCTGAACTGCCCATAATTCAGACGAGACCTACGGTTTGGCAAGGAAAGCTAGTCATTTTCTTTTGCCCACTCTTGGATTGGTCAATAGAAATAGAAAAATTTTCATTACGGTAAAACCGGTAAGTACAAGATTTCACCCGTTTACAGGATCAATTGCTGCGCGGAGCACTACGGTCTGCACACTTGATTTCACTAAAACCACTTTTTTCCTTCCACCCCAACATATAAAATGGAAAACGTTAAATTAACTGTACTGGTTCTATTATTTGTTGGATAAATCTTTATTAGTTGAGACGTAACCGAGAATGTAAGATGGCTCGTTACCAATGGCCATTCCAAATACTATGTTGAAATTACCTGTCACTGGTTATCCTGACAGTTCCTAAAATACAAAAGTTAATCTATCGAGAACTGTCTGTTTTCATTTAGAGTTTATTGGCTATCAGTAACTGACGTAGAAGGGTCTGAAATGGATTAACAGAGGGCATCAAGTGCGCAGCAGCAACAGCACGCTGCTAAACACCCGCAGCAGGCACTGCAGCATCCACCGCAACAACCACTGTCCTTTTGAGGTTGTTGCTGAATATAAACCGGCTGTTGCTGTTGGTAATAGCCCTGTGGTGGACCTTGTTGATAGTATGGTTGTTGACAGTGGTGCTGTTGGAGGGTTAGTCAAGATCACAAATGGTTTTAGAAAGCGAATGTAGAGACTCTGAATGAGCTCACTGAACCTGTACTATCCGGTGTCGTTTTGATAGTTTACATACATGATGGTGACCCATTTTGAAGACGTTATCTTGGATAATTTTAGTATAAGGCAATGGATTAACGTGGGGAAAGGGTCCTATTTATCCCCAGCGTGCCTTCTTCGCACACCTGACGTCATTTCTTACTCAGCCTTTTCTGGTATATTATTTTACCCACAAGAAACACCTTTATGTGCAGCAAATCATATTGTCTTGTAAATTTAACGTGAAGCGAGGCGCAGTACGTTTTCACCCGTCGCTGCATCGACAGGGTGTGTTGTTGGGCTTGGCTCGAAGTTGGGCTATCTTCCTCTAGGGCCATTGGCGAACGAGTCTCGAGTAAAACTTTATTCTATTCTTCAGTACTGAGGCTTCGAAAGCTTAAGGTCCTGTTGAAACTAGTATCGTCTCTGAATGAGTAGGTGTATGTTCAGACATATGCTCAGATGTATGCTCAGATGCCAAGGGTGCAGAGCACTGCCCGCATGCATGGCATGGCCTAGGACTGCGCCGTTGATAAGGCAGTTGTCATTCTTTACAAGGTGTAAACCTGATGAATTCTAAGGCACGTTTATAGTTCGTAAATACACCAGAGATAGCCTATTTCTAGGTAGAGCTCAATATACGCCTCAACGTACAGTGCGTTGAGCCTGCCATTGTCGCTAGTTAACGGTGACAGCTTCGGATGTATGCCGGAATGGAAACCTGAAAGTGATGGCGCAGCATCCGTGTGTCATTTGTTGCTAGAAAAAGGGGCGAGGTAGATGGAACCTTAACAGAAACAGGAGAGACAGTCCTCCAACGCGCAACAAGCGCAGAGGGCAAGACAACACCCACAGAAAGAACCGCAACACCCGCTGTCCTGCCTCTGTGGCTGTTGGACGTAGACTGGCTGCTGTTGCTGGTAACCTTGCGGTTGGCCGTAATATTGTTGTTGTTGCTGACATAGTCTTAGTGTCTTTTTCTTATATTTAAACGGTAGGCTGACTGGTTAGAAACTGAGAATATAGAGCTCAGCCTATGCCTATATCATGTCATGAAACAGAGGGTGTGACGTACTTGATAACTCATTCTGGGTGTTTAACTCGTTAACTATCCCGACCTTCTCGCATTGGAAGAACAGCGAGGATCTCTACTTATATACCACAAGGCCATGACTATTCAGTAGTTGCCTTAATGTTCGTCCCTCAATATAAGCTCCATTCCCAGATGCTTGCTCTGTGCGTTGCATTAGCCTTGTCTATGTGTTTAAGTTTTCCAGCCGCTCCTAAAATCGCAATTCTGTAGGCGCAGCGCTTCGTATAATTATGAAATTCGGTGCATTAATAGTCAGTGTAGTAGACCGTGGGAGTCAATTCTAGCTCCTGCTGATGGACCGCTATCACGAAACGCCGGGAGGCATCTGTGAAACCTGCCCTCTTGACGTTCAAGATGCGTACAATTTGGCTGGTGCACGGTCGAAGTATGGCATGGATAGCCCGGTCCCCGTGCAGTCCATTGATAGAAACGTTAATGACGTTTGTAGCTGGCAAGGTTGATCTACGGCATGCGCTGGAAACTTTCAAACTGCATGCAGACAGCGTTACCCCGGTCACCGTCTCTCGAGCATATACAGCACCAGTCATATATCTGCTACAGGGATAGTTTTGGGTTTTTTTCTGATCAAGACATCGAAAAAAAACTCTATGGGTGAAGGGCTATACACAAAACAGTATTATTCATATACATGATAACTTCTAAAAATACAATCCAAGCGCAAACAGAGCTGTGGCTTAGTTTTGGCCTTCGATGAACTTGTCAATGTTGATTTCGGTCAATGGGGTGTTACCGGCAATGGAGATCTTTCTCTCGTTCTCCGAGGCATACTCGAGCTTCTGCAACTTGGCCAATGGACCGTATCCAGAGATTGGGTAGTTCAACTTGAATGGGTTCAACCAGAAGGTGACCTGCTTGAAGTTGTCACCCATGGCGATAACCTCGTGAATCAAATCTTCGATACAGATGAAACCCAACTCGCCCAACTCCTCTTCGACGACAGCATTGTTGTTCAACTTGGTGACCTTGACGGCTTGGGTCTCCTCATCTCTAACGTTGATGGAAGCTCTCTTCTGGAACAACTGTCTGACGGAGGCCAAGGATGGCTTGCCACAGACGACGTACGGGTGGATCAACTTAAGCAACGGTAATACGGTTGGAGTCAACTTGATAAAGACACCGGTGTTGGCCTTGGTCAATCTCAATAAAGACAAAACCTTCTGGGACTTGGACGGGATCTTGATCCCCTTCTTGTGAGGTGGGACTCTGATGATGAAGAGCAACTTGGCTGGGAAGTCCCCCTCGATCTCCTTGGCGGCAGATATCTGCTTTGTGATCTTTTCGTTCTTGACCAAGTGCTGGATTCTCAACTTTTCAATCTCCGCGGTTCTGTGGTTGGAGACCAAGGTCTCAGCTCTAACAAATCTCTCCTTCTTCTGGTTTCTCTTGCGTCTCGCCTCTTCCTGTCTCTGTCTGGCAGCTTCCTGCTTTTCAATTCTCTTTCTGTCGGCATTCTTTCTCTTTTTCAAGAGAATTTCCGGGTTGGAGTTCAAGTCGGCAACCATTTCTGTACGTGCTGGATAATTTGGTGTGTGTAACGGTAAACAGTCTATATTTTTAATATGTGGCCAGACTTGGGTTTTCGATTTTTCCTATCATGAAATTTTTTCTTAATTTTTTGATTTTCGTGCAGGACAGGCATGCGATGAGGTTTAGGCAATATCTACGGTACTGCGTGCGCGTACCAGAGTGAAAAACCGAAGCTTATGGTGGAAAAGAAATAAATCTACAAGATTGGCACTTGGGGAAATGATGGCCTCTCGTGAGGTGATGGCCTCTCGTGAGGTGATGGCTTCTCGTGAGGTGAAGGCTTGTTATTTAATCTTGGGCGCATGAGCTGGTGTTGGTATTATGGAAATTTCAATTTTTATTGTAGAATTAGTGGCCCCTGTTCTATGCGTCGTCATTAGTAGAGTCGTTCAAGGCGTTTAACGAAAATAAAGCTGGTAGTGACCGAATTACACGATTAAAGCATCCACATTATTGTGAAGTGTCAAAAATCTTATACATTCATTGTCAAGATTATTTTGTGGCATGTGATTTATCAACGATTGGCAGTAAATCACACGTTCCTCCACTGCGAATCAACCCTGTACTGTGACTTCTGATCCCTATGGCTCACTCTGAGCTCGCTTGCGTGCCCTCCAATCGGCTTGGTGTGTCGCGGAACCGTATCCGGTTCGTCTCCCAGTGGTTGCTGCACATCTACAACCATCCCCGCTGAAGATGGCGCCACTCATATCTTCTCGCTTAAAAGTCACCAATGGCTTCAATAACCGGATATGCACCAGTTCTGGATCGTATATATTCATCGTTCATATTCATCATTTATATTCGTTTATATTCATTTATATTCTCTATATTCATCACCCTGTAAGTCATGGCACTGCCTCACTTATTCCCCGCGCACCCATTATGAGCCTTGGGAGCTTTCCTGCACACACCACTCCCGATACTTTGTAGGGCAAGAAAATTTTGGAGCCCTATTGACATAGGGGCGGAAAAAATTACGTGCAGAGGCGATCTTAGATAGGGAGAACGAAGGAAAATACCGCCCGCCTGCCCTCCTGAGTCCACGTTTCAGGGTCTTTTGTTTTCTCCAAGGTACACATCGATTTTCACTCAGAATATCGGAGACGGCTGTTATTATCATTGGTCTTCCCGTTTTTTCTACCCTTCCATCCCTTCTACCACACGGAACCCCTTCCCGAAGAAGCTTTCCCCATCTGCATTGTTCGTGTCTCAGACCCATAGCACAAAGACGTCACCTTCTTCTGACAGCCTGGCATCTTTCTAACGATATCCTACCATCGTCCCACCACCTTCACCCCCATCTCCCCCCTGACTTCCACGCCACCTGTTATTAAGGAACACCTATCATCCTGCATATACGCATTCCCTGATCTGAAGTCCTACTAGTGGTTATAACATCCAACGTTTCCGGTTTATCCCTGATTCTGATATTGAGTCAGCAGTTTTCCTTTAGTTTCAGTCGATCTAACTCGGATTAAGCGGATTCCCGACTCCAGTCACTTGGTCACCGGGTACAAAGCTCCCTGTCCTCTCTTGAATTCTAGTTTGAATCGCCCATCCTAGCCTGAATCACTCATCCTAAACTCTCCTCACTTGCTCCTTATTTTTTCCATATGCCTGACCACCCTGAGTTCAACCCCGGCTACCCAATGGGGTTCGTGAAGCTTGAGCCTGGCAACGAAATGGTGCCCATGCCCCTGGGAATTCCCTACGGACAGGTCACCCCGCTCCAGTTCCAGCAGATGCAGCAATTGCAAAACTTCAACGCTATGCAGATGCAGATGCGAATGCAGTTGCAGTACCCGTTCGAACCGGAGCCCATGGCCAAGCCGTTCCAGCCCGCTATGGCATTCCGGGGTCATCCGGGCCAGGCCATCACGCCCGAGCCGGCTCCGGTGGCATCCCCTGGTCCAACAGTCAAACGCGCCCGCCGCGCAGACCACGCGGTTTTGGGTGACGATGGTGACGCGGAGCTCAAGCAGCTCGCATACGCTGCGCTCGAGGTCCCGTTCCCGGACTTTGCCGCGCAGGTGCGTGCAGCGGAAAGCGACATGGCGGGGACCATGCCTGGAAAGAAGTCAGAAGTCTCTGAAGCCTCCAGCGAGCGCCTGCGCCAGGTGTTCGGTATGGTGTGGTTGCTCAAGGCATGCGAGGCGGCGCCACCTGCGGTCGTGCCACGCTCGCGCATCTACGCGCGCTATGCGAATATCTGCGCGGAGCACGTGGTCAAGCCGCTCAGCCCTGCGAGCTTCGGAAAACTCGTGCGTATTCTCTTTCCAAACCTCACCACTAGACGGTTGGGCATGCGCGGCCAGAGCAAGTACCACTACTGTGGGATCAAGCTTATCGGCGAGGAAACAACCCCCAACTCCCCTGCAGGCTTCTCTGAATCACCGTTTGCACCAAACACCCCTTCCAACCACGGTTCCCCCGGCTCCTTCACCTCAGCCGTGTCTACCCCCCTTCCAAGTCTGTCGCGGTTCAAGCTCAGCCTTCCAGCTGAAAACGACGCCTGCTACGCGTTGCAACACGTGCCAGACTTGCATGTGCGGATTGATCGTGCCAACAACGCCAGCGACCTCGACATGCCCTTGGTCTTGCCGCCCCTCCATCCGTATCTCCCCCCGGGCACCGACTACGATGCGGCTGACACCCTCGCCTCGCTTTACAAGTCGCATTGCACGGCCTTATTCGAGGCTCTCCGCTACATGCAGGTGAAGAAGTTGTTCTATTACCTCAGCTCCTTCAACAGCACTTTGACGGCGCCGGTGCAAAAGCTCTACACGTGCGACGCGCTTCTCGCATGGGTGGAGCGCGCGGACCTCGTGACGTACCGCGCGATTGTCAAGATGTTGACCAAGTTGTCGCTCCAGAACGTGCCTACGGCCGTTCTTCAGCAGTTGAAGAGCGTGGGCGACACGTTTCCACGGCGGTTGGAAGAATCGTTGGCGCACATGCCAAAGACCGTGGTCGCCGCGAAGGGCCGCGCCGCACGCGCGTTCGCGAACTTGCTTGCGCGTCTCGTCAAGGTCATCGAGACGGGGCAAGCCTGTCTCCGGGTGTTGGCCAGTTCCTCCGACCGCCAGGCGATGCTTGCTGATTGGAACGGCCTTAACTTCAACGAGCTCATTCTCCGTGAATTGCCGTGTTCGATTGAGAACGGCTCCAAGGTGTTGAACGTGTTGACGCGCGACGTGCCGCACCTCTTGGAAGATGCATCCGCGCTCGCGCCGTACTCGGGGTATCTTCTGGATTTGGCTGCGAAATTCGCAGACACCAATCCGCGCTTGTACCTTCTCATTTCGTCCAACCTCTTGACCGTCTGTCTCCGCGAGATCAGCATGGCGGGCGGTCCCAGCTTTGGCTCCTGGTGGCTTGTGCGCTGCTGGGTCGATGAGTACATGAACTGGGAATTAGAGCTCGGTGGGTTTCTCGCCCCGGAATTTGATGCCGCGCCGGCGGAAAAGCCAGTGGAGAGCCAGAGCCATGTCCCGAGCGATCGCGGTCGTAGCGGGCACTTTGTGGATTTGTTGGAGACTAACTTTGAAGAGCCAGTGCTTGCTGAAAGTCACCGCTTCGCTGACAGCGAACGGTTGATGGGTTCCTTTGAATACCAGAATGAGATGAAGGAGAATCTTTTGGATGATGGCCCATAATCCGGGAGACTAGCATAAGTGTCTGTTTCTGTGGTGTGACTCAATATCTGATATACCTGGTGGATTTCTGACGGCTGATTTTGGGTGCAAGTCCCATCTATACCCCTTGCATTTGTATTTTAACTACATAACTAGATTTATCCGTAGGCTAAGACTGGAGGGTTTAGAGAAACGTCAGGTGAATAGTTTGGGAAAATGTAGAAATATCCAATCTCCGTCAAGTTCTAATTACCGTTATCTGGCCTTGCTGATGCCATTTCTGGTTGCAATATATAGGAACATTATTTTTTTTTTCTTTCTATTTATACTAAAATCATTATAAGCTGGTTAATATCTATTATGACTTGTATGTGCTATAAAAAAATTTAGCCTTAATATATATATATATATGAATATTGTAAAATATATTTATAAGCTGTTACGTTTATACACTCCACCTGCTTGAAGGTCTAACTAGGCAGAGACCAAAATATTCCTGTAACAAAAGTATCCATGTCATATAGCTATACAAGACATATTCACTGAGGATAATTTCTGTATAGAATATTCAACTCTACCACTTCCATTTCAGCATGCCGAAACATACACTTATGCTTCTATTACTGCGTAAGCACAGGCACGGTCTGTCATTCGACATGGGTTCACACCCTTTATTACATTTAAAAATAATAATACTAGCTCTGGAATCGTATAGAAAGGAAAGTAATATGTCAAATTCAGGGTGGGACAAACTAATCTATTACCCCCCCAATGGCCAGAAATGGTTTTAATGCCCCACTTACACCGCGCTTAATCTGCGCCTATGACACACATCCTGCATACACCTCCGAGGATTACTCACCCCATGCAGGAATCCTGCACCGACACCCGCAACTCTGAAAAACTGGCGATAAAGGGCAGCCCAAGCCGCGACGACTCACCGCGGAATCTGCCTAGTCCCGACGAAATTTTCCAACCTTATATAAAGCCTATTCCACTTCCATCTCCGCAGAGTTCTTTTTCACGAGAGTATTCCACTGACTTACCTCTACACCCCTTATACATCATGTCATTACAGTACTGGTCGGAGACCTTGAATTCTCCTACATTATCCGTGTTGCCGCACGATTTCTTGCGTCCTGTGGGTGGGCGGGTCGTCGAGGCGCGCCACGCGTTCGCAGCGCCGACGGCCGAACAGTTACACAGCCTTGCTACACGTGTGCCCGGTGCCAGTGCCTTTACCGTGGGGCTCGCGGCGTTTGCGACCTTGATCTACCGTCTCACCGGGGACGACGACTTGGTGATTCTCACCGACTGCGACTCTGAGGAGTTTATTGTGCGGGTGAGCATTGCGGCGGAGTTGCCGTTCGTGGACTTTTTGGCACGCGTGGTGGAGCAGTACGCGCGCGGCGCCGCCCAGCGCGCGCCCTTACAGACGATTGCTGAGCACCTTCGCGCGCAGAATCAGCTCGACGACCTCCCAGCGTTGTACAAGCTTTCGTTCCAGCACTCCCGTGCCGCCGAAGGCCTTTTGTCACCGTTGAAGAACTCCATCAAGGACCTCGCAGTGTTTGCGGGTGAGACCTACACCGTTTACTACAACGCGTTGCTCTACAAGCAGGAGCGCATGGAGATTTTGGGTGAGCAGTTCGTCCAGTTTGTGGCACAGGCGGCAGAAAACGCGGCCGTGGCCGTCGGGCAGGTCAGTTTGATCACCGCGGTGCAGCGCGCAGCGTTGCCAGACCCGACTGCGGACCTCGACTGGTCGTCGTTCCGCGGCGCGATCCAGGACATTTTTGACGCGAATGCGCGCGCACATCCCGCGCGTACATGCGTGGTGGAGACCGGCGCGCGCGACCGCACTTTTACCTACCAGCAGATCAACGAGGCGTCGAACATTGTCGGCAACTACCTCGTCAAGACCGGGATCCGGAAGGGCGATGTGGTCATGATCTATGCTTACAGAGGTGTTGACTTGATGGTGGCCGTTATGGGGGTGTTGAAGGCCGGTGCAACCTTTTCGGTGATCGATCCGGCGTACCCCCCAGCGAGACAGAACATCTACCTCCAGGTCTCCCAGCCTAAGGGGTTGATTGTGATCAAGAAGGCGGGGATTCTTGACGATTTGGTGTTGGGCTACATTTCCGACGAATTGGACGTTGTCACACGCATCCCCGCGTTGGAGATCCAAGACTCCGGGGCGCTTGTTGGCGGCGCATTCGGAGGCTCCTCTGAGTGTTTGTCCGCGTACGTGCAGTATGCGGACCGCTCGACCGGTGTGGTTGTGGGACCCGACCTGAACCCTACATTGTCATTCACCTCGGGGTCCGAGGGCATCCCAAAGGGGGTTTTGGGGCGCCACTTCTCGCTCGCATATTACTTCCCCTGGATGGCGAAGCGGTTCGGGTTGAGCGAGAACGACAAGTTCACGATGCTCTCCGGGATCGCGCACGACCCGATCCAGCGTGACATGTTCACGCCTTTGTTTTTGGGCGCGCAGTTGCTCGTTCCGACCGCGGACGATATCGGAACGCCGGGGCGCCTTGCAGCATGGATGGCGCAGTACGGTGCGACCGTTACGCACTTGACCCCGGCAATGGGGCAGCTTCTCTCGGCACAAGCTACCGCGGCGATTCCGTCCTTGCACCACGCGTTCTTTGTCGGGGATATTCTCACCAAGAGGGACTGCTTGCGCTTGCAGACGCTAGCGCAGAACGTGACGATTGTGAACATGTACGGGACGACCGAGACGCAGCGTGCGGTCTCGTACTTCGAGGTGGCATCTCGCGCGGTTGACCTAACGTTCCTCGAGTCTTTGAAGGACGTCATGCCGGCCGGACAGGGCATGCACAACGTGCAGCTTCTCGTTGTCAATCGCAACGACCGGGCGCAGACATGTGGCGTAGGGGAGGTTGGGGAAATCTACGTGCGCGCAGGGGGGCTTGCCGCGGGGTACCGCGGACTTCCGGAGCTCAATGCCGAAAAGTTTGTCACCAACTGGTATGTCGATCCGCAGCACTGGATTGATGCCGATACGCAAAAGAGCCAGGGTGAGCCATGGAGAGCGCACTACGAAGGCCCTCGTGACAGATTGTACCGCACGGGCGACCTCGGGAGATACCTCCCTGACGGTAACGTAGAGTGCTGTGGGCGCGCGGACGATCAGGTAAAGATCCGTGGATTCCGCATCGAGCTTGGTGAGATTGACACGCATCTCTCGCAGCACCCGGGCGTACGTGAGAACGTGACGTTAGTCCGCCGCAACAAGGACGAGGAGCCGGTGTTGGTATCGTACGTGGTGCCGAAGATGCCGTTTGCGCACGCGCCGGGCGTGGACGACCCTATTGTCTCCGGGCTCATCGCGCACGCGGACTTGATTCGCGACATCAAGGCGCATCTCAAGACGCGGTTGGCCGCGTACGCGGTGCCGACGCTCATCGTGCCGCTTGCCCGCCTCCCACTCAACCCGAACGGGAAGGTTGACAAGCCAAAGTTGCCGTTCCCGGACACGGTTCAGTTAGATGCGGTCGCACAGCTCTCGGCACAAGAAATTGACGAGTCGCTCTTCTCGCCTATGGAGGCGACGATCCGCGACTTGTGGATTTCGGTTTTGCCACAGCGCCCAGCAACCGTCACCCCGGACGATTCGTTCTTTGATCTCGGAGGCCACTCCATCTTGGCAACAAGAATGATCTTCGAGTTGAGAAAGCAGTTGGTGGTGGACCTCGCGCTCGGGGCGATCTTCAAGTTCCCGACTATCCGTGCGTTCGCCACGGAGGTTGCGCGCGTGCAGCGCGGTGCCGACGTTCAGCTCACCGATGTGGCAGAGGCCGCGCCCGAGACGCCTGCTGATTACGCGCAGGACGCGCGTGACCTCGCACGCACAGCCTTGAAGGCTACCTACGCCTCGCGTGCGCCGTTGGCCAAGACTGATGCCCTCAACGTGTTTGTAACCGGTGCCACCGGGTTCCTCGGCTCGTTCATCCTCCGGGAGCTCTTGACCCGCCCCACCGCCATCCGCGTGTTTGCGCACGTGCGTGCAGCAGACGCGGCCGCGGGACTTGACCGTTTGCGCACTGCCAGCAAGGCGTTCGGCATCTGGAACGAGGCCTGGACTAGCTCCATCGAGGTGGTGCTTGGCGACTTGTCCGTGGAGCAATTCGGGTTGACGGATGAAAAGTGGGCCGCTTTAGCCGATACCATCGATGTAGTTGTCCATAACGGTGCGTTTGTCCACTGGGTGTACCCGTACACGATGCTCCGCGACGCGAACGTGATCGGGACCGTGAACGTGCTCAACTTGTGCGCGCACGGCAAGGCCAAACAGTTTTCGTTTGTTTCCTCCACCTCCGCGCTCGACACCGAGCACTTTGTGCGCGAGTCCGACCGCTTGATCGCGGAAGGCAAAGCCGGGTTGTCCGAGGAAGACACCTTGGAGGGTTCCGCGGAAGGCCTCGGCACCGGCTACGGCCAGAGCAAGTGGGCCGCGGAATACATCATCCGCGAAGCAGGGCGTCGCGGCCTCCGCGGGTGCATCACGCGCCCGGGGTACGTCGTGGGACACACCACCACTGGGTCCCAGAACACGGATGACTTCTTGTTGCGGATGTTGAAGGGCTGTGTTGAGATTGGGCAGTACCCGGACATAACCAACTTTGTGAACATGGTGCCGGTGGACCAGGTTGCGCGCGTCGTGGTCGCGACCGCGTTGCACCCACCAAAGTCCGACGTGCTCGCTGTCGCACACGTGACCGGGCATCCGCGCATCCGCTTCAACGAGTTCCTAGGCGCGTTAGCCCCATACGGGTACGATGTAAAGGCGACGGATTACATGGCCTGGAGGGCCGCGTTGGAGAGGTATGTGGTGGCGGGAGCGGATTCCGCGTTGTTCCCGTTGTTGCACTTTGTGTTGGACAACTTGCCGCAGGATACAAAGGCGCCGGAGTTGGACGACGCGAACGCGCGCGCATCGTTGAAAATGGACGCGGAGTGGACCGGCGCAGACTTTTCCGCGGGCATGGGCGTAGATTTGGCTCAGATGGCGATCTATGCTGCGTATTTGAGCAAGATTGAGTTTTTGCCAAAGCCAGTGTTGGCGGGTGTGGCGTTGCCGGAGGTGGATTTGAGTGAGGAAACAATCCAGTTAGTGCTTTCGGGCGCCGGTGGGCGTGGCAGTGCCGCTAAATAGAGGGGATGGCCTGCGAGGTGAAACTGAGGTACGATAGGATTATATGGGATAATGTATAACCAGATTAAATATACCCGAAGTTAGTGTTAAATAGTAGGGAGTGATTTATGTCTTCAATATAGCTTTGAGTAAGTGGTATGCTCTCATTTAACTTAAATTACGGTAAAAAAAAATTGGCTCTAAAAATTTCCAACAATAGTTACTGGTTAATTGTTAAACAAAAACTGCAAATCCGCGGTGGTCAAACGACTGACCGCAGCATCATCATGGTTGATAGTGGCATGGATCATGTTTGCCTTCTTATCCTGCAACTCGATGATTCTCGACTCAATACTATCCTCAATACAGAACCGGGTGATCTTTACCGGCCGGTGCTGTCCGATTCTATGAACCCTGTCCCCCGACTGCCATTCTACGCTGGGGTTCCACCAGGGATCCATGATAAACACTTGCGACGCCTCGCACAAGTTCAACGCCACCCCTCCGGCTTTAAGCGACACCAAAAAGACCTCCACCGACGGATTTTCCATAAAATGCTTGATCGTCTTTTCGCGCTGGATGGGCGACATGGAGCCTTGGAGTTTGACCGTGCGGAAACCCGCGCGCTTCAAGCGCCACTCCACCAAGTCGAGCATGCTGGTGAACTGCGAAAAGACAATCGATTTGATCGTTTGTCGATCGCTGCGCAATTTGTACAACTCCTCCACTAAAGCTTCGATTTTGGTGGACGAGCGCCATTCACCGTCCATGCGGATCCGCGACACAATCGAGCCTTTCTTCGAGATTTCCGCATCCACCTCAATGGCCGGCGCCTGGAGATCAATGCTCAAACCGATGTGGCATACGGGGCACTCCAAGTCCTTGGCAGCCCCCAGGAAGCTCTCGCAGTACTCACTAATACACATGCGGCAGAACTTGTGGTGGCACTTTGACTCAATGGCCTCCTCGGCTTCGTCATCGCACAACTGGCAGACGAGCACCCCGTCAACAGTACCCAAGCCCAGTCCCGCCCGCTTCAACACTAAATCCGGATGGTCTGCGAGCTGGCGCATCCGGGTAATGAGGGTGAAAATGTTTGCGTAGTTGTTCAAAACAACCCCTTCGGCGACATAATCGTTAAAGCGTCTCCGCGAATCCGAGTACAAACTGGAGTATAGGTCCTTCTCCTCCTCGTTAAACGTGTCTCTGCGGATCTCCACCACCCTTGGAGGCAAGCCCAAATCGTCAGCCCTTTCCACCTTGGTCCTGCGCAACATGATGTTCTTGAGCAAAACCCTGAGGTTGTTAAACGATACCTGGCCGTCACCCTGGATTCCATGCTTGAGAATGTTCTTGAGCATAAAGTGGTTGAAAAAGTTAGTGTGTAACATCGGTGTGTGGCCGCAGTCGTCGCAGTGCGAGCGATCGGAAAAGCGCCAGTTGTTCGACCGACAGTCGCACTTGGTACAGAAATACTGGCAGTACGGCTCTAGCTTCATGAACCGAAGGAGTGAGTAGATCTCGCCGATGCGGTTCTGGAGCGGCGTCCCCAGAAGGCACCATCGCTTCTGGGTCGTGAGATCGTTGGCAGCCTTCGCAGTCCCGCTCTGGCGGTCCTTGATGTTGTGGGCTTCGTCTAATACCACGCGGTAGAACGGAACGGCGTGCAACGCAGACGCTTCCTTGACCAATCCGTGTTTGCGCTTGAAGCCGTAGCGCTCCTTGCGGTGGGCGCTCTCGAGAACTGCGTACGTCGTGAGAACCACGTCAAACTTTTCCAAAGCAGCTGGGTCGGACGTTCTATTCGCACCGTGGAACACTCCCACCGTCATCGTCCCGCCGGTATGGGCCTCGATTTCCGATTTCCACTGCATGAGCGCCACCGTCGGTGCAATGACAAGGTTCGGCCGCTTCGCTCGGTCGTTCATGAAGAGCGCAATTGTCTGGATCGTCTTCCCCATTCCCATTTCGTCCGCCAAAATGCCCCCCTGGTACATGCCGTCTTCCTGCTTTACAAGCCAGTTGAGCCCCTCGAGCTGGAACGGAAGCATCTTAATCGTCATATGTACAGGGTGTGGCGCCTTTTCCGGCACGATCGGCGCCTGATCGCCAAGGGCGGGGAACACGTCGCGGAGGTCCGGGTGCATCGTGTACAACTTTTCTGTCACGCGGGTGAAGTACGGGACCCTTGGCTTCTTTGACACAGCTTTTTTCTTCGGCTTCTTTCTTGCCTTTTCCCGCGCCGTGTCCTTGAGATCATTGATCCTTTCAGAGAGCGTCGGATCGTCGATGACTTCGAGCTCGGCGTCGCTTTCGGAGGAGACCTCAATCGCCTGGGTCTGGCCGGGCACAAACTCAACATCCGAATCGGAGAGCACTACAAACTCTTCTGGCTCTGTCCTAGCCCTGCGTCTTGGGGTTCTCCTGCGTTTCGCCAACGGAACGTCATCCTCGTCCACATGGATAGCGTCGTCTTCCGTGTAGGAGACGTTGCTGCGGGTTCGCCTGGTGCTGCGACGGTTTACGTCAGGGTCGTCCCTGATAAAGCCTCCCTCGGTGTCTGACATGGAAATAGTGCTAACGGAAGTTGGGGGTTTAATGTTAGAGTTGGCACCAGAGCGAATAGAACTGAAAGTGGATTAGCAGAAATGGTGAAATTTGCCACAGTACGGATGGGCAAAAGGCTCAGAGATAAGAGCAGACAAAGAGCCAAGCAGGGGAAAAAAATAGCAATGTAAGCAAGGAACTGAAAGATAGATGGCCAGAAGTAGGATATCTGGTTAAAACGGTTTGGGGAGGAAAAAAGATTGAAATTTGCCACTGCAATTGTACGGCGTGAGCTTCTCACCGTGCATGCAGATTTGATCGCGCATATTCTCGTCCAGCGATCTAGACACGTGATGTAACATGTGATGAACAGAGGTTGTGGATAAACGTATAACCTTAGTGTACTCGGGTCCAGGGTGTTGCAAAAAATATCATGGCAATGGTCCTAAATACTGTATCAGGACCCACAGGAATAGCGTGGTTTACGATCGATATCTCAAGGGCAACAGGCATGACTAACGGTGCATACTTCCGTCTTTCTAGTAAAACTTTTCTGACGAAATTGTATCATCCACAGATTCAGTTTTACTTCTTACAATGAAACAGCTTATTACGTTAACATAAAATACACAGGAGGCACGTAGGAAAGAAGGGCGAAAACACTAATAATACAATAAAAATAGAATTGAAAAAGCGAAAGTATGCGGCTATGTGATCAAGGGGTCCTCGTTGGTGGTTTCCATGGCAAAGTCTCTGAGATTATCAAAATCAAAAAAGTTGCTGAACTCTGCATCCACCAGCGCATCAAAGCCCGGAAGCAAACCGTAAGAGAAACTATCATCCCTCAGGCGCTTCCGTAACGAAGTCTCGTTGCTTTCCGGTGACATCCGTTTGCGTTCAGAGCCTGTGAGGTCTGTCAGCTTGATCTGGTCTTCCGGCGGCGTCGGCAAGTAAGGCAACAAGTTGTCATTGATAAATGGAATTTGGTTGAACGCCGACTTGATGACTTCCGGCAAAACATTGCCCTTCCAGGAGTCTCTGATCTGCAAGTCGTGTGGCGACACCGACATCGGGTCTGCCGCCGTAAGGGCGAGGAGAGGCGACTGTTTGGGTGAGGCCAAGCCCCCTCTCAACATAGAGGAGGGAGTCTTGGCATTAAACGTGAGCGGCGTTTGGAGAATCGCAGATGGAGTGAGACCCATACTTGGGGAGTCCCTGAACTGGGATTCCTTCGCAAGAGAGACCTGGGACAACATAGAAGGGTTCGAGCCAACCTTATCCTCCTCCTCGTACAAGCCTAGCATGTTTGCGAGGGAGGCAAGGAAGTATCTCGAAGGATCGGTGGTGACCAAGCTGTTTCTCTTTACCGTACGGGAATCCAACGCTACAGAAGGCGAACTTTTGGCGGCAGGAGTAGAAGCGCCCTTAGCGGCATCAGACTTCAGGCGCGGCTTGCTTGCAGGCGTTGGGGCATCAACAGATTCGGCCGGCGTGGTAACACCCGCGGGCGTTTCGGCCGCCTTTTTCTTACTGGCACGCTTTTTTGCTGGTTGCTTCTTGAGAACAGCGGTGTCAAGTACAGGAGCCGGTTCGGTCAGCGCTGGGAGCGCACCGTCTACCTTTTGGGGGGATGTCTTGGCCTTCAACTTTTGCCTCTGCTTCGCAGGTGCTTTCTTAGCACCCTTAGCCGGCGTTGGCTGGTTCAACTGCATGTTGCCTAAGTGGGGGGTCAACGAGCCATTGGAACCAATCGGACTGGCAAACAGCTGGGGAGTTGCATTGAACGTCGGATCTGCCACCCCAGGCTGGAGGCTGCCAAAGTTACCAGGTTGGGACTGGGATGGAGGCGGAACCATCGGGAAGTTGGCCCGAGCATCATGAAGCTGTTGGGACGGTGGCTGTGGCTGAGGCTGTGCAGGCTGCGGCTGACCGACAAACTGTCTCTGCTGCTGGTTCTGTTGCTGTTGCTGTTGCTGGCGGTTCTTAATCTCGTTCTTCACAAAGGCGTAGTAGCGCAGGAATTGGGTGTTGATACTAGTGATCAACTCCATGTTGGCAAAGTACTGGTTCTTGCCAATCCCCTCCACCACATCGCGCATCATCAAGCGCATCAACAAAAGTCGTTTCGTACCGTCCACGTTTTTGGTGAGAGAGTAGAATACAGGGTAGAGCTGGTCGATCATGTTGCACAATTGCATCAAGTTCTGCACCTTAGCTTGGACGTCGCGCTTCTGCTGAGGTGTTAACTTGTCACTGAGGTTGTTCAACTGGATTCTCGTTGTGGTTACTTCCTCGATGATTCGCTTTAACACTGCGCGGTCCTCTTCTGTTTGTGGGCCAATTCCTCTCGCCGTAGCCTGAACCTGAGAGGACTGTTGGATAGGAGGTTGTTGCCGCTGCTGCGATTGTTGCTGTTGCTGTTGCTGTTGCTGTTGCTGTTGCTGTTGTTGTTGTTGTTGTTGTTGTTGTTGTTGTTGTTGTTGTTGTTGTTGCTGCTGTTGCTGCTGCTGCTGCTGCTGCTGCTGTTGAGGTTGTTGTTGAGGTTGTTGTTGCTGTTGTTGAGGTTGTTGCGGCTGCTGCTGTGGAATTTGGTTTTGACGCTGTGGCCCCGGAACTTGATTAGGGAGCGTCTGTTGCGGGTTCCCGTTTCTCGAATTTATAACCACTGGCTGCTGAGAATTTGCACTAAACATCGGAGCATTGACCCCAGCATTGTTATTGGCATTCACATTACCTGGATTAGCGTTGGCAACATTCGCGTTGCCAGTCGCACCATTCCCACCTTTTGCTCGTTCCGACCGCTGGAACAAAATGTACTTACGGATGAAAGATTGCCTCTGCTCGCTGGTGAGCTGTGACGACACTTTCCCGGACGCTTGCAACTGTGTCAAGTAGCTTAAAGCAGTGGCAGAGTGCTGTGAGACCTCTTGTTGTGTGATCGGAGCGGTCAAATTCACAGGCTGCCCGGGTTGGGTCTGTGCCAACGGTTGAGACACCAGTTGTGGCGTCCTCTGTTGCTGCGCCGGCTGTGAAAGTTGCTGTGGGATTTGCGCCGGCATTTGTGGAGGAGCCTGTCCTTGGGTCTGAGGGCGCATCTGATTATTTTGCATCTGTAAAATCTGCTGTGGATTTGGCGTCACATTTGTTCTCTGTTGTGTGTGCTGCTGTTGTTGCTGCATCAATTGACGTTGGAACATTTGCTGGGTCTTCATTTGCTGAGATTGATTCAGGTTTACGTTTGTATTCAGATTTTGATCCAAATTCTGATTCATGTTCTGATTCATGTTCATGTTCTGATTCATGTTCTGATTCACGTTCTGGTTCATGTTCTGATTCAAATTCTGATTCACGTTCTGATTCAAACCCTGATTCACGTTCTGATTCAAACCCTGATTCATATTCTGATTCATATTCTGATTCACGTTCTGATTCAAACTCTGATTCACATTCTGATTCAAATTCTGATTCTGGTTCATGGCCATACTCTGGGAAGGCTCCCCGGGTAACAGACGTTGCTGCTGTTGCTGCTGGCTGGCCATGATTCTCGACGCATACTGTTTGAACAATACCTGCAAATGCGTGTTGTGTAGGTTACGTAAAGCAGGCAAAACCTGTTGGGGAATCACCTTCGACTGGATCAAGTCAAACACCTGCTGCCAGTTTTTCACGCCCGGTGGAATCCCCTGAACCTTCGACAACAACACTTGCGGAATTGGCATCTGCTTCATCTCGGTCTTCAACTTGCTGAGCAACTGCTGTTGTTGTTGCGGCGTGAGGCCGATATTTCCGCCAGGCATGCCATTAGGTGGTACATTGAGGTCGTTGTTTCCAACCTGGGGCGAGCTCAACATCTGGCCTTGAGTGGGCTGGTTCTGGGGAATTTGGTTTTGCACCTGCTGGCGCTGTTGCTGGAGCTGCGGAGGAACCGGTGGCAACTGGCTTGCACCCTGATTCTGACCTTGGTTCTGAATCTGGTTGAGATTCTGGTTAACGTTCTGGTTGAGGTTCTGGTTGAGATTTTGGTTGAGATTTTGGCCTTGGGCCTGGACTTGGCCTGGACCCAGGCTCCGGTTCTGAATAATCTGCGCAGCCGTTTGCTGTCTCGCCTGCGCCTGCTGGTTCAAAAACATCTGTCTGGCCTGGGGCCCCATGGTAGCGGCATTCTGAGCATTGTTCATCTGTGGCATGTTGTTCATAAACTGCGGGTTCTGCATGTTCGTGTTCGCAGCGTTGTTTCCGAGACCTGCGCCATTCTGCTGCGATTGCATCAACTTCTTCTGAACAGCAGCTCTGAATTGCAACACCTTGGTTTTAATGGTGGTGATGTACTGTTCCTGAGTGCCTGAGCCCTGGAAAGCCGACTTTTCGTAGCCTTCAGCGATCTGTGTGATCTTCTGGATAGGGTACGGTAACTTGGAGAGCTCCGAGGCCATGAGACTGACGGCCTTCTTCCGCTCCTCGTGGTCAAACAGCTGTTGCCACGGCACGCCCTGTAAATTCATAGTGACGGGACTGAACTGTTGGCAGGGAGTTGGCGTTTAAAGTGGGCAGGGGTTTCTGTGGTTGCCTCGAGGGTCTGCTGTGTAGCAAGTGGGTGGCGAAGTATGAGAAAATATTTTGCGCCAGTACCAAGCTATCAGAATATACAGCAATAGAGTGGAAGATGAAGTGTGTGTGTGTGTTCTAGTCACTAGTCCTCGTTTCGGACGGCCACGGTTTTCTGCCAATTCGGTGTGTGACTTTAATTTTTGCGCCGGTCAGGGAGGCACACCGCGCTATGTAAATTGGCCGTCTGTTTGTTTTTCGTTTCTTTTTCGATCCCGAGGAAGGCTAACTGCGGTGCTCCCCACTTCACGTGACACTACTGAGCGATCTAATCGTGGGAGCGCCGTCGCCGCCCTATATGCAGGACCGGTTCTTATCGAGCTGTCGGTTGCCAGCCGATCACGCCAGATAACCTTATTTACACGCACCCAACGCAGTGACCTGTTACAGTTGTTAGGGTTTATCTAGGTTGGGGAGGGTTATTTTACAAAAGAAAATATTTGGTGTCGGTAATTCTGATGAGCTAGGGGAGACGATAGACCGATGGATATGGTGTAGCAGGTGACGGGGACGGTGGACCATAGCCAAGAGATGTGGAAGCTTGTGGAAGCTTGTGGAAAGTTTATTTCTGGTGCGGGGTTAGGTTCAGTGCCATTCACGGCACCAAAAGTGAGCGGCGGGGATGCCCGAGAGATGGACGGAGATACTTGTATGAGTCAGATAGCGGTACTTTAATCCGGACCTTTGCAGACTTAATTGACACAGAGGCGATTAACTTCTGCCGTGCGGTCAGCCGCATCTAACGTCAGCCGTTCTCCTGACCATTCCATCTCGAGAGAGGTAAACCATACGTCCCCTACTCTCGAGAACATGCTATCGGCTCCCGAAGAGCGTGATGTCCACGAATGTTAGTTCTCATACACGCCAGTGCTATCAGGTGTGGCAGTACCCTGACTGGTCTGCGGGCTGTTGCCTAGTCAAAAACTGTGTAATGCGTGCTTCCACACTGACGCTGATCAAGCCCTGCACCACTTTAACAGCTACTGACGTATGGTTTAGCAGTAGATAATTCTTCTCGAAGGATATTAACCATCCATTTGTAGCTAATAAAGCAAGCAGTGCAGAATTTGATCAGCATCACTTAGACTATACAGAAGATCTTGGGTGGCTATTAATTATTCACCAATACTACAAACCCTCATTTGTCTGGAGCCAGAAATGTCTTATATATTTACCCCCCGGGAAACAACGGCCAGATGAGAGTGTCGGAGGTGTCAAAGGCCAACTTCAGGCTTTCGGAAGCTTATCTAGATTTTGTCGACGAAAACGCTATACACTGGTTGTCACATAAACATTCAGAATTGTAAAAATGGCAACCAGTCTACTAAATTCACGTCAGTTTGAAGTAATTTTGTGAACTCCCAGATGAACTCCCAATCAGCGTCTGGATGGTGCCCAAAACCTCAACTGTGTCTGCTTTGATATCACGATAACCAGGCTTCTCCTCCACCGCCACAGTTGCGCCACTTGCCCCAGAGTGTGCCATGGTCACATGATACACTATATGCAGTCTATGTCAGACCGTTATCAAAACATAATACAAAGTATACGACTGACCAGATCGCATACCTAGAGATAATCCATACTGCGATTTATAACTCAACTTGCATATATCTACCCATTGGATTGCCTAATCCGCCAAAACTCTACCCAGAGCCAACCATTTATCTTTACCTACCAGAGGTCAATTTCATCGCCTAATCCCTTTAGTCATGTCTGAAGACGCCAACGCCACCAGTCCGGCTCCCCCAGCATATACATCATTTCCGCTCCTCCCTGAGGCAGGAGAAGCTCCAAAACCTCTATCCACACTCCTCAAAAGCACTCTACAGAAGGTTACGGCCGCTTCCACCGCAGTGCAGAATGCGCTAACCTCAACGGAGCCGCCACTTCCCGCTGCGTCCGAGGCTCTTTCACCGGTGCACAGCGCTGTCAGCCACGAGTCGGACATGTTTAGGACAAAGCTTTCGCCCGAGACCTATGAACAGCCATTCCCAGAGGCCTACGAACCGCTGTTTTCATCCCCAGGCCAAGCCACATCGCAAGATAGAAGCCTCAACGCAGAAAGACTAAATCCTGAAAAACTCAACCTGGAGGGGATTCATATACCTGAAAGAGATCACAACCCAGACGGAACTCACAGCCCCAGCCACGACCTTGACGCTTCCAGCCTCACTCCATCGAGATCTCTCCGGATCCAAACCGACTCGAACAAGCTTTTGTTTACGGAAGTACAGCCACTGGTGCAGCCGCGAATAACGGCGGTCAATGTGACCACGGACCTTCAGCCCGAGGATGTCCGCCTGCTGACGCCCGACTTTGAGCCGTCGTCACTCCAGCTCATTTCCCAAATCTTCAAGAAGCTCCCCAACGATATCGAGCTTTCTGACGATTCAGACAGCGACGGCGCCTCTATTGCCAACTCCTCCGCCTTTTCGATCATGGGAAAAAGCGTCGCTGCGTCTGCCAACACGAAAGAACCGCAGAGCCGCAACCCGCTCAAGGAAGGTGGGATCGGCCGCAAACACTGGATGCAAGACGAGTTCGCCACGCACTGTCTCAACTGTAAGAAGGTGTTCCGCACATTCCGTCGCAAGCACCACTGTCGCTTCTGTGGGCAGATCTTCTGCGGCCAGTGCACAATCTTTATTGCGAACAAGAACGCCGAGAACGGAAAAATGCGCGTGTGCAAGCCGTGCTACAACGACGTGATTATCTATCTTAGTGATGACTCCGACGAGGAACCAGAGGTAAAGATCAACTCAGGAACGGACGATCGGAGACGGCGTCGTGACACTGACAGCAACTTCCTGAGCACTCTCCGTCTCGACCGCCAGAGGACACCAAGTACCGCCGATATGAAGAGCAACGGCAGTGGGGAGCATGTGTTTGTGCCTGCCCCCACTCCCCCACCCCAGATGGCCATTCCAACCACTCGTAAGGGCGAGTCTGTGGAGATTCCCGTGAGTCGGAGCTCAAAGAACCTCGCATCGTCCGTGTCCAGCTACAAGAAGCGGCATCCGCGGTTCCAGAGCGAGGTGTTCAAGTATTGGGAGGCGCCGGAGATGCGACCGCAGAATACCGGGGGCAGTTTCAAGGGGACGTCGCTTGAGTCCAGCTTCCTAGCGTCGTCCAAGCATCCCAAACACCCCGGCCTCTTTCCAGGCTCCTCGTCTTCGGAGGAAGAAGAGGTGTCAGACGAGCTTTCAGGGTCGGAGGACGAACAGGTCATGACGTTGTATCTGTCATTAAATGTGCCGCGCGCGGATTCGAGCATGCTCTTCGCGCGCGACGACTTTGACGATGGCAAGGGCTACACCATTCGCTCGCACGAGCGCGCGCACGCATCGTTGCTCCGCATGAAGTCGCGACGCAAGAGCAAGAGCGTGAGCCAGGCGCAGCCAATTGATAACGGAATCTTTACCGCCTCTGCGTTCACGGGCCCAAAGTGGGACACCAGTGCCAGTCCGATGAAGAGTACCCCGATAAGGTGGGAGGGCATGGGTCCGAAGCGGGAAGCACCAAGTCCCATGAAAAGCGACTTTAGCCCCATTAAAGGGGACGCCACTAACCAACGAGACCTGAATACCACTACGCCGAAAAGGGAGTTCTTCCTGTACGCCAGCCAGCGGGACTTTGTCCCGGGTGCTAGGCTGAAATCAGTCTCTTCTATCGCCCTCAACCGCACGACCGATGGCGAGACCGATTCCCCTCACGTGCGGTTCACCCCAACCGTCGACGACGCCCTCTCTGACACCTTCGATGCCCACTTGAGCCAGCTTATGCTCCAATGCCTTGGGGATGGCCACCTCGACGAGCAGGTGTGGGTGGATAGCTTGGCGCCGCTCATGAATCGCGTCGGCGACATTGACGTCGGCGACACTTTAGACATCAAGCAGTACGTCAAAGTCAAACGTGTTCTCGGGAACACGCCGCAGAGCTCTGAGGCTATCGACGGTGTCGCCATAACCAAGAATGTCGACCTCAAAGCGATGCCATCCAAGCTCACCAATCCAAAGATTGCCCTCGTGATGTTTCCTATCGAATACACCAAAAATACCGACCAGTTTGTTACGTTGGGCATGATATCATCCCAGGCCGCGGTGTACGTGAACAATATTGTCCAGCGCTTGGTGTCGTTGAAGCCAGACGTGATTCTCTGCGGTAGCGCCGTCAACTTGTACGCAGCCGAGGCGTTCTGTAAGGCGGGCATCGCGGTGGTGTCGCACGTCAAGCCCCAGGTGATCGAGCGCCTCTCGCGCTACTCCAGGGCCAGCATCCTCTACTCGCTCAACGACTTGTTCTTCAAGTTCTGCACTCTCGGGGCATGTCGCCTGTTCGAGGTGCGGCGGTTTGTGTTCCGGGGAACCGTCAAGACATATCTCTTCATCCAGGGCTGCGGTTACGAGGCTGGCTTCACGATGGTGCTTAGGGGTGGAGACGAGGCGTTGCTTGAGAAGGTCAAGTACACGTGTGACTCGATGATCATGGCGTACTTTAACCGCAAGTTCGAAAAGAGCTTGCTCTTGAACCAATCACTGGGGTTTGAACCAAACTTGCCGCTGGAGTCAACACCCGTACCCGATGCCATTGACGGCACTCTGCCCGGTTTCTTCGAAGACTACATTGTTTCCTTTCGGCAGCGGTTGTTGTCAATTTCCCCTGGGATCAAGTTTCCGCTCCCCCCAATCTTGGTCAGCGCGAAGGAGGCGGAAAAGGCGCTTCTTTCCTTCGAAGCGTTGCTGAAGACAATCGAGAGTCTTCGGGAGGTGTCTCTGGAGGCGGTTCAGTTGCTAGGCTTGGACATAGACACCCAACTGTTGCCAAACAAGGAGCAGGACTTGTTGAAGATTTACAAGTTTGTCTGTGGCTTCCGACTCAGGCTCCTCCGGGACGAGTTTTCGTGGCGGAGCAGGATCTGGACGAGCTGCATGAACAACCCGGCGTACCAACTCCTTCCGTTCTGCCACAAGAATATCACGTTGCTTTACTCGATGGTCTCCACCCGCAACGCTACCCCGTGCAAGGGCCCGTCTACGCTTAACATCAACTACTACACGCACCATGACTCCAGCTTGGGCCAGTTTATCGACCAGACCGTGGCGGAGGCTGGCAAGCTCTGCGATGAGTGCGGAAATCCTTACATCGAGCATTTCAAGAGCTTTGTGCACAACACCGGCAAGGTTGATATTGTGCTCGAGCGGCTCATGAACAACAGCACCGATCACGAGCGTTTGGACACACGCGTGATGTGGAGCTTCTGCAAGCAGTGTCATCTCGCGACGCCGATGGTGAATATGATGCCCGAGACGTATCGTTACTCTTTTGGAAAGTACCTTGAGTTGTCGTTTTACAGTGAAGGGGTCAGGTTGAGCAACTCCACCTGCACTCACGACTTTTACCGCGACCACATCCGCTACTTTGGCTTCAACGCATTGGTGGTGCGCATGGAGTTTTCTGCGGTGGAGACCCTCGAGGTGGTGATCCCGAAGAAGCAGTTGGAGTGGAAACCCGAGTTGGACATTGCGTTAAAGATCGAGGCACTCAAGCAGGTGGAGGTGCGCACAAAACGGTTCTTCAGTAGCATCATGTCGCGGTTGAACCGTCTCAAGTTGGTTGATCGCGTGGAGGAGGGAATATCCATCATTGCGAAGCTCAAGGATAAGGCAAGGGAACAGTTGCTGCAGATCGAGGTGGAAACACGGGAGTTGTACAACGGAACGCTCCCGACGGTGCACCTTCCGCTCAACTCGATCATCCGATCGGTCCAGGAGCTCAGTGTAGAGTGGGACGCGGACTTTAATGACTTTGAACGGGAGTTTTTGCCGAGTGAGAATGATATTACCCGGATTACCCAGTTCCATTTGAAAAACTACTTGTTTGACAAGTACATCGACTTCAAGAAGGAGGACGAGCTAGAAAGAAAGGAAAAAACTGAAAACACAGACGGGTTAGAAGAGAAGGCGGAGGGATTAGAAATAGAGAGACAAGAGACAGGAAGGAAAGAAGGGGTGACGCATACAAGGGATGTGGAACAAGAGCAGAAAACCCAGGGCATTGCTATGCCTGTAATCGCCCTTCCAGATAGCGTGGCGACGAGTGACGAAGCACAGATTAGTCTTATGAATACCCAAAAAGTGCTCAAGGGAGTTCCAGAAAAGTCTACAGAAGTGCCACCTGTTGAACAGCCAACCGAGCAAGACTCACTAACAGAACCGGCTTCCAAACCCGCAAGACTCACCAGTGTATTGCAGAAGGCCATCGAGATCGAAGCTGCCTTGGACACCCACAAATCTGACGTTAGCGACACCCCAAAGAGTAGTTTCACGTTCAACGTTTCGCCGTCCGTGTTTACCAGCCCCGCCAAATCTGTATTGAAGCCATCGCTGATCTCAAAGCCGATACGGAGCCCGATGCGGTCGGGTCACTCTATGGAAGGAGGTTACTTCGACGCTGTGTTCAACATCCCAACCGTCCCCCGTCTCCAGTCCACTGACCTCGAGATGCAGCTTCGCAAAGGACTCAAACGGTCAAATGCAAGCGTTGCGGCCTACCGCGATGAAGCCACTACTCCATCCAATAAGGTTTCCGATTTGGCCAACTTCTTCGACAAGATGCACTTGAACCAGTTGTCGATGGAGTTTGAGCTCCAGAGAGAGAACGAGAGACGCAAGCTCAAAAAGTACCGCGCCATTCCGATCTTGTCCTCCAAGCCGCGGGTGGAGGTGTACAAGAAGATCGAAGACGCGGTGGTAGGGGAAGTCGACCTTGTGCTAAACAACGAAGAAGGCCAGGCAGGCAAGCGAGCCAAACCAAACGAGCTGGTCCGGTTTGAAGGTTTGCGAACTCCCAATTTGGGATCAGAAAGGTTTGATAGCAAGCCGATCAAGGAGCTCGCGATCGGGATGCGAAGCAGGGCCAACTCCTTCGGAGCCAATGAGGCTGAGTCGATTGAGAACGCGAGCGAGAAGAAGCAGATTGAACCTGGCTCGCTTGAGGAATTCGGCCCCCACAGTCACGCGATTGAGACCACTGAAAAGGTTTCGTTACTAAAGACCTTGACGAATTTCTGGGCCGATAGGTCCGCCACCTTGTGGGAGCCTCTCGACTACCCAATGGCCTCATCCGAGCACACGTTTGCGGACTCAGAGGTGATTGTGAGGGAGGATGAGCCTTCATCGTTGATTGCCTTCTGCTTGAGTACAGCTGACTACAAGCAGAAAATCCAGCGGATGAAGGAGGACAACCCCGACAGAGCCACCCTTGCAAAAGAAGTGAATGTTTCGAGCGCCGCCTCCGTTGCTATGTCTACCTCGACCATAGGCAAGCCGGTAGTCACTGGACCGCCGCCTGCTGCAACCGCCGCCACGTTCAAAGCGGATGTGACGTCCACCGACCATTCGGCGAACCAGGCCGCCAGAGCCAATGCCAACCTCAGGGATACCACCGCTAAGAAGGAGGTGCAGTTTGCCAAGTTGGAGAAGCGGTTCAAGGTATCGTCAGATCACGACGAGACGGAGATCGAGAAGGTCATGGCCAAGAAAACCGCCGCGCACTTGAAGTACCAGTTTGTGGACGGCCAGTCGATTCTCTCGTGCAAAATTTTCTACTCGGAGCAGTTTGAGGCGTTCCGAGAGGCATGTGGGTGCGATGTAAACTTTGTGCAGAGCTTGTCCCGGTGTGTCAAATGGGATTCGTCAGGGGGTAAGAGCGGATCGTCGTTTTTGAAAACCTTGGACGACCGTTTCATCATCAAGGAGCTCTCCAAGTCGGAGTTGGAATCGTTTGTGGCTATTGCTCCGTACTACTTCAAATACATGTCGCAGTCAATGTTCAACACGTTGACCACCGCCATCGCCAAGATTTTTGGGTTTTACCAGATTTACATCAAAAACCCGATCACTAATAAGAACTTCAAGATGGACTTTCTCATCATGGAGAATGTGTTTTACGACAAGAAGCCCACCCGGATTTTTGACTTGAAGGGTTCGATGCGCAACCGCCATGTGGAACAGACCGGGAAGGAGAACGAGGTGTTGCTAGACGAGAATATGGTGGAGTACATCTATGAGTCTCCGGTGTTTGTGAAAGAGCACGCGAAGCGGTTGCTTAGAGGGTCGCTCTTCAACGACACGTCGTTTTTGTCGTCGATGGATGTGATGGACTACTCGCTTGTGGTGGGCATTGATTCGGTCCACAAGAAGCTTTATGTGGGGATCATCGACTGTATTCGTACCTTTACCTGGGACAAGAAGGTGGAAAACTGGGTCAAGGGGACGAATTTGATGGGTGGAAAGAAGGGTATTGATCCGACAATTGTGACTCCAAAGCAGTACCGTGTGCGGTTCCGAGAGGCGATGGAGAGGTACATCTTGGAGGTTCCCGATTGTTGGTATGAGGGAGGTATCCAGGCCCGTGAGGAATAATAGAAGGCTCCGGGAAGGTTATAATACGCATATCCTTTGTAATATGAAAGAAAATAATAAATTTAAGTTATAAGGAAAATACGATTTGTAGGTAAATGGTATCCTGGAGATGGAGCTATAATCGATGAATCAGGCTTGGAGATACACTCTTCTGGTCTGGGAATAGTGTCGGAAGAAAGTGGACCCACATTTTAGGTCAGTAATGTATTCTGTTAGAGTGTATAGAACTGTCCTTTATCACCGCTAACTGCCACGAACAAGCGGCAGCTAGTATTAGTAACTAATACTCTTGTAGGTGCCCACATGGAGCATAAACAGTGTATCAGCCCTTGTGGAATTGGTGCTGATGCCGAATCAGGTCAACGGGTTCCTACGCTTCTGGTAAAATTTCGTGCGAGTGGTGGAAATATGTCAGACAACCGAACGTCAAAAGACAGTATTTCACCGCATAAACAAAAATCCTAATTGAATACGTGTTAAATGTAGCGTAAATTCAATAAATAAATAAGGCTTATCTTCTCTTGGCGGAGAGGTCTGGTAATGGCAAGGCGGAGACTGTAATGTAGGAATTTTGGGAGTTGGCCAAACCAGAAAAGGCGTTGTACCAGCCCAAGAAAGCAGTCACAATGCCCAAAATACCACCGGCCTGGGAGGTACCGGCACTGCCAGTGAATGCGCCAATGGACAACAACAAGAAGGTGTTGGCCAAGAAGAAGAACAACAAAAAGAAGGCCAAGGTAGACTTCATGGTGCACAAACACAACATGTAGGTGAAAATAGACCAGGCCAACAAGTAGAACCCTAAGGCATCAGTCAACTGTTCCTCGTGGCCCTCATAGGCCGCAATCACGCCAAAGAAGTCGGTCTGGATAGCGGCGTAGGACATCCAGAAACCGCCGTAAGATGCAAGTGCAGTAGCACCAAAAGTATTTTCCAAAACAATCTCCCACATACCGGCACAGAATTGCACAAACCCACCGTAGAAGAAGGCAAGCCCGACGACAACGTTGGGGGTGGTGATACCCATGGCCTTGGCGTTGCAGACAGACAAGACGAAGGTGGTCAAGGCGAAGGCAGACAACCCTAACGGCGCTGGGTTACCGAACTTGTGCGAGCTTGGAGCTGCATACTTGTCCGGATTAAGATTACCACCAAAAGCTTGCTGCAAGTCTTCTCTCAAGAACTTCTGCTTGCCGATGTGAATCCATTCGGCGTTGTTGCCAGACGTGCGGATCTTAGCAATATCGTGCACGGCGTCTTGGTCGTGAATTGAGCTCTTGGAGTGGATGGAACGGGTATCAAAGTCGCCTCTTTCTAAATCAACGCTCATTGTGGTGTGTATAGGGGAATGTACTGGTTGCGGAGGATAGGCCAGAAATTGATGGCGGGGATTGGTGCCTTTTATATGCCCTACATTATTTATAATGCTGATGGCCTAACCCGCAAACGTATGCAATGATATGCACGGAACCCCACTTTGGTCAGCGTTTCCTTACTTTGAGGCACGGTCATGTAGGAGAATCTGTTTAGACCCGTTCGGGTCTGATTTCCGTGCCCGGTCCAGAAACGGGAGGGAGAGAGGAAATACTAATGCGTGCATCTAAAAATGTCATGCATGAATAGTGCTTCTGTTTCCGTCCGTTAGGACCCGCATCAATGCAGAACGCTAGAACGGTACGTGTAGTCAGTTCTCAGACACTCATACATCTTGCCGCGCAATCAGTTTAGTCATATTAGTGTTTGGCAGGGAGATACGGCTGTGGCTCTGGGTAAAATCATGAGAAGGCTGGCAGAACTCGCAGCTTTCCAGGCGGAAACTCCGTTTCGAAAGGGTGGAGCCCAAACCCTATTAGGAGCTTGCAGGCGAATGGAAGGCGGCTTACGTCGATGGGCATCCTCGTAACACTTTCGGAAAGAATACGCCTGTTCTCGGAGTGGTGCTTATGCGTACCCTGATCGCCGAAAGAGAAATTTAGATTAGATGGAATTTAGGCTTCCTAACAAGCAATCAGCGCAAAGGGTGACGTTAGTTAATTATAATTAAGCAGTTGGTCACGTATGCGACGGCTCCATGTTTCCGTAGTCCGGCCCCGTTCATAGACTGTTTCACCCTTGAAACACAGGACAGAACTCACAAATATCTGGCATCTGAGATGTTTTCATTTCTAAGATGCTGATTCCTTTGTTCTGTACATACTTGTTGTCCTCCCAGAACTTGTCGGCTTACCGTCAACCCCCCGACGGAGAATCTTCGGAGAAACTACCTCGGCGGTGCATGCAGGTTTCCACGTCCTTTTCTATAGCGGGAAGCGGAACAAGTTATGCATGGCCCCCGCTCACAAGCACAAACCAACCCCGCACCCGGCTTCCCTGACCTGAATGCATGCAGCACCATGCACTACGGCAAACATCTGTGTTTCGGTGATCGATGCACGACTGTTGAGTGATGCGCTACCAGCCAGAACCAAGGTTCGTGGCTTAGCTTTTAAAGTCAACACGTTGAGAAAGAACTTTTGGGAAAAAGAAATTTAGCGATAGAGACTTGCAGTAGGTGATATGGGTAGAGTATCTATAACAAACTGTTTGTGTGTAGTGCCGAAAGACGTTTGTTGTAAGATCCAACTCTTGAGAGTGCTGGTGGGCATCTCAGACTGCGGCACCCCGGTAAGCTTTCAGCCGGCCTTTTAAAACGAATCTACGTCATCCAATGTGAGGATATTTCACCATTCATGGTGGCTGGGCAAAAGGACCATTCTTTGCCTGGCCTGGGGCGTTGGTGCTATACTGAGTAATGTTTGTGCCCCCGTATCAGTCATTTCTCGCATAAAAGGATGCACGCATATTGGAGGAATGATCCCACGAACAGACGGATGAACGGAAGCAAACTGTGGTTTACGAAAAAAAAAAAAAAAAAAAAAAAAAAAATATTGACACAGAACCAATCTTCAGCTCCCTCTTGTGATCGGTGGGTGTCGCCTGGGTCTAGTTTTTCAAATGCCGTGTAGTCTTTAAATCGTCTCCTACAGCTTGCGTATGTCCTTCTGTAGCCTCCATTCCCCTAGGGTATATACTGCAAGTATTCCATTTCAGCATAATCCACTTTAGATAAACTGACTCAGATCGGCAACTTATGGCGGTAAAATGCCGTTCCACTGGTTTAGGTAATATAAACGTATAACACAACAACCTTTGATTTTATTACATCAGTCCTAGTACTAGCTCCTTTTTGGTGTAGAAATATACATCACTTGGTTTCATACCTTTCGACTTTATACAATGCTCAAGGCGTTCACGCCAAAATTACCACGAACCACACAATATTTATACTTCAAGAACATGATAGTGTACATCATTTCATCCCAGATGTATCGCACAAATGTCTTTACTGGTACACGGGAATCATGTCTATATGTCCAACGCCAAAACAGGGAGCCTTCCAGATTATAACTGATTTTGTGGTTTACCAAAGGTGGACAACTGGATATCGGTGACTGAGTTACCTGCTGTGGTGCTGCCGAGATTATTCCCCGTACCAGCGGAGTACTCAACATCGTTCGGCACCGCACGAACTTCCTCTTCTTGGGGTTTGAACATGATAACACACACAGCACAAGCCAAGATGATGCTAAAGCCGACCCAAGACAAGAACCCGGGGATTCGATGCCAAATGATCAACTCCCAGAATACAGCGTATATCATTTGCGTATACAACATCAAGCTGGATCTGCCGGCCTTTTCGCGTTGGATCCCGGCCGTCAAGCAGAACTGCATCACAAAACCAGTGACCCCAATGAGAATGAAGAGAAACCACTGGTGACCGGTCTGGGGCACGGTGAAGGAGAGTGACGGGTGGACGGTGAGTGTCACAAACGAGATAACCACACAGGTGAGCGCAAAATAAGACACGGAAATAAGCGGATGGGCCCTTTTCCCGATGAAGCGAATAACAATCAACACGGAGGAGGCCCCACACACGCCGAGAAGCCCTACGCCGGTTGCAAAAAGGCGGAGCTGGGGATCAGTGGTTTCAACGGAACTGTCAGCAAGCGACAGAGAGTTCCCAAAAATAAAAGACGGCCTGGCCACTAGCAATACCCCGCCGAAGGAAAAGAGCCCGCACACAGACTCTACGATGGAGTAGCGTTCGCCGAGGATGAGCCACGCCAAAAAGGTGGCAACGGTGGGGACCAAGAAGGTGATGACGACCGAGTCCGAAAGCGTCATGTACTGCAAGCTGTAATACAAGCCAAAGACGCCAAAGAACCCGGTGAAGCCGCGGAGAGCCAAAAACTTTTTATATCCTGTGGGGCCCCACGGCGCATGCGGTGTCTTGTCAATATACATGTACACGAGGCAAAAGGCGTAGGTAATGGCCATACGCACAAACAAGATCTGGAGAGGGTGGATGGGTGTTTCAAACATGGGGTCGGCCTCTAGCAACTTGCAGGTCACCGCCATGATGGAGTTGAAGAACTGCGACACCACGATGAGCACGAGTCCCACGTTGGGCTGTAAGTAGGCATGATATGCAGCCCACGGTTTGGAAAGGAGTGGGTGGGTATATAGGAAGGAGAGTTTGGAGTACCCCTGCTGGAAAGACTCCGAATCTGAGAGCGTGAAACTCTCGTCGTCTTGGAGGTCGAAGGAGTCTCTGGTGGCGGAGCCCGATAGCTCTATGGGACTTGACATAGCTGATCTTGTCGTAGCAATTAATTGAAAGCGTTCTCCTTTGAAATCAAAGAAAATGAATTTTAGCGTCTAAGACAGAGAAAGAGGGATGACTAATAGCTGAAGACTATGCACGGATATTTTCTGTAGCTGCGCGCTTAAAGCGCTCTAGACTGCGCCGTGGGGCTTCGCATAAAACTACGGATACGGGAAACGACTTACAACTGTGGGATTTTTTGCGTCCTATATACCGAATGGTTTGAACGTTTGTAATGGTGGCTTATAGAGGTTTAACTGGTTTTGGGAGGTTTCAAAAATCCCGTGCACTGCTCATCGAGGATGAAAATAGACTAGGCGGAAAACTCGGGCCGAGACCGATTCCGTGCTAAAAGCCTACAGCCACACTCGAAATGCTTAAGTGAGAGATAGGGCGGGTGTCGTCACGGGTATTGGCTGAGAAAGCGATACACCAAGCACCACTGCTATCTTTAGAGTAGTTATTTTGATGAGACATTATCGCTACTACGTGTATACTATGATTTACAAGGATGTTTCTCCACCGAATCTCCAGGGCACGGAAATATGCTTGCGATAATGGTGTGGCGGTGTTGTCTAGTTCGGTGCACTAGCCTCACAATAACGCCGTAGGGGCTGGTGAGGAACAAGGCGGCTTACGGCGGTCATGGATGAGATAAGACTGTGTTATTACACGTTTGGCTCTCTTTTCCTCTAATTCAGCGTATAGGACATATATATATATATATATGATTCAGAAAAACATGGAGGATGCTCCTCACGTGGCGATGTTGGTGCTCGATACCCCAACTCCGGGCTACTCCGAAACCTATGGCGACTTCCACGACCAGCTCATTTCCGTGGTCTCAGATGCTGCCCGGAAAGGCACCCAGGATCTTCGCTTCATGTCTTATGACGTGATTGGCCAAGACCAGTACCCCTCGCTGAAAGACTTACGCAATGGATCAGTGTCTGCGGTTATGTTCGGGGGGTCTCGCTACGACGCGTTTGCAGACGACGCATGGGTCCTCAAGTTGTGCGCCTACATCAAAATGTTGATTACCGACTTTCCGCACCTTCCATTGATTGGCATTTGTTTCGGGCACCAGGTGATCGGACGGGTGTTGGGATGTAGGGTGGGACGCAGCCTTGGTGGCTGGGAAAACGGGATTACCCGAATGGAGCTCACTAAGGAATTTCGGCAAAACTCTGAGTTTATGTTTTCCAAGGAAGAGAGGTGTCCAACCTACTGGAACATCGTGGAGAGCCACCAGGATATCGTGCTTGATCTCCCAAAGGCGTACCCTGAAGTTGTTAATGTGGGAACCACTGAAGAGTGCAAAATCCAGGGCCTTTTTGCCGCGTCGCAAACGTTGAACCTCTTTACGCTTCAAGGCCATCCGGAATTTACCGCTGCCTCCTCTACGTTTTTGATCAAGATGTATATCATGGGGTCTCCGCTGGAGAGGGAACAGAAGTGGATTCTGAGCAACGAAACGATGGTCAATGACGGGGCGTTGATGGGTCAGGCGATCTTTGCCTTCATCAGTAAACAGAGACGGAAATACCAAGAGGTTAAATGATCTTATGGGTGACCAAACAGAACGTGGACCTCGGAGCAAAATATGACTAGATGTGCCTAAACATGAGGAGAAGCCAAGGATATTCGTCTGGTGGGTGCTGACAAAGTTTGAGAAACCTAGAGGTTTGAGGCATATCCAGTATATATATTTTATGGTCAGAGGAACAGAGTAATTGGGATTTTTCAGACAATTTTCGGTCGAGGCGAAAAAGTTTCATCCAAGCTCCAGCGTCGATTATATTCCTTGGGTGTATGGCAAGGACATTGAGTATTGGGTTCTATTTAAATTTTTGATCTCCGCCCCTTTGGACCTCTTTCTTTTTCTTTAATATCTCTGTTTATCCTTCTCTTACTTTAAGGCAGCCCTCTATCACTGGCTTGGAATTTACTGCGATAGCCTATCCTGGTGTCACGGTCTATTCTATAACGCCCACGTTGTGGTTAACCCTGACTGTAACCAATACGTGGGTATCCCAAATCACAAAACACAGCTTGAGGCATGTTGGAAAGAGCTAAAGGGGTAGTTTTATATTCTGTCTTGGGCAGATAACTTGCCATGTAGATGAAATTGCTGCTCCAACTAATCCGGTCTATAGACCTGTGAGGGCCCTAGCTTTTAACTTTTAGCTTTGTCAGAGTTAGAGAGTTGTTTCAGGAACCTTATGAGGTTCCAGTTGAGGCTACTAGGATTATTTGATAATGAGTATCTGAAACTAATCCTGTCGCATAAAGCAAATGAGGCACCGAAGAAAGCTATATAAGGAAGTAGTTTTCCAGATCTAAGAATGATCTTGGTTTTAATATTATCTTTATTTTTGTGGAAGATCACGATAAGTAACTTGTGAATCAATGACTGATTACAACCCCCCGACTGGAATACCAACAGGCGCTGGAACCCTGACAAGCTTGGCATAGCAGCCGGTCTAGTATAGTGGTCAGTACACCTCTTTGTGGCAGAGGAAACCCAAGTTCGATTCCTGGGACCGGCAGTGTTTTAAGGGCCATTTCAGCCTTTCAGCATTTACATGATGATTAAAAATAGATTTTAGACGTTAGACTACCTAATTTTGTTGAGGAAAGATCTACATTTATCTGATTTTTATCAGACTTTTATCAACCTAGGGTTTATATACTCCACAGCAGGTGTAACATGTCTTGATTACACAGAAAGTATGGACTGAACAAGGGGCATTCTCAACTATTTATCTAGTTTCTAAATCTGTAGATGGAAATACTAAGTGGAGGTTCGCTCATCGGAAATACTTTCGAGTTACCAGATATAACTCTCAGATTTCTGTGGGAAGATTGTAGATGGGTATTATATTGGCATCTCATTGAACGTGGGAGGTTAAACCTTTCTCGGAAAACGACTTGTCAAACAGTTGGTTTTTTCAACCCTTAGCGCTTCCGCAGCTTCAGCTTTTTCCGCTTTTTTGACAGCAGCTTTCCAGATCCGGTCTTTTCAACCGCTTTCGTTTCGGTGACAGTGTTTTCAGCATCAGATTTATCGTCAGAAGCGCTTTCAGGTTCAATGTTCTCAGTTTCAGCCTTGACTATGTTAGTCGTAGCAGCTACCGTAGTGGCTAGCCTTTCGACTTCTGCTTTCTCGGCAACTAACCTCTCAGCTTCTGCCTTTTCAATAGCTAATTTCTCAGCGGCTAACCTCTCAGTCTCTGCTTTCTCGGCAGCTAACCTCTCAGTTTGCTCTTTCTCAGCGGCTAATTTCTCAGCAGCCAACCTCTCAGCTTCCACTTTCTCAGCGGCTAACCTCTCAGTCTCTGCTTTTTCAGCAGCCAACCTCTCAGCTTCCACTTTCTCAGCAGCTAACTTCTCAGTCTCCACTTTCTCAGCAGCTAACTTCTCAGCTTCTGCCTTCTCCATAGCCAACTTCTGAGAAGCCAAGTATTCAGCTTCAATTTTCTCAGCCTCAGCCTTGTCTGCAGCGAACTTTTCTGCAGCTAGCTTCTCAGCGGCTAAGTACTCGGCTTGAATCCTCTCCGCCTCAGCCTTATCAGCAGCAAACTTCTCAGCTTCAAGCCTTTCCTCTTCAGCCTTGCTGTCAGCAAATCGTTTGTCTTCAGCTTTAGAAGCCAGCTTTTTAGCTGCAATCTTTTCCGTAGCTAGCTTCTCAGCAACAAGTCCCTCAGCTTCAGCTGTTTCGGCCGCTAGCTTTTCAGCTTCCGCTTTCTCCATAGCCAACCTCTCAGCTTCTGCTTTCTCAACAACTAGTTTCGCAGCAGCTAACTTCTTGGCTTCACTCCTGTCAGCTTCAGCCTTCTCGGTAGCTAACCTTTCAGATTCCGCCTTCTCAGCAGCTAGCCTCTCGGCTTCTGCCTTCTCGGTAGCTTGCTTCTCGAGTTCAACCTTCTCAGCCGCTAACCTCTCGGCTTCAATTCTATCGGCTTCGACTTTCTCAGCAGCTGCCTTCTCAGCAGCTTGCTTCTCGGTTTCTGCCTTTTCAGCCACTAACTTCTCGGCTTCAATTCTATCGGCTTCAGCCTTTTCAGCTGCTAACCTTTCGGCTTCAATCCTATCAGTTTCGACCTTTTCAGCCGCTAACCTCTCAGCAGCTGCCTTTTCAGCGGCTAACTTCACGGCCGCTGCTTTCTCGGCAACTTGCTTCTCGGCTTCAGCCTTCTCAGCCGCCAACCTCTCGACTTCAATTCTATCGGCTTCAGCCTTTTCAGCAGCTAACCTCTCGGCAGCTGCCTTCTCAATAGCTTGCTTCTCGACCTCAGCCTTTTCAGCCGCTAACTTCACGGCCGCTACTTTCTCAGCTTTCGCCTTCTCAGCTTCAATTCTATCGGCATCGACCTTTTCAGCAGCTAACCTCTCGGTCGCTGCCTTCTCAGAAGCTAATTTTTCAGCTTCAATTCTCTCAGCTTCTGCCTTCTCAGCAGCTAACCTGTCAGCTTTCGCTTTCTCAGCGGCTAACTTCTCAGCGGCTAACCTCTCTGCTTCCACCTTCTCAGCTCCTGCCTTCTCAACAGCTAATTTCTCAGCAGCTAACTTCTCAGCTCCAATTCTATCGGCTTCGGCCTTTTCAGCAGCTAACTTCTCGGCCTCTACCTTCTCAGCAGCTAACCTCTCAGCTTTCGCTTTCTCAGCAGCTAACTTCTCAGTCTCTGCTTTCTCAGCAGCTAATTTATCAGAGGCCAACCTCTCGACTTCCGCCTCTGCCCTCTCCTCAAACGAGGCTCTTTCGCTGACAATGTTGTTCCGCATAATCATCTCCATTCGGGCATCCTCCGCCGTTGGGGTGGCATTAACGTTCTCCCAGATGATCTGGCCTGAGTTGCCGTAGCCAGGCAAGTCGGATAACTTGGCCCGGAAGTAATCCACATCCTTCATCATATACGCCTTCTCAATAGAGTCTTTGAACACCACGCGAGAATACTCCTCCAACAAGCTCCGCTTGTAGACTGCAAAGACCTGCGAAAGGATCAAGGACGCCTGAAGCTCCGGCAAGTACTTTTGCAACACCCGCGCAATCGTGACGGTGTCCTTGACCAAGACCTCCATGTACTTGTGGCACTGGGCCGGGGCCTCGAGACCCTCGGACCAATTGATGCTCCTGGCAGCCACGCAATGAGTACCAACACGGTCGCTCATAATGGACACCAACTTGTTGAAGATCTCGCCCTGGTGCTCCTGGAGCGCCGCCAGAAGTTTGTCCCATTCGTCGCTTTCCAGGCGCTTGTTGAACGCCTTCTTTGCATACGGAATAAGGTGAAGCCATACGTCCAACGCCTGCGATGCGAGCGCGAGATGCTTCGTGCTGATGTGTTTGAGGCCGGCGGTGCGAGTTGCGCCGGCGCCGAGCACGGACTGGATAGTTTTGGAGTTGAATACGCGGATGAGCTCGCACACGTTGGCCTCGAAAATCTGCGTGAAATTGGGATAGAGTGTCTTGAGCAAAAGGTACTGCTTGGTGTAGGTCAAGAGCGTAGCCACGGTCTGAGGGATGACAAAGCGGGAGTTGTCGAAGGAGATCCGGGTCACCATTTCCTTCGCTTCAGGCGTTTCCGCAGCCGCTTCAGTTTCGTATAAAAGATACAAATCCAACCATTCGCGAGGAACGGCACCGTCTGTACCGCTATGGACAATGCCGTCCACCACAGCTTGCACCTCGCTTCCAGTCACCTCCTTCCAGGTTTCCCTGTCGATACTCTCTGCAAAGGCACGCACATTGGTCTGGTGGAAGTGCGCGCAGTAGCTCTTGGTTTGGGAGAAGAGGTACTCCTGAAGCACGTTGCTGGTGTTGAAGCCCCCCGTGATGAGCTCACACTCGTTGAGAAAGCTAGCATTGAGGGCGTAGAATCTGGCAAAGAACGGAAGCGTCACGTTGTTCGTCTGTGACGTACGCACCGTCATAATCTTCTTCATCCGCGTCTGGAGAATGTCCACACACGCGTGAATGGTTGACGTGATGTCCACCGCCATGCTGGACTCGGTATTGGACGGATGGCGCTCCAACGCGCCCAACGCAACGTCCAAGACAAACTTCTGCTGGTGAGCCATGCGCCGCAAACACTCCGAGAGCTGGGTGTAGATCAGTGTGAGCATCGCCTGGTACTCTGTCGGCATCAACTCGCGCAAGCTGGCCGGAAGCAAGGACGACGAGTTGGGGCGGGTTGAAGCCGAGGTCGCAGAGGCGGAGGACGGCACCGCATCCTTATCATTAGGCAAATTAACCCGCACAATCGTCTTCACCTCGGCAATGTACTTATCATTAAGCATCTTGAACGCAGGAACGACTTCGTTACACCTGCACAACCCCGATATATACTCCAGTGCTTTCAACTTAAACTCTGGCAGAAGCTCAGCGTACAGTGTGTTAAGAACCCTAGGCCTGCGGTCGGCCGGGAGAATCTGGCTCTGCATCCGCATCAACGTCTGGTTGGCGTCCGCGCCCTCGTACTGCTCCCGAAGGTTGCTCACCATAAGGTCGAGGAAGATACTTCTGTAATGGTTGCTCACCGAGCTGGTTAATTGGGCCAATAGCCGTTTGAGCGGGGTCAACGCTTCGAGAGGGGTCAAGTCTTCCAATGGAAAGGGTAAGGTGCCACTTAGTGTTTTGACCGCTGGATGCTGCGTATCTCCTTTGATGAGAGCCTCCACGTGGTCGATTTTGTCGAGACACTCACCGAGGAACCCCTGGGTGAGCAAACTCTCGGCTCTATCCGCCTCTTCAAGCACTAATGACACCTGAACCATGCTCTGTTCGAGAATCGCCACATTCCGCTGCGTCCGCATTGCAGTGAGGGCCTCGAGCGCGGAAGAAGCCTCTTCAGAGGCTAAGATGTTGAGCCGTTGCTCCACCAGCACCGCAAGCTCCACGCTCCGCGCAGAGTCTTCACGGATTACCTTGAGGTCGCCGAAAGCGTCAAAAAAGGAACCGGAGGTTTTTGAAATCTCATGGATGAGGTAGATCTCCACCGTATCGAGGTACTGCGAAAGCTTTTCCTGCAACTGGTTGTTGTTCGTCAATGCCACAGTGTTCTTCGCATTGCTGTTTGCCACGAGATCTTTGTTATACCCTCTATTTGCGAGAAGCTGGGACTTTTCTGTAACGAGCTCAAACACGCGCGGATCATCCAAATGGAACTCTCCCTCAAAAAACACCTTTGGGATTGACCCAATGTTCCCGGTCTCGCCTTGGACCCCGTTCTTCTGCTTCTCCTCCTGCTCCACGCGCTCGATGAACGCCTGCAATGTGGACTCTGTGAGTCGGGTGTGCGACTGGTACTTGCCGTACGCTGTCTCCACGTCTGCGAGGTAGTCATCAAAGTCCGTCTGTTTGACCTTGGTGATTTTAGAGAGAGTGATGGGTGGGATGTCTTTGGTGGTGGGGCCCCGAACGGGTGGGGTTGCGGGGACCTTCAAAAGTGCGTTCCCACGCGTACGGCGCTTGTCACCACCGTTTGTCAACTCGTAGATCGAGTTGGCGCCGAGGGGTGACACGCTGGCCTCGCTGAGCGTGTTGACGCCCAAAACCGATGTACTGTCCTCAAACGACGAGCGCACATCCACGGAACTGCCCACAACTGATGGGGTCAAAATCGATGGCGAAAAGGTGTCATTGCCGTGGTCATACGTGTCATTGCCATGGACGTATGAAGAGTCGATGCTGAAACGCGGGTTGGAGGGGAACTCGCGGAGCGAGGTGTTATCATCGCTGGCAGAGACGTTTAAGTCGCTGACGCTGTCGTCCATGGTAGAGGAATGCTCAGCTGATGTAGTATTGAAGAAAAGGAGCAATGGGCTCAATTGTGTTGGTTGTTTCTGTTACATCGGTGCATGCCTGGTTTCCGATGTCTTCGGTGCAGGAAACTCTGGGCGGGGGGACAAGAACGATGATAATATTGGAGATGTTTTGCATGTAGGGGCTATAACTAACCACGAAAATTGTTCATGGGGCTGAAGTGGTATATCTCTGTTGGAGTTAGGGCCGGCTAAAAGTGAATTTGTCTGATTTCTTTGCCGATCTTTAATTGGACTTTAGCGCTTCTACTTTTGTCTTGATTGGAATGGTGTAGAAAAATCGATGAGTTGTCTCATTGATTGTTATTCCGAGAAAGCAAAAAAAAAAAAAAAAAAAAAAAAAAAAAAAAGATAGGTTGAGCTCCAGGTTAAGTTCCAGGTTAAGCTCCAGGTTAAGCTCTAGGTGCTTTTGTCTGTGAATTATCCCACCATTTTCCACCAGAGCATGCTTGATAGATTTTCCAACTCACATCTAGTTCTATATGCTCCACCCAATCATTTTCAAAATATTGTAACATGTGACTGCCACACAGTTAATCCAATTACACCTCTATAAATACCTTGTAGTTTCATTATTGGGATATTGAATAATTTCAACGGACTACAAATTGTTTAAGCAAATTATTCCACCCTGTCCTACAACTTTGCCTTGAGCTTGAGGCGACCCTGCACCTCGGATCTCAAAAACTCGTCGGAAAAGTGCGACAACTGGTCGAAAATATGCTCAAACTCGCTCAAACCCTCCGACCGGAATGGATCATCCACCACTGTTTCGAACTCTGCGGGCTTGGCGTTCCACTCACCAAAGAGACCTACACGCGCCTTGGCTTTGCGCGGATTGTACGCCGAGAGGCGGTTCACGTTGTTCTCATCCATTCCAAAAATGTAGTTGAACTTGTTGTGGTCCGAAATCGACTAGGTTGTTAGCAAGCCGCCCTTAAAGAGGTATGGAAATACGTACGAGTTGCTTGGCCTTGTGGCTGATGGGAACGCCCCGGCTTTCACACACGTGTACCGTTCGCGCGTCGGGATCCTTGCCTTTGTTGAGGCCCGACACGGCAAAAGAATCAATACAGTCAAAGTGGTGCGACAAGCCTAAGTCTTCGACCTTCTTTCTAAAAATGGCCCTCAAAGGGTTAGTATGGTATTTGGATTAGAACTGAACGACATACTCAGCCATTGGTGAACGGCATCTGGGGATGTTAGTGTATGAACTGGTGCAAAAAAGGCTTCTGACTCACATATTTCCAAAGCAGACAAAGGCTACCGATAGTTTTTGGTCCATTTTGGAATTTCAGTCGGTAAAACGTCGAGACTCGCAGTTCTCTGGTGTTTAAAGAGGTGGGTGAATGGGGTTTACATGTGCAGGAACCTGTGGGGAATCTGTTGTCGCATGATCGGCAGTACAACGGATATCGGCAACATAACCGAGACTAGAGTCACGAGATATGGAAGTAGGATTTATTGGGCGTTCATTGACTTGGGCAAGTTGCGATATTATATATTTATAAGTTTAATTACAATTACCAATGGCTGTGACAGTGAGATGTGCTTCGGTCAAATGCGGGCACCACCCACAGAGTACATAGTATCCTTCCGTCCCTACATTCAATGGTTAATATCTCTTGTACGTCAAGAAATGCTTTATCGCCGTTGTTACATGTTGATATAAGAGGTGTCCTCACATAGGCCTCATTCAGACGCTGCGTTCTGGTGTTTACCCGGCCTGCAAATTCCCTCCTGCACTATTTCGGCAGTTACCAAAAAAACATCGTAATGGACTACAATCGCATCACAACCACATCACATACAATGGCTGCACGAAAGCTTCAGCAGGAAATTGACCGGGTGTTCAAACGCGTGAACGAGGGCTTGGCTACATTCACGGCAATCTATGACAAATTCACATACAGCGAGATCCCAGCGCAACGGGAGAAGTTAGAAAGCGACCTCAAGCGTGAGATCAAAAAGTTGCAGCGGTTCCGCGACCAGATTAAGACCTGGCTCAGCGGAAACGAGGTCAAAGACAAGAAGCCGTTGATTGAGCACCGCAAGTTAATCGAGTACGAGATGGAACGGTTCAAGGAGGTGGAGAAAGGCATGAAGATCAAGTCGTTTAGCAACGAGGGGTTGAGCATGGACCTTGACCCACGTCAGAAGTTGAAGCACGATGCGTGTACATTTGTACAGGACTCGTTGGAGGAGTTGGAGAAGCAGGCGGACACGTTGGAGGGCCAAGTGGATCAACTCCAGGCCGCGGTGAAAAAGACGCGCCGCGACGCCGCAAAGCAGGAACAGATCGCGGCTATTGACGAGATCTTGCAACGTAACCACTGGCATCAGGGCCGCTTGGAGCAGGTGTTGAAAATGTTGGAGAACTCGCAGTTAGAGCCGGAGCAGATCTCGGAGATCCAGGATGACATCCAGTACTTTGTGGAGTCCAACCAGGACCCAGATTTTGCGGATGATGAGGGGATCTATGACGAGCTTAACCTCAGGGAGATTGAGGAGGTGGGCCCTGAGGTGGTGGAAGCTCCAAAGGACGCTCCACCCGGGCTCGCTCCATACGCCCAAAAGAGCTTGCGCAGCAATACAGCGACTCCCCGAGTTTCCACGGTACTTCCGTCGCGTGCTTCTACGCCCGCACCCCCTGGCTTGAGCAGACAACCCACGCTCATGGGCACACCTCTCACCGGCCCCGTCGACCCCCAGCCGGCGCCGGGAGTCCCAGTAGATGTCTCCACGTCCTTGAGTAATCTCTTGCCAGCGCTCACCGCGGCCACTAAGCGCTTGACGCGCCCCCAGACCATGGACGAGATTAAGCCCGTTTTGGAAAACTCCTTGTTGAACTGCCCCGACTCCTTCGACAGCGAGAAGCCGCGCCTCTACAAACCGAGCAAGCCGCACCCGACACCCACCAACTATCCCCAAGAGCCGTTGGTGGACCTCTTAAGCGGCAGCCAGCATGCTATCTTCCGCAAGATCGACGAGAGCACCCTCTTCTACTTGTTCTACTACAATGCGGGCGAATACTTGCAGTACATTGCCGCCAAGGAGTTGATGACGCGTGGCTGGTTGTTCCATCGCGAGTTAAAGACGTGGTTTTTGAAAGACACCCAGCGCTCCGCCCAGTTCAGCACCCGCGCTTCGTTACCCAGCATTGACTTGTCAAAGCTCTCGTCGCCACCGCCCGCGGACGAGGAGAACCGCTGGAAGTACTTTGACTACGAGCGCTGGATGGTCAGGCGCAAGGAGTTTGTGTTTGAAATGACCATGAAAGAGACGGCACTCTTCTGATAGTGCAGACGTGAGTGCGTAGCATAGGGCTAAGAGGAAGAAAAGTGTTTACGGAATAATTCCGTACTCCGTCTCTAATACTATGGACTATTCCTGGAGAATTACATTTATCTGTGATATTTGGAATGTAGAGGGAGATTGCGGATTGGCAGATCTGTACGACTTAAGCGGTGCCGTTTGAATAGATACGATAAAAGCCTCGTGTAAAAATGTCATCCCGTAGACCACGGTTACCTAAACCCGAGGAAATAAAGGATACTTCCCAGAAAAAAAAGTCCAAAACATACTAGCTCCAGTCTTTGCTTATAGTGCCGGCCATAATGCATATCCCTTGCCTTGAGAGAAATACGAGCGCTCCTACATTAATCAAAACCCATATATCACGCTGACCGGTTTCTACCCCCGGAAAAAGCCCCTGGTGATGATGGTGTCGCCCGAGCCCTCGATTCCGTGGATCTCCAAACTGCCTAACATTGTCTTTACAATAACATCCACCACTGCATCGATATCCACCTTTGCCTTACCGTTGGTGAAGATATCGCTTGCCAAAGAGCCAAATAACAGACCGTTGACAATTTCAAGCAAGGCATCATCGATATCGGTCTCCACCACCAAGAACCACTTTTCGTCCTCGCTAGCCCACTCAGACCTGGACGTCTGCCACTCCTGGAGCGGAACTCTGCCGAACAAGGTTCCGTGGTAGAACAAATTGGCGATCCCTCTGATACTGGATACCGAAACAGAGCTGACGTTAATGTTCCCCGGAAGGGCGACAAACGCTTTCACCTTTCCGGAGATCAACGGTTTGTCAAAGCCATTGTCGAAGTTGAACTCGATATTTTCCATTGTCACGTTGTGCAACAACGAAGACGTAAGATTGCGCAAAATGCCATCCTCGGGAAAGGCGTAGGAGATGGGGATATCCAAGTCTCCGAACACGTTACTTTTATCAGCTCTCAACAACAAGTTAATTTGTTTGTGCTTAATCACATTGCTTAAAAACTTGTTAAGCGGGGTCAGGCTGGTGTCATCGGTGCATGCCTCATTCAACGCGGGGGGCAAGTCTTCCACGGAGGCGGTCACATTCACTGCAACCTTCTCTCCGAATGACAACTTCACCTTCTGGGTGAGTACATTCACAAGGGAAATGGTTGGCGAGTTATCGCAATCGTTGATATAAACATCCCAGGCCGTGTGTGGAAGAGAGAATTCTGGAAACGGGCGATCGATGGGGTTGTCCACCGATGCGCCGATGTTTACCTGGAAACTCTGGCTTTCGGGGTTCTCAATTACCTGGAACTGCTCGATAGAAACGTTTTCGGCACCGTATTTCATACTAGGAATAGTCTCTGCCAAGTAGAATCGGAACCGACCAAGACCCAAGCGGCCCCCCAAGGCGTAGAGCCCTACGGAGGACCCTCCTACGAGCTCGTACAGCTGGGACGGGTGCAGGACCAAACCTTTAAGCGTTCGGAGAACCAGAGGTGTATCTGGCTTAAGGCTCGCGAGCACAGCAATTTCTGACTCACGGTTCCCCGACGTTTCCACGTTGAACGGGGCAAATGACACAGAGCCGAGGGTCGCTTCCTCAAGGGTTTCGGTGTTCAGCACCAGGATTTCCATTTCGGCAATGCTGATCTCCAATTTATGGAGGAGAGAACCACCCATCCCAAGCACGTGCCTGTAGTATGCGTTGCTAATACGGGAGTAGTCGATGGTGCTCATCCCCTTGATCGCCACTTCCACTCCGTTTGGGGAAACGCCCATAAGCTTAATGTCCTGGAGGTCAAATATCACCGCCTCGTTGGCAAATTCTTCGGCTTTTGGAATCATCAAGAGAAGATTCAATCCCACAAGCAAGGAAAGCAGAACTAGTCCAACTGCCATCACCCATATGTATCTCCATTTTCTAGATGAGTGCTTGTTAGCTTCCAAGTCTCGGGCAGGATTTCTCCCATCATAAGCCTCTGGTAAGGATACCAACAATGGGGTGTCTTCGCTTACAGAAACGTCACCCATTATGTGTTTGTCGTGGTTATTGGATTATATGTGATTGTTGAATCTTTTGATGGCAGCAATGCGAGATAAGGAAATTTTTAGATGCGGCGCTCATTTGCGAATCCCCAGACCAGTAGTCATGTGACGTGAGAGTCGCATATAAAAAGTGTGCCTGGATGGATAGCTCTTTTGATTCTCAGACTGGCGTGGAATATGCCGTGATTAGAACGTATCAATTAGTAGATTGGATTTCTCGGTGACAGATATCGGATCTTAAACAATAACCATATTAGTATGGAAGGAGAAAGACCCTACAAGTCCGTCCCAACGGGAATGGCCGGCACAAATGAATCACGTGCGGGGAAATTCCCCCCTCCGCTGCTTCACTTGACTCCACGTCTTCCCAGCTGGAAGGAGAGCTAGGGCATGGCCCTCACCTGAGAGTTTTTTTCTACAAACTCGGTAGTTTACATCTCACAAAAAGGTTCCGTTTACACACTTTGCCTTTTTAATAATTTCAATCCCAAAGATATAATGCAGAGAATCATTTTAAGCTCCACCTTACGTGTCGCCCGTACCACCATTGGCCGTCGTGCCTACGGTGCCAACCCAACTGGCTTCAACCCGGCCTTTCCAGATACCAACACCAAGGCCATTTTGGGTGCTGCAATCCTTTTTACCGGCTGGGCTGTCGTTTTCTCCAAGGGTGACAACAATGTGCCGTTCTCGAGCCCAACCGAAGTGTTGAACAAGCCAGGTACCGGTGAGGCCAACGAAGATGATGATGATGACGAGTAAGCGAGATTTACATAAAGAGCTATATGAAGTCTCAATAAAAGGAAGCAGGGTGGTGATACCTAAACCCCCCTTTATTTATTTGCAAAGTTGAAAGTCTGAGATGCCACATTGTAGGAATTTGTTAATGAAATACCGTGGCCATACTATGTGATAATTTAGTTCATGTTGATAGCGTCCTGAACTGGAAATCAGGTTCAAACCTCTGGATCCACTAGCGCTGGACCCTAACATAGAACTTCATCCCCAGAGCTAGGTTTGGTTGACTTTTGGGGCATTGCATAAGAACTATCATTGTTTACTCATAGAAAAATTCTTCTCGATAGACGTTGACACCAACACATTGCCTTGGACAGCTGTTAGTCATGAGCAATAAGTCTAATCAACCATGACCCTCAGCCACCCTCTAAGCCTTATTTTTCAGACATAGTACCGGTGTATTTTCAAAAATCGTCAGTGCTTTTGAACATATTACTAAAGAAATTGAATATATGTCTCTCAACACTGGATTCCTGGAATTACCAAACTCGCCTCTCCGTCTTCCAAGTCAACCATCCTGCACGTACCCATATCTAATTTTTTTTTCAGTATTTTTCACCCCATCAGGCCGCTAACCTAAACTAGTTCATCAATAATGTTGTACCTTATTGGCTTGGGCCTTTCCTATGAATCCGACATCACCGTGCGCGGTCTCCAGATTGTAAAGCAGTGCAAGCGTGTGTACTTAGAAGCGTACACCTCCATCCTCATGGCTGCGGACCAAGACTCGCTTGAAAAGTTCTACGGCAGAGAGGTGATCCTCGCAGACAGAGAGTTGGTGGAAACCGGTTCCGACGACATTTTAGCTAATTCTCAGGAAGACGACATTGCTTTCTTGGTGGTGGGCGACCCGTTCGGCGCCACCACCCACACCGATTTGATCATCAGAGCCAGAGAGTTGGGCATCAAGGTCGAGGCCATCCACAACGCATCGGTCATGAACGCCGTGGGTGCCTGTGGCTTGCAGTTGTATAACTTTGGGCAAACGGTGTCCATGGTTTTCTTCACAGAAACCTGGAAGCCGGACTCCTTCTACAACAAGGTCATGGAGAACAGACGCATCGGGTTACACACCTTGTTATTGCTTGACATCAAGGTCAAAGAGCAGAGCATCGAAAACATGGCCCGTGGCAGATTAATCTATGAACCACCGAGATACATGGATATTTCTACCGCGTGCCAGCAGTTGTTGGAGGTTGAAGAGTTGAGAGGCGAACAGGCGTACACCCCCGACACCCCGTGTGTGGCCGTCTCCCGTTTGGGCTCCCCTACCCAGTCGTTCAAGGCCGGTACTTTGAGAGAGTTGGCCAAGTACGACTCTGGTGAGCCATTACACTCTTTGATCATGTTGGGCAGACAAGTTCACGAGTTGGAAATGGACTACTTGTACGCGTACACCGACAAGAAGGAAGAGTTCAAGCAAGCGGTATTGGCCGACCAGGAGTTCTTCAAGCCGCCACCACCAGTGTTTGAGGAAGAGGAGTTTAGCGATTAAGAATTTTACGTTATGTTTCGATAGTTTATGTAAGAGCGGACAAACTGCAGGGTATGTTTGTAAGGTTGGCTCGGTATCTTTTATTCTGGTTTCCCACATGTAGTTTATCATTGTCCACAGGAACGTTTAATTTATCGCCAAAAGCCTTGTATAGTGGCCTCATATTCGATCAGTTTTCGGCACACCTAAGCTTATTCGGCGACGCTTCCTCTCCCGTGCCAACCCCTCCACTTTCACATCTTCAGCTCTACCAAATATCCTACCTCGTCCCTTTGACCTGCCTAATGTCGTTTATTCTATACACTAAGGTTTATCCACAAGCGGCGCACTTTCACTGTCATCGTCCATCAAGTCCCTCACACTTTCATTATGGTCAACCAAGTTCTTTGTCTCACCCACGGCCGCCTCCTCGTCGCTGGAGAAGATGACACCATCGACGTAGTCCTTAGGCGGCACTGGCGGCGGCACGCGGTCATCACCCAAGTCTACCTCTTCGTCGTGGATCTCAAAGTCGGTGAGGTCCTCGGCGTCCTCGTCATTGCTGCTGTACAAGTCGAACTCGATCTCCTCGCGTCTTCTGCGGCGCGTGTTGCGCTTTTTGCTAGCACTGAGGAAGTATAATGCGGCAACAAAGCCGATGAGCACGAGCGCTGCGAGGTATGTCACCATGTTAGAGCTCGATGTGTTTCTGTTGACCCCGTCTTCTTCTTCAGGTAAAGTCGAAGAGGAGGACAAGGATATCTGGGATGACAAAGTCTGAGAGGTTTGCAGGGAGGTCTGGGATGACAAAGTTAGAGAGGCTTGCAGGGAGGTCTGAGATGATAAAGTCTGAGAAGTCCCCGTCTCCTTCTCCTTCTCCTTCTCCTTCTCCGTCTCACTCTCTGACGTTTTTTGCCCATACATATTCATCTGCCAATCCTTAAGCACCACCTTGTTCACCCCCTTCTGATCCTCCCGCTTCAGCACCTCTAATTTCCACTCACCCACACCAGACTCGCCCCAATGCGCGACAGACATAAACGTCCAGTCCTTGAACCCCGTACGGTCTTTGTCGTGGTCTCGGAACACCCCTAACTCAGACTTGACCCCCCTTGGAGACGTGAGCGTAACAGCCACTTGCCCCCGGATCCCGGCATCAATATTCACCGTGACCGTCACATGCTCCAAGTTCTTCACCCCTTTAACATCCTTTTCCGTCACCTTTAACGTATCCGTCACCGCATGCTTATCGTCCGGAATCTCTGCCTGTATGTCCCTCGTCTTGTGCTCCACCAAAACCTGCTCATTCACGTTCTTCCAGCCCTGGGCCATGTCCACAATGCGATAAGCATCTAACTTGCCATAGCCGTACTTATGAGAGTATCTACGGCCCATCCCCGCCATCTGCCAGGCGCCATCCTCGTTTGGCTCCACCAGCGACATGATTGTGAGGTATTGGACGTCGCGCCACGTGAGCGCGGGGTTTGCCTCAAGCACGAGCGCATAGACTCCCGCTGCGAGTGGCGCAGACGCAGACGTCCCTCCATGAGTGTTGCAGCACTTATTGTGGATATCTGAAGTCACAATGTGCTCATTGTCGCCGCTGGAATACGTCACCACAAGCACCGCGGAACAGCTCTCGGAATAGTATGGATGCTGGTCTTTGTGGTCAATGGCCCCGACGGTGATGGAGTAGATCGAGTTAGTGTAGCCGTCAAAATTGCAGTTGTCGCCGCTTGAGGCCCCGTTTCCCGAGGCAAACACGTACACCGCACCCTTCTTATGTCTGCCATCGGTTACACCCCTGGACATAGCCTTCTTCACCAACGCCTGTGGCGCCTGCATCGCAACTCCGTTGTCGGGCGGTCCCCACGAGCACGAGTAGATGTCGTTGACATCCAAAGCGTGAACCAAAGATGCAGCCTCATCCTCTTGTGTAATAGTTCCCGAGAGAATGCGCACCCCGCTGACCTTGGAACCGTACGCGACGCCTACCCCACAATAGTCATTGCCCCGCTCGCCCGCGATTTCCGCAGCGCAGCGCGTGCCGTGCCAGTCATCCGCAAGACGCGGCGCTGGTTTTGGGCCGGGGTTGTTGAAGTCCCACGAGCCTTCAAGTGAGAAGCGGTGCTCCAAGTCCTTGGAGGTGAAGTCCAAACCGTCATCCACAAGAGCCGTGACGACACCTCTTCCGGTAATGTTCTTCTCTATCCAGACACCCGTTACGTTGAGATCTTTTCCGGGAAAAGCCCGGTTGACAAGATGCCATTGTTTTTCGAAAAGCGGATCGTTGATAGCAAGGGACTTGGCTGTTTGGTCCAAAAAGTCGGGAGAGTCTCTTTTAAGGATAGACTTGCCATTCGAGTCGGCATCCGGTTCACATTCGTCCCCCTTACCCGATACCATGCGAATAGGAGCCCTGCGGTGGAGACGTTTTGGCGGTAAAAGATGCACGGACTTGACATCGTGTCTGAGCAAATCGTCGTGCAAATCCCCACGCTTCATCAAGCTCTCGGGGTCGCTGTTGAGGTTGCCCAACAACGCAGAAAGGTCGTGGCTCTTCTCAAGACTGAACACGTGGTGGTCTGCTAGGCCTCTGGCAGGGTGTTCGTAGCGGAACGGGAAGTCGGAGACTACTTTTGGGAGCGTCTGGGCATCAATCTCGAGCGCAAAATACTGTCGCGCAGCAAAGTCTTTGGCGGGAAGCGCGCTGACCGCTACAGCCATAAGCACAGATAACAATACAGAAAGCTTCATAGAGCAAATACGGCTGTCAACTGGTGTGCGTGTGTGGAAAAAGATGTGAAAAGAATAAGACCGATTTGATGACAAGTGGTAAAAGGCTGACGCGCGTTTCAACGTTCCAGCCGATCGCCCCATCAGGCGTGGCGGTGAGAGGAGCCCGGTGGCGGTGAGGGTCGCCCCGTGGCGCAGCCTGATGAGCCACAAGTGGGGTGCGTGACGAGGTTTCAGGTGTACCTTGTTAGCAAGTCAACGACGAAGGAAAGCTGCAGTGTATCGTTGGTCCCTTAGGCTTGCAACTTTAAAATTTAAATTATTGTATTGATCGATCCACCCCTTTGATCTGCATTTCTGCTTTTATTTATATATAGCAGCAGCCCCCGAGGTGTGCTTAGAGAGTTACCTAACGCTAAGCTTATATTATTCTAAATATTACTCTACTGTTTTAACATGACGATTTATGACAATAAGATTAGTCGTATCTCTCATCCATGGTTTTATAAAATTCCCAAGGTTGTCGTACTCCCAAACTTGGCATGATGCATACGTATCGTCACATGTGGATCACATATGCAGCCTCGGAGGCACCACAAAAGACCCTTTCCCCGTTGGGCATTCCCAAGCAAATCCATGCTTTTAATAAAATAATTAACTGCTTCCATATATATTTCAGTCTGTTTTCCTCTGTACTTGTCATGAATCATAATGTTATACCAATCATGCCTTGTCAGGAGGGAGGGTCTGGGGTGTTTGACCTACCTCTGCATCTCACCCTCCTCCACCAATACCGGGGACCGGGAAGGCGAGGATTAGCCACTAATATTGCATTCGAAGAAGGTGAATATTACTGAGCTTTGGGTTGCGGTTCTTTATCTCCCGGATCAGGCTGTAACACCTATAGAATTCAGCCTGGTTAACGGGCGTTGACCCAAACAAAGTTCTCGTTGCAGTACTAACATTTGCAGGTTCTACTATCTACAAATTTACTCCTCTGATAGAGATACTCGAGAGTATGGCGGATGACCACGATAACAGAGCCACCTGTTGCTCGTACTGCAATACCCCTGGGAACCTTCCCTCTATAAGAACCGACCCCGAAGTTGCAAGTTTGCCAGAAAATCGCAGAAAGTATCTTGAAAATGACAATATCCCGATTAACAATCGTTTGGTGGAGTGCACGAGGTGTGGTACTTGCCGGTATTGTTCAGTGAAATGTCAGATCCGGGACTGGGAAGAGCACCATGGGAACGAATGTCTCTATTTTCGGTACACAAAGGAAAGAGGTATCGCAAGCAGCACTACAGAATGCTTGGTCTTACGGATGTACTCCATGGCCAAAGCCGATACGGTATTTCTTCAGCAACTTCTTAGCCTCACTTCCCATGCGGAAAATATCTTGAGCGGATCGAGCTTCGTTGCGTTACGGCAGGAAGCGTTTGATATTCTGAGTCACTTAAATGGCTTCTATGACAACTCTCTTCCACTTGACTTCAATACCCTTGCCTGTCTCTCTTTTGTAAACTCTACCGTCATGCAAAACACGTTTATGGAGAGTAACGGTCAAATGTTCGACCCCACCTTTGCCTTGGTCAACCACGGCTGCGATCCCAATGTGGGAGTGATTTTCGAAGGCCGAGAAGTCACCTTAAAGGCAATCAAAAAGATTTCCAGTGGGGGAGAGTTGTTGGTAAACTACTGTGTTATTGGTTTGCCAGCCGTGCTTCGGAACCAGGATCTCGAAGATCGATTTTGTTTCCGGTGCAAGTGCAAGCTATGCATGGAGAAGTACGATCGGTTCATGTCAATCAACTGTCCAAACTGTGGTAGCTTGGTTGGAGGCTACAACTTTCAGGGGTATTCAGCCCCACGCTGGGAGATGGTTCTAAAATCTGATGGCAGATGTAAAAATTGCAAAGCGGAGATTTCAAAGACGGCAATCAGCGAAGCAGAAGCACTTGTAGCCACCCTTTTTTCCCACTTTCTACTTGACTTGAAAGGCGGTTCTTCAGAGACGGCGGGGGGAAACGATTGGTCAGTCGTCCAAGTCGATATTTCTCAAAAAGATTTGGTGAGCTACCTCATGCAGTATGACTTTGGCCATAGCTTTCAAATCAAGGCGTACGAGAGTGCTCAATTCTATGGCAGTTGCCTCAAAGCAATCACTTTAAACAAGCTTGTACCGAGTTACGCTTATCCACTTCCATTTATTTTGATTGGGTTGCGAAATTTCTACTCTCACCGAGAGCATGTTTCGGCGGAGGTTAAACTGTCCGACCCAAATGGTATCATATTAGACTCTCCCCCTGCTAGCGAGAGTCTGGTCCCACTTGTTTTGGCCTCTACGTCATTTGCGCTAGCCACCGTGTTTAAAGCGGATATTCCGTGTAACGTGGCACTTTATAAACTCGGCTTGGGAAACCAGCTCCGAGAAGTCACCGAGGTACTCTGCTCCCTTCTCCACGCAGACACTCCGGGGATTAATGCCAATGGGTTGCTAACCAAGGTGGCCTACATTTTTGCCTTGGAGAGCTACGCGTATTTGGTGCGAGACTTTACCGGTGCTGCCCCGGTGGTTCGGCAGGTTGAAGCGCTCATACTTGAGCTAAAACAGCGGATGACTTTTCCGTACTATCTTCCGTCGGACGAACTCTACGACTGGTTTATGGGCGGTCTCAGCCCGGGTGAATCGACCAAGCTATCCAGAGACTTGCTTGAAAAGTTTGATATCATGATTCCGATAAATGGAAAGATACGGTTCAGTGATCGCAATGCGTATTCATTGTTTAAGGCTAAAGATAAATAATACACGCGCATATACATAATATCTGTAATTTCCTATGCCCGAATTTATTTCCCACCATGAATTTTAGTCCATCGATATCGCCACTCAATACTAACACTATCTACACATCATTCAACGCGACGCAAACAGCGCCCTTATGGTGTCCGTTGTACTGACGAACAGTCTCGCTCGTCGAGAGGTCCCACAACCGGACGTAATGGTCCGAGCAGGCGGTTACTAAGTAGGCGGAGTCGGCACTGAACTCGCAGTCCCAGACCCAGCGTTGGTGGCTCAGCAACGTAGTTTCCAAGGCGTAGTTATCCTCCACCGACCATATCCGCGCGGTGTGGTCGGCCGAGCAGGTGGCTAGATGCTTGACGTCTGACAGAAGAAGCACGCGGGTGATGTACTTGGAGTGGGCGCGGAACTTTGTCACGGGCTGCAACATGGTCATGTCCTTCTGGTTTGTCATCTGCCAGACATAGCAGTTCCCCTTGTTATTTCCTGCCACCAAGGTGCTTCCATCCGATGCAACGGTGAGCGAGTGGATAGGCACGTCGTCCTCGGGGATAAGCTGGTGGGTGCACTGGTTCTCGCCCAAGTCCCAGATGCGCACGTTTCCGTCCTGGTCGCAGCTGATCAATTCTCCTTGGTTTGGATGGATAACTACCTCGTTTACCGGACAGTTATGTTTGTAGTTGCGCTGCACCAGCGGCGACCGCGTGTCCCATACCTTGACAGTGCCGTCTTCCGACAGCGACACCATCCACTTATTGTCCGACTGGAAGGCAATAGACGTTACATTGTTAGTGTGGCCTTCAAAGGATGTCACGGGGTTGGGGTTTGTGGTGCGAATGTCGTACAATCGCGTGTGCAAGTGGCCTGCGGCAGCTAAAAAGCGCTTGTCGGACGTGATTTCGAGGCGGTTCACCAAGGAGTCAGCGTGCTGAATCGTCCGCGAACACACCCCTGTGAGCGCTTCCCAAAAGCGGATCGTGTGGTCGTATCCCGCGGAAGCCAATATAACTGACATGGTACGGATGAATGATGAAGTGGAGAGCGGGAGTGGTTTGGTACGGCTATCTATAATGAGACAGGCGATAGCTGTCGGTACGGACACGCCAGGTGATAAACAGTTGAGAGACATCGAAACCACACATGAGTTTCCCAATGGTGAAGTTTTTTGTTTTTTTTACTCGATTTAGCCTTAAACAGGTCTTTTTATACAGCCAAAGGGTAGTATTTATGTAAATGGCATTTCAAATTTTAGACTGCGATCGTTTTCCCGCTTCTACAGAGCTTTGTTCCGCTCTGATCACTTAAACTTCAATAGTGTTTAAGTTTAACCTCTCCGGAATATAAGGGATACGATACGAGACCACACAGACTAAAAACATGGGCGTTCTCCCTGAAACGCAGTTTCACGCAAACCTTAGTCTTTGCGGCTACTCACGGTGGCATGGGACGTCTTCGACGATGCATTCCGCTGGGTATCAAAGACATTCGACCTCGAGGAAACCCCCTCCCCGCTTTCGGACAGCGTTCCCGAAGTTGGAGTGGAGATATCCTCCGAGCCAACCCCCACGCTCGTTCCATTACCGTCGTACCTGGATACTCGTTTCATCGTAAACTCCTTCGGGTACTTGGACTTTTTCGGCTTCCGCAATGAAGCATTCACAGTGTTGAGGGTGGCCTGGGTCGTGTCAAAGTCCCTGGACATCGGTGTGGCATTCCGGGATTCCTCTTCGGGAATGGACTCAAGCGACGTGTCTCGCTGGAGCGCTATTCTTATCTCGTCGAGATTAAGGATTTCAGAACCCACGAGTGGATGTATAGGCAAAGGAGCCGCGTCACGCAGTTCGGGTCTCTCTAAGTCATTGTCAGAGCCTTCCTCAAAGTTCAACCGTTTATGAATCTGCGGCAGAAGGAAATCTCTATCTAACGGCGGGGTATCCAACCGGTCGAGGAACTGGTGAATGGAAACTCCAGAAGACGCACTCACCGGTACCAGATCTCCCCGGTACTCAAGCTCCTCCCCGGTCACCCTCTTTCGCGACGGCATGTTCTCAATCCGCGCTTCCATGGACTTGATCTTCAACTCGGCTGGGGGTACCACCCGGTGGTACTTCCTCGGCTTGGAAACACTCACATGTTTCTTTGCTTTTGATATCGCAAGTTTCTTTGCTGGGGTCAACGCGTATCGCGTCAAATGGATCAAACCGCCAACGTAGAGACCCAAGAGCATCCCAAAGACAACTGTGATGATGAGAAACTCGGAGATTTTTGTCACAGCATACCATAAATGGCCTGCAATCCGGGCCTGAGACTCTAAATCCAACGGGATCGTGATTCCCCAGAGTCTGCACCAGATCCTGGCAGGAAGGAAGAGGCCGTAGCAAATGGTTTGCGCTACCATAACTAGGGGCTTCAAGGTGACAAACATAAAAGCTCGTATGAAAACCATAACCACACCATATATGAACGCAAGAAGCTTGTATGCGGCGTAATACACGGGGTACATTCCATAGCGGTAGAAAAAGGACGCAGAGGCAGTGGATAGCAATACAGCGACCTGGCGAATTTGGAGAAATCTCTGATAGAACCCCGTATCCTGAGCCATCTCAAGGGATGGTATTAGTTGAGTTGGCATGAATGAAGGTTAATCGGTAGAGTTAGAACCAGAAATGAATGGTCAAAAGACGGAAAGAATAAGGATGAAGGTAGCCTGTAGTCTGATCCCAGAACGTGGCAACAACGGGAATTTTTGGTCTCCGTGAGCAGGATTCCCGTTTAAAAGCTTTCAAATCGGACCAGCTATACCAAGGGGCTTATTAATTAGGAGTATTTACAGACCCTTGGCCGTGTCAACCCCAACGCCGCAAATTGATCTCAGCCCTGATGCATGCAGACGCTCGGAGTTACATCATAGCTAACATGTGCAAGAGGCGTGCACCCACCAAGGAAGTTGCCCTAACAAGAACGTGCACGGACGGGTAACTTGAAGTTTTTTTTTTAAATGTTTGTGTACTATAAAAATGCATAGATCTCCGTTACCACACGCTCTTCTTACACTCACTTGTAACCACACCTTAGGGGGCTCTACGGGCTAAAACCTCTAGGAAGACGTTTTGGATCAGCTAGTGTACCCCGCTGCTATATAGTTTTTTTTCGTTCGCCAGGCTCACTGGTACTCCGATTTCTGCCCCACGTTCCTTACTCAGCCATGGAATAATGGGTTCTACTTTTGGAGGAGAGAAAGCCACATGACTTCAATTAAACGCTTGATACTTGTTTGTTGCGGTTGTGTGGATCGTGTGATGTGCCTTGACCACTAAGACCAAGGGCCAGATTAATGGCCGGGTTGGTTGGGGCCGCTCTACATTTTTTTATAGCGTAAACTTGAGTTTGTAGTTTCCGGAGTTGATCGTATCTACCAGTCTGCTGCTACGACGGAGCCCACTAAAGTCGGGTGGATGCACCCTTCCCGGTATCTGTCCAGTTTTCAAGCATGCACAAAATGATATCTTCTAAGGTTAATGGTTCCATCAATACCCTTAAGTCTACCCTTAGATCTGAGTTTGGTCGGAATTTTCAGCCTGGAGGTTCTGAGCGAGTCTCACGCCCGTGCCAAAGATTTGTAAGTCGACTTTCCGGCATCCGACACGGTGTATCCTTTGTCCGGACGCATATGCTGCTCACTTTTCAGTATCCAAACCCCTTCTCGGTTGCTCCATTATCGAGAAGTAAACCAACTGCAAACACTTTCAAAACTGCAATATCTCCTACCATGGGATTCGGGGTGTGCGCCTGTTTGTCGAGACAGTGTTGTGACACGTCTATACACCCCTGCTCGTGACATTCCCACCTGTCCCTCTATATACCTACAGCACTTTTTCTTTCACGGTAATTTGGATTAGCATCACAGGATTCTATAAATACACAAGCCTCTGGGTTCAGGCATAGCCCGGTCTCAAGTCGGATCTTCTCGGGGCGACCAACGGGTGTAACTGGGCCAAATAGGTGATGGCCCACATCAAGTAACACATGGCCAAGGTTAAAATAATACTGGATCTCCAGACGGTTCTGTTCTGCTTTGGCGCGAGATTCCAGGTAACAATGGATGCAACGACAACTAGTATGAAGCCAGCAAGGACGGTGTAGCTGACGGTTAGTATCGCGAGCAAACGCTAGGACAGGATATTGACAAAGGGAACATACCCAGACATAGTTGATATAAGGAGTTTAGTGATGTATAGCCTTGTGTGCTGAGCTATCCTTTCAAATGGCTGAGGTTGACAGAAGTTCGCTTCGAGTCTTTGCGGCAGGGAGCGCAGTCCGATAACGAACGTGCCTTGCCAAATTGCTGTATGTGCAGGTCAAAGGAGAGCCTCACCACCAGACAGCCTCACCCTTCAACGAAGCCATCCCTGTAACGCTGAAATATGGCCAGTATTTTGTTTCAAACGCTAGTTTAAACCTCGGGCTTTTGGACGTTGATTTTCCGCTCCCGGAACTCAGACTGCGAAAAAAAAAAACAATAGTAATTGTCCGTTTATATCCTAGTAAAGGTATTACCCACCTCTATCTAACGTGACTGGATTTGAAGTTCATGCAGGATGGGATAACAGCTGTGTGCTTACGACTCTGCAAAGCACCAGCGTTCCTGACCATTCTGCAACCCCAAGTGCTATATATTTCATATCAGACTCAGGTGTACATCCACAAGCAGTGTTGATTCAGGCATCTATCCCATAGCACCATTGATTCCGATCATACCGCCTATTGATCCTAGCCCCATACATCTTTGGTCTCGCATATTTCAACATGTCCTCGACGCTTCCACCAGAGTTACTCAACTGGCTCTACTCAGTTCTCCAGGTGGAATACGTGGACCCGGTCCAGACCTACCGGCAGTCGGCGCAGCTTCTCGCATTCTGTGCCACTTTGCGCCCGCGCACTAAGGTGTTTACCGCCGAAAACGGTATCCCGCAGTTGCTCCTCAACGTCTTTGGCACGGTGCCGGCGAATATTGGCAACCAGGTCTACCACATTCCGGTGGACATGTGGTTTCCACTCCAGTTTCCCGTGGAGCCGCCGTTTGTGTACGTCTCTCCGACTCCCGAAATGCTGATCAAGCCAGGAAACTTTGTGGACTCTAACGGGCGGTTCTACAACCCGTATTTGACCTACTGGCGTGATTCCAGCACTCTCCAAGGCAGCAATGTGCCGAATTTGATCGAGCTAACCCGGGTGATGTGTGAGTGTTTTGGGAAGGAACCCCCGGTGTATGCCAAATCAACAGCTGCTCCGGAAAGAACCTACACCCCGGAAGCCTCCGAAGATATCCCTCCGTTGCCTGCAAAGCCTTTTGCGAAGGGGCCACCCCCTTTGCCTCAGAAGCCAAGACACCAAAATAATGATCTGGTTGTAGGACAAGCAGCCACCTCGGGTAGTCAGTTTGTCCCTCCAGATAGTCAGCTTGCTAATGTATCCCACCGGTATCAGAATAACGATACCCACTTCCAGGAACATGGCCCGCATGGTATGGCCCCACCCAAGCCACCGTTACCAAGTTCACTCCGTAACCATAAACCACCCCCACCCACCCCAGACGACGATCCGTTATACAAATCTCCTAAAAAAGCCGCTACACCGGTTGACCCAGACTTTTTTGATACGGACACATCGCTGCCTGCTCCATACGATGTTGAACGGTGTGAACTTCTCGCGGATATCGAACGCCAGATCAAATACTTGGTGAACGAACAGCCTGTGTCTGCGCAGTTTGCATTCATCGAGGAGGGAAACCAACGGTTGCAGCACATTCGCCGTGACGTCCACAACATCGAGCGGAATCTTATCGAGTTTGAATCGCGTCTTTCGGAGGCCACTGTCGAATTGACTGCCAAAATTAAAGAATACGGGGATACACAGGCCCCGGAAGTGCTTCGTGAGGTTGCGGACCCAGATATCGATACCCTCTTGTGTGCCGAAACGGTAATCTTCCAGCAGTTGTACGACGTGGTGGCGGCGAGCGAGGCACTAGAGGACACCATCGGCGTGGTGCAACAGTTGTACACGACGAAGCGATCGGGTCTGGACAAGGACGGCATTGTAGGGTTTGAGTCGATGGTGAAGAACGTCCGGAGCTTGAGCAGAGAGCAGTTCAGGCAAAAGGCATTGGTCAACCGGATTGTAAACATCACCGGGCTCAACCAGTAGAGACAAGGCTTGGTGGGGTGCCAAACTGGAGGTATCTGAAATCCTCAGGATGTATCACATAATAGACTATTCCAAAACATCCTCAGCGACAAGCGACCGGGGTATTTTTTTTTGCTATATCCACGTCATAGTTTCTAGTTCCCTAACTATAGCTCGAAAAAACTTCATATCTCTCATAGTGTTGATATACCGTAAACTGCGCTTAATTTCAGCTGTAAGTATCCCTTTAGTTGATCCCCCTGTTATCCATACGGTTTGTATTTAAGTCGTATCCCGGCCGCCCTATTCTTTTCCATTCATTAACATTTATTTACAAATACACAACGTTTATAGCTCGCTTAGCACCGTCTGGTGTCTCTCTCCAAAGCCTGGAACATTACTAGCCGGTAAAGCATTCTTCCCCGCTGCAAATGCCTCCTTGATTTCAGCAGTCTGCTCCGCCGTTAGCTCCAAATCGGCAATAGCTCTTCTCGCCCCGATGCTACTCCCATAGTAGGCGTGGTACTTTGCAAGCAAGAACGCAGATTCGTCGGAAACCAGCGCATGGGCCTTGATTCTGTGGGCCAACCCAGCCAACTTCGCAGCCATAACCGGCCCCGTCATCTCAGACTGCGACGCTTCCAACAGGAATACAACCTCAATAAGCTCCGTCTGGCAGACGGCGTAAATAGCAGCAGCCTCGCTGGATGACTCGATACAGTGCAAAAGTGCGTTCAACTCGGCAAAGTTCGTGATCTGGTTAACAAAAAAACTAGTCATCACCGGGGTCAAAGCGGTGGAGAAAACGCCAGACAAGACCGCAAGGTAGTTGTTCACATTAGCCTCTGGGTTTTGTTCCAAAAGGTACAAAAATGTCTCAGCCGTCTGGACCTTTGGCGCCACACCGTTTTCATTCAAAATAGCTAAGCAAGCAGTGGATTTTTTCAAGTCCCCCGTACCAATGTAGAGCGTAGTCAACGTCTCAATGAGGGCCAAGTCGGTTTTAGCGAGAATATTGGGGTGGTGGTGGAGCACAGCCTCGAGTGAAGCATCTAAAACGGCAGTTAACGCGTGCTCACTCTTTCCGGCGGTGTAGATCAACTGGGAAACGATCTTGTCAAGCGAGCTCAATCTGAACTGGCCCGTGTGGTTCGCCACAAACTCGCAGACCGCCTGGAAGACAGACTCGCTGGTCTCTCTCTGTAACAAGTAGAGTAACATGTCAGCCACAAGTAAATTGGATTTCTGGGGGGTGATGGACATCTGGAAGGCGAACTCTGCTTCAAACTCCTCGCATAGCTCTTCCACCTTGGTCACGCTCATGTCTTCAAACTGGCCCTGCTCGCTCATCGCCTGCAATGCCTCCACCGTGGACTTTTCCATGCTGGCTCTGGGGGTGGAAAACTCATGGCGGATCGGCTGTAAGCCTTCAGAATGAACTGTCGCGTACGCCTGGTACCACTGCAAAAAGAGCTGGAAGCTGTTGAAGGTGACGGGCTGGGCACCGCCCTTGTGGTGGACTAGACTGCCCCCCATCAACTGTTTGTCCCTCTTGAAAAACATGTTGGCAATATCTGCGCTTTTCAAATTGAGAAACGTGTGGTAGGTCTCAGCGATTGGCGGGTACAACGGGGCCGCATTTTTGAGGGCATTTACCGGTACTTTTGCCTTAGGTTCCGCCGTGCTGTTGGTTCTCATCGCAAGGGCCCAGCGGTTGGATCTGGCGGGTTTCAAAGTGGATCTCAACATGTTGAGGAAAATTATCTATGCTTATAGGTGTCTAGGTGGATATTGAAGTGCCCGAGATTTTTCATATAACAAATATGTCACGTGCGTGAAATATTTAGCTTGTATACAGGCAAGTGCAATGCGCTGTAGTCAGAATCGAAATCTACTAGATTGAGAAAGGCCGAGTTTAATAACTGGAACTATACGTATTTGCTTTTAAAGTTTTGATGTCTAGTAATAAGTTGCTATATTGGTTAATTAATGCAAGAATAGAGTGATAACCAATAAAAATACATGTCCAAAAAATACGCACTCAAAAAATAAATTTTCCGATAAATAACCCAGTGAGACATCTACGCATACTTCGCTGCGGTATTACTCACCTTACGTGTAACAGACTTCATCCGCCGATTCCCCAACGAAAAATCAGGATTGTTGTCCAAGACCACATCAGGTGAAAACTGAGATGGCAGGCTATTCGAGGCATGGCTCAAGCGCTGGCCGTTGGTCAGCGACTTGAAGCGCTCCATGGGGCCATTCACTTGAGCGCTAGAGGCACTGGCTTGTGCGATGGCGTCCATTCCGTAGTTCGATACCCGTTTCACCTGGACGGTTCGCACCAGGCTTCTGTTCTTCTGGAACTGGTTCGCAAGATGGTCTTGCTGTCCCTGGAGCATCAACGTGCGGTATTCGTCGCTCTCAAAGTACTTAGGGTTGATTCCCCGCTGGCTGATGGATGTAAAATCAGAGTGTACGGAACCAATTGGTGAGTCCGGGGCTCCAGACGAGATCTGGGAGTGACGCTGGTGCCCTGATGGAGATGGAGTGCGCGCCAACCTGATGGAAGAGTTTGTGTTCAACATGTCTGATTCATACTCCCCGAGATACGGTGTTGCAAGAAGATTCGGGCTCGTTTCCGTGTCGTCGCTGTAGACGCTGATCATTTGGGTATTAGAGACATCTCTGGCGTCGATTCTGAGTGGCTGAGTGACGCTGCTTACCCGGGTTGGGGAGGGGTCTTGTTTCTGAACGCTGGCTCGTTTGTAGATGTCTAAAACGTCAGAAACGTCGGATTCGCCGTCTTCGATACCATTTCCAACAGCTGGCTGTTCGGTGTAGATTGAGGATCCAGGGACGGACTGCTCCGAGGTTGGGTTGTGTCTGTGAGATCCCACCGCCGCGTAGGACTGCTCTCCAAAAGGCATGACAGCTGGCCCCTCTGCCTTTCTGGGTTTCTGGAGAGTGGCATTGCGGGATAAGCCGTGAATGGTGGAACTATCTTCGGTAAACCGAGAGTAGGCATCAGCGGCGGGATTGTGGCCCTCGAAAGTTCTGTCAGACGCTGGAGAAAGCACGGTTGTCATTTGCGACTGGTTAAACTCAGTAGCCTCTACCTGCAAGTCTGGATCGAGTGTGGATTCGTTTTCCGAGTCGACCGCAGAGTTTCGGAATCGATCCTCATCGCTCTCGGCTGAAATATAAGCAGAGGTGCCGGAAGTGTACATCGAACCGCCATCTTCCAGACTGACGCTGAGCTTGTGTTTCACCATCTCAGGGTTCAAGTTTCGTCTGGCGCCCTCAGATGGCAAGACAGTTTCGGGACTTGTGGGCACTACCGGCGAGGAGTGTAATAGACTCTCGGCATCCCCAGGGTACGGTCTAGGTCCCGACACCACTCGCTGAGGGGTCGAGCCTATCTTGGGGGTGACGTAATCGTCGGTTCCCATAAACCCATTGGCATGGAAATTGGCCGCGGGGTCGTTGGTGAAGGTATTTGCATTTCCGGCCGTTGCACTCTGGGGATGGAAATACTCGGTCGGAGTTGCAGGACTGCTGAAGTCAAAGTCGTCATTAACAGGATACGGCGTTTTAGGGGCTCCTGGAGGGATAGCAGCGGGCCTAGGGGACAGCGTATACACCGGAATGTCGGCATTTTCAAAAATGTCCTGCGGTTGGTTTTGGAAGCCAGCCTGGGTGTTACTCTGGAAGTCAGTTCGGGCTGTCTCTGGAAACGCCTGGACAGCTTTATGGAGGACAGGATTCATCGAAGCGTCTAGTACCTCCATTGGAGCAGTACCCTCCTGGGTTTCCAAATTGTTCTGGGTCAAGTCGCCAGTCACATTTGTATCGTCGAGAGCATCATCCTGTACTGGATGGTAGTAACGGTAACCGTCCCTGTCGAAGGTGTTCCCACGGTCGGGGGAGCTACGAGAATCATCCACTGGGGAGTAATGGCTCGGATGGCTGCTTCCCTCCACTTCCCCGTACGTATAGTTCATTTCGTACGCCGGATCTGGGTTACTCTTTGTCTCGAGTTCCCCGTTGCTGGTGTTCAAATACTCGGTGAACTGCGGCCTCTTGTACTGTCTGGTGGTGGCACTGCGCTTGACAAAACAGAGAAGAGCGATGTATACTGCAATGAACACAATAGAGACGATAATGATCCAGCCGGGCCAGTCTAGATGCGGAATGAACACGAGAATGTCTACCAAAAACGAAAGTAACGTGAGGAGAAATGTGGGGAAGGAAAAGACAAGCAACACCAAGACAAAGTTCGGCGACGCCGCAAACCTGTCGGAGAGGAGAAACACTGAGCCTGCGAGCAAGAGGAAGTTGAATCCGGCGGAGATTGGGTGCACCACCAAGAGTTTCGACACGCTGTGGCGCGCATTCGACGGCAATGAAAAGCCCTCCTCCTCCACAAGGCTAGTCGGGTATCCAATGCTCGCTTTGGAGCAGACGCCGTTCAGACAGACTCCAAACACCCCGAAGAGTTTATTGGCATAGTTGGAAAGCGCAATGGAGGTGGTCACGGGTGCTGAGAGCACCGAGAGGAACTGACAAACAAAAGCCACAAGGAGGAGCACCACCAAGAGAATGGGGATCTTTTTGATCATTAAATCGAGCAAGAAGATGGAGTTGCTTGATGCGGTCTGTACTCGTATTGGAGGTTGATTGCTCCTAACTATAATAGTTGTGATAGAATGCGTTCAACTATAGACTGTGACTTCTATTCTTCTCTCCTTGGCGATTCCCAGAAGGGGAATTTTTTTTTCTTTAACCATCTGTCGCCCAAGCCGTGCTAAAGCTTTAAATGCGTTCCACGCGCACGGATTTTCCTCAGTCGCCTAAAGATTGGCGACGTCTTTAGGCCGGTGTGATAGCTGTTATCTGTTTACAGCGCACGGAATAACGACACTAACCTCCAATTCCAACGACAGCCGTGCGACTCACGTGCACTATCTGCGCCATGACAGGAAGGGATGAGCGTGCAGGGGTTTGAACGGTTGCGGTTGGCAATGCTGATATACTGGAATGGGGTGAATTCTAGAAGATCCTAAGTGTGAGTTACTGCTGTAGCAGAGGTGGTTTCTATTTTTGAAACAGTTTGAAAGCGTAGCTCAGTCAACCATGTGATGAGCCGTATGGTTACGCGTCGCCCGATCGGGCGTAAACCAAACCCGAAGGGATAGTCCTGTACGTAGTGAACCGCACGCGTGAGGATAACGAGTTAAATACGCCGCACGGTGTGAGGCACCTCTTTAACACTACATGTCATTTTCTACATCACTTTCTCAGATTTTGCCCGAAACATGCTGGATATTGTATATATCAAAGGTAGCAATTTGCAGGACGCTACTATTATGAAGCATCTGAGAGGGGCTATCTCCTTTCAGGCGTGTGTTCCAGGTAAGTTTTTTTCTACCTACCTAAGCACTAGAGGTACCAGATGCTCTTTATGTTGTAAATATAAACTGCTTTCAACACCCCCAACTCCTCGAACCTCTTAGGTACGCATCTCGTTTTTTTATCGCAATATTGAACTCTCAGGTCTTTTCATCCTGGATCCGTAATCCCCTCTGACTGCCATTGTTACATAACCGGTCAGCGCCATCCGTCGACTAAACCAAAGTCATAAAGTTCTACCCACAATACCTGCCGCTTGGCCTATCGGTTTAAGGTATCACTTACAGACGCTCTATCGATTATTCTCAATTTATTTACGCCTAGATGTTTGTCATGCACCCGGTATCCATTCTTGTATGTCCTCTACTCGTGGCTTGCCACTTGCTTCTCCCTGACCCCAACACTGACCCCCACCACATTTCCAACTCTATCTTCTCTGGTTTGGACTATGGGATACAGCAGATCGTATGGCGGCACCAGCAGATAACTCGTGGTGCACGGAACGAAGTGAGGCATATCGACCGTGTCTCGAGATCTGGTAGTTCCGAGTGCATCCACGAAGCAGTAAAGCCAATCCTTGAAACGTGTCATTCGTGGGGGGTTGAAGGCTTAACTACGGATATGAGAGTTCGGGTGGCCGTTATACTCTCAGTTTGCGAATTCGAATCACTGGGGGTTATGATTCCTGCTAATTGTGAGCCTCTCTTTCGTCAGCAGATATCTCGCAGTGAACGTCCCCCTCAAAAGGTGATAGACAAATGCGTTTTAACCTTAGAAACCAAGCCCCAATGGTGGACCACATACAGTGGGAATTACCAGTCGGTGGGTGCTATCTGTGCCCAAGAATCGCTTCCATTTGAGAAAGACCAAATTTTGGACTTGTATTCTAATATAACGGACAAGTTCTACGATTTCTACCACTCCATGGTTGAATCCTACCAGCGGACGGATGATTTCTCTCGGGACTTGGGCACAACGGTGGAGGAAATAAACCAGTTGTTCCAATCCCAGATGACGGAGATGAATGCAGCCTATGCTCGACAAGCAAGGGAGTACTCCGCTTCCTTGTCGGAGATAAACCAAGCTTTAAAAACCACCGCCGATTTCTCCACCGAAGTCATGTTGAGCAGTGAGCGCATGGGAGAGCGCCTCGCCTTGTCCTTAGAAAACATAAATAAGGAAATTGCGCAAGTCTACCTGAGCCTAGTGGAGGCAGACTGGTCCCAGGAAATTGAAACCTTGAAGGCAGAGTTTGTAGAGTCTATGAAGGTTAAAAAAGTCCTCGGTGAAGACCTTCTCGGTGAGATCATTGCTGGCTTGCAAACTTCAAATCACCTCGCAACTGCCAACCACGCTATTGCTGTTGGGCTCTCCAATGAGCTATCCAGTGCTACTGGATCTTTGCAGGGATTGAAAGGTCTAATTTACACTACCGGTATGGATATACAGCATGTTCTTGGAGAAGTGGCACTGTATTCTGAAACGATATTGTTTTCCCAACGACACGGTTTGGAAGAAATGAGGGAAATGATGGAGGTACACTCGGAGGTAATGGACAGAGTATTTCAGAGTTTCCGGATGATCGAAACACTGTTGGATGTAGCGTTGGAGAGAGTCACACGACTTGAGTCGGGGTTGAAGCAGATACTAGATCTGCTTACGTGGGTTGTTTCTTTCTACAATCGGCTCACGGCACTTCCTCTGATTGTATTGGAATACACCATATGGGGGCTGAGTAACCTATTCTTTATCGTATGGAGCTTACCAGTGGTTGCTTCCCTTGGAGTTTGGGCTTGCTTCCGGATACTTAGAAAGCTTCTAAGCTCCATCACTACATATTTATCTAGATAAGTCTGTTTGATATAAGCCGGTATTCAATTTGCCATAAAAGGGTTTTTAGAAGCAAATATCGATTGGTGGATGTTGTTTACGATATCAATGTACACCTTAATGGCTGTATTTTTAATTAACCCTCTTATGCCCTACAATTTTTTTTATTTTTTTATATATATATATTTTTTCTTTTTTTTCTTTTTTCATAACTTCATAATTAGGCATTTACACGATTCGAACTTACCTAGTACTCCCCGTCATACGTCACAAAGTTGTCTATGTCAAAATCATCCAACTCGTGGAGCGGATTGTTCCCATTTTTGACGGGAATCGCGCTCATGAGGTTCATATCGTACTCACTAAAACTCCCCATTGGCGGCCCTTCGAAGAGTAACGTGTCTTTCGATTGGTGATACACGTCCAGGGCATAGAATGGGAACGTTTCACTATAACCTGGAGCGGGGAAGCCCACACTTAGGTCGATTTTCTCAGCTGGCTGCACCGCCGTGCGCGAGAGATTCTGAAAGTGCTGCTGAACTTGCTGTTGGTGTGGCTGGGCCTCAAACATGTCGAGCGTGTCACAAGGCCATATATTTTCACTAACATCATTCGTCGGGACGTCCTCGGGGTGAGGCCATTGTTCGCTCGGACGGCTCGCCTGCGGATCCGCCTTCGTATTCGCCTGACTTGAGGGAAATCGGTACTCCCCTTCCGTCGTCGTCTCACCCAGAACTTCCAACGGCGGTCCCAAAACAAGCTTCACCTTCTGTTCGGGATAGCTCCTAAACGAGTCAAAGTAAACGTGGTCGACTGGGCTCTCCACCGACTGGACGTCCGACTGCGACCGCGCGTGGGGGTAGCTGTTGGAAATCGACACTGACGAGAAGGTTCGCGTGTGGCGTGGTGGGACAGTTTCGTAGTCCATAGGTGAAGATGCTGGAGCCATGGACGAGCCGCGCTGGAGGCTCTGGAAGCTGGCAGTGGAGGTGCTGCGCGCAAAAAGTCTTGTCGCCGAGTTGCGCACGGGACTGACCTTCTTTGAGACAATGCTTAGATTTGACATGTTTGTCGCGACGGAAACATTCGCCCGCTGGAGCGGTTGGGTGATGACCATGGACCGCGGCCGCGGCTTGCGTGCCAAGAGGTTTCGCCCAAGCGAGGTAAGTCCTCCGGGCGAAACCCCGGCAACCGCGTTCTGGAAATTCTCCAGATGGGTGTTACCGATAGTGTTGGCTCGCTTGCGCTCAGAGATCTGGTTGCGGCGATTAATGATCTTGGTGAACGCGGCCATCGCGTCGTCATCGTCATCGGCCTCACTCTGCGACTGGCTAATGCTCTGGTAGTCGTCGTCATCCTCCGGCGAGTGCGAAACATCGCCGAAGCGCGGGCTGGGCGCACTGGCCAAACTATATGACGGGATTTGCGGCCCGGAGAGCTCCTCAAAGATCGGCGGCGACGAGTGGCGGAGGATGGGTGATGAGCGCAGAGAATACGCCTGGAAATTGGCCTGAGAATATGCCTGGAAATTTGCCTGAAGGTTGGCCTGGGAATTCACCAGGATAACTGTCGGGGTAATCCCCTGACCCTGGCCAACGGTGAGATCGCTGGACGACGAACACATCGACATGCGCTTACCGGAGCCATGGGGAGTCGGCTGTAGCACAGCCCGGCCATTTTCTCCCACAGAGAGACACAACGACGTAATGGAAGAGGACGAGCGGTGTCTCGTCGCCGGCGCGACAATGGGCGTTTCAGTGAAGGACGCGTACGAGCGCTTTACCGGATTCGGCCGCACCGGCGATGAACTGAGGTACGAAAGGGGGTGTGCGGATGGTTGGTATGATTGATTTGTAGAGTTAGGCATGGCGGAACCAGACTGGAGTCTTGCCTGGGGCGTTTGGGTGTTGGCCTGAAGGTTCGCCTGCGGGTAGGCAAGGGGCTGTGCCACAGACGTGGCCTTTTTGAAAAGCCCGCTGAACATCTTGCTCGGCTTTTTTGTCAAGGTCTCCTCAGGAATCGACGGCACAGACGACGCACGGGTGGAGGCAGTTGTCTGGGAGGCCTCCGACTCGTTGGAGCTGGTGGACGAGCAAGTCTTGCGCTGCGGCGACAAGTCGATGAAGACGTATTCTGCGGGCTGGCCCGGCTTGGGGCGAGGCCGTCTGGGCGAGGCCTTGCGTGTTGTGAACGAGTGTGTTTCCGCAGTCAACGTGGGCACAGGCAATGCGGCTAGGTCGGTCTGAGGCTCGGGCAGCGGCACGGGCGAGACCTTGGAGTTATAGCGCAAGATCCGCCAGGGCTTCTTGTTGGCCAGTGTGACCGTTTTGAGTTTCATTTCAATAGGGGCCTCTAACGACAGGATCTCCTCTTTTTTTCTAGGATGTTAGTAACGCTCGAAGATCACGTTTAACGTCAGATCGGCTCAATTGGGGCTGGAAAATAATGGAATGAATAACCGGGGTCATTGAGCCATAAGCGCTGCAATAATTGAAATAATAATTGAATATATGGCTGAAGTGACAAGTGAATTGATAAAGCCTGTGATCGTCCAATGCATCCGATACCGTCTCGGTCAATGATCCAATTGTCAGGGAGTGGTGGCTTCGCCTAGACGAGCAGCAGCGAAAGATACATACCTGGAACCTCTCATGGTGAAATGGTCTGTGATATCGGGGGGGGGG